GAGTTCACAAATCTGTCCTCAAGCTGTACTCTTGACAAGAGACATTGTTTGTGCACGCCTTTCACATGCTCACAGAATCATCAGCACTTTGGCCGATGGGCCTAGAGCCAACACATACGCAGCCTTGGAAACCGCCTTCTCCCAACGGATGGTGGGAAGAACCGCTTTTAGTCCTCCCGAAGTCACGATCGAGCAATGGAAACTACATCTCATCTTCGCATGCACAACCCTTACCAATAGTGGTGGTATGCAGCAAGCGCCTGTTCCAAGAGAGAGTTCTCAACACTCACGCAAAGGATCCAAGGCTTCTTCCATCAGTCAAGAGAAGATTGGATCTGCTTACGAACTGTTTGCAAAAGTTGTCCCTTTTCTCTCTGCCATACACCCAGGAGTTCGGGAGGCAGCTGTCCATGGACTGGGTGCGATCAACACTAACCTCTTTCGACCATTACTGGAAGCTCTGCAGCCTTCAGTCTCTGTTTGTAGCGAAGACGCTAAACAATGGCTGACGATACATCAAAGGTCCATGAACAGCCCACGACGAAGTAGGCGAAGCGACTCCCTGCGTACCGAGCTGACTCATCTCTACCAATTGACGTCTCATTGCCTGTTCGAGACGGAGATTTATAACGACGAGTGGATACTCCAGAACCTGGTCAGTTTCACCAAGGACCTCCGAATTTTTCTCAACGATGAGGATGTACAGAATCAATGGGACTTCCAGAAGTTACGCACTTACTACTGTGGGCTCGTCGAGGTGTTGTACGAAGGCATCCACAAGACCAAGGATCCCATGCGTTGGATGCCGTTCCACGCAAGAAAAGCTGCTTTCTCCATGATGGAAGACTGGTGTGGCTTCTCTCCGAATCAGACACAGATAAGGCAGAAGGAAAACCATATGAGGAAGTCCATTCTGGACCAAGAACAAGATTCCCGCAATCGTGGAAATGTTACAGCGAAGCTGGAAATCGAGAAGAAGGACCTGCGGACAGCCGCTCTTAGCGCTATGGCATCACTCTGTGCGGGACCAGTCATGATCTCCACTGACGGTCAAATCACCATGCAGTTCGACGTGCGACGAATGCTGAAATGGGTGGATGCCATTTTCGATTCAGCCAGTGATAGAACACATGCGACAGGTCGACGAGCATTGAAAAATCTGTTACGCCACAACAATGAGCACAGTTTTCTGCTGTCCCACTCGATCGAGGAGTGCTATCATGCTAAGAACCCAAAAGCGCTTTTCAGCTACTTCACCGTTGCTACCCAAGTCTTGACAGATGCGGTTGAGGACAGGATACCTTTCTGGAAGATTTTGAGCGCTGCCTTGTACACTCTGGGAAATGAGAACAGCGAGATTCGTATGAAGTCTGCCCGTCTGTTGAGGACTCTCGAGGAACGCTTGGGCAAGAATTCAAAGCTACAGGATCTGGATATCAGTATTTCCGACAAGACAACCGCAGTCTACAAACTGGCCCAATTTGAGATATCCCGCCGACTAGCTAAGCAACACGCAGACACGGCGTTCCACGTCTTCTCGGAATTCACCAGATACTTTGGAGGACTCGTACCAGATCATCAACGTAACATGGTCGCAGCCATGTTGCCTTGGATACAGACCGTCGAGCTGCAGTTGCTCCCCAGTGGAGGACCCACCGCTAGCTCTTACATGTTGATGGTTAATCTCTTTGAGATTACGGCACGAAGCAGCAGTGTCTTGCACAACGAGATACAAGCGCTTTGGCAGGCTCTTGCTACTGGACCATATGGAGGCAATGTGCAAGTGGTCCTTGATTTTATTATCGCGATATGCCTGGACCGTAGAGAACAGAACTTTGTCGACTACGCCAAACAAATCGTAGTGTTCCTTTCGACGACAGCGGCGGGCTTGAAAGTTATCGAATTTCTTTTGCTCCAAATTACACCCAAAGCCATGATTGCCGAGAAACGACCCCCACCACCGATACCTCAAGACCCGACAAATTTGCCATATATTGCAGATCTCGCACAAGTGTTACCTATTGGTAATCGACAATCTGGACTGTCTCTAGGTCAATTGGCCTTGATGCTCCTAGTCGATCTTGTAGTCTCCCCTGTACAGCTCCCCAAGAACAAGATACCTCTCTTGCTTCAAGTAGTTGTCGTGCAATGGGATCATTACACGCCGTTAGTACAAGACCAGGCAAGGGAGATGCTGGTACACATGATCCACGAGCTTGTCATTTCGCAGATTGGCTCAGAGCACACAGGACCAAGCAAGCAAGGCATAGAAGATTTGATCGAATCAATCAGACAACACGATCCCAAGGTTGTGTGGTCTTACGAGGAAACTGACAACAAAGGCTCCAACAGCAATTCTAATGGTGTCCCAGAGCCAATGGTTTTCGTCATTGAGGAAGTGGTCAGAGTACTGAGTTTCTCATACGACGATATAAGAACTGGGGACAACATACGCAGAGATTGGGCAAGGATGAGTCTGGTGTGGGCGACGACTTGTGCCGTGCGTCACGTAGCATGCCGCTCGTTCCAGATCTTCCGCTGCATCATTGATTCGCTCGATAGACAGATGATGGCAGACATGCTCGCTCGTCTGACAAACACTATTGCCGATGACGAGAATGATTGTCTGACCTTCTCTCAAGAAATTCTCATTACGCTACGAACCATCATTAGCGCTCTTGAACCCGAGGACTTGATTCAATACCCTCAACTGTTCTGGACCACGAGTGCCTGTCTGGATACGATTTTCGAACAAGAATTCCAAGCAAGTCTTTCGATGCTGGATCGGTTGTTGGATAAACTCGACCTGAGCGATCCTGCAGTCATCAAACTATTCAACGAGAATAAGCCTGCAAAATGGGATGGAGAGTTCGAAGGTCTTCAGCCCTTGGTCTACAAGGGGTTGAGGTCAAATGCCTGTCTCGACCGGTCACTGGAAATGCTAGAGAGAATGATCAAATTGCCTTCCAGCAGTCTGATAGGAGGTGACACTCGTCTCCTCTTCACACTGCTTGCGAATCTCCCTCGTTATCTCCATCGCTTTGAGGACGACAGTAGCGACCAAGCATGTTTCGAGTCTGCAGACTCTCTTGCTGGTGTAGCCGAAGCTCAGCGACTGCCTGATCTGGCCCACGCATTGAATGGCTTCGCAAATCAGACCTACCGCAATGCGAACGACTTCTTGACCGAAGTCGTCGCTGCAGCGAAAGCCACCTTCTTCCCTGCAATGGAATACCAGAGTTTGGTCTTCCTTATCGGCCTGCTCAACAACCAGACTCCATGGTTTCGAGTCACTGTCATGCAACTTCTATGTGTTCTGATTCCACAGATCGACATGAGACGGCCGGAAATTGTCTCCCAAGGACCAGATCTGATCTCGCCCCTTTTGCGTCTGTTGCAAACCAGCTACTGCCAGCAAGCTCTTGATGTGCTTGATAACATCATGTCTGTCACTGGTACGCCCCTCGACAACAAGCATTTGCGCATGAGCATGGCAGGGTCACATTCGACGCGCGCGACACGCAAGGAGTACGACAGCACAAAGAGTCTTTACGGCATACCCGAGGAGTCTGGCTGGTCAATACCGATGCCAGCCATCCAGGCCGAAAGGGCGAGGAAGAACGTCATGGCTGTCTACTACACCTGTCTAGACACTACGCTCGCAGATGGCACCGAGATAACCAGCACGCCTGATGTCGCGTTTGCAGAAGATCAATACGGCTCCTACTTCGAACGTTCAGTGACGACAATGTCGGATTCGATTCGTGCTGACGGCAGCATGAGCGAGCTGGTTCTGAAGCTGGACAGTCTGGACGATTTCTTCGACGACCGCAAACCTCCCACAACCAGGGAAAAGTCCCGAGGCTCAATCGAAGATCGCGAGAACATCTACGAACAGCAGACTCTTCCAATCCTGCACAAGTCACTCAAACGCAACGCTTCGGTAACCTCGTTCCAGAACGGATTCTCGGATACAAGATTCGGTCTGGCTCGCGAACCGCTCGTCATGAACCCTGGCGCGTTCGCCTCGAATCCAGCCATAGTTGCCACAAGACCTGCCCTTCACGCAAGATCAGTCACTTCGCCGATGGCTGCAATGCATCATATGCCTCGAGTGATTACAGATTTACAATCCGAAGAAGACACTGCCGACGAGCCCTTCTCCGACGACGACCTCTCGATCTCGCGCATGACGACGTCCGATGATGCCTTGTCGGTGCACAGCAGCAATTCCCGGGCTCCTTCTGCAGCAGGGCTGCGAGCAGGATTCCGGTCTGGCATGAGAAGACTTACTGGAGGCACAACTGATCGCCGGGATGTCAAAGGATTGGTGCGCTTGAGTCCACAAGTACCACGCGTCCCTACAGTCTGGTTAAGCAACCCAAAGAGTTCAGAACTCTAAATTATAATGTTAGATATATGTAAGAATTTAGTTAATGAAATGAATCTTTCGATGTAGACACTGCATGTTTGGCTTGTCGAGAGCTCTGCTAGAATCTAGCTTCTTTAGGCTAAAGCATTGGGCGGGACTCACGTGCTGCCGTGGGCTCCAAAAAACCGGTTGCAAAGACGTGATGGAATAGCTTGACGACGATGAAGTTTCTTCGAGAAACCCTAGAAGATTCTTAGAAACAATAGAAGCAGCAGTACGAGCTGATGTGGTCCGATAGCCCATGCCCTGGAGATACTGTATAGTCCGGACATCCGGGCATTGATTTGATAATCAGAGTTGTTCGAGACTTTATGCACTTTGGCCTCTAGCTTTGGTACTTTCCAAATGGATAGCTCGCCTGCATTCTGAACATGACAAGGAACATTATGTGCGTTGTTGGTTTTGATTGTGCAGAATCAATCGCCGAAGCAGAAAGTATTTCGAACCAGATTCGAGGCGGACTTCTTGGCATTGCTGTAAGGCGGTGACCGACCATCAACATCCAAGCGGTTAATTGTTCGAGCACGCTTCCAGTCTATTTTTCACCTTTCTCTGAGAAACAAGAAAGAACATGTCGTGATGGCTGCTGAAGTTGATGATGATTTGCAATTAATGCGCGCCTCGGCGGGGCTTCTGTCAGATCTCCAGGTTGCTCTCTCAAAACTGCTCTGGAAACAGGGAGACCAAGGTCGTGTCCATCATCTTGTTCGTTCGCGCGATCTCGACCATGTCGTTCAATTGGTGCGTATTGTATTGCACCTCAGACCACCAGTATGTTGCTGACATATCACTCAGATTGAGCCTTTCCAAGGAGAACCTCAATTACTCGATGCTCATCTCAAGACACTGTTGCCCCCAATTGTCGAAGCATATCTAGCCTTCCTCCAAGTGCAACAGGCCAAGTCTCCTTCTCCTCTCACAGTTTCTCTGGATGTCGCCGCCAGCAAGCTGCTGTACACTTTTTGCAAAGTTCGAGGCGAGAAAATCATCACCGGCTTCCTCAATAATGAACCCAGATATCTTGAGCTCATCTTGACCAACCTCGAAGATTTCAAAGTCCTTAGCGCTGGCTCAGATACTGCCTGGGAGAAGTCTTATGTGTTACTCCTATGGTTGACCCATTTGATGCTTGCGCCATTCGACCTCAGCTCGATATCGGCTGTTGCTCAGCCTTCCAAAGTATGCGAGCATATGTCTCTACAGCCGCTGGTCCCTTCGATTGCACGACGTGCCATAGCATTGGGCATCCATTATCTCGCAAGTGCTACCAGGGAGCAAGATGCTGCTGCAAAGATGCTCGTACGTTTGGTCACCAGACCTGATATGCAGCACCTCGATCTTCCTACTGCACTGGTGTCTTGGGCATTGACGAAGCTCCTGAATCCATCTGCTTCGCCTAACTCCAACCTTCACACCTTCCTGGGCCCACTTCGGTTCCTGGTGGGAATGACAGTGTCAGTCGATACTCCCGGAGCGGCTACTCTTATACCATCCATCTACTCTGCTGGTCAAAGACTTATGGATGATGCGATGCTCGCGTTTCTGAGCTCTTCCGCTGTCACGAAGAAACTAGTTGTCAAGTTATTGCGTAATGTGGCTCTACTGAGCTTGCAATCCTCATTCGACAGCCTCGTCGACTTTTTCGAGTCATCTGGTGTCTTGGAAGAGACGATCGAGTACTGTTTGCAATCGCTTGAGGATCGTGACACGCCGGTCAGATTCGCTGCTAGCAAAGCACTGAGTATGATAATCCTACGACTCGATCCGGATATGGGACATGAAGTCGTTCAGGCGATTCTCGAAAGCTTCAAGGAAGACATGCCAAAGTCTTCTTCGAGACCCGACTTTGGAGCTGCAAACGCGTTGAGGTGGCATGGTCTGACCTTGACACTGGCACACGCATTGTTCAGGAGGTCGGCCTCACCACAGCAACTTCCCGAGATCTTGAACGCCTTGTTATTGGCGCTTAGCTTTGAACAGAGGTCTGCAGTTGGTATGAGTACTGGAAGCAACGTTCGAGATGCCGCGTGTTTCGGTATTTGGTCATTGTCCCGACGCTACACCACCAGGGAACTTTTGTCAGCGGACATATCCGAGATCAAATTTGACTTCCACCAAGATACCGAATCCATAATCCAAGTCGTTGCTATCCAGCTCCTACTTTCTGCCTGCTTGGATCCTTCTGGCAATATCAGAAGAGGATCTTCCGCTGCTCTTCAAGAGCTTATCGGTAGGCATCCTGACCAAGTCAGCAATGGTATTTCTCTTGTTCAAGTAGTCGACTACCATGCAGTCGGACTTCGGCAACGCGCCATGGTTGATGTGGCTCAGAATGCTGCGGCTCTCGACACAGTCTATCGAGAGGCACTGCTTGCCACGCTCGGGAAGTGGCGAGGTCTTGGTTCTACCGACATTCTTTCTCGTGAGGCTGCTGCCGAGTCTATCGGTCTACTATGTGCTCCCCAAGTCCCTCAGCACGTCAATGTCACACTTGACAGACTACAGAGATGTCTTCTTGCGTTCCCAAATTCTGACGTTGAACAATGTCATGGATCCCTACTTGCCCTGTCGAGGATCATCGACACCAAGATGCTCCAACGCTTCCAAGACGACGCTCGAGATCCGAGCACAAAAGACACGTCATATTTGCTTTCTTTATGGAAGTTGTTCGCTGACGAGAGTCATCTATACAAGAACCAGACTTCGCGAGCCACACGAGCAGAGTTGACGTCCGCTGTAGCCCGATTCTTAGCATCTCTATCGGAGCTCTCTCTGCTATCCACTACAAACCGCATAGATTTGTCATCACAGATGCCCAAGCTGAGTCAGATCGTATCTGTTTTGATTTCCTCGTCTGATAATTCTGTCTTGCAAGCTCTGCCGCGTCTAGTAAAAGCGCTCTCACGGCTGAGTGAATCAGGTTTCACAGCAACAACAATTCTGAATCTCTCGGATTGTCTTGCCAGAATTGCGCACGATTCTTCAGGCATGGTTCTGCAAGGGTCCGGGCGTGTTGTTGCTGTTGGGTCGGCATTCCCATGGTTGCAAGACATCTACAGCTGCGATCGAATCACAGCCTGTAATCTTCTATCAAACATCGTCCAGACAGCCCCACAGACCGAATGGCGTATGGTCGGATTACGAGCCATAGAATTGATGATCCAGGCAAATACCATTGGCACCGATGTCTTGCCAGAAGTGTTCTCTGCACTTCATGCTGGTCTCAATGACTACACCATTACCGAAAGGGGAGATGTTGGGTCACTAGTGCGGACAAGGGCCATCCAGTGCGTTCAGAGCATGTGGGATTCTAAACAGGCACCAGAAGTCGACCCCGTCTCCAATCAACTTCTGGAAGGGAACATCATTCGTTTGGCGTTTGAAAAGATGGACAGAGTCCGACTTCAAGCTGCAAGATGTCTGCAACAAGACNNTGTGAGCTGAAAGGGTCAGTTACTCACTCTCAAAATCTCGATACATAACCTGCTAACAAAGTTCAGCGTTTCTGACACAGATGTCACGAGTTACCAATACTTTTTGAAACTACTTGCGCCACTGAAAAATGATCCGCCTAGCTGGAAACGCGATGCAATCCTGAGAGGAAGCATATCGTGCGCTGGAGTTGGTGCAGAAGGGTTGTTACGGGCTTCTCGTGAGGCCTTGGTCGACACGATATCCAGAGGAAGTGACGATATGAGATCCGACTGTTTGTCTGCTTTCACCAATTTCTTGAGAAATCTCATCGCGAAAGAGGGCGAGACTCAACCGCTGTTGGAGCTCATCGCGTACCTACTAGATGCACTTCCCTCTATCATCTCTTTCGACAATNNACCTTCAAGTAAGTCTGATAACACCAACGCGCAATGGCCACTCTAACCTGTGATCAGCTGGCGAGTTCTGTTATCCTTGGTTCAGAAGGCGCATTTCAAATCGAACAATATCTCGAGGATACTGGCAGCGGTCGAGATCTACCAGGCGCTGGCTGAAAAGCCGACTACACGTGCCGACACGTTGAGGAAGCTTGCCAGCATGCTGAGAACGAATCCATATCCAACAGTAAGTGATCAGTTGCCATATTTCTATGCCGAATGCTAAAGACAAGAACAGGTCCGAACTGCAGTAGCCGAGTGTCTGTTCCTCGCAACAGGCGATCAAGCTTTGAAAGACGTCGACTGGAGCAAATCGTCACGGACGTACAACCTGCAGGTGGATGTGCGGTGACGGTTCCGCGACACGGAATGCCGCCGCTTTTCTATAGCTGCTTCCGCACCATTTCACGGCAGTCACAATACAGCGGGGTTACCACGCAGCTCTGAGGCTCTTGCGGGGTATGCTCTCTCTGCTTGCATGGATTTAAAAGATTGAGGGTTGCCAGTAACATCCCTTAATTGTGCCGCTGTTCCTGTTTGTGCGAATCATCACCATGCTTTCTCTCTTGATCTCGTTTGCTCAGACCCAGGCGAATGAGCACCCTATCCGGTTCATAGTCATTGTACTTCTCTTGTTGCCATTGTCATACTTTGTGGCCAACGAGCACGTACGAAAAAAGGCAAGGATTCCAGGATTCGATGGACCGCCAGGAGCATTAGTCTTTGGCAACATTCCGGATATCAAATACAATGCTGCCGAGAAGGTTGTGTTCCAACAAGATCGCGTGAGCCTCTGCTAACTGGCNGAAAAGTATCGAGAGTGGTCAAAGATCTATGGCGATGTGTATCAAATTCAGCTAGGAAACATTCCTGTCATTGTCTGCAACTCGGCCGAGGCCTGTCGTGTTCTGTTTGGGCATTATTCACAGGCTCTCAGCTCGAGACCGGTGTTCTATACTTTCCACAAGGCATGTATCAATATGGACGAGGTGTCTGACTTTTTTTTGATGACTTGGAGAATANNGGTCCTTTCTAATACGGCGGGAACAACTATCGGTACATCGCCATTCAGCGACAGTCTCAAACGTCGCCGCAAAGGTGCCGCATCTGCGCTGAACAAGCCTTCAGTTGCCAGTTATGTCGGCCATCTAGACGTGGAGAGTCTATCTTTCGTCAAAGAGGGCCTGGAATACGGAGCTGCTGGCACACAATCTGTTGATCCAATGCCCATGATCCAGCGCTTGAGTTTGAGTCTTGCCCTGACCCTCAACTGGGGCACTCGATTGGGTAGCAGGGACGATCCTTTGTTCCATGAGATTACAGAGGTTGAGGAAGAGATCTCCAAGGTACGATACTTCTGTCATATATTACACACAACACTTTCTAAACCCCTCTTANNGTTCAGGAGCACAAGTGGCAATATGCAAGACTATGTGCCGTTCCTGCGTCTGAATCCATTCAGTGTCGGGTCCAAACGAGCCAAGGAGATGAGAGAACGCCGAGACGTGTACTTGACCAAGCTGAACAAGGATTTGGACGACCGCATGGAGAAGGGGACGCACAAACCCTGTATCCAGGCCAATGTCATCCAGGACAAGGAAGCAAAACTTAACAAGGAAGAGCTCACAAGCATCAGCTTGACGATGCTCAGTGGAGGACTGGATACCGTGACGACACTGGTGGCTTGGAGCATTGCGCTCCTCGGACAAAGACCAGATATCCAGGAGAAGGCGGTACAGGAAATTCGAAAGATGTTCAGCGAGGACGCGATACTTTGCGCACCCGAAGATGACATGAAGTGCGAGTATGTCATGGCTTTGGTCAAGGAGTGTCTGAGGTATGTAAAAGCTGCGTCGGTGCTTTCAAACACACCACTTACTGTGAACAGGTACTACACTGTGCTGAGACTGGCGCTTCCCCGAGCAACAGTCAAGGATATCACGTATGAAGGCAAGCTTATTCCGGCGGGTACGACAATATATCTGAATGCTTGGGCGTGCAACATGGATGCAGCCGTGTGGAAGGATGCCGAGGTATTCAGACCGGAAAGATGGCTCGAGCAGCCAGACGCACCACTTTTCACATACGGAGTGGGATATCGGATGTGTGCAGGAAGCCTATTGGCCAACAGAGAGCTGTATCTCGTGTTCATGAGGATGCTGAGCTGCTTCGAGATTGAGAAGGGAACCGCGGTGGAAACACATCCGATCAAGGGCAGTTCGGATCCAACCAGTCTGGTAGCGTTGCCTCATCGCTACGAAGTGAGATTCAGACCGCGGAACGAGACTAAGCTGAGAGAGCAGATCAAAGCAAGAGAAAAGATGGTGGGCGAGTGTTGACGGGGGTAGGAAATGTATGTATGTGCTGAAGAGAGTGAAAATGGCATGATGGTCTCCAGTAATACTGTAGTTATATAGGGACAGTGAAGCTGCAAGCATGGACAGTACCATGGCTTCCAAACACAATTCTCTCTCATAGATGACATGTTGAGCTGAGCATAAGGGAGGAGCGACCCCATGCACAGCAGGTGCACGGACCAGGGTGAATGTGCAGCGTTATCACAAGACAGACGAGTCCAGAAGTGCTGGCAGATTGTGCCACAAGCAACGTGAAGGAGCAAGGAGAGCAGCAACAACAATGATGAGACGCTAGAATGGCTTTCGGCGGGCACGATTATCTGGGTAAACGCGACGACGACCTCGGGCGACGGGCAGGCTTGCAGACCTCACAGCCATGGTCGTGGTCCGCCGCGCTGCGATTGCGCCGTCGCCGCCTGGCCATGGGCCTGCTCGGTGCCTTCCTGATATGGCTCTTCATTCACAACATCCCCACCGATCTGGGCAGCGTCGACCAGCGCATGGGCCGTCCACTGCGTCCAGGCCATCGAGTTGACGGCGTCGAGTTTGGTTATAGACCGCCGAATCGCCCTGCTCAACAAGCCGCCCGCCCAAACACTGTCTCCAAGGAGCCGACTGGTCCTCCTCCGAAGACGCACTCCACCGGAGACCAAGAGAACCACTACTATGCCGGTCCTGTCAAGTTCTACAGGCTGGCAAGGTCCATCCAGACCATCGCCCGCACCATGGGCCACAGAAAGGACAATAGAAATGTCTTGTTCGCCGCTTCCAGCCTCAGGAGCGCTGCAAATCTGCTGCCCATGGCTTGTGAAATGGCCCGCGTAGACAAGAACTTTGTGCATTTCGCCCTGTTGGGGCGGGAAGCCATTNNCCCCCTGGAAGACGTGCTCGAGATAAATGGTGTTGATCGCGACTCTTGTGACATATTCTTCCACGATGCCCGATGCGACTTCTCCGAGTACAGTACAGATGCTCGTGCAGAGGCCTCTGTAGTCGGCGCTCTCGGTCATATCCACATGTACATGCACCCACAAGCCGTCATCACTGATGATTCCTCTATTGAGGATGCCTTCTTCATTAGAGGTCTGCGCTCGAAACTTGCCATTCAAGCTACGCCACTCATCGAGATTCCAAAAGGAAAGTACGAGGATTTCTTGTGGATGACCCGTCTCGATACCGGCGGCTTGACCTCGTGGCACAAGCCCAGCGTGAACATTCTCATCCACGCCCAGCCACAATCATCAGGCTCCCTCCTGCGACTTCTGCATTCGATCCAGGCTGCCGACTACAGTGGACTTTCTCACCCTGACATCACCATTGACCTTCCTCCTGATGTCGAGCCGTTTGCACGCGACTACCTGCGAGACTTTGAGTGGCCTCCACACCAGGATCCCACCGGCCCACGTCAACGCAGAGTCAAGCTCCACCATCGCATCTCTACTGCCAAAACCACGACCGAAAACAATGCACTTCGCTTCCTCGAGTCGTTTTACCCTGTCGACCCTGACCACTCGCATGTCTTGTTGCTCTCAACACAAACAGAGTTATCGCCATTATATTATCACTATCTCATGTACCACGTCTTGCAACATCGGTACTCGGCATATGGGTCGGACGATGGAGACAACCTCTTCGGAGTGGTTCTTGCGACTCCTGATTCCTATCTCAATGGCACCAGTCCTTTTCCCACGCTGACAATGTCTGATACCGAGAGAAAGTCCAAGACTACCGAAGACCTGACTGTACCTTTCTTGTGGCAAGCCCCCAACGCCGATGCAGCTCTTGTCTTTGGTGACGTTTGGGCTGAAGTCCACGACTATCTCAAGAACCGTCTTCGTGCCGCTCACGATGCCTCTTCAGTACATCAAGCGCCCAGCAAGCGTGCTAAGCTCGTTTCGGAGACACAGCCCGGATGGCTTGAATACATGTTAGAGCTGATGAGGGCAAGAGGATGGAGGAACCACTATCCTGCCCAGTTGGGTGCTGGATCATGGGCGACTGTGCATCGAGACCTCTTCCAAAAGCCAGAAGAGTACATGAAAAAAGCTGCCAAGCTCGAAGACGAACCAAAGGAGACAGAGCAAGAGAAGATACTCGACAGTGAGGAGCCCTTTCTCAGTGCAGAACCAGCGGCAGATCAGATCCGCCGGCAGGAAGCTTATCTCGCGCAGAAAGAGCACGACATGCTCCAGCATTCTCAACCTTTGCACGCGCTAATGCCCTACGAGACCGAGCTCACAGAAATCGCTCTTTTGCCAGCACTAGATCTCACTGGACAGAAGGTCGAAAGGGAAGATTTTGTTCGACTGGCAACAGAGTACCGCCCACTGCTCAGAACACAAGTCGGTGGTTGCAATGCTGCAGAAGCTACAAACGATCGCAAGTACGACTTGGGCAAGACCAGTGACTTGTTCTGTTTTATTGGACAGTCCGACCTAGATGAAGAAGACGCAGACGAGAAAACTGCCAAAGCTATTTTGGAAGACGAGATTCCTGAGCCTGCATCTGATGCAGTGACAGACACAGAGGAGCATATAGCCCCTGAGACTGCGGCCACAGCAGAAGAAGGGGTACTCGACTCGGCAGCGAAACAGAAGCTGGCGCATATGAAAGTCGAGGCATCTGTCATCAAGCAGGTCAATCAAGAAGAGCCAGAGAAGAAGCAGACGGCACCAGATGATGAAACCTCTCCCAAACGAGGCACATTGAAGCCTGTCGTCGAGGACCTAGGACCTCCCAATGTCAAGGATGGTCAATGATGAATCTATCAAAGCAGTTGCCATGTATAAACTATGTATGCTACAAGGAAATCAAATATGAAATGCTCAAAATACAGTATTCATGTAATCGACTGCTCGGACCCAAGGGCCTCTCACCCATCAATGTACGGTCTGAGAAAGGTGATCCCGTACAACAATCGCAAATTTCTACAACATGACGGACTTGCAACAGAAACATGGAAAAGAAGTGGCTGATTATTTGCCTGGTATATCCTTGTCGACCGAGTATAGAACGCCTGACATTCCGTACCAACACCAAGCCCACTAGTGCCTCATGAACCGTTAAACGCCGTCGAGAGACATCGCTCATATCAAACACTCAGTCAAATCACAATTCGGAAATACCCATCTCTTCAACATCGCAGTTAGGGTGTACAATGTAGAGAAGCTTTTCCTTCTGCTCTGAACTTGTGCCAGACTCGTTTGCGGTAACTTCACCACGGACTCGTAGGAGTATATTGTCCTGTTGCAGAGTTAGTAACGTACACTCGAGTTTGATCAAGACGTGGCTCCAACATACCTTCAACATTCTCTTCAAGACTTTCCTTGTCTTGTCTTTCATGGCTTCTATCGCCTCGGGGCTCTCGAGGTCTTCCTCCCTCGACTCGGTGTACCAGCTCAAAAGATCTTCTTCCCCAACACCGTCTCCGTCTTGCTTGTCATCCGCGTAGACTCTGCTGACCAGACTGTTGACCATCTCACGATATTCTTCAGCTGTGATGACTGTTTTCTGTCTCGTTGGAGGTGCGTCATCACCCATGATAGCATCTAGCTCCTCATCCTGCTCAGCAGCTGCGATGACATCCGCTTGCAGTTGGTCGATATCCTCGTCATCGATATCGATGTCATCTTNTTCGACACTGATGATACTCTGTCTCAGAAGCTGGAAAGCCTCATTGACAAAATCAGAGGAAATCTCGTCGACGCAGTTTGCCTTTGCAATGGCTTCACTCAGGCGAATCATGCTTTCAAGCTGTCTGACAGTGATTCTGTAGGAGTTTTTGCCAGTGCCACCCTGCGAATCGTCGGCTCGCAGCTCCTTGTACCTCTCAACCAGAGTGGCCTTGGCTTCTTCGGTAAAGACTGGTTGGAACAGGCGTGCAAAGCGGATGTAGCGTTGAAGTGTCTCGGTGCTGAACTCGGGCTGGACGGCACTGTCACGCAGGCGGTGGACATCTACAATGTGTTGTGCCAGTTTCTTGTCGACGGCCTCGTTGCATTCGTCGAGAACGACAAAGAAAAGATCAAAACGAGACATGATAGGAGCACTCATGTTGATGTTCGCTCGGAGTGTAGTCTTGCGGTTGTAACGGCCGCCGACAGGGTTAGCAGCCGCAAGGATGGAGGTACGGGCATTCAAGGTGGCCTGGATACCTGCTTTGGCGATGGAGATGGTTTGCTGTTCCATGGCTTCGTGGATGGCGACTTGGTCAGCAATGTCCATCTTGTCGAACTCGTCAATGGCGCAGATGCCGTTGTCAGCGAGCATCAAAGCACCGGCTTCGATGGTAAATTCTCCAGTTTCTTCGTCCTTGACAACAGCGGCGGTCAAACCTGCCGCAGAAGACGCTTTGCCAGAAGTGTAGACGGCACGAGGGATGAAAGAGCAGATGTACTTGAGAAACTGCGATTTGCTGGTACTGGGATCACCAACAATGCAAATGTTGATGTCTCCGCGAAGAGCCATTCCTTCGGGAGTGGACTTGCTCACACCACCCATGAGCTGCAAAAGCAGACCCTTCTTGACGACAGTGTGGCCATAGATCATGGGGGCAATGGAGTCGATCAAGCGCATGAAAATGTTCGGACTGTGAACCATGGTCTTCAGCTCGTTGATTTCGTTGGGGCTGAGCGAGGCCAGATAGTCGGACTGGGCCTCCTCACCAATCTTGTCCATCTCGGAGTTCTTTGCTTGGTTGAGCGAGCTCATGATGTTTGTAGCTTGGCCCCTGAGTTGTTGAGTGGAAGCTTGGCCAGCAGTTGAAGCGTCGGGAGTGACCATGTTGGCCAGGAAAGCCATGCGGTAGGTGAGTTCGCGCACACCCAGAGCCTTGAGTCCACCGACGCCACTGCCTCCTGCCTCGGCACCTCTGGGAGCAGAGCTGGTATCACGAGTGGCTTGCGGACGCTGGCCAGGCACTCTGAACTGGCTGACATCGGGAACGACAATGAGCGTGCCGGTGAAGATGCACTTTTCACCGGCCTTTGCACGGTCGACCATCTCACCGCGTAGGATGACATCCATGGTTCTGGGCATGCTTCCAGTAGGGATTTCGGAGCTGTTCTCTTGGATGCGGACCTTCTGCCAATCGACAAAGGTGCTCTGGCGAATGTCCAGACGCCATGCTTGACGATTACCGCAAGTCAAGTTTGGGCATTGTGTAGGCTCCGAGTAGCGGAAGATTTGCTCAACATTGGGGACAAGTGTGTTGCAGACCTCACAAACAAAGGTGGCCAGTGAGAGCTCGGGACGGACTTCGGATGTGCGGGTGACAGTGCCCGAGATGGACAAGAGGGAGCCAATCTGGGTGGTGCGCAGCTGGCGGACGCGTGAGACCAGAGGGAGGTTGTAGAAGGTAAGGGTAAAGACCTTGTCGGTCTGCTGATTGGAGGTCTTGTGGTGTGTGGAATCGTCGTGGGTGTCGACAGAAGCATCCGAAGTGTTGGGCACGGAGGAACCGGGCTGGCGATGTTGGCGGAAGTAGCGGGGAGCGTGGGTAGCGATGGCGTTGTGGAGGGCGCGGATCATGTAGGGGTGGTAGCGGTAGAAGTCTTGCTGGATGGCTTGGGCGAGGACGGGCTTGGCTGCGTCAAGGTGCCTGTAGTCGACGTACAGGGTGGACAGCGAGTAGCGGGCCAGACCCTTGATCTGCTCGACGTAGTAGCGGTCGGTGGTGGCAGCACTGGAGGCCGGAGCCAAGGCCGACGAGATGGGCTCCTCGGTGAAGGAGTTGAGAAAGTGCTCGAACTCCTGAGACAGGCGCTCGGCCGTCGTGTCCATGACCTGCTCGACTTCGGGTCGCGGGCCAGCTGTGGACGGGCCTCTGCGGCTGCCTCGTACACCGACGACCTCGTCATCTCCATAGGCAAAGGCATCGCTACCCAGACCGGGAGTGCTCACAGAGGGCGGGCCTCGTGGACGGGAGGCGCCTCTGCCGGTGGATTGTGCGATTGGTGTGCGTGATTCATTATGGCCGTTATCCGAGCGGATGACGGCGTCAAGAAGAGACGACATGGCAGTATGCGTGTGTGCAAGTCGGTGTTTGTGCTTGCCAAACAAGAAATCCAGCCCATGTTGTCTTTGGCCAAGGCCGAGCGAACGCGAACGCGGACGTGGACGTGGACGTCGACACACGAGTCGCGAGACCAATCAAATGGCCTGATCGGGCCTAGGCTGAGAGCGGAGCGGCTGGAGATTGCCATGTTCATCCATTCAGGGTCACGCAATTGTTCACGCCCGCAGTGTTTCTCCTTGCCTCTGTCCAAGTCCCGACAAGTCCACCGACCGAACCCTCTCTCTCCGTCACCTGTCGCCAACATGAGCACTACCACTACCACCACCAATGTCGCTCAAGCCCCACAGATCACCGCAGAAAACATCCTCCGCCTTTTCCCCCAAATCAACACCTCTCTCGCCAATGCCGCTTCTGCTACCCAGGACAATGACCTCGAAGGCTACGACGAGGAACAGATTCGCCTGATGGACGAGGTCTGCATTGTTCTCGACGAGAACGATCTGCCCATTGGTAGCGCCAGCAAGAAAGTTTGTACGTCGAATCCACCCGCCTGCGTCTGCGCCCTCTCGCAAGACCAATGTCCAGTCGCTGATCCCGCCCGCCAGGCNCACTTGATGGAGAATATTGAAAAGGGCTTGTTGCACCGTGCTTTTTCCGTCTTCCTCTTCGACAACAAGAACCGGCTGCTTCTGCAACAGCGAGCCTCTGAGAAGATCACCTTCCCCGACATGTGGACAAACACCTGCTGCTCACACCCTCTCGGTGTCCCTGGCGAGACGGGCTCTACTCTCGAAACCGCAATCATGGGCGTCAAGCGTGCTGCTCAGCGCAAGCTTGACCAAGAGCTCGGCATCAAGGCTCACCAAGTTCCCCTGGACAAGTTCCACTTCCTTACTCGCATCCACTACGTCGCCCCCAGCGACGGCAAGTGGGGCGAGCACGAGAGTATGTTGTCTGCTTCTGCTTTTGTCCAAAACTCCTCTGACCAATTTCTCTCTNNAGTCGATTACATTCTATTTATCAAGGCCGATGTCGATCTCGAAGAGAACCCCAACGAAGTCCAGGCAACCAAATACGTCACCGAAGACACCCTCAAGACAATGTTCAAGGACGACTCGCTTCTGTTCACGCCATGGTTCAAGCTCATATGCCAGAGCATGCTTTTCGAGTGGTGGGGAAGCCTCGACCAAGGTCTCGACAAGTATAAGGGCGAGACAGCCATCAGGCGCATGCTCTAATTTTCTCCACTTCGTCTACGTGCTGCATAGATTTCCCCTTACCCTTTTTAATACATGTGCGGCCACCCAAAGCAGTGGGCTGGCATTGGAAAAGTCATAGCGTTTGAAAGAGATACCCTATTATTACCATCACAAGCAGAAGTCCCTTTCTTTTTGACACACCATGCACAAAACTCAAGCAGGCCTGATGTGGAAGGAGCGATGGTCAGGCTTGATAGGCAGCAGCGCTCAGACGTCCATGCCATTTCCCACCATCATTCCACGATACAACTCGGTTCGCACTTCGCCCAGATACCATTACACAGCACTATGTTCTTGTCGTCACCTAGGAAAAAGAGTTTGGCGACTTACTCGAAACAAACACCGCGAACCAATCACTGCTCGACTCTCGCTTCACCAACCTCAGATGATCGACAACACCGCAAGGGACGCGTTACGTTGACGTCTCCTGTTCGTGCAGAAACTCCTCTCACTAGTCCGAGCTCAATTTCCCTGTCACCTTCTTTCCTCAGCGATCACAAAGATGACCAAGCACAACAAGTCGAACTACCAACGGAACCTCCTTCGGCCCATGAGCTCGCATTGGTGACACCATCAGATCAGATCGCGAGGCCCGTGAGCTCCTCCGAACACGATTCCATCTCGGACCATGAACTGACGCCTATGGAACGTGGCCGCAAGAAGCGTACACGAAGAGACGCGAAGCCTCAGCCTCTAAGCAAGCTAAGGAAATCACTGAACGTACGACCCAAGAAGTTACGATTCACAGCGAAACAACCAACATCTGTCCCCTCAGCAGAAACAATCCGGGAGATTGAGAGAGGTGCTGATGGTTTTGACGAGATGCATCTTGTCCTCCTAGCAGTTTCGAGACCAAAGAAAAGAAAGCTCAAGGCACACAGCACCACCGTAGCGTTGGAAACCCTCATAGGCCCACATCCACACGTCAACTTTGACGACCCGGATTGGTTGGCAGTCCCTTACCAAGATCATCTTAAACTAGAGCAGAAAGCGACCTACCACACAACCGAGGCCACTAGAGATGAGTCGAAATTTGAAGGAGTAGTTATCGAAAATGCTCATCTACAAGTTGAGGAATTCCGAAGCGCACGCAAGCCGCCCACCAGACCATCGGCCAAGGAGGTTCTTCTATATGCTCAGTTGTCATCTGTGTCTGCACCAATTATGCGACATCCATCTTACGACGAAGAAAGCGAGGAACACTACGCAAACAACTTCATGGACAACGAAGAAGGTGAAGGAGAAGGATTCGAGCATAGCATAGGTGACGGGGAGCTGGGAGAGCAGAGGGCAAGCACAGTCCGCTAGCAGCGTGACGAGTTGGCAGAAGCCCGTCGCCCCCATCGGCTGGCTTCACATCAAACGAATGGTACTGGTATAGCTCACATCGAGCAGGCTACGGCCCGCGGAGCACCATCGCCTACTAAATCGTGGGTGTCGGAGACGGTGGCATCTACGCGAGCCTGATGGCTTGAGCCGTTAAATCGAAGAGTCAAAGCATACATTCGATCTGTATCTGCTGGCGGCAGCAACCTAACAGGCATATATAGCACGTAGTAGCTGAAGCAATGGATTAGTTGCTGAGTCTTCCCGATATGCCGAGTCCAGTATTGCTGTAAGGCTGCCCGATCATTTTATGGAAGAGAGAGAGAGAGAGAGCGTGATTGCGCTGATAAGATGAAAGAGATTCGTCGCATTGATAAGATTGATAAGATAAGAGTCAAGCAAACCCCGCAAAAACGAGAAACAAAGTCGGAACTGGGGGAATTTTTCTTGGGTCGGCGGCTTCACCTTGGTGGCATGGATCTGCTCGACAGTGGTTGAAAGGGCAGCAAGGATGGGATCGAGCGCCAAAAAGAAGCGAGAAAAGAAGCAAGACTTCCAAAAGACCAAGCTCAAGGTCGGCAAGACCAAGGCAAAGGCGGCCAACTTTACCGACACGAGCTTCAAGGCAAAGTCGATTGTCCTCAACCAGCAGTCGCTCTCGTCCTCGGCGCCTTCCCTCGACCAGCAGTTCACCCACCAGTTGTCGCTCGCCAGCTCAAAGACCGACTCGCAGCGTCGCGATGCCATCAACTACCTGACCAACACCATCACCGAGCGCCCGGACAACCTGCCCCTGCCTGTCGCGACCATCCTGCCCAAGATCCAGCCTCTGATCTTGGACGCTTCAAACTCGGTCCGCGCCGCCCTCACAAAACTGCTGCGTGCTCTACCGCCTGCCCATGTCGCCACACACGTCGACCACATGCTGCTGTACGTGCGCGCCGGCATGACCCATCTGGCCGCCGAGATCCGCAACTCCTCCCTCGATGTGCTCGAATGGCTCCTGCAGACTGCCGGTCAAGAACTCGTCAGCTGTGCTGGCGGCTGGCTCAAAACACTCCATTGCTTCCTGACCCTCCTCGGCTGGCACTCGACGACACAACCCGGCAACTGGTCCTCCGAGCGCGCCGTCTCATTTGGCAAGCCCGGTTCCGCTGCCTCGAAACTGCTCATCAAGCAGCTGAATATCCTGACCATGTTTTTACGTGCTGCCTTCACCGACGCAGCTGGCTCTGAACAAGCGCTCGCGAACCCCTCCTGCTTTCCTCTCTGCAGCACCGAACACCAAGTTTTGTACGCTCGCTCGAACCCATTTCGCGGTCTCAATCTCTTTGGCGCACCCAAGGATGCCGAAAATGCCATGTACGACGATGCCGAGGCCAGGAAAAGAGCCTTTGACGACGCCGCTGTACGTGCCGTCGCCAGGGGTATCCAAGCGGCCAAGAAGGAAGGCGGTGAAATTGGCAGAGCTGCTTCAGGCTTGGAGAAGGCTTTGGTGGATGGTATGGGCGAGTTCCACAGAGATGCAGAGTAACTATCGGCAGAAACTAAAGTCATGTCACATTTCGGATGCACTTGGCAAACACGTTGAAAGTACCGTGCTTTCAGCATTTTCTGCCCATAGCCCACCTCGCATCCAGATTATAGGACAGCTCGTGTCTATCGGTCTCCCTATGCCAACCTTGTCATCTCAAATGACAGCGTGTGTGGAAAGACCATCGCCGCTTTGACATAGCACCCCTTGTCACAGCAATGTCTTCGACAAGGAACAATTGATATCTACACGCTGGATGCAAAGCATTGCATCGATGGCTCGAGAGTAGACTGAATATTGCGGAGGACGGCCCATCTTTGTGGTTGTATCTAAGCTATGCGAGAAGGAAGACTAGAAGAGACCCTCAATGCACAGATCGTGACCCTCATGCCAAATAAAATCGCAGCATAGCAACTGCCGTTCAGTCCCGTGTTCGAACCATGAAGTTGTTCAGGCCGTGCCGTCCTTTTCGATCTCGTTAATGGTCTCTTCGCGACAATCGCAGCCGAACTTTGCTCGGAATTCATAAGGCGCCATTCCCTCCAACTCCTCGACTGCCTTGATCGCCGCCTTGATGTTTGCATATCTGCCAGACTTTGCTTTCCAGACCCCGATTGGTTCAGAGTCATGGATCATAACGCCAGACCAGAAGAGGGGTTGCATGCCATCAACAGTCTCTTCACTATTGAACAAGTTGTATTCATGGCAACCGAAGCTTTTCTGCATCTTGTTGTGGAGCCTAGNTCTAACACCATGAGTCAGTAGGCGCACAGGTACTGGCTTGTCTTCAGTACCACTTACCACAGGATGGTTGTTTGCATACTCATCATATATCTCCATGTCATCAAAGAACGGTCTCATATGCTGATCAAAGAAGCGTTGCACTACGCTGTAGTCAAAGTCTGCATCGATGAACATAGCGCCAACATATGCTTCGACTATATCGGGCAGGCANNCTAAAAAGCGTTAGCACACCGCTGCAGACTATCAATCATTCAATCTTACCTTGGGGGCTTCTTTTACTGTGGTCCAGTAGTCCATAGCCCCTTGAGAAGCAGCTTCTGCATCCTTGATGTCAGTAACATAGTTTGAGATCTGTTGACACAAGGAATCGTGGTTGAAAAGCAAGTGCTTGTAAAATCCAATTCGAACACAGAGAGCTCCAAGGAATTGATTGGACACCATAGCCATCTTGTGCTCAGTCAACCACTGTGGATCCCTGTCAGGATACTTGTAGAAGAGATGAGTGATACTAGTCATGTCAAGAAGCGAATCACCCAAGAACTCGAGCCTCTGGTAGGATGGAACTCCAGCAGACCAGAGGTTCGGATACGAGGGATGGTGAAAGGCAGCCTGGAGCAGACGCGGATATTTGAAGTGATATGCATGCTCCTTCTCTACCCTCTTGGCAAGTTCAAGGGTTGCAGCTCTGGCCTCGGCGATTTGATATGCTGGCTTCTCATAAGTGCGGGAGTAGTCGGACCATTCGTTCATTGAATGGTCGGGATTATCGACGAGCTTGGTGACAGCTTTGACAGCATTGCGCCAATGCTCTGGCTGCCATTCGCCAGGCTTGTCGTGGGTGAGGAAGGCCGCACCCATCAGTGCTTCGGAAACATCCGCAATGGTCTTGTCGCCAAGTGCATGCTTTATCACCTCCGTACCGTTCTTGTTTGCTCCTTTGCCTTCCAAAAGCTTGATACCTTCTGGGTACCATGTACNGACTATCAATCGTGAGCTTTGGGACTTGTCGAGGGACGTTTGCAACTTCACTTAAGCTTACCGAGAGAAAGAAGCACTGCGAATGTTTTCGTAGAGCTTAAGCTTCTGCGCTGCATTGAACAAATTTTGGTTGCAGAGTAGCAGCATGCGCTTTACATGGAAATCGAACTCGTTGTCGTTTGGATCCTGCGTGAAAGTCGAGATCGAAGTTGCCATCTTGAGGAAGCAGTCACCCAAAAATTCGAGACGCTCGTAGTTCTTTCCCATGCCACGCTGGAAGTTGATTCGTTCATGATTTTGATGCTCTTCTGTATTGTCAGAATCTTTGGTGATTGCTTCTAGAGCCAGTGGTAAGTCTACTGTGAGACCAAGCTCTTCGCACGTCTCCCCTGCGATGAGGTAGTCGTCAATGCGATGGATGATTGCGGGAAAAACATAGCAAATTGCTACAACGGTAGTGGGGANGCTGTAGCATGTTAGTCTCAGGATCAACCACAGTTGGGATACACATACAGCAGATATGACGAGTGGCTCAGGACATATGAAGCTTCGAACTTTCGACGCGTCTTGTGCCTCTTTGGCGGTGGGCTCCGCGAGCATGTTCCGTCTATGTAGAATCTTCTCGGCTTCCAGGACAGGTTGGTCAGGGTTCCACGAGGATTTATGTCTGTTGCGTGAATTCTTCCATAGACTGACTGTATAATCCATGATGTCGGTCTGTCGTTTCGAGGCTGCACAACCCTCCGGAACGGGGCTTGAAGGCTTGTACTCTGAAGCTACTCTTGACGAATAGAAGCGTCGACCACCGTCTCCCGGGTCGACGAGGAACTTGTCAATCAGGAAAGAGTCGGACATAGTCGGTGACCATTGGTGACCCTTGCTGTTTTCAAAAACGTAGTCCAATATTGTCCAGTTGATGAGTTGGAGAGAGGCGGCTCTAGTGTTTGCGAAAGGAGCGGACTTTTCAGACGGCACGAGCCAGTAAGACATCTTCATGGCGTCAAATTCGTATGTCTTGTTGTAGATATCCTTGAAGATTCTCAAAGTGAATGAAGTGAACTTGGTCAGCTCAGCATCAGAAACCTTGCAAGCTGGCGAGAGTGGAATCAACTCCACGTATGTTTTGCGGCCATCATTCAAGAACAAAGGGAATTTGGGAAAGTCCGGCATCGGCCTTCTGGTGACGAGAAGGAGAGGTTGGTGAGGACGACCGAGTCCCTCTGGAACGTCAAGGTGAGTGAGGTATACTACTGATGGGATCGAACCTCGTCCATCGTCCCAGACATGGGGTTTGATGCGCATGTCGTACATCCCTGTTCGCTTTGAGCTCAACGCCAGCGCCGCGTTGCGCATTGATGGGAGCTTCTTGGTGTAGACTGGAACGAGATTATAGTCGAGATGTTTCGACACAACAAGCTCTTTGCAAGCCTTGAAAGCAGCTGAGCGTTTGGCAAGTGATTTCTTTGTCATAGACTCTCCTATCACTGAGCGAACGGGAGAAGGCTCGGGAATGACTACTTCGCAGACGAAACGCCCCCCCTGATTTGTGATGATGTAGGTAGGCTGCAAAGTTTCTTCGCCTTCCTGTGGCAGACTGTCTACGAAATGCGACAAGATCTGAAGAGCAGAGCCAAAAGTGATCTTCGCGCCGGTACGAGCTATCGTATACGTAGGGTAGAGGCTGATCATCTCTTGAGGAAAGACCGTATCATTATTGCCGTCTAGCTGACGGTCGGCGGGTAGCTCTTTGCAAAAGGTCCGCATAACTTCTTCTGCTCCACGATTCTCAAACAAGACATTCGCATGATCGTGATTTTCTTTCTCCTTCATATGTAGGAATTTGGAGTTCTTGTGTCTGGCACGCCCACGAGACTGCACATACTGGATCATAGTTTTGCAGATGTCGAAACGTACGACCAGGTTGCAGTCAGGAATGTCTAGACCTTCTTCGGCCACTGAGGTTGCGAATAGACAATTCAGCTCTCCTTTGCGAAACTTGATAATAGTGAGGACCTGACTGCGAAAAGTGGATTGTATGTCGTCCAGACGACCGTTGCTTACTCCGATGAGTAGGCCTGGGCGCAAGTGAGGTCCGCCGATGCTTTCGAAGACTTGGTGGAGCAGATACGCGGTGCTACGGTGTTCGACGAACACAATGCAGCGATAGTCTGGAGAGCGCTCATAATGGGCTCGTAGATAGACATGCAGCTTTTGTACTTTGTCGCTGAGATTTGAGAGGTTGGCATGAGGGCTTCCAAAGTCGTAGTTCGAAATGATATCTGTAGCTTTGCGAATCTGTTCGATTTGGTGATCGGCATCATGCGTTGAACCGCACTGTCGTGCAGCTTTTTCGACAAGCGATTCCATCTTCTTCGACCGCTCTTCGGCCAACGCGAAGCCCCAGTAACGATCGGCGCACCAATCCCCAAGATGCGAGCGAACTGTGCCTGCATTCTGGAACAGGCTGTCAAGTAGCTTGATGCTGCCAAACTGACTTCTCAAGTCTTGAAAGAGCTGACTTGGTGTGGGTATAGCGGGGGATGTCGTGTAATCCAGGAACATCTCTTTTGGCTTGGTGGCTGCATTTTGAAGTAGCGTAAGGTCGCGTGCAGTAGCAATCCTGCTGTGCAAAATGATCTCGAGGTCCCNTGTCATATTCATCAGTGGAAAACCAAAGTATGCCGGGTCCAAGCAAAGAGATTACCTAGCAGCTTGACGGACATCGACCCGAGCGTCAACAGGCGAGGCGGTCATGCCGAAGATTCTGGGTCGGCAATGCTCGTCAACATCAGTGAGATAGAAGTCTTTGATGATCTGGGCGTATGCATGGCCCTTTTTGGCGTGGTGAGCTTCGTCAAAGATCAGAAGATTGATTTGGCGCATGGAGATGAAGGAGCAGCTCAAACAATTCTTGAGAACATCAGGGGTACAGACAATGACATGAGTTTTGGCAAGACGATCGTCCCAAACCTGCTTGCTCCACTTGTCGGTCATCATGGCACCACACAAACGATCCACGTCGTAGTCGAGGTTGCGCTCGAGCACGGCAAATTGTTGGAAGACTAGGGGGACCGAGGGTACGAGAAAGAAAGAGATACGATGAGGTTTTCCTTCCAGACGAGCCTGAAGCTCTTCGCCAATAGTGTGGCGCAAGAGAAGGACAGCTATCAACGTCTTGCCGGAACCAGTGTCGAGGACAGCGATGGTGTTTTGCTGAGTAGCACGCTGGAAGAGGTCAAGCTGGTATTCCCTAGGAGTAGTGATAATCTGAGTGGTTTCCTGACTGGCAAGCAGCTGGCGAATGGACATTTCCTCGTCGGTATTGTTGCGATTGTTGTCTTGGACAGCGGCATGAATTTCTTTGACGGCTGTGTTCTGTAACCATGACTGGAAGCGTAGCTTGCGGGCTCGTCGTCTTTCTACGGATGAGAGAGCGACAGGCAATGGGTCAAGATCGATGTCGCTATCGGTGCCACTATCGTTGTGCGCCTTTTCGGAGGGCGATGTGATGGCCATATCGGAGCTCATTTTTTCATGGTCATCCGAGGTGAGTGTCTGGTGAAGAGGAGCTATTGACGGGGTGCTGAACAAGTAAAAAGCAAGCAATGAAGGGGCACAGAGATGAGGTGAGGAGAGCGAGGGCCGGGCAGGATGCGGATGGAAAGGGCGATGGTGTTTGCTTGGAGAAGTGACGGACAATGGACCTGTCAAATGCAGGAGGCCGACGCTACCTACCTACACTGTCACGAGAATGCTTCATCTAGAGCGAGTGCATGCTCAACACGTTGCAGTAACATTCACCAGATGTACTACGCTCACAAAGAAAAGTAGCATGTAACGCTATGGGACGTGGTCGTTGCAGTGAACAAAGTGTGAAAGAAAGAGGTGGTGGTTGGTGGGGGATGTTTCATGGAGCTCGGATGATGTCAAGTGATCAAAAGTTCCACCAACAAAGGTCCGAGACCATCAACACAGCAACATGTCAGAAGAACCACAGTCGCTCCGCACAGTATGGCAGACGGCCGAGGACAAGCGTAGACAGATCGAGAGCTCATGGGATACGAATTCGGCCGCTCACCAAGCACTGGTCAACGCCGCCATCGCCAGCTACGAGCAGTGTCTGCGCATCCAGGACCAAATCGCCCTCTTCAGTCCCAACGAATCTCTCGAAGACATTGCCACCAATGACCTGCATCATCTCCTCGCTCAGTACCGTCTCGCCGACCTGGTCCAGCGCTTGTCATCTCCGGAACGCAAAGCCCTTCTGCGTCGCGCTCAAGACTCGTACGAGAAGTTCCTGCGCCAGCTCGACCTGTACGATCTTCTGTCCTCTTCCGACCTAAAACTACTCGAGCAGTACCGTGAAGACCCATCCACCTTTTCCACAGCCTCAACCTCAGATCCTGCCGCTCGCCGAGAGAAGAAGATTCTACGTTTCAAACAAGAGAAGGACCTCAAGCAAAAACTACAACACTTGCAACAAAACCCTGCTGCTCTACAAAATGACGACGACATGCACCGTCGCCTGCAATTGACCCAAATCGAATTTTGTGTTCACCTAGCCTTCCAGTCTCTTGAGTCCATAGCCCAGGAGCTTCACATTCTCTCAAGGGCTCCTCCACCCCCACCGCCAGGCCAACAATCTGTGCCTTCCGACTTCAGAGAGCGTCACAAGTCCAACGATGGCTACTCGGAGAAACTGGACGGTCCCATGTCTGCTGGTCTGTCAGGTCCTATGCTAAGCAAAGATGGCAAACCGCTCCGCCCATTCACCCTTCTCAATACTCGCCAAACAATGCAGGCTGGCGTCTTTCGTCCCGACCATAGCCTGCCTACCATGACTATCGACGAGTACCTCGAGGAGGAGAAGCGTCGTGGTGGCATGATAGAAGGCGGAGGCGCCCAGTCTGGCATTCAACCAGAGGTTGACGAGGACGACTTGCAAAAGGCAGATGAAGAGACTATGAAAGCCAGAGCTTGGGACGAGTATGTCGAAAACAATCCCAAGGGTGCTGGCAACACCTTGAACAGGGGTTGAGGTCAGTGATTTATAGATACCCGTAGCAATTGGAAGTCCACAAAGGTTCAACTAGTATCAAACTGGGGACATTTTTGCGTTGACATGACTGCACAGCGATCATTGCTTTGGTATAGAATCATCCAACGTCTTGTTGGAGATTTGACATTGTGTGCGTGAAACCGCGATGAGCATTTCGGTAGAGCAACTACCTAACCACCTCTTTGAGAGAAGAGTCTCCACAACCATTAGCCACTATCTAGAGACTGACACATCCGAGCCAGATATCGAACACCTTATCATGCATGCCTCAGAAGCCTTTACCACTCAGCAGGAGCAGCACCCCACTCCTCACCAGCAGCAGCGCCGGTGGTGTCCTGCATCCAGTCGCCCTCAACAGCAGTGGTCTCAGCAACGGCGTCGGCAGCATTGTTCATCCAATCGTCGTTACCAGAGGGAGCAGTAGCACCGTCGTTGCCAAAGCCATCATCGTTCTGGTTGGCGTAGTCGGCGGGAGCAGCAGTGCAGCGGCGGACGGTGTGGCCCGCTGATGGATGTTAGTACTTTCGTCTATCAGAGTACGCTTGATCGTACTTACTCTGACCGCACTGGTTGCAAGTGACCTTGGTCCAGTCTTTGGGCTGGGGGCATTCACGAGAAAAGTGACCGAGCTCAGAGCAGTTGTTGCAGGCAACGTTTGCGGCAGAGCGTGGCTCGGGGCATTCGCGAGACATGTGTCCCTCGGCCTTGCAGTTGTTGCAAGTGATGACAGGCTCCTTGGTGCAGTCAGACTTGTTGTGACTGCACGAGTGATTAGCTGACTGCAGTCACATTTGGATGTTTGGCATACACACCCAACCTCGCCGCAGTTGAAGCAAGCTCCAGTCATCTTTCTGGGCTCGGGACACTCCTTGGAGATGTGGCCAGCTGTGAAGGAGTCAGCATGGATTAGGACACGAGATTATTGAGGTTACCGACACTGTCCGCAGTTGTGGCAGGCGTTAGGGTCAAGGTTCTCGTTGCCCTCGGCGTAACCATTGGCGGCGGCTTCCTTGGCCTTCTCTCTGTCCAGCCCAGCCCTGTGCTTCTTGCTGCGATCATGAGCAGCTCTGTCCTTGTAGGCAAGGGTTCTGTCACAAATACCACAGTGATAGGTGCTGGGGTTGATGGTCTTGCGGCCAGGGTAGGGGTGCGATGAGAAGATGTCTGCCATGATGAGGAGGCGGTGAGAAGCGTCGATGAGATTGGAAAGAAGGCTAGATGATGGAAGGGCAGGTTGGATGTCTGCGCAGGTGGTGGTTGAGAGAGGAAGAGAAGAAGGTGAAAGAGTTGAAGAAAGCTTGGTGAAGCGGCTCCTTCGTGGATAACAAACGGAGTGAGTGCGCAAACAAACGAGACGCAGTGAGTCCGTCCGGACGGGAAAGTGCATGTGACTCTCTCCTTTGGTCTCTTCTCTCTCGATCACCTACAAGCAGGTAACTCTTCACTCCAGATATCCAGTATCCTCAGACAACCATCGTCACACGCATTGCACCTGCCTTCCTAAAGACATGCTTTTACATTTTTGACAGACTTCATATCTCATTGCTTCGCCTTCACTAGGGTCATCGAGGCTTGAGAGTGCTTCGGGTGAGTCTCGAGATGAGTTTCTGATAACCTCAGGCATGCTTCGTCACCTATCCTCATTTTTTCTTCGCTCGAGATGTTCATCTCAAACCTACAGGCGCTGTTTCATTGAGGTTGTGCGGCTGTGGATGTAGGCCCAGACTTACAGCTTTTGACCTCCAACTTCCAGTGCTCTCTAGTACATCAGTCGCGATCAGAAACCGCCATATTTCTCTGTACGAGATACTGACCTCTTCCTGTCGACCCACGGCTTGAAGCACCTCGTGCCAGGGTCGGCACGAATCTTTGAGAACACCAGTCTTGCTTCCTGTAAAAGTAAGTGAGCTGCGGCGCGACCGTGCTATACAAGACTGGCCATTGTAGCAGCGAGCAAGGTGTGTACCATGTCTTCTGGGCTGGTCTGAAGAAATCGAGACCCTTGTGTAGCACGCCACGTTGAGCAGTGCTAACTGGTCATTTGGCCTTGGCTCTGCCTTACACCTTGCTTCTGGGACACTTCCTACTGGGCCACACCTGACTCATCGAATCATGGGAGTCTGTAAGAAGCATGGTATGGAGGGGTACGCTGGAGCTGACGTCGGAACTGCCTACCCTTACAGGAAACTCAATGGCACGAGCCTCGACCTCCACAGTGCTTATCGCGCTAACAGCTTTCCCGTCACGTAATTTAGAGTTCCTCGACCCAGTCGCGGGCAAGGCGGCGAAGATGTCTTCGATGCTCATCTATCGAGGTGAAGACCTTTCTCATAATGATTGACGTGTCCTGGTAGTCGTTTCAGCCACTGTCCCTCTACGTCTTCCCAATACATTATATTGTTCTTAACATTGTTTTTCCGACGATTCAACCGACTCAGAAGCACGAATCGGCGCATCCGTTAGCTTTGTAACGCAATGAGTAGTAGACCCGCGGCGCTCAGTACGTCTGTACGGTCGTCGAATGGCTTTCTCTCCTCCTCTCCGTTGGTACAGCAGTCAATCTTGAGAGACTTGGCAGATGCTGAAGAAGGAGGAGAGGCTGACGCCCATGGAGCCGCCATCGCTGCGGACGGAGGTGAAGAATATATGGCAGGCCATGAACAACAGTACTCCATGTCTGGCTCATATCGAAGAACTTCCTACGTCGCATCGGGTCCACGACCATTNTTTCCTTCGGCTTCAGCGCCGGATTCAAGACCAGCAAACGATCAAGACCGAGAAGCCGCCCTTGCCGAAGAACGAAGCCTCTTGCGGGACAACCATTTGATCCCCCCAAAACACCCTCGAACCACAAGTACCCTATCAAACAAGCCCACTGGATTGTTGAANAAGAACTTTGTTGGTGGATTTGTGCCTAGAAAAGGTGGTGCCGATGAAGAGTCAGTTATCGAGGATGCTGGGCCAGATGAGAATACCTCTCTGCTGGGCAATCCTGCCGAGCCTTATGGTGGTGTTGACACTCCTGAGAACATCGATAAGAGATGGGAAGAGGCCGTTGCGTCGGGCAAGATCAAGACAACCTGGCAAAGAGAAGCAGTCGTCCTGGCAAGGTACTCTCGTTCTCTGATTTTGACGTTCCTTCTCCAATATTCTTTGACCGTCACTTCTGTCTTCACGGTGGGTCATATCGGCAAGCTTGAATTGGGGGCTGTCTCTCTTGCTTCTATGAGTGCCAATATCACTGGCTATGCTATCTTCCAAGGACTGGCTACCAGTCTAGACACTTTATGCCCCCAAGCCTATGGCAGTGGAAACAAGACTCTTGTTGGATTACAATTGCAGCGCATGGTATACTTTTTGTGGGTGATCACCATCCCCATCGCCATCGTTTGGACTTCCGGACCGAGGATTATCGGCGCGATTGTGCCAGACCAAGCGACCGCAGACTTAGCAGGTCGATACCTCCAAATTCTCGTATTTGGTGCTCCAGGGTATGCTCTTTTCGAGGCCTCAAAGAGATTTGTGCAGGCACAAGGAAAATTCTCGGCAACACTTATCGTGCTTCTAATATGCGCGCCTCTCAATGTATTCTTGCATTGGCTTTTTGTCTGGGTATGTATCATAGTATACGATCGCTGTTTCGTCACTGACAGGCAACAGAAATTTCAGTGGGGATTTATTGGAGCCCCGATCGCTGTGGTGACCATAGAGAATCTCATGCCATTGTGCTTATTCCTCTACGTCCGGTTTGTTGGCGGATTGGAGTGCTGNGGGGGATTCACTCGTCTCGCTTTCAAGAACTGGATGCCAATGATCAGGCTGGCACTCCCTGGTCTCGTAATGGTTCTTGCTGAATATCTGGCTTTCGAGATCTTGACTCTCTCAGCGAGCTGGATCTCCCCGACTCATCTCGCAACACAAAGCGTTCTCAGCACAATCTCGAGCATCACTTACCAAATCCCCTTTCCCATCAGTATTGCAGCGAGTACTCGTATTGCTAATCTCATTGGCGCCACGCTTTCGGACGCCGCTAAGGTCAATGCAAAGGTCTCGTTGTATGCCGCATTGATTGTTGGTATCTTCAACATGGTCTTGTTGAGCTCCACGAGAGAGTACATCCCGAGGCTCTTTACTAACGACGCCGATGTCATTGCACTCACAGCACAAACGCTTCCTTTGAATGCTGCCTTCCAACTCTTTGACTCGCTTGCCGCTCTCTGCAACGGAATCTTGCGTGGCCTTGGTCGACAAGAGGTAGGAGGATATGTGAACCTCTTTGCTTATTATGTCGTAAGTCAGTCATGTTCGCCGGATGTTGACTACCTTCTCACAAACTTCAGNATCGCCATGCCCATCTCTTTCGGAACTGGATTTGGGTTGCATTGGGACCTCTATGGATTATGGGCTGTAAGTGATCCTTCTGTAAGTATCGGCCGGTTTCTGATCAAGTTTCTCCTANNGGGCCCTGCAATTGCACTTGGAGTTGTTGCTGTCGTCGAGTGTTGGTTCATTTATTCGACGAGCTGGGAGAGGGCTGTCGAAGAGGCTCAGGAGAGAAACGCTCAAGGAAACTCGTAGCAGATTTACTTTGTTGGCTCTGAGTAATTTTGTATCATATGGGTGTGTCTGTGTCAGTAGCGTATATTCTTCTTTCACAAATGCTTTCGGAATCTTCTAGCTGTTGTTAGAGGCCTTGCAAGCCGGGTCTCGCAGAGTGTTTGACCGGCGCGGGGTCGCGGCATTGCCCCACTGTATGGAGCACAAGCGCATCACAGCGCCGCTCCGGGCGTGATAGCATCCGACGTGTCTTTGACCAACTCTCCATGCATGCTCGAGTTCGTGTCTCGCATGCCGAAGCATCGTAATGCCAGAGACGCTCCTTGGAATCCGCAGCGATGACCAGGGCCGCACCGAAACCATAGCTCCCGGTCAGGAGGAGCACCTGCCCGCCCTCTGCGCAAAGGTGCATGCCAGAGTCGCGGCATTCCTGGCTGCTCAAGCATCGACCGACCGCCTGCGAAACGTGCAGGAGCAGACGCGCTTGAGTCTCAAGATCCTCGAAGAGGCACTCGAGCGATACAGGTTAGCTGTCCGCACTGGCTGTTGCCTCGAAACCTCACTGACAAGCATTCANAGTCTCGCCGAACTGTCTCTGTCGTACAATGGCGGCAAGGACTGTCTAGTCCTCCTCATCCTCTACCTCGCTGCTTTGCATGCACATTCAGTCAAGACTTCGACGCCGCTACCGGACAACTTGGAGTCTGTCTACATCGTGTCGCCCCATCCATTCCCTGAAGTCGAGGACTTTGTACAACTATCCATTGACACATATAATCTGGACCTGGCTCGATATGCCAAATCCATGCGACAGGCCTTCGAGGACTATCTCCATGACAAGAGCCACGTCAAAGCAATCTTTGTGGGCACGCGGCGAACGGATCCTCATGGAGCTAGCCTGAAGTACTTTGATCCTACGGACAGAGGGTGGCCAGCCTTTATGAGAATACACCCCGTGATCGATTGGCACTATGCCGAAGTGTGGACGGTGAGATTGTCGTTACAGCCTACACGAAGGAAGTCTGACTGACTTGATTCATAGTTCATACGACATCTAAACATACCTTATTGCTCGCTTTACGACAAGGGCTATACATCTCTCGGAGGAACCACAGACACACACCCCAACCCCGTCTTGAAAGCCAACGCCGAGAACGATTCGTACCGACCTGCTTACGAGCTGGTGCAAGACGAAGAGGAGAGGTTAGGTAGAGATCGTTGAGACTAGAAAATCCAATACAAATACCGTGTATATCCTTACAAATGCGTGCCGGAGGCAGGGGCACGCCTCTTCCCAAATGCTCTGACATTTGCCGACTAATGGATTTCAATGGCTTCTTGGTTTTTGATACACAGTGGCGGTGGCAAGCAGAGATTCGACTTTTACATGTAGGAGGCCGAGCAGGATAGTGACGACTATGACTCTAACAAGAGGCAAAGCTCGCCAGTGCTCAACAGCAGAAGCCGCGGTGCAAGCCGTGTTGTCGACTCATGGTTCCGGGTGGTCGGGCTTTGTAACCAAGGCTCGGGATTAGCTCGCGAGCTCATTGTCCCGGCAGACAGAGAGGCCAGAGGCGGCGGGCCCCGCGACGGAGATCTATCGAGATGGCTTGGCAACGTGTGGGGTGACTGTTGACCAATAGCAGCGGCTCAGAGGTAAACACCTCCGATGCCGCGCTGTCCTGGATGGCGACATCCCTCAGTCGAGGAAAAAGTCACTGCCAGCCGGCGTGCACCAGAGGCGACTGCTGAGAATCTCGGTCTGAGATGAGCAATTGAACGGCACTTCTGGTCACGCCGCGATTGAGCGCCGCCTCCCACCCCCGGGTCATTTTTCCAATCTACATTGCCCCCACTACCTGTTGCTTCTCATTGTTCTCCCTTTCTCCCTTCAGAACTCTCATTCTCGTCTATAACTCTTGTCGAGTTCGTTAATCAGGTTATCATTGCGGCCATGGCTTCCATCTTGACTGCTGGAGAGGCTGGTAAGCAGAGCCCGCGTGCTGACCAATGTGTACCGTACCGTTCGCTGACCATGTACAGTCGCACGCATTGCATACCTGGCCAGCGACGTCGTCGTCTCTGTCCAGCCCTCTCTCGCCTCCGACTCTGAGTTCTCCAACTTCTTCACAACCTACAAACAGAACAAGGCTTCAGGACTGGTCTCGACATCTCCCGAGGTATGTTTCGCCCCTCGAGATGTGTCTTTCGCACAGCTAACCACTTCCACCTCAGATNNTGTCCCTGTCAAGCACAATGCAGACCCTCTGCTCTCAGCCTTCCAGCCGCTCCGCTCGGGCAAGCTCGTTGCAGTGACCACCTCGTCGTCGATCTTGGTCCGCTCTGTTCCTCATCTCTACAAGCTCGCACAATACCCCGTCGTCTTGCACGTTGCACTCCAACCAGCTGGCTACCCGGATTACTCAGACATCACCTCGGTCAGACAGTCTGGCTTCACTTTCCTGCATTCTGAGTCATTGCAGGAGGCACAAGATCTCGCTGTGACTGCACATGCTCTGGCCATCAAGTCGGGCAAGGGTGTTATTCACTTCTTTGACTCTGCCAATATTGCCAGCGACAACCCTATTAACCAGGAAGATAGAGAGCTGGTTAGGAAGATTTTGAAGGTTGAGCAATACTCTGCAACTAGCTCAACTGAGTCTGGTCTCTACGCAGACGACGGAAAGGTCGCCATCCGTGCCATTTCTGGTGCCACCGATGCCAATGGCTCCGCCACCCCTCAGCGCACTGGACTCCCGGTGGAGAAGCCGGCCTCTGCCCCAACAAGCGATCGTGAGTCGTCCAGCGGCTCAAGCTCCGACGGTCGCAACGGCAGCAGCGACAGCGCATCTGTCGTCTCTTCCAACGCTACTTCCGTCGAATCTGTATCAAGCCGTCCTATCACTTCCGAGGACATTGACGCCTTCACCACCCAGATCTGGTCCGAGTTGTACGAGTCCACTGGAAGAAGCTACAAGGCGTTCGAGTATACCGGCCCTGAGGATGCCGAATCTGCTGTCTTCTTGTTCGGATCTGATACTGCTCTTTTCGCTCGAGAAGTCGACCAAGCCAACTCTTCCGATGAGTTTTACGGCGCTGGTATCGTTACCGCTCGTCTTTACAGACCCTGGCTAGGCGCAAAGCTTCTTCAGACTCTGCCTAAGAGCTTGAAGAGAATTGCTGTTCTGGAGCAGATTCGTCGCAAGACCACTCGTTGGGGCCCCCTCCTTCTCGACCTCCTCGTTTCCATCAAAACTGCTGGAAACGTAGGTCCTCTGATTGTTGGCCACCAGCTCGGCTATATCGAGCCTTCCACAGTCCGTCAGGCACTTAAGGGTATCTTCCAGAACTTGTCTTCTCCTTCACCTATCCAGAACCTCGAGATTGGAAACCACGAGGGTCCTAAGGACGCTAAGAAGGAGTTTGAGTTGGAGCAGCCCAAGGTCGAGAACGCATACATGAAGATCCTCGACCAGCTGTTCGGAGACCGCCTTTACGTTGCCAACAGACTTGGAGCTGATGATGCGGGTGTCTCGAACGAGATCAGCGCCACCCCTGAATACGGTTTCGGCTCTCTTGTTGCCCGCTCTGAGCACAGAGAGCGCTTCATTTCTGGAGTGCAAACAGCTGCCAAGTCTGGTGACTTCAGCACGGACGCCCCCAAGCAACAACTCTCACAATGGCTTCTCGAGGCCCAGCAGGCCACCAAGGCTAACAACATTGCCCCTGAGGTCATCTCTGGTCTGAGTAGCGACAAGTCTGCTTTGGCTACCGAGCTCCTTTCGAACAAGGGACTTTTCTTCAAGGAATCGCAATGGTTGATTGGTTCGGATGCATGGTCTTACGATTTGGGCAACTCTGGTGTTCACCACGTTCTTGCTTCTGACAAGAATGTCAATATGCTCATCATTGATTCGCAGCCCTACTCGGAAAGAATCGCCGCTGATGCTTCAAGAAGAAAGAAGGATATTGGTCTCTATGCCATGAACTTTGGCAATGCCTACGTCGCCTCGGTCGCCGTCTACAGCTCCTACACCCAGGTACTGCAGTCCATGCTCGAGGCGGAGCAATTCAACGGACCCTCGGTCGTTGTTGCCTATCTTCCATATAGCAAGGAGACTGACTCGCCGTTGTCCGTCCTTCAGGAGACCAAGAAGGCCGTTGATATTGGTTACTGGCCTCTCTACAGATGGAATCCTCGTGCTGAAGAGAATGGCGAGGAAAACTTCCAGCTGGACTCCGAGCGTATCAGACAAGAACTTAAGGAGTTCCTCAAGAGAGACAACTACCTTACTCAGTTGATGAAGAGACATCCTCAGTTCAGTGCAAACCTTTCGCAATCCTACGGATCCGAGGTTCGCCAGCTTCAGAAGCGTAAGGCCAAGGATGCTTACAGCAGTCTCCTTGAAGGCCTGCAGGGCGCTCCGCTTACTATTCTGTTCGCTTCAGACAATGGTAACTCCGAGAACCTAGCAAAGCGTCTGGGCAACCGTGGCAAGGCCAGAGGATTGAAGACGATGGTCATGGCTATGGACGACTATCCCCTTGAAGATCTTTCAACCGAAGAGAATGTCATCATGATTAGCAGTGTTGCTGGTCAAGGTGAGTTCCCTCAAAATGGCAGAAACTTCTGGGAGGGTGTCAAGAACTCTACCGATCTGGATCTTGCCAGCGTTAACTTCTCCGTCTTTGGTCTTGGTGACAGCCATTACTGGCCTAGAAAGGAAGACAAGATCTACTACAACAAGCCCGCAAAGGATCTTTATTCCAGAGTGGTCACTCTCGGTGGCAAGTCTCTTGTCGATTGTGGTCTTGGTGATGATCAGGACCCTGATGGTTACCAGACTGCTTACAACGAATGGGAGCCCAAGCTTTGGGATGCCCTGGGTGTTGGCAACGTCGAAGGTCTTCCTGATGAACCCCCACCGATCACCAACGAGGATATCAAGATTGCCTCCAACTTCCTTCGTGGAACCATTGTTGAGGGTCTTCAGGACCCGTCCACTGGAGCTATTTCTGCCGCTGATCAGCAGCTTACAAAGTTCCACGGTACTTACATGCAGGATGATCGCGACATTAGAGACGAGCGCAAAGCTCAAGGTCTTGAGCCTGCCTACTCTTTCATGATCCGTTGCCGCCTGCCCGGTGGTGTAGCCACTGCAGACCAGTGGGTTCAGATGGATGCGATTGCTTCGACCTTGGGTAACGAGACTATGAAGTTGACCACTCGTCAAACTTTCCAGTTCCACGGTGTCATCAAGAGCAAGCTGAAGCCGGCCATGCAGGCCATCAACAAGGCTCTCATGACCACCATCGCCGCTTGTGGTGATGTCAACCGTAACGTTATGTGCAGCAGTTTGCCAGAACACTCCGAGTACCATGCCGAGGTTCATGCAAGCTCGAAGTTGATCAGCGACCACCTCCTGCCTGCGACTACCGCCTACCATGAGATTTGGCTCAAGGACGAAAACGACAACAAGACGCAGGTCGCCGGAGATGCCGTTCAAGATCACGAGCCCATGTACGGTCCCACCTACTTGCCCCGCAAGTTCAAGATTACCATCGCAATCCCTCCACACAACGATACTGATGTCTACGCTCACGACGTTGGACTTATCGCTATCAAGGGTGAGGACGGACATCTTGCTGGATTCAACCTGCTTGCTGGTGGTGGTATGGGAACTACTCACAACAACAAGAAGACCTACCCTCGTACCGGCAGTCTTCTTGGCTATGTTTCCAAGGACAAGGTCCACATCGCCTGCGAGAAGGTCATGCTCGTTCAGCGCGACAACGGTGATCGCAAGAACCGCAAGCACGCTCGTCTGAAGTACACTATGGACGACATGGGCGTGGACGTCTTCAAGGCAGAGGTCGAAAAGTACTGGGGTGAGAAGTTCGAGGAGGCTCGTCCCTTCCACTTCAAAAGCAACATCGATACCTTTGGCTGGCAGAAAGATGAGAACGGCCTGAACCACTTTACAATGTTCATCGAGAACGGACGTATCGAGGATACTGCCGACTTCCCCATGAAGACTGGTCTGCTGGAGATTGCCAAGGCTCACAAGGGTGAATTCCGCCTTACTGGTAACCAGCATCTCATTCTGTCCAACGTCAGCGATGAGGAGTTGCCCAAGATGAAGGATATGTTGGCCAAGTACAAGTTGGACAACACCAACTTCAGTGGACTTCGCCTTAGCAGTAGTGCCTGTGTGGCTTTCCCTACTTGTGGTCTCGCCATGGCCGAGTCCGAGCGCTACCTGCCCGAACTCATCAGCAAGCTTGAGGGCGTACTCGAGGAGAACGGGCTTCGTCAAGACAGCATCGTGATGCGCATGACTGGATGTCCCAACGGTTGTGCTCGTCCTTGGCTTGCCGAGGTGGCATTCGTTGGCAAGGCGTATGGTGCATACAACATGTACCTTGGTGGTGGGTACCACGGCCAACGTCTCAACAAGCTCTTCCGCAGCTCCATCATGGAGGAGGAGATTCTCGGAATCATGAAGCCGCTCCTCAAGCGTTATGCTACTGAGAGAAACGATGGCGAGCAGTTCGGAGACTTCTGCATCCGCATCGGCATGATCAAGCCCACGACCGAGGGCAAATTCTTCCACCACGACGTAAGTAACGAGACGCATCTATGGCTGTGACATGCAACTGACATATATACAGACTGCCGAGGTTGAATCGGATGAGGAGTAGAAAGATACCCGTGGATTCTTGTCGAGTTATTTCATCAGCATGTAGATTGGCGTTTTGGAGCGGTCAGATGAGCTTTTGGTTTCAACAAAATTTGTATAGTACATGACATGTCATGAGAATGAAATAGTAGTTCAACTTTGACCAAGATGTCGACCAAGATGCGATTGCTGCGGAGGTGACAGGCACGGCTAGAAGCGGACCAGAGGCGGGGGGGCTAGGACGGGCCGAGTCAGGCGCGACCATGACGATGGTCGTTGGCATTGGACCACGGCACGGCTTATCTTTGATGTATGAAGAGATCCGGCGAGGCAGATATCGATATCAAAGACGTCTTTGTCGGGCTTTTGACAGGCGCAATAGGAAGAAAGGCGCCGGCCGCCGATGCTGGATGCAGTCGGGCACAAAGACGAAGAAGGATTCTTTCACGCCCTCGACCTTGACCCATCTGGATTGCATCAAGTCGAGCGACCAAAACATGCGTCTGCCTTGACCAGCGCTCGTCGAACCTGCCGACATTTGTGAACTGGAGCGCTTCGTCGCTCAACCCCATGATGGCTTCGGTGTAAATCTGCCTGACGTGAGCCTGTGGTTTTTCTCGAGCTGACTGACGCCTGCGAAACAGATCGTTGAACGACCTCGTCGCAGCCCTGCACGCAACCTTCGCGCATGCCGATGCACCACAAGCCCTTCCTGACGAACTGGCACGCATCCTCGCGCAATACGCCGCCAAAGCGAGAAAGGAAGGGGATGGCCTACACGAAGAATTGCAAGCCGTCTTCCGCAATCATGTCCAAGCCCATGCGAACAGGCTGCCGGCCTTCGTCTCTGTCCTCAAAGCCCTACGCCCTGCCATAGTCAACGAGGATCACCTTGCTATCTGGTTCCAGAGTGCCGCCATACCCTTTGTCGATCTACCCGCCACGAGCCGCTCCGCCGCGTCGGACGCCCAGGACTTTGTCCTCGACTCGCTCTGCTACGACAACGACTCTCAAGATGCTCGCGACAAAGCTCGTGCTGCGAACCGTCTCAGCCACATACTGCTCGATGCCCTGATCGCCCGTACAACCGCTCTCCCGGACAATTCACCTGTTCACACCCAGGACCACGCCGCCCGCCAGCTTCAATCTATGCTGATAGCTTTTGCTCGCAAAAATCCACGCGACTTCTTCGTCTCGATCGACCACTCCCTCTTGAAGCCCGAGACTCGTCTGCAAGCTCTCGATCTGCTCGCAGCCTTCCTGGAACAACAGCATGCCCATCTGTACTTGGTCCTTGACACAACTGTAGTCGAGCATCTCCTCAAATGTCTCATGAACGACACCGCTACCGTCGTCGTCTCCGCCGCTCTCAAATGTCTCATCATGCTACTTCCACACATTCCCGCTACCGTGGCTTCTCAGCTTCCGAGGTTGTTCTTGGTCTACAGTCGCTGCCTCTGCTGGGAAAAATTTAGTGCTTCGAGCACCAAAGCGCAGCGCGATCTTGTTACCGACGATCGCGTTCGCCGTGAATCTGACTCTGACGCTGATACCGACTATGAGGATGGATCCGATCCCACCTGGCAAACTCTGCGTGCTTTGCCCGACATGCCTGAATCTTCGGCTCCTGAGCTTTTGCACTACTTTACATATCTTTATGGCCTGTATCCCCTCAATTTCATGAGCTATGTCAGAAAGCCTCGGAAATATCTCAAAAACATCGATTTTCCTGGTGCCGATGAATTCGATCTTGATCAAACCGTCATCAGGAGCCGTACTGAGCAGTTTCAGCGTGTTCACTTCCTACATCCAAGCTTTTTCGCGACCACGGTTGAAGAAGAGCTGAGCGAGAACCGCTGGCTCAAAGCAGAGCCTTCCGAAGTCATTGCAGAGTGCCATGGTCTTTATGCTGGCGAGCACCCCATGTTCAAGAGTCCCGCTCCTCCTCCATCTACAAAACTACCAGCTGTTCCGAGCTTCTTGGCGTCAAGTTTGAAACCACCACACCCAGACAGCCCCACCTTGCCTCATCATCCTGAGGAGAGCCCAGTAGAATCCGCAGTCGACCCAACGTCCTCCAAAGATCTCTCGTATCTGCAAAGAGAGCTGATGCTACTACGAAACGAACTCACGTTCGAGCGTTACCTCAAGCAACAGCACGTGGCCGCTATTGGCCAGCTCAAACGCAACCACATAAAGGCTGTCACGGTCGAAGCGGAGACGGCCACATTGATCAACGCGAATCGCGCTTTGCAGNNAAAAAAGTTGAGCGATTCAAACAAATTCAATGAGAAGATGCAAAAGGAGACACAGGCTCGCAGGAACCACACAAAGCAAAGTGAGGAGCAACTCATGGCAAAGATTCGTGCTCTGAAGTCGGAGCTTGCGGACCAAGAGACTCTGCAACTCCGTCTCACCCAGGTCTCCAAAGACTGCGACCAACTCCGTCTACTTCTTGTCGAGAGTGAATCACGCGAATCAAACAAGCAAGAGGGATTTGAAGCTCTTGAGGCACGCCTGAAGAACCAAGAGGCGGTGGACCAGCAAACTTCTGATCTGCAAAAGGAGCTTCGTAACTATCGTGACCAAAATCTTGCGCTTGAATCAATTCGTGTAGAACACGAGCTAGCTAAACAAGAGCTAGACAGCACAAAATTCATATTGCAGCGTCGCGAGCAAGAGCTTGAAAGATTAAAAACTGCTTACGAGGCCAAAATGCAAGAGTACGACTTACGGCTCAAAGAAGTCACGGAGAGTTCATCAGCTGCAGGGCAGCCAATTCATGCCATTCCTGTGCATCTACACGATCAACTCTCGGAAAGTCGCTTACGACTCGCCCAAAGTAAAGCAGCTTACAGTCAGCTTCTGGAAGAGTACACAGACTTGCGCGAATCGAAAGGTAGTGCAGACGCAGCTTACCCTTTACCCAGCCACTCTGGTAAATTCGGATACATGAACCAGGAAGGTAGTGTCAGAAGCTATGCTCCAGCATACTATACCGACCGTGGAAATCAGTTCGACTTGTTCGCGCCACACATGGAATTCGGGCGGACTGCCTCACCAGTTTCTTCGCTAAATCAGAGCTATCCACCCCAACGTCCATTGCGCCCTGAGGCATATTCACAAAGAATTCGCAACGCCCACCCGATGTCTCGAGCGCAAAGCATCCATTACAGCGAGCACGCACTCCACCCGGGTGCGGCTCGCTCAATGTTTGGGTCTGATCAGAGCTCACCACCTCCCTCATCCTTGAGCCAAGAAGGCAACAGAAGCGTCTTCAGTTTCAACTCGGAAGTGTCGGAAGAGCCCGGGAAAGAAAGTGGCAAGCCCAAACCGGAGGTTCGCATGTATGGACGTGGTAAGTCTCGATATTCCGAATACAATATTGATTAGTATACTTATACGTGGAACAGGGGGCGCACAAAACAACAAAAGAAGGACAAGGTCGATAAACCTGAAAAGCCGGCGAAAAGTAATGGCATTCGAGGGTTACGGGGGCTGATGTAAGTGATGAAAGGACTTCTTCAGCGTGAAGTATGTAACTCCTAAAAGCGATCTGGCTGTGTGCCACTTTGGATCGGAGCCTTCTTTTCCGTATACAACAGTGTGCTTGAGACATTTGCTTGGTTATTCCTGCCTGATGGTCGTGCTCACGTCCTTGCCCTTTGAGATATGTCGTGCATCCGAGCCAAAAGTGAAACCTTTTTTTTTCTTTTGGTCAACCTTTGGTCCTTCGGATCGAGTTTATTCAAACGCACGTCTGCATATGATGACCCTTGGATATCCTTCAGATCATCTGGCTTACATGATATTCTTGACACGTGTTTGGCGGATGATGTTGTCTTGTGAGATGAGACAGGGTCACTCCGGCAGTCGCTGCTTGGCTAAATCATGAACTTCGAACCTTGTTCCTAAGCTCGTGACATCTGAATCTAGTCATGACACGGCTTTTTGCAGAAGGCGAGTATTGATATATATGTCTGAACCAGAAACAAAATGGTAATAGACCACATCAAAGTCTAAGAACATAAGCTAGCAAAACACAATACAAAAACAAGAACGACCAAAGAAACACATTAGAACCATTATTTTGACTATTTGCCATATCAGAAGCCAGTCAGCTATTGTTCTTCAGTCTGAGCTTCAGTACGGGTTGAGGTACACCATTCCTTAAATAATTCCTCTCGAGCTGTGTGAGAGCATTCTCAGTTGGCAGCATACCCAGTCTGTCAAGAACAACAATCTTCGGTTCATCATAAGGATAATGGATGTCATCGCCAATCTCTTCGGTGCCGAAGCTTCCATCTGCCTTTTCGTCGGCTCTGTGTTGACGCGCTGAGCCCAGATGTCCTTGTTTCTTCATCTGTTCATGGTAGATGTTCCAAATCTTGCGCAGCAACCTTGTGTCATCTGGGAGGTCGGGCAGTGTCCCCTCTGCATCAGGCATTGATTGTGCAAGTCCAAAGGTCAAACGCACGGTCGCTGGGCTGGTCGGGCTAGGCGGAACTGTAGGATCCGACAGGCCTTGGTCTTTCAACCACCTGTCAAAGTGTAACAGGATATCATCAGCGCCGAGGGTGTCGACATCCTCGAAAAGCAGGAATGGCCGCAGGAGGAGACGGATGGTTGCCAGATCAAGACGGCTGGTGTGGGAGTTGGGGTTTTCTTCAATCTCTCTGCGCATAAAGATGTATTTGTTCACCGATGTCTTGAGTACAAAAGGTACGCTGCGGGTGAAGTGGCGATCGGGGGCGATGGTGTTGTTTTGATGAGGGTCGACAAAGCCGACGCAACGCATGAAGGCTTCAATGGTGGCCGAGTCCATGAACCCAGCCATTGACAAGTTGATCATGTCGATGAGATCTTTGAGCCTGATTCCAGAGGCGGCATAGTGAGCGTTCGTGCCTGGTCTCATGCCAAGTGCAATACACCAGGCATTCAGTATGGTCAGATAGCCACATTCCCAACCACCTGGCTGCCTTGGCACAGTGTGATGTGTGAGCTTTAGGTCACCAGGGGACTGGACCTGATTCTTGTCGATGTTGTACAACTCTGTGTTGAGGACCGTTCTCTTGATGATTCCTTCAGTACCCTTGGCCATGTCCAGACCGTCGTAAACATGAAGCTCAGGTCTTTCGTTTGCGTACTTGACATGGACAAGTAGCCAGTGAATACCGGTATCGGGATTCATATTGTAAGGAAGTAAGAGATCCTCATTGCGACCAGTGGTGATGAGTGGTTGGCCATCAGCACCTTGCACTCGATTCGCTAATTTGAAACCGTACTCATCGATCATAGCAAATCTTACATCTTTGTTTTCTAACTCGATTGCCGTAGTGACCGAAGCAATGGCTCGATAGACGTGACTATCGAAAAGCCATGCTGCAGTGTTGTCGGCATAAGGTGGCAAAACAGGTTCTACCAGTACGACTTTGGATCGCTGTTGGAGAATTTTCCATTCCCGCATTCGCCATGCGAAGTAGTTGCAAGAGTCGCCGTCATCGGGCCGGATCTCGGGTTCGACCCTCACACGTATCTTGGTGTCGACGATATCTCCTCTCGTCAAGGCGGGTATCGTTGCTGCTGCTCCTTTGTTTTCAGAGGTTTGACTATTCTTGATGTTTCCAAGAATGCGACTGACAATGGTTTGTAGGTAAAGATAGTCTGGTTGGTATTCAACGCTCTCGCGATTTAAGTAGAGAAAGACTACTCGGTTCTCATATTCCACAACCGAGAAGGAGGGGAATGGTCCAACAACAATATCAGACTCTTTCGAGTAAACCTTCCCGTTGATGGTCAGGCGTGCGGGTTTCGTCACAAAGCCGAACCAATGAAGAGCACATTCGCTGTAGACCTTTCGGAATTTGATGCTACTGGTTGATTTGGCCTTTCTTGGTGATCTGAGCGTGTCAATTACGATTCTTGTATGATCCATGTGCGGACGAACGTACAACTTTAAGCCTTCGCCTGGGCTCAACATAATAGGCTGCGTAGGGTCAATCCAACCTATTTGTTGATTGTTGCACAAATCTTGGATGTTTTTGCCATCGCCAGCCTTGTCGTTAGCTTTGAACGTTGCTTCGAATGCTTCCTGGACAGCTGGTCCGAATCGTGTGACAACGACCTTCATATCTTCGTCTAGAAAATCGACTGCGAACGGAGACGGGAGCGGCGATGGTGTGGGTGTGTAAACCATGTAATCGAAACCTGGAGCGGTCCATCGATGCAGTTCTGAGTCGGGCACCACCCGAGTCTTCTTCTGCTCAGGAGACAGGTTGGTTGGACTCTGGCTTCCAAGCTTTCTCTTCGACATGACTTCAGATAGAGCTGTTGATACTCGAATACACCTACGACTATCGTCTGCGTCTTATTGTGAACACCAATCGACAACAAAGAGTCGTATATGACTTGCCGCTTTCAGACATTTCGACGGATCCGTCGATAGCAGAAGAACAAAGGCGCCGAGTCCACACTGTAAATTTTTGGCATCACAATGAATGAAGCCGTGATCGAATGTTCAGTTCACTGGAAGCACAAGTGGTCAATCGAATCACTGAAAGGCTTTGAGTTACAGAATCGGATCTGAACGAACAGAAAGGCAAAGGAATTTCTTGCAGAGGCCATGTAGGCCGGGGTATCTTGAACAACAATAACACACGAAAATCGAGAAATCGAGCCTCACCGCCAACCTTCCTTTTTCAGAATGAACGCAACGTTGGAACATTAAGTCAGTCGGTGCGGAGTAGACTCAAAGCTCGCCCAGGTCACCGCTCTTGACAGCAGCAGGCTCCGGTTCACCGTGTAGTCGAATACGGTAGATGCATGTCCAGTCTTGTCCCCAGTTATTGATAACTCTGATAACAGCAAAGTCGACAAAACCAACTTCTCCGTCGATATCCTCGAGGTCAAAGTTCTGAACGTGGTTGAGTGCGTGAATGTCGTATGATGCTTTGCCGATACAGACGAGGCCAGACTCTGGCGCTTCACCACAACCCAAATGAGAGTTGTGAGGTCGGGATGCTTCGGCGCTGGCCCGACTTCTGACCCAAATTTCGAACTCTCTAGGTGCTGCTCCTATATCGAGAGTACCTGTAGAGGGCATGTGCTCGATGGTGATGCTAGTTGGATTCATGGCACGAGGTATGATAACACCAATCTGAGCCTTTCCCTTGTCGTTCGATGCAGCGGCACACCAGCAGTCCGAGGGCTCCTCCCATGGTGTCAAGACTCGAAAAGGCGACGGATGGCCTCGTCCCTGGTAATCGTNAAGGTTTCTGTTAACCCACTGCCACATACTTCCGAGTTGTCTAGGGTGGGTTGGCGAAGTGTATCTAGGATGCACAGTGGCTCCCAGCGTATGGGAGAAGAAGTTTATGCTACGAAGTCTCAGCTCCGTGTTTCGCGCTATGTTTGCGAGCGCCAGGCTGTGCAGTTGTGTAGATCCTTTGCCATCAGGCAGCTGCTTGATGATATCGGAGACAGTTCTTCTTGCAGCGATTTCTGTAGACTTGCGGACTGACGTCTCGAACGCATGTAGCTGCGCACAGAAATTCTCTTGAAATCCTGCATGGTTCTCGCTGACAGCGGCAGCCAAGTCTTCCTTGCTCATGATTTTCTGGTGTCTTAGTGTTTTTTGGACAATGTCTTGAGCATGTTGTTCAAGTCTCTTCTGGTTGGTTTGCATAAACTTGTCCCAGATGTTTCCTTTGTCACGTTGATCCAGTTTTGCATCCATTGCTTGCCAGAAGCCAGGAGGAAACTCCAGTTCACCAGTCTCGAGATTTTTGCGAACCATGATTTGCTCGGGCAGGATCGATTGCAGGCGCTCGATTCCTTCGGCATTTAGACCTCGTACTTGATTTCTCATACCTTGCATGTCAAGCTCCAGAGTTTGCATACGTCTCGACAGACCATCTTCGCCAGAACCAAAGGCTCTTCGTTGAAGGTATGAGAGCGGACTCATGGCGTATTCGCCGGCCCTAAAGCATGCGTGTGACCCTCTTTCCAGGAGACTAAGCCATCTACCTGGTCCAAAGAGAAAAAGAAGCAAGAAGGCTGTCAGAAGAGCAAGACAAATTCTCCTAATCTGTGGTGAGACTTGGTCCCAAGGTATTTCGAAATCTTGCCATCGACGGTGCAACGTCTCGAACAGGACAGATACTCTCCATGGTCGAGCAGCTTCTCTCTCTTGCGTCGTAGGTGGAGGTCGTATCTCTGCGACTCTTCGAGATCTGATAGAAGGTGGCATCGATGCTTCATAGGAGAATTGCGTATCCAGGTCAGTGAAGCTGCCAGCACCTGTGGACGGCGCTCGACGAAACAAAGGACCACCAGTAGGTACGAAGCCGGGCGGCTGGTATTCATCCTCAAAGTCATCATTGTCAGTAGTGTCGTGAGCCCGTGGTTGCAGGTAATAGGGCGTTGTAATTTTCTGGATTGATCGGATACTGGTAGTGGCAACAGACGACTTCGAAGTGATTGGTCTAGTGCTGGCTGGCCTGGTAATGGTGGTTGCCTTGATTGTGTTTGTGGAAGGTGCAGGTAATGTGTCGGGAATGACAGCATCGCCAATGTCGCGACTGACGGCAGCACCTCTATCTGCACGAAAGCGAGCAGCAAACCCGGCAGCGCTGCCAGAGGCGTCCTCGAGTTGGGTCGACAATTCCACCTTTCCAGCTGCGCCGTAAGCATGCGATTTGCCGGTCGGTACAGCAGGAAGAGCTTTGGGTGTTTTGGCACGAGGCCTGCGACTTCCAGCGACCGATGGCGCAGCTGGCGTTGCACTCATTCGGGTAGAACCACGCGTCCGACGTGCTGGAGTTTCTGACATTTTTGTATATGTGGTTGTTACCAGACCGAGACAAAAACTAAGAACAACTAGTACTAACAGGGTCAGTCGTTGGTTGTCTCGAGTAGGTGTGTATTGAATAGTAGTGATGTTATCTCAAGAAGACTGCAGCATTTGAGTCCGACATGACAGGCTACAAGTTCGCAAGTGAGGTTCACTTACCGATTGTGTCAAGTGACGAGGAATTGGCTGTGAAGGTGGTTTCAGCGCGTAGAGGTTATGGCATTGACGCGATTTGAGATACTAGATGCCGTTGCGACAGCAAATGACCAAGTGCTAGGTGACGCCTCGGAGTAAAACAATCACAGCTAACAAAGACATCAAGGCAATTCAAGTCTTGCTCATGCTATAGAGAAATGTCGCTGTTTGCGGACAGCATTCCTGCTTCCTACAGTCTGCAAAACAACGCGTTCGGGCGGACTGGTCCAAGCGTCGGCATAACTCTGGCTTGCATTGGTCGTTGAAACCATTTCTGTGAGCAAGCACAAGTTTAGTTGGGAGATGATGTCTTTGAACAAGGGGCAGCTTGGAAAAAGGAGGTATCGAGTTCAGGGCAGCTCGTTGAAAAGCGCACCGTGGACACAGCAGCGACAACGGCCTCCCATCTTAGAGTGTGTCGCAGTTAGGAGCAGGCACAAGCGATGGATGCACATTGCACATGGAAGGATTCGCAAGCGACTGCATGATCCGCGGCGGGACGCTGAACGCTCAAACACACTAATCTCGAACACTTTTGCGGCACGCGACGGCAGCAGTAGAAAGAATGTCGAATATTAATGAGTCGTACAACCAAGAGCTGTGGTCGAGTAACCATGCCAGAGCAGCAAACAGCAGCGGGTAAAAGGAAAATCTACAGCAGAACACGAGCAGAGCATGAGATGTTCCGGGTGGGCCGGCGGATAATAAAGTCATGAAGCAAGAGAGGATGTTGAGATTGGCAAGAAATTTGGGAGCGCCATGTTATCAGTTCCCCCATCTCCAAGGGGCAGGTTCTCCACACTGCGCCAGGGTACGACAGTTGTACTTAACGTGAGATCCCGATGCTGTCGTCGCGTCGGCTGAAATAGCTGTTAAAGACTAGAAACCTCCCCCCCCCCCCCCTTCTCAAGCAACAACTCTTTCCAAGACCTTTCTGTTTCCAAAACACTCAGGTTGCTGCTCTTGTCTCGCCCGCCGCATCTCACCCCACAGACAATACAATGCCCGTCGGATCAGTTCTCGTCACCGGGTAAGTGACGCATTGCGCCGGACTGCCCCGCCATGCGCTGATTGATGCGACAGTNGGCACCGGATACATTGGCGGCTTCACTGCCCTCGCCCTGCTCGAGGCCGACTACAAGGTCGTCATTGTCGACAACCTATACAACTCGTCCGAGGAAGTCCTTAGCCGCATCGAGACCATTTGCGGAAAGCGACCCATCTTCTACAATGCCGACATCACCGACGCAAAGGCCCTCGAGCACGTCTTTGCCGACCACCCCGATATTGACAACGTCATCCACTTTGCTGCTCTCAAGGCTGTCGGCGAGTCTGGCGAGATCCCCCTCGAGTACTGGCGCGTCAACGTCGGTGGCTCGATTGCCCTCCTACAGGCCATGACCCGTCACAATGTCACCAACATCGTCTTCTCATCATCCGCTACAGTCTACGGCGATGCCACACGCTTCGAGGGCATGATTCCCATTCCCGAGCACTGCCCTCTGGGTCCCACAAACCCCTACGGAGACACCAAGTATGCCATCGAGAAGCTGATTGGCACCCACGTTGAAGCACAGCGCAACAATGCACAAAAGAAGGGCGAGTCGGGAGCCAAATGGAACGGAGCTTTGTTGCGCTACTTCAATCCTGCCGGCGCACACCCTAGTGGAATTATGGGAGAGGACCCTCAGGGCATTCCATTCAACCTCTTGCCCTTGTTGGCTCAAGTCGCTGTCGGAAAACGCCAAGAATTGCTCGTGTTCGGCGATGGTAAGCAGACTATGCACATGCGCGTGTGACCTTTTCAAACTGACTGTGCATANGACTACGACTCGAGAGACGGCACTGCCATTCGCGACTACATTCACGTCATTGACCTCGCTCAGGGCCATCTCAAGGCGCTCAACTACCTGCGCGAGCACCAGCCCGGTGTTCGCGCATGGAACCTNGGCACTGGCAGAGGATCAACCGTCTTCGAAATGGTCAAGGCATTCTCGCACGCCGTCGGACGTGATCTCCCATACAAGGTTGTCGACCGCAGAGCCGGTGATGTCTTGAACCTCACAGCCAACCCAGCCAGAGCCAACGAGGAACTCCAGTGGGAGACCAAACTCTCACTCGAAGATGCATGCCGCGACTTGTGGAGGTGGACTGAGAACAACCCTCAAGGCTACAGGCAGCAGGCACCAAAAGAGTTTGTGGACAAGGCCATTGCTGCACGCAAGTAGGTGGGATGGATCCGAGGACGACGGTAATGCTTGAAGACGACGACTATTTTTTTTCCCTTGCACGCATAGATTTGATGTTACGAACGCTTTCTCAAAAGGTTGCTTCGACCTGGTGAAGGCCAGCAGGAATCCTGGCTCACATTATACCCAGAAGAGTAGTTGCAACAATGCATAACTAATTTGATCCGCTTTCGGAAATCACACGTAATGCCCGCGAGAGTGATGTCACCGGGTGCATGACGCGCCGTTGCTCGGTGATGGATTGTATCGACCATCAACCAACACACGCTCAAGACTTCGGTCCTGATTTATTCACAATCACATATACATCTCTGCGCTATCCACTTCAAGGCAGCAATATCGCATCTGCAATCACATCATCACATCATAACCATCATGGCACCCAAGAGACGCATTTCTACACCTTCGGCAGCCCAGCGCAATCAGCAAGCGACCATCTCGTTTGGCAAGCAGGGTCTCAATCGCGTCACCAAGACTACGCTTGCTCAGCGCGACTCCAAGGCCACCAAGAAGGACAATGCGTTGCTAGATGCAGTGTCAACCCATGACATTGACCAACTCACCACCGCTGATGCTGCCATCCAAGAACAAGCCGAGGCCGAACTTGTCGACATCAAGCCTCTGGAAACCGAGCTTCACTCTCCCGGCGAGCCTGATGACTACGAGAAAAGAGCCAACAAAATCACCAACGCCCAGATCAAGAAGTACTGGCAACAAAAAGAGGCCGAGAGAAAGTGCCTGCGCGTTCACCAACAAGGACTCGATGTTTCGGAAAAGATCCTGAGGGAGTTTGACATGAGCGGACAGTACGGAGTAAGTCACAAGCATATCTTTTCTGTACGGACAAGTTACTGACCATGTTGCAGNCCCTGCATTGGCATTGCCAGAGTCAAGCGCTGGAGACGAGCCAACACTCTGGGCCTCAATCCTCCCATCGAAGTGCTGGCAGTCTTGCTCAAGGCGAGTGACAAGGACAAGAGCAGAATGCAGCGTGCTCACGTTGACGAGTTGATGAGCTCGAGATTTATCGAAACGTAGAGAGACGATATGAGGGAACGATCACGAATTGGCTTGGGAACATGCATGGCTACTAGGAGTTTATAGCGGGAGGGGAATTGCTTCAAAGGATACCTGGACTGAGGGGTTTCATCAAGGCTGGGAGACTCAAGACTCATGATGACAAGGACATTGCTCGACACAGTAATGATACAATTGACGTACAAAAGTCGAGAATTTCGTGACGAGATGGTGGTTGTGATGCAGACCAAAGTCAACTGCAGTAGAGATGGTCAAGCCAGCTCTGGCTGTACGACGCGATCCTGCACATCAACACAGCAAGATGGCCACTTCAACCAACAACAATGCAGAGGCGCTGATCCCTCAATTCAAGTTCGAAAAACTTCTAAATCAAGGTATCAACGACGCTTGAGCACGAGAGAAGAATGAATTGTAACGCGACGACGACGCATGCTANGACCAAGCCGGACGCCGCATCGTCTTGCAGGGCACAATCGCATCTCAACCAGCGCTGCTCCTCGCCGAGCGCGCCGCATTCGACGCAGACGACTCGCACCTGTCGACCTTCAGCGGCTCGCTGTCGCACATCCAGAACCTCGGCGACAATGACATCTACCGCTGGTACATGGCCCACAGCGGTGCTGGCCAAGGACACCCGCCCGACCTGAAGATCAACCTCATCTACCCTTGCACCGACCAGCATCTCAANAAGTACGCCGCACAGGCAGTCCGCCATGTGACAGAGACCCCCGACGTCTACCGCGATCGCGTCCGCCCCTACATGCAGGCCAAGCGCGACCAAGGACGACTGAACTGGGTCTTCAACATCCTCGACGGCCGCACCGAGCAAGAAGATGTCCTGTTCCGCTCTCCACACGACACCACTCCCGACGATGAAAGATATCTGTTGCTTCCAGACTTGAATTGGGACCGCAAGACGCTGGGAAGCCTGCACTTGCTCGCTCTCGTCGAGCGCAGAGACATTTGGAGTCTTCGCGACCTCAAGAAGAAGCATGTCGCCTGGCTCAAGTCTATCGTTGCCGACATTGCAGCCACCGTTTCTCGTCTGTACAGCATGGACTCAGACATGCTCAAATGCTATGTGCATTGTATGTTGCTTTTGTTTGTGCCTGCTCGTCTGTTACCCATGCTGACAATACTCCCAGACCAACCAACCTACTACCATTTCCACATCCACATTGTCCACGTCTCGCTCGAAGCTGGTGCTACACAGGCTGTAGGCAAGGCCCTATCACTTGACAACATCATCTCTCAGCTGGCCACCATGGCTGGTGACGAAGAAGCCGGCATGGACAATGTCGATTTGTCCTTTACCTTGGGCGAGGCCAGTGAGCTGTGGACCGATGTGTTCTTGCCTCTAAAGGAAAAGCGTTTACAATAGATTCTTGATGTATTCGATTTTCTTGATTAAAACTATGCTTTATCAGGGGCTCCTTTTGTTCGCTGCCTTGAAGTCCTTCTTCGACCACCTCCTCGTCTCCAACCAACTTCTAATAAACCAAACTATGAATTGTTTTTATATGCTAGAAGAGAAAAGAAATACGCCATCGCTGTGCGGAGAGGGCAAAAGTAGAAGATAAGTGTCATGTCGGTCAAAGAAAGCCAGCTTCTCGACCCTTCTTCGTCGTTTGTAATAATCATCACTCCTTTGTAGGACTCGGTGTCAGATCAAAAGCAGAGTTTTCACGAGTCGGACTGACGCATTCGCTCAGCCTTCGCTCGAACCATTCGTTTGCCGGATTGACGGACGAATTGCGCGTGGACATGCGACTCTGGCGGTCTGCTCTTTCCAGAGCAAGTCTCTCGGCCGCTTGCTCTGCTGCTCTGGTCGCACGATCCGAAGTTCCAGAAAACGTCTTCTTGTGCATGTGGATTACGGGCTTGTTGACACTCAACGAAGCGCTTCTTGGTGCTCCACTGAGGCGGTTTGCCTTCTTCGAGGTTGGTGCTGGTTCGGATTCTATGGCTGCCTCTTCGTCTCTGAGTGCTGGCACTGGCTTTGGTGCGGGCGTTGCCCATCTTCTCTTTCTGCCAGTTGTGAAGGTCCAGAATTTGAAGCTGCCGAGGAAGGTGCCGTCGGCGCCTGGTACATGTTGCCATGGCTTTTCTCTCCATCCAAACACGATGCAGTCCACGGTGCCGGCAATCGTTACGCAAAAGGTCGAGAGCAATCCGAGGATGGGGATGGGGTGTGCGGCGTATTTGTCGCTGTAGTTAAAAGAGTGGTAAACAAAGGGAATGGTCCAGACCATGAGATAGGTGATGGGATAGATGAAGAGAAGACGGAGTTGTCTTTGAATTGCTCGTCGTCTCTTCTTGAGAGGCGTGTCGGCCGAAACCATGTCCATTTTGTCTCCGCTCGTCACTTGATGTCCTTCTTCGATTGGCGCGAGGTTGACCGAAGGGGCGGTAACGGCAGCAGTCATGTCCGCCGAAGTCCTCCAGGATGCAATGGTAGAGACGGAGTGTCTTTGCTGTTTTGATTCCGGGGGCACTTGCAAAAGGTCATGTTGAACAGTTCCGTCTGCAAGAATGATGACATGGCTACTCCGCCTTGAGTGGTTTCCAGAGTGTAGTTTGAAGCCTTCGGCGGAAGAATTGAGTGATGTAGGCCAAGTGGATTGGCTGCCTTGGCTGGAGCTGCTTGTTGGAGCCTGGCTGTTGTAAGCATTGCTCTCCGTGAGTCCCGACAGATCCTGCAGTTCGCCTGCGCTGGCACCTCTCTNTTTGGCTACCCTCAAGTCTTGCATTCCCTCTCCAGGCATTGTGCCGAGGCTTCCAGACGGGCCGTAGCCATTTGTTTCGGTACTCGATTCTTTGCCGTCCTCGCGGGCAAAAATCTTAAATCCTTGGCCGACATGTAGGTAGATCCGAATGGCTACAAACATGATGTAGAGCCAGATGAGGTATCTAGGGATCCATTGCAATGCAAGGCGGTACCAGTAGGGGCGAATTGGCAAGGTGCAAAAGGGACCTTGTGCAATATAACCTTGACGTCCTCTGATGAAGGCAAGAATGGCACACAGAAAGGGAAAAACGACCCAACCCGCCATGACAGTATGTCTGAAGCGATAGAGGCCATCGTGGCCAAATATCTTGCTACCAGTACTGAATATCTGAAGATACATGTGCAACGACATTATAAAAATGGCATAATNCTGTTGCTAGGATAAGCACGATATTATTGGCAGAATGATTGTGGACCAAGACCTACCACAAGCCATAGTCGATGCTTGTAACAAGAAGCCAAATCCTTGACAGAAGGAGCCATTTGTGTCGATGGCGCCGCGGCGTAGAGATACACCAGAGAAACTCACGTACCATAGGGACTTGAAGAAGTCGGCGAGAACAAGATACATGACTAGGCTNNGGAGATGTTGGTTAGCGATCAGTCGTCCAAAGTTCCAATCCACCACTGACTTTCTTCTGAAGTTTCTTCTCATCATGAAGAACCAATATATAGTAATCAGTGTACCAATCACACTAGAGCTAGATGAGATGGTAGCAACGATTCGAATTGCCCGACTCCATTCTGGAGATATGACCGAAGACGGGTCCAAGAGGTGACCGCCGAGACCCATGATGTTTGCACGACGCTCCGGTCTGGTGAAGAGCGGCTCACCGCGCGGGGCATGGGAGAAGTGCTGTATAAGAGATGAAGCAAGAAGGACGAGGGTGCGCCCACTCGAGGAGAGTGATTGTCTGAGTTGACTGAAGTCATCTCCAACGGCCGTTGCCAAGTCCATTCTCTGTTTCCTAGATGGCTCTGCCGATCAAGACTGTTGTGACCAAACTGTGAGTTACTGCCTTCGAATTCGCCCGCTACAGTCAACGGCACCAACGTTCAATAATAAAATGACCGAATAAGTACACATAGACGATCCCTTTTTTTGAGATATGCTCGACGGCCGGTTTATCCTGACTCGAATCAATACACGTAGGAGCGCGACGTTGGTGATACGAGCGAGATGAATGGAGCATGAGATGGACTGAGCGTGTGGTGATCCTGCTAGAAAAACTAAATCGTGTCCATCAGTGTGTCCCATATGGTGCACACACGAGGTTCCGCTTGCAGACTGCACACAAAAGAAAGCCAGAAAAGGGGCAGAGAAGGCAAAGAGAAAGAAGGTTTTGCTGAAAGCAACCTTGAGAGGTCACATCCCATACCATACTCACGGGAGTTCTGGATGGCGTGTCGGCAATTGCTCTGGTGTTCGGTCCATCCGAATGCCTAGTGCTGGATTGCGGACGTTGCAGAGGAATGTGAGCATGGCATTTTTGAATTGTTAGGGCACCGCGCACCGTTTCGTGCCGGCCGCATCACTAGCTTACATACCTCACACAAGAAGCAAAGGCCTAGATCCACTCGATACACGTGGTAGCCGTTTTCGTGAACGATATCCATGAGGCTTTCCCACTCTTTGTGTCCGGCGGCATTCCCGAAGTTGGTTTAGTCTAGCGACTGTGAGAGGGCAACGAGACTGAAGCGCAAGTCACCACCTCCAGCTTGAGTCTCCCGTTTAAGGAAGCTACGGACTCCCATGTTGAGAGCCTTCTCGCTCAAGACATCATCATCAGCGGACAAGACACCTCTGTTCAACGGACCCTTGCGACGACCGTCCATCTCCCAAAGGTGATTGTTGGCTGACTTGACGAAGCAGACGTAGTGTAGATCGATGTTGTCGTCTGGCGAGGGAGCGGCAGTGTCACCGCCAGTAGCGGCAGCTTGATGAGCGTTCTCGAGAGCTTGCGATTCGTACAGCAGATCGGCGCGCTGAGCGGGCTTGAGGTTGATGGCATCTCGAAGAAGCTTTGCCAGATGCGAGTCGGGAGTGATGAAGTCGCGAGCTGGGCCATTGCTCGCAGCGTGGAGTACGCCGATCAGACCGCAGGCATTGCTGATGGTTTGCTTGTACCAGACTACTTCTTCGTTGGGGCCACAACCCTCGTACTCTTGTTTGTCGTCATCTTCGCTACGGCGGAAGGTCTCGTATGTGTCGCTGATGGGAAAGACTAGAAGGAGAGCGCATGCGGGGCGGGGCACAAAGGCAAGCAGTTCGGGTTCGTCGATACTGAAGACGTCGTGGAAGGCGAGCTGTGACGAGAGGCCGAGATTGTGTAGCAGCGAGCTCATGACTTCGGGGTTGTTTTCNNTACCAAAGCGTCAGCCACGATGCTTTCGTCACATCAGTCCGGGTTCTCTCTCACCTAGTGGGACGAAGGATTTGGTCGCGGCCGGGGCTGCCGCTCCATGGGTGTGAGGGTCCGCATTCTCTTGCTGGGTTCGCTGGGTTGACGCCATGTCCATGTCGAGTCTTGATTCTGGTGACTGACTTATGTCGAAGAAGAAGAAAGACACACTTCGCTCAGGGCGGGAGCTCGCTCTTGTGTTGCATCACATGATTGCCGCCGCCATCAGGGTTGCGCGACAGCTGTACGCGCCGGCCCGTCCGTGCACATCACCCAGAGTGCTGTTTAACGTCACGGCGCCTAGTACATGTATTGGATGCATTGGAGAAACATCTAAGTACATTACACCCAGACACTGTGCTATTGTTACCAGTCAGTATCTCTTCTCAGCGCCAGCGCTTTTGCCTATTTGATCTTTCGAACTGTACAAGAATCTGAAGTCTCTAGGGATATCGACATATTGTCCCGACAAACGCCTTTTTGATGCTACGCTAACCATGTCAAGAACTGCTCTCCCTCTATCCTCTCTTGCTCGAAAAGAAGTGCCGCTTCTTCTTATCCGGATCCTTTTGGAGCTTCGAAGTAGTCTGTCCCGGTGCTGCTGACCCTGAGCCGTTTGATTGATTTGGACCTAGATTCATGTTGCCCATAGCCTGAGTGGGTGGTTGCACTGGAGCGACAGGCTTCAATGGGGCCTGCACTGGTCGTGGTGCTGGTGCTGGTTCATCTCGCTCGAACAGATGAGCAGGAGCTTGCTTGGGTGGCTGCTCGGCTGGTATGCCAAGCTTACGTTTATCTGTGCTAAGATCTCCCACTTGACGTAGAAAGAAGGCTGGCGTGAGCATATGGCTGGTCAATAGGAACACCTCCTTGTTGCTCTGCCGCGTCATGTCATAACACACTCGGCTCTCAGAGTATGTTGCACCACCTGCCATAAAGACAATCACTCTTTGCCGAGGCTCCGTGGTGGACGATTTTGCCTTTGCCCACGTAGGCTTGGCCGAGCGCAGCGATGTGGGCGCAGGGCCCATGTCATTTTCACCCAGATCGATTGGTGGTTTGATGTAGGGAAAGACGGTGGCGTCGACAGTGTTGGTCGTATGGTTATCCAAGAGTCTCTGAAGGGATGTCTCAAAGCGACTCAAAGCATACTCTTCTTGTACCAAGGTTGGTGGCGGCTTCTGAGGGAATAGAGGGATGGGTGGTGGACGCGGGTCCTTCAGGTTCCTCGACGTGCGGATACCAAGAAGATTGAGGTTGTGCAACATCTCGGCATGTTGAGGGGGAAGTTGGGCATGAAGCAGGAGCTTGACAAGATCCGCGGGCAATAATCCATCCTTGTAGATGAGATATAGCGCAATCAATCGGAGCCTATCTGGTAACACAATCGCGTCATCGTCCAGAGTCCGCACTACCTGGTCCGTAACGTGTTTGGGCTTTTTATAATCCTCATCAAGACCGGTAGCCAAAATCTAGATCGGAGGTTAACTGATGAAACCATCATCGGAGCGAGATACACATACCTGCTCGACCGAGGCCATGTCTGGAAGCTTGTGACGCTGGAACAAATCCATACACTCTTGAGCCATACCAAGATGCAACGAATAAGCCCCTTTCATTTCTTCGAATTGTGGAAGACCAGCCAACATGTCCTTGATAGTACTAAGACCATTCATGCCGCTCGGATCACTCTCCTTTGTGAAATGGGGATTCTCGTCGATGAATTTTTGGAAATCTCCCATGAGCTTCTCGATGGTGTCTTTCATGTGGAGGTGACGGGTTTCGACCCAAATGCGGTCCTTTTCTGAAATTTCATAATCCTTTTCCTCTTGCTTGGCGGTTCCCTGGTTGACGGTTGTCTTGTAAGTGATCTTGTCTCGTTCGCGAATGGGTAGCAAGTCGTGAGCCATGGCCTGGTAGGTAAACTCGTGGAGCAGGGGAGCAAAGACGTCCATGGATCTATCGGTAATGTATAAGGTTGCGCGAGGACGATTGCTTGGTGGAGGGAAATCCTTGTGGAAGTTGGCATATAGATTGAGCTCCTCTTGGACAAAACGAGCAAGATGGGAGCATAGTACACTGGCCTCATGGGTGGGGTTGCGTGGACGATAATATCTGATGTCGGGGAATTCGCCCAAGGCAACGCAAACTCCTACAATCTTCTGAGCGAGGTCTTGCATGTGTTGACGGATTAGATTGTTGCAGGCCGGGTGGAAGAGGATAGGAAAACTCCAGGGGTCTCGGAAGGTGACTAGGTGTGATTCGCGAGGGAAGAAGTCGATGTTGAGAACACGGAAGATGGTGATTTGCTCACGGGCGACGGAGGACTTGTCGAGACGCTCCTTCATGTGCGGGGGTAACAATGAGGTCCAAATCAGGTTGGTCTTTCTGTAGCGCCGACGATCGAGGTCGGCCATGACACAGTCGACGATGTGGGTATGAGGAGTGATTAGGTAGATGGCGTCGACGTCGGGATTCTTGGGCCGGCGGTCCTCGATCTTCTCAATGTNCTATGGAGGATGATTGTCAAGGCATGTTTGTGGGATGGTGTCAGGGGGAGGCATACTCGTAATGCTCTCGTTCAAGATGTCGTCGGGGTGTAGGACATTGTCGAGCAGCTTCTGACTGGTGTCGTCGAGGACCAGGACTTTCCACTGNNTAGCTCGGGTTCAGCAGGAGGATCGAGTGAGACGGATCGGCTGACGCACTTGGCCTTGGGTGGTGGAGCGGATCACATTTAGAATGACTGGCATAGAGGGTCAGAGCAGGGCAAGGCGAGGGCAGACTCGGGGCTTACTGTCGCGCTGGGCGTCTATGATGGAGACGCCCATGCTGGAGGAGCGGGTGTCTCAGGAAAGTGGTCGAATGTGTGCGTGGGGATACATGGACTTGGACGGCTCTCAGGCGGTATGCACTAGGTATGCGGAGAGTCGCTGCCAAGCCGCTCTCGACCCCGGTCCTCAGAGCGTCATTGCCGGTGCCCTGGGCCTTGCCAAAAACATCAGCACCTGCCATATCCGCCATTCCTCTTGTCGCAACCAGGTGCCAGCGCGAGGTGATGCTCGCATTGACTCGCCAATCAGGCACATCGCTCTTCTGTGTCTCGACCTCTCGACGACTTTGCCATTCCACCAACCGTCGCGCCTTCTCCGCCATCCGCCACGCTCCCAGGCAATTTTCCATCCCGAAACTAAACCGCCTCGGCCCCAATTCCAAACGTCCTTCAACACGCAAACATGGCGGCCCATTCAGAAACGATGGAAAGAAGCTCAAGTTTCTCGACGTCCTAAGAGAGCAGCTCGGCAATCTCAAGCTCGAATTGCACGCCACTCCCATAGGCCAGAAACTCGACCAAGACGGCAAATTCAGAGATACATGGTCTGTCTTCACAGAAGCCATCGTCGCAACCAACGATCCAAGTTCCACCCACCCCAGAAATGAACATCAAGCTCTGCGAGATTCTTGGTTCGAAAGAGGCTACAATGGCTTGCAGGATCGCATCAAATATGCCTTTTACAATCATGTCACTTCGCAACAATTCACCGCCTCGGATATTCGCAACCAAAAGGCCCTTGCCGATTTGCGCTATCCCACAGAATGGTATCCCGCCACTCGCATCATCCACCGTACCATCCACCTTCACGTCGGTCCAACAAACTCTGGCAAGACATATCATGCTCTACAGCGTCTGGAACAGGCCGAAACTGGTGTCTACGCCGGTCCCCTGCGTCTGCTTGCTCATGAAGTCTATACTAGACTCAATGCAAAGGGCAAGCAGTGCATGCTCGTGACTGGTGAAGAAAAACGTGCTCCCGACGACGAGTCCCTGGCTGCCGACATAACCAGCTGTACCGTCGAAATGATGCCCCTCAACAAAGACGTCGACGTTGCCGTCATTGACGAGATTCAAATGATAGGTAGCGCCGATAGAGGCTGGGCTTGGACACAGGCTGTGCTGGGTGTAAAGGCTCGTGAAGTCCACTTGTGCGGCGAGACCCGAACCGTTCCATTGATACGTGAATTGTGCGCCTCTCTAGGTGAGAAGCTTGTCGTCCACGAGTACGAGCGTCTGAGTCCTCTGCAGATGGCGGACAAAAGTTTGCAGGGGAACCTCAANAAGCTTCGAAAAGGTGATTGTATCGTCAGCTTCAGCGTCATGGGTATCCACGCGCTACGCAAGCAGATTGAACAGTCTACAGGAAGAAAGGTAGCGACGGTATATGGTAGCTTGCCACCAGAGACTAGAGCTCAACAAGCACGTCTTTTCAATGACCCCGACAACGACTACGACTTTTTGGTCGCTAGTGATGCTATTGGTATGGGTCTTAACCTGAGCATCAAACGCGTCATCTTCGAGTCGTCGTCCAAATTCGATGGATTCCGTCAAAGAACTCTGGTTGTTCCAGACATCAAACAAATTGCTGGACGCGCCGGTCGTTTCAAGAGTGCTTATCAGGCAAACAAAGCTNNTCAGAGGAGGCGGCTGCTCAAGCTCTTGCAGAGGCAAAAGGCGAGTCGGAACCCGGAAAGGAGGCCTTCACTGAAGAGGCTACGACACCTTCAGATGCGTCTTCACAAGCCTCAGCATCTGGTACTGACTCTACAACTTTGAACACCAAAGAANGAACCTATAGACTCGAAAGATTCGACACTGGGCCTTGTAACCACCCTCGAGGACTTTGATTTTCCCGTCATTGCGAAGGCCATGAAGCAAGAGCCCGAGCCCATTCGTTCTGCAGGAATCTTCCCTCCTGCGCCCATTGTCGAACGTTTTGCTTCATACTTCCCTCCTGGCACACCATTTTCATACATCCTTATGCGACTACATGAGCTATCCCAAATGCATTCGAGGTTTCATCTCTGTGGCCTAAGAGATCAGCTCTGGATTGCTGATTTGATTGAGCCTGTCCAGGGGTTGACGGTCACGGATCGAAATATTCTCTGTGCTTGTCCAGCATCCAAGTCTGACAAGGATTTGATCAGCAAACTTATGCCAGCTCTGGCACGTTGCATAGAACAGCAAGGTGGCGGTGCTCTCTACGACATTGAAGAAATGCCTCTCGAGGTTCTGGAACTGGAAATGTCGGCAAACAGAGATTACCTACGGCAACTTGAGCAACTACACAAGGCCATTGTTGCCTATTTGTGGCTTAGTTACAGATTCGCAGGAATCTTCTCTACGCGTCCCTTGGCTTTTCATGTCAAGGGACTCGTAGAAGAANNAAAGATCGAACATGTTCTTCACCAATTCTCTTTTACAGAGGGACAGAGAAGAAAGATCAAAGCTGCACGAGAGAAATCGTTGATGGCAGATTCCCTCAGAGAGTCTATGTTGACTGATGAAGAAGGCGGCCATGAAGCAGTTACAGAACTTGACCAACAGACTAGCGTCACTGCTGGAGGTGATCAGTTTTCGGGAGAAACTGATATCGAAATCATGGACGCGGCCGAGTGGACTGCGAGTGGAGAGTCTGCCACGAGTCAAGAGAGTATGAACTCGGACGCGGCTCGAGACGTGGCCTCTCGAACAGCAAACCATGACGATGTGCAAACAACGCAAAACTTAGTAGGCTCTGTGGAGAATAAAGAGAAGACGCAGAAGCGCGAAGAGTAGCTGTGTTGTGTACAAGTAGAGGATGTCGCCAGCAGATGGACATATAGACCACATGTATTATAGTAATGAATAACGTCCCCCACATCAAAGCACCCTTTCCAGAAGACACAAATGTCTTCCGGAGCAGAGGAGCGGCCAGAGAGAGCCACTCATATGTTGGCTCTCATTGGCTATCGCCCTGTTTCGTGATGTAATCGTGCATTTCTATAGTTATGCGTTGTAAACCTTAGCACAGGGAGAGACAGTGTCGAGGAATTGGTCAAGCGCGTGTGACCCTGACTGCCGAGGCGCGACGTTTCGGCGATGTGATGCTTGTCGGATCCAAGACATGGAACGAGTCGCAAACATTAAACAACAAGCACGACCGGGTGTATCATCTCATCCATCATTGATCGCCTGAAGGTTTAATAAAATGAGCGACTGATCCGGATCCTTCACCTGGTATCTGTAGCGACTGAAGGCGCTCTACGCGTTTAACAAATCTCTCCCTTGGGACTCGTCAAGACCATGTTATCGTCCCTCACTCTTTTGACCTTTGCAGGCATCTGCCTTGGTACGGGAGACAAGGCGCCCGCAAAGNNGCCCCCTCAAAGAACTCTCAGAAGTGCGCAGGAAAGAGCAAAGATACTCGCAGCATGTCCGGCCTACGAGCACTATGCGAGGTTCTCACAGTACGTCCTTTCAAGACTTGTGCCANNACACTGTTGCTTACTCTCTGGTAGCCCACCCTTCTCCGAGGGTCCCATGTCACTCCCCTTCCAGCGCCCGGCTGCACTATGTCGAACATTCGAGTCAGACTTGGTGGAACAGATCATTGACGACATGAATGAGAAGATGACGGACAAGGATCTGGCTAGAATCTTTGAGAATGCTTTCCCCAACACCTTGGATACTACCGTCAAATGGCACGTCGACGGTACAGACAAGTCACCCTATAAGAGCAGCAATGGCGCATGGGAAGGTCCTCAGAGTTTCATCGTGACCGGCGACATCAACGCAGAGTGGCTTCGAGATTCTACAAATCAACTGGCTCAGTACCAAAAGCTGGCCAACAAGGACAAGGCCATAGAAATGTTGATACTGGGCGCCATCAACACTCAGGCCGAATATGTAATCGAGTCTCCCTACTGCAACGCCTTCCAGCCACCTCCACCGAGTCGTCTGGCTCCCTCAAACAATGGCCAGGAAGATGTCGTTCATCCAGCATATGAGCCATCAAAAGTCTTCGAATGCAAATACGAGCTGGATTCGGTTGCGCACTTTTTGTCCCTGTCCAATCAATTCTACAACCACACGGAATCCACTGCTTTTTTGACCCCAAGATGGTATGCCGCCTTGGACACTCTGCTTGGATTGCTCGATGAGCAGGCCAAACCCACCTTTGATCCCATCACCGGTGCTTTTCAGCATAATGAATACACTTTTAGGCGTCGTACAGATGCGGGTACAGAAACTCTCGGCTTGTCTGGCAACGGTAATCCATTGAACAACGGAACTGGCCTCGTTCGAAGTGCATTCCGTCCTAGCGATGATGCCACCATCCTTGGCTTCTTCATTCCAGCAAATGCCATGATGGCCGTTGAGCTAAAACGAGCATCAGCGATGCTAGCAAAAGCAGGCAAACTCAAGCTTGCCGCTGATTTGAAGGCACGTGGAGCACTGATTGAGGAGGGTGTCTGGGAGCACGGTGTCGTACCGCACAAGAAGTATGGCTCGGTGTTTGCTTTTGAAGTTGATGGCTATGGTTCTTCCATCATAATGGATGATGCCAACCTGCCGTCACTACTCGCTTTACCGCTGTTGGGCTTCGTCTCCAAGGATGACAAGACGTATCAGAACACCCGCCGTATGATATTAGAAAGAGACGGCAATCCTTACTATCTTTCCGGTAGAGCATTCAGAGGAATTGGTGGTCCTCACATAGGACTACAGAATGCTTGGCCTATGAGTCTGCTGGTGCAGGCAATGACTTCTGAAGATGACGAAGAGATCATAGACGCCCTCTCTACCGTCAAACATGTCAGTCATCTGGGTCTAATACATGAAAGCATTCATGTTGACCGCGGCAGAGAGTACACTCGTAAGCAGCTTGATTCGTGGTTACCGTGCAAGTTTTGCTAACCTTCTTTTTAGGCNAGCTGGTTTGCTTGGGCCAATTCTGTCTTTGCTCAAACCATCCTTGACGTGGCGGAAAGAAAGCCACACATTTTGTTTGGTCCAGGAGAGAAACCATATATTATCGATTAGATTATGATTCATGCAATGAAAGAAACGTCCATCCACGGCATGGTCTTGCGAGTGATTTTCGTGTTTTGACGTGTACGAGGTAGGGGCTGAAGTCGGCTCCCGCTCCCCCGAGATGGCCAAGTACCCAGCTGGACATCAGCAGAAGGATGATACAAACACCTGCTCACTCCGGAAACAAACACAAATTCTCATCAGTTTCACAAAATATGGTTTTTAAAGACCACTCACCGTCGCATACTCTATAACGACTTGCGACAGAACGCTCGCTAGTAGACAATGGCAACACAGGGGCCGTCACCCATTCATGGCTATCGCCTCCAGCAAGACAGTCGTAAGGACGACATAGTCTTGAGCAATCTAAATCCACAATCATCTTTGCAACCTCTACACGCACCGGATGACACTGAAGACGACGACGACGACGACGACGACGACGACGAAGAAGAAGACGATAAATCCAGTGTACATAGCTTTGAGCTCTACACGCCAGACGAGGAGAGATCCTTACTCAGAAAGCTGGACATCCGTCTGGTGCTATTCTTAGCACTTCTATACATGCTCTCATTTCTGGATCGGTCAAGTACACAATCCATCGCCCAATTTTCACTACTCAATTACTAACCATGCNNAGACATTGGCAAGGCTAGAGTTGCTGGCATGTCGACAAGCCTGAGGCTTAGTTCAGGTCAATTCGAATGGTTACTCACGGGATTCTACATTTCTTACATCTGTTTTGAGTGGATGACTCTACTGTAAGTACTCTTTTGCTACCGTTGGTTTATGCCAGTCATGAACATGTCTCGTTACAAGACCAGGGTCGCTACTTCAACGATTGTACATGTCGAACTTGGTATCCTTCTTCGTTGAAGGTGGTGTCGATGCGCACAAGATTACGAGAGACTAACAAGTGTGTCACAGNNATACAAGATCTTTCCGCCACACGCGTACATATCCCTGTGTGTCTTTGCATGGGGATGTCTGGCGTCCTTGCAAAGCGTCAGTACAGGCTTTGGTTCCATGCTGATATTACGAATCCTGTTGGGAGTCTCCGAAGCGGCTTTCGGACCAGGTGTACCCTTTTACTTGTCCTTCTTCTTCAAGAGGAACGAACTTGCCTTTAGAACTGGTCTGTTCATCTCCGCTGCACCTCTAGCCAGCAGTTTTGCAAGCACTCTGGCCTTTGCCATTGTCAAGCTTGGCAAGAACACCGCCATAGAAAGCTGGAGACTTTTGTTCATAATAGAAGGCTTCCCGAGCATAATAGTTGCTGTATGGGCTTGGTATGTGATTCCAGACTCACCTTCGACTGCATCCTGGCTCTCGGCCAGAGAACGAAGAATAGCAACACTCCGTTTGCGGAAACAGACGAGCATTTCTCAAGCTCATACCTCTGGGAAAGAGCAAGCGAAGAGGTTTGACTGGTCTGCTGTTCGTACCACTTTGTGCGATCCAAAGAGTTACCTGACTGCTGGCTGCTTCTTTTCCTTGAACGTAGCTTTCTCGTCGATGCCAGTATTCGCACCCATGATCATCCAAAAGTAAGCACGCCATATGCCGCACATGAGTGACAACTAACAAGGTGATAGTATGGGTTACTCGGCTACAAAGGCTCAAGGTCTGGCTGCTCCGCCTCACCTCTTCGCCTTTGTCATGGTGCTTGTAACCTCAGTCATCTCTGACCGGCTACAGTCACGTTCAATACCCATTATAATCCATGCCAGCTTGGCGCTGGTTGGTTACGTATTGCTTGCCCTCGCGCCAACATTGCATCTATCGTCTACAACCCAATATCTGTGCCTCTTCCCAGTCACTGCTGGCTTCTTCTGCGCCGTCACAACCGTCATAGTTTGGACCGTCAACAATCAGCAAAGCGAAGAAGGACGTGGTAGCAACGTTGCACTCTTGAATGTCATTGGTCAATTGGGACCTCTTGTTGGGACACGACTATATCCAGACTCTGACGATTATACAAGAGGGCATGCCTTATGCGCCGGTTTCATGGCATTGGTGGCACTATTGGCAATAGTGCTGAGATTTCTTCTTGTCAGAGCCAACTCTTCTTTGCGTGCAGCTCGATCTTCATCGCAAGTTGATGGTGCAGACAAACCGCTGGTGGGCAGTTTTCATGGTGCCATGGGTGGTTTTGAATACATGCTATAGAGTGATAGAGCCAAATCAAATGACGTTGGCCACCAACAAGTATTTTGTTGCCAAGGGGGATGCCTCAATCGCCATTCGGCGCTGTGTGCAGACCAAGTCTAAGAAAGATACACGGGTGATCGACCAGTAATCTTGGGAGCAGGCAAGTGATGGTCGAGACATACAGTATGCATTGCCGAGAAGCAAGATCAGATGGTCGTCTGCTCATTGTCTGCAAGAGTCAGAGCCGGACCGTGTGATTCAGCACTCGCAGTGTGACTGTACCGTACTTTCGGGACAAGACATGTGCAGACAATCCGAAAGCGAGTAGGCTCTACTGCAAGTCAGTATCGAATTGGATCTTTAGGCATTGGATCTTTATTGGCAGCGTTCTGCGCAAGCTAAACTCCGAGACACGGATTATCGTGAACGTGCTTATGGACCGGTCACCGAGGAATCCACGGAGCCCATCCTGTCTTGGTAGCGACTCTCAAAGCGGTGTGGATAGATCAAGTTTGTCTTGTGACGCCATCTTCTTTAAAGTGCAACACACCTCTACTTGCATGTCGTCTCTACAAGCTGAAGCTTTGTAGCAAGAGTTGTTGGCTACAGGCGCAGGACCACGCGCCATCCTCGGATAGCCGTTTGCATCCATCATGCATGATATCTGCACACCTGTTGGGCCGGACCCGAGCCATCAGCGGGGCCACGGTTTATCACCGAGGCAGAGGATGACTCCCTTCCGATCCGGTGCGTCAAGGTCATGGACACTAGCCGACGGCGTTCCCTATCCACGGCGTTGCGGATCACTGAGCTTAACTACCCTCCCATTGGAAGCGACAACCCTGTCTCGAAAATGATTGAGCTGGGCGATGATTTGGTTTGGGGACGAGGTTGAAATCGATGACGTTGTTTGTGAATACTTCGTGTCTTCACTGTGAGAAGTCTTCTAATCAAGATTTTTAAGTGATCTTTTGGGTCGAAACCTTTTGGAGGCTGTAAAGAGGCCCTGTGAGTCTAGCGATGAAGAGGCCGGGTTGTGCTAAGTGTGACGTCGATTGGGCAAGACTTTGTCGCTTGAACAAGAGTCAAGACCGTCGTGACACGCGTTTTTCGACAATTAATCTATCTGAGCGGCTGTAATTGGCATGTCGCTCTGCTGTGTGGATTTTGGTCTTGAAAGCTGCTGCAGGGGAACTTCTTTGGGTGTCAGAAAGAGCAGACTTCTCCCAACGTCTATTATGAGTCGAGGATATAAAAGGTTCGAATGATGGTTCTTAGGGCTGTTTGTACAGGAAATGTTGTAAGTAGACGGAACCGGTATGCGTACCTGCCTGTAGTGTCACGGCCCGTCAGTGTTGGAGAGTTGCGACTCGTTGTACAAAGACACTGACTCATAAATGGCGCACTCTATTATCCTTCTGGCAGTGCCCGGACCTATCCGTTGCTTAAGCGATTGTGCATGCTTCGCCGAGTACGAGAAGAGATGGAGAGTCCACACTCCTCATATGTGTATTCCCGCCCCAGCCGTCATCAGAGGCAGTCGCAAGCGGCCTTGAGTAGCTACCGAATGATGTGGGACGGAGAAACTCATCCTCCAATGTTTTCAGAAACAGCTGATAGGAGGTGTGATGCGAACATGTTACGCGTGTTGATATCCCGGCTGAGGCAGCGGTGAGAATTGTGGATGCCCTACTTCCCCCTTGATCACAAGAGAAAACCCAAGCAAGATGTTTCTCTGGGGTATTATCGGTCAACCCGAAACAAACGTAATTTTAGTCACGAGTCGTTGGTTTGTCCATTGCGACTTTCTGGATGTCGGTTCAGGGCGAGCGATGATTGAGACGTTGACAGGAAACGGCGCTTCATGCGGATACTGTATGGTGAGAGAACTGTCTGAAACGAGCCTCACTAAAGTCTGGCGCAATACCTAGAGGAGATTGATCAAGTATGTGGATATGCCCTGCGACGCAACATCACCTCAAGTGCGAACTTGGTTCAATCCATATCATACCCCCGAGTCGATTGGAGGGAACGTAACCGATATTCGATCGTCGTCATACTCAAGAGTCGTCTACCGAGCTTGTAGCCTTCCTTCTTCTAAAAATCGCCTTGATCGCCTTTTCCACCACGCGACTGCCGATCAAGACGTTGATGACGACTGCTTAGAGGGAGATCCTGGTACCTGCAACAAATCGCATGGCTGGCGCATTGCGGCAGTGATGTCTAGCAGATAACCGTGACTAGGTGACACAAGATGTCGTTCGCGAGATTCGAGATACGAAGGGCAAAAATTGTCCAACATCCTCATCTCGGCAGCGAAGGTGCGAACACATTATTGAACACAGGGCAATCGTTGTGTGTGTGTGCGCGCGGCGTTAAACTCCAGCCATCATCTTAACTCAATTGTGAAACTGACACCTGGAAGCGGAGAGGGGTTGGTCGATCATAGGAAACGCCAAAAGACATGGATCGCTGTCGATCGCTCACGAGCCAAACACTCTAAAGAACCACTTGTGTTCTTGACCTGTGCAAAGGTTCGCATCACTGTCCTCATATCATGGTTGCTTGGTGCGGTCAATTTACCAGTGAAGATCTTTATGCCAGAGATGTGAAGCGCCGACATATACACACACGCAAGTTACCAACATCTCGAGCAGCACTGCCCTGGTGAGGCGCGCAATAATCTGCGGTTCGGAGCTCACAAGGGCAGAATTGTCAGGCCTCTGATTGGGTGTTGAAGCCCGAGAACTTGGATGTCTTTCGCTCGCACCCTCTCGAGTGTCTCTGTTTGCTTGTAAGCGAGGCGGCAGAAGCCAAACTTGCAGCATGGTCGTTTATTCCACCGGTTTGACGCCTGGCGCAAGATGGTAGTCGCTGGAGGCGCTGTCCGTGTGTGCGTTCTTCTTCTTCGACACTTTGTCTCTGAAACCTCCCAAGAAATGCTTCTGCCACCATGAAGAGCTGACCGTGCATATCATTAAACTACAGCCATGCCGAAGTGATCCTCTCCTTGATGGGTTCGGCTATCGCCCATCACTGATACGTCTAAAACGCCACGGGCCCTCTTCCGCAAGGTGAAACCCTTTGGAAAACAAGAGGGCCCGGCTACGTAAGCTTTTCGAGTCGCAGCACAGCCAGCAAAGTGACGATTGGAGGATGCACGCATCAGGCTTGCAACCCCTCGTGCGTGTGCTTTCATCATCCTCTCTGAAATCTATCTCATGCACGCCGCTTTTTGGGGGCTTGCTGATCATCGTCGCATCGCCCGGGCAGATCGCCCTTGGACCTTTTTTTCCCTACTCTCCACCCTGCAGACTCGGTAGAGAGTCCCTGCGCTCCTCGAACTGTCGAAGCAGAATAGATTAAGACTAATCGCAGGGATCAACCTGCACGTCTGCCCGCCTAAAACCACTGACCAGCACGCACCAGATTTGCGTTGCCTCTGTGCTTCCGCCCGGATCTTGCCTTGCCCTTGTCACTGTTGCCCGCTCCCCAGAAAGACCATGCTCTTTTGTTCACCTTCTGTGCGCTAACCTTGCTGTTCCTTAGCCCCATACGCAGCGGGCAGCATCATTTCGTACCCTGTCAGTGCATTCTCTTGGGCCATATCCGTCCGTGTCTTGACATCTCTGGTCAACTTGCCATCCTTCTTCTTCTCTCTCCTACATCCTCTATATCCATCTCACGTCTTCCTTGTGCATACACCATTCTCTCTCCTGGTCGGGATACTCTTCATATAAGCAAAAAGCTTGATTACACAATCTGTTCGTCGTCATAGCCGAGCATCAAGGACTCTCCTCTTCAAGTCACCGATTGGCGCAGACCACCCTTGTCTATCAAGCACCATCTTGGAGAGATATACCCTGATCAAGAATCATGGAAGTCGCAACCTACGCACCTTACCGCCAACACACTTTCCAACCAGACTTCAACCCGCACTATAACCAATACCACGAGTCTCGAAGTCAGACCTCTCATCCCGTCTCAGTGCATCCTGCCATGACAAGCCAATATCAAGATGTCAGACGTGCAGGTCAACGTCAGGCGCTACAGCAGAGCTCTGCTGTGCCGACATCGCAGGACGATGCGAACAAACCTTCCCTTCCATCAATCTCAAACCTCTTGGGCATAGCAGATGGGGACAGAGCTTCACTCCCTAGCCAAGAGACCAGTAAGCTCAACCACATGGCCATGAGAGCTGGTCACTGACTTTCGTATNNAGGCAGTCCAGCACAGCAAGCGCAAGCTTACTACTCATCGGCTCCAACAGAGTCAGCATTTGGCCAAGGCTACGTGACGGTAGCAGAACCTATGCCTTCGACTAGAGGCCCACTACCTCCTTCGCCACCACCCATGCGCTCAGACTCGGTTGTCGAGACTACTCATAGTCCCACTTCAATGGTTGGACAATCCTACTTTCTCGGGTCCTCTCTCAACAACGTGGAGGCTCATCAGCAAAGGTCCATGCCTGTGAAGCGTCATTCCGTGCCCATGCCGGGTGGTGGCATGTACACAACATCACCCTACACAATGGCTGCCTACAACTCATCGCCCAGCGCAATGTCAACCAGCTCTTACTACTCGGCCGATGGTGTATATGGAATGAACAATGTCTACCAACAACGACCACTGCCTTCAAACTTTCCGCCAGTCATGCCGGGCGCGGTGATCGCAGCATCCAGCGTTCCCGCGCCGAATATGTGGGAACACCATCATTATATTGCTCCTTCCAGCCAGACAACATACCCTCAATCTCAGGATCGTTATGTCTGCCAGACTTGCAACAAAGCATTCTCGCGGCCGAGCAGTCTCAAGATTCACAACCACAGCCATACCGGAGAGAAGCCATTCAAGTGCACGCAGCCGGGTTGTGGAAAGGCATTCAGTGTTCGAAGCAACATGAAACGACATGAGAGAGGGTGCCATGCAGGATCGTCCAACATGTTGGCTTGAGCCTGCAGTATGGGATGTTAAATTTCCTCGTTCTTCTTTTCTTACAAACCTTTTTGGCATTCTCTTCTTTGTTTCTCTGGTCTTTTTTGATACCACAACGGGTTCCTTCTCTTTTTTTCTTTGGGTATTGGATGTGGGCGCTTATACGGATACGGAAGGAGTTGTGATTTTAGACTTGGTGGAGGAGAGGGCGACGCAAGACGTCGATGATTTGAGGCAGCAAGTCTGTACATGGAAAGAGGGCAAGCACCCTAGCGGTGAAGCACTGGATGTTAGATAGCTGGGTAGCTGAGCCTACCGGCATAAACCATTGTATCAAACGAGCAGAGGCTGAAAACCCCCAAGCAAAGTGCATGAAGTTGCAAGGCGACGTCGCGGGTTTCGCAATTTGACTCGAAACACGACGTTGGAAAAGTCGCAAGCTCGACGCCCGCCAAGTGCACCGAACGACAACAGCACGTCAGCGCGCACAACGACGACTCAAAATGGCGCCCAAAGTAGAGCCGGCAGGACAAGCAGCAGGCCAGAAGCGCAAAGGGAACTCGACGGATGGAGGGGGCTGGCGCAACAAGCGACAAAAGACGCAACGCGACGCTCGCACCCTAGCGGTGCAGACGAGCTCCAAGGCCTTCAAAAATGGAGAGCTCGACGTGGGAGCCTTTGTCAAGGCGCGCGAGTATGAGATCCGAGCACTCGAAGAGGGCATGGCGCGGGCCAGAAAGGGCCTCACACAACGAGCCTTTCAACAAGTGCCCAAGGACCTGAGACGCAGGACGGCCAGTCACAATGCGAAGAGAGTACCCAAGAGACTGCGCCGTCAGGCTGTGCGAGAGGTTGGTCGACTGCAGACCATGGCCGCGACGAGGCTAACATCGCACAGNATGGCCGAAGACAACACGCCAACCGTAACATCGCGTCGTCGTAAACCCAGTGGCCACATGCGGCTTCGCATGGACACCATCAACCGTCTACGAAGCCTCGGCCGCAAGAAGACGCCGTCGCCTGGCCAGGGCATTGTCGCCAGGTCGCTGCAGCCCAAGAAGAACACGCTCGCGTCCCCTCCTGTGCCCAAGGCAAAGTATCGGAAACGTCAACTTCACAAGACGTGGTTGCCCACACACATGTTTCATGCAAAACGAGCCCACATGACTCCTCCGTCTCAGCCCCTCTGGCGCTTTTCCTTGCCCTTGACATCAACTGTCAAAAGCTATCGCCCCACTCATCGTGCGAGTAAAGACCGTGGAGCCATTGCTTGGGATACAAGCTACATGTCTACAGTCTCCATACACGGTAATGAGCAGAGTATAACATCTCTTCTTCGTGCGCTGGGAGTTGGCTCATCCGATGCCGCCTGGACGAAAAGAGGCCAGAGGTGGAGACAAGGTTCTCGTATATGGCAAGGTTGGCTTTATGAGCGTGACATGTCTCCAACTCACCCCATTGCTCCTGCCACGATTGTTTGGCGACCAGAACGAGACTCCCCTGCAAAACAACGCCAGATTTTTATTCGTCTTCACCCATCAGCCTTCTCCCAGCTCTGGGACCAGCTCATCCGACTGGCCAAAATTCAGAAACCCCAATTGACCATCCAAGATTTGCGATTCGAGATTGGAAGCATCGAGATTATCGGTCCCGCTTCAACCGAAGCTCTAACAAGTGCTCTTCGTCCTGCACATACTAGTCAAGGAGAAAAGCTAACCGTCCAACAAACATGGCCACTGTTGGCAGGCATCCAAAACCCCTCAACTTTGCCTGCAAGTGCTCTTCTCGCTTTCGATATCACCGATCCGCGACTGCATCACCCTCCGCAAACTGCACCCTGCGCCACTGGAACGCAAGATTCTCGACTTCTCGAATTGCTGACGGAATGGCCTTTTGATGCTGCACAAATGACGACAGGTATTTTCGATCGTGCAAGAAGACTAGCATCTTGCCGTGCTATGCAGAGTCAAAAAACCATCAACCGACGCAAATCCGCCGCTACGCCAGGTACCTATCCTGAACCATTGGCTCAAGATCCTCGCATTCCAATCATGGCATTTCCATCACCTTCCCAACCAAATCCAAAACAAAAAAGCAAAGAGCGTACGTCTTGCTCGTGGGTCATTCTTTTGCCGTGGAAAGCAGTCCCTGCCGTTTGGCAAAGTCTCATGTATTATCCCATCTCGAGTGGCGGACAAGTGAGAATGGGAGGCTTGAATGAGCAACGCCAAGTTGCCTTTGAGACTGGCGTACCTTGGTTTCCTGGCGACTTCCCAGGCACCAAAGCGGGTGATCTCTGGGAGGTTTCAGAGAGTGCGAGAAGAAAGGCGCAATGGGAAGCAAAGCCCAAAGGCAAAAGGGTCGAATGGGACGGTGTCGCCCTGGGTCCTGGCAGAAAAGGCGAAGATGGTAGTGGATGGGCCTGTGACTGGGCCTACTGCTCTGATAACACCACAGACCAGGCGAAAGAGGATCTCACATCGAAAATCCATCACATTGCTCCAAGCCTTGCTCAAAGTGTCGTTGCTGGTCAGGCCACGTCCATCGAACATCTACCTCAGGCTGTTTCGACAATCCGCATCACCTTACTTGGACGTGGAACCCCTGAGCCTTGCGCACGAATCTATCGCTTGCCATTGGCGTGTGGACCAGAAAAGACCATATTGCGCGACCAGTGGCTTGCTCTCGACCCGGCTCGATCAGATTCGTGTGCCCAAAAGAAGAAGCATCAACGAGGCCTGCCATCGTCTGTGTTGAAGTCAACTTCTCCGGCCGACATACAGCAGCGATTGGCTGCGGATTTGTTGGAGCCTGCGCAACTAGACAACCACGACTGCTGTCCACCACTTCCTGGCAGAGAAGACCTCATTGGTTTTGTCACAAAGGGCGAGTTCAGCCTGACAGAAGGCAGAGGTGTTGCCATTGGTAGTGTCTTTGTCCAGAAGTCGATCGCGACTGTCGATGCTGCTGTAAAGGGACATCACATGTGCATTGTCAGAAATGCTGGAGAAACAGTGGGCAGACTGGGCAAGATGGAGTTCGTTTGATGTCGATCCTTGAGCAAACAAGAGACTTTGCTCGGCTCTGGTTCATGGGGGGGGGGGGGGGGGGGGGGGGGGGTATATATCTAAGTCTATCGCTATACAGGTACTGCAAGTCTCGAACCATGCTTGATCTGGGCAACGTCATTCCTTTACACATTCGAAACATGCTGTGGTCGTGTCTGTTCCGCTACAGATGCTTTGGCCAACAGTTCGTTTTCATCTCGCTGCATGCTTGCTTTTCTGACTTGACCGAACAACCTTTGTTGAGCAGTGTCAGAAGACGTTTTCTTGAGAGAGCTCTTGTGGGTACGCGTAGGAGTTTGGGGCATCCTTGCAATACTGCCCGAATCCTTGGCCAATTCCTCATCAGGGACATCAGTCTCGGCGTCGCTCTCGTCCGCCACCAACACTTGCTTGAGCACCGTTGTCTGATGCCTGGTCGGGGCCAGTCGTTCAGGATTGAACAATTGGAACTCGGGACGGCGCAAGGGTGGGGCCGTCTGCGGTACCTGCAGGTAACGCGTTGACTGTAGCGTTTGAGGGGTCTCATAAGGCATCGGAGTGATCGAGGCGGCTCGTCTTCTGCGTGTAGGGGTCTGTGGGGTCGTCGGACTCCTCCCACTCATGAGATCAGATGCATGCAGTAAAGCCGCAAAAGGTGGCTGATCGCGCTCGCGGGTGGTCCAAGGTGAAGATTGGACAGACTGACTCTTGCGCGGAGACTCGGGGAATCCAGCAGCACGACGATAGCGATTAAGGTGAGAGCGATTTTCTCGGAGGCGTTCGCGATAGAGAGTAATACGATCATTCAGGGTCGCAATCTCACTCTCCTGCTGCACAACCATGCGTCTGTGTTGCGAGACGATTTGTTCGAGCTGAGCATTCTGAGTCTTGAGGCTTTGTGTTTCCTCGACCACGGATTTCCATATGTCGGTGTGCACGCGACGAATGCTTGGGTCTGACTGCTGGATGATGCGTGGCTCGACGGGGTCATTGGTGTTACCCAAGAGCTCGGTCTCGCGTTGGGCCATGTCCATCTCGACGCGAATACGTTCCATAGCTTCGTTAGTCTCGATGGCAAGCATCTGATATTGCAGCTTGTGATGGGCAGCTTCAGAGCGGGCTTCTTGCAAGAGAGGCATCAGCCTGGCTATTATGGCACGGAGCTGATCCGGTTGTGCCTGTCGGACATGGTCTTCAGACAAGATCAAAGGTTCCGAAGCAGGTGTTGGGGAAGATGATGATGATGAAGTTGCGACACGATCTGCTGATGAAGGGTCAAAAGACCGAGGAGTCGCGTCGCCATGCCCCGAGGTTGGTGTAGNGGGTTCTGTCGCACTCATGATCTTGGTTGCTTCCGATAAAGGTGATAAATGGTAACGCAGACAAGACGGTGTTTGTGGATAGCAGTTGTTGTGTATGCTGTGCAGTGAATGCAGAAGAACAAGAGATGTGAAAGTCGGCCCGCAGTCTTTGTGTACTCGAAGAGACGCGCCGTGTCATCGAGTCCGTGCGCGATTCAATCATGCATCCCTTTTGGGGCAGGGTCCAGGTTGGCGGGACATCCGCAACGTTAGGCACTCCAACCCCCATTATTATCCAGGGGTTTTGATGCCAAACAAAAGTGCCGAGCTGGAATGAGTCCAGGTATAGACCCTTTCTTCTCCGACCCATCTCCATCATCGGTCGCTCGTTCCCTCCGGCTACCCATATACGCCTTGGGCATAGCTGGCCGTAATGGATCCCTCCGCCTCCGCCACTCCCTTGAAATCCTCAGGAATCCCAAAGTTCTCCTCTATCGCAAGACCATCGGCTTCTAGATTGCATGCTCCCAACAATGATCACAAAACTGCATTACCTTCTCCTTCTAAACCTTCTGCTTTGGTGAAACCGTCCCCTGCCAAAAAGGCTCTTCCGAGGCCGCCTTCATCTGGTAATGGCTTTCGATCCAGTATTTCTGGTCCCTCGACTGGCATCCTTCCACCCAGGACTTCATCGCATCGTTCTACCTATTCTATCTCGGAAAAGCCTGCCACTGCCACTAGGAACCCTGCTTCACGTCCGGTATCTTATATCGCGCAATCTCGAAGACCTGTTTCCAGCATCATCACGACTGCTCAACAAGAGGATTTGAATGATCAACTAGGCTCTCTTGGTGGTTTCCGCAGCGCTTCACGTGCAACTTCAAGGCAAGACGACTACGATGATGTATCAGCGTTTGATCATGTCGACGAGCCAAAAACTCCGGGCGCAAAGAGGGCCCACCGGCTCTCATTGTCAGATCGGACTGTGGAAAGTCTTTCGCGGCTCCCGGAGACTCCAGGGACCGACAGGCGAAGGTCCAGTTTTTTCGCGCCACAAAGTCCTATGGGTCCTCCATCGCGTCCGGCTTCTGCTATGAGCATTGACGAAGCACGAGAAATACCGCGTCCCAAACCTCTTGCAAAACTGCCTTCGCCAACCAAGAAGTCATCTGCTATGGATCCTCCGACACGTAAAATGCCTGCCAAGTATTCCACTCCAAGGGCACCTTCTTCGATTGGCATGGCACCGTCAAGACTTGGCCGCCCTACCTCCGTAGCAGGCAAACTTGCCACAACGACGAGTACGCCAAAGTTACCCACTTCAAAGCCTCTGCAGCGAACGAGTAGTCTTCGTCAGCCTGGTGCNGGGCGTAGCCGCTACTCCCAGACCCAGACCAATCACGAGCAGTTCGACTTCGGCGATCAAGCCTAAGCCAACACCTGCGACGGCTGTAAAAATGCACCTACCAAAGAACCGCAAGTATCTCCCGAGAAAGTAGCCAGTTCTTCCGCAGCGCTTAGAGACCAGATTGCGAAAGCCAAAGCTGCTAAGAGGACACCAGGTCTTTTCAGAGGAAAGCAGTCGAGTAGTCAAAACGACGATGCTACCTTTGATCCTTTTGCGGATCCTTTCAACACGAAACCCAAAAACTCCAATGGCCTTCTGCGCAAGAGGATTGAAGCAGCCCGTGGTGATGGTCGTCTAAACATTGCAGGAATGAACCTCAAGAGTATCCCGGATGAAGTCTTGAACATGTACGACCAACGAGAAGATAGTAACATGAACTGGAGCCAGATGACGGACCTTGTCCGCTTTTTGGCAGCGGATAATGATCTGGACACCATCTCTGATGACATATTCCCGGATGTTGCTACCGAAGTGGCTATGAATGACGAGAATGAAGTCAAGGGGTTGCAGTTCCGCAGTGTAGAAATGATTGATCTGCATGGAAATAGTTTACAGACAGTTCCCGCAGGTTTCCGCTGGCTGGAGAGGTTGACAGCTTTGAATTTGGTAAGCTTCATAATAAGAATCGTGCGAAAGCAAGTACTTACGTTTGCAAAGTCTCACAACAAACTGGGCAACGCCATTTTCGACACGATCGGCCAGCTCGAAACATTGCGAGAACTCAGACTTGGCAACAACAACCTGTCCGGCTATCTTCCTCAATCAATCGGTCACTTGCACAACCTAAAAACATTGGAACTGCAGCACAACAAGCTCCTCAGTCTTCCGGACGGTCTGCGCGAACTTGTCAACTTGCAGGTTCTTAACGTTGCTGGAAACCAACTCACGGGTTTACCAATGGACGTTCTAGAAACCTTACCTATCATTGATCTCAATGCCTCGAACAACGCAATGGTGGGCGCGTTGTTCCCTTTCAGTGTATCTGGACTTTCGAAGCTTGAGCACCTGGACATTGCCAATAACTCATTGGCCTCGCTGGCCTTCTCTGAGAATTTGTCATTGCCGGCCATCAAGTCGATCAACATGGCGAGTAACAGGATTGTTGCATTACCAGACATGTCTGGCTGGAAAGAGCTAATATCTTTGGCTGCTGCCGACAACAAAATGTCTTTGCTTCCGCAAGGATTCACGAGTCTTAAATACCTCAAACAGGCTGACTTGACCGGAAACGAACTCACCAAACTGCACGAGAACATCGGTCTCATGGACTCATTGGATGTTTTGAAGGTGGCCGCCAATCCTCTTCGGGAACGGAAATTGTTGAACATGTCGACGGAAGAGCTCAAACGTAGCTTGGCCCAACGCCTAAGGACACCTAACCAAGGCGACAAGGGTGATGACTTCGAAGATGAGGGGATCGATATCCAGTCACCTAAAGACTCTGGTTCACAATGGGGCGTTGTCTCTGGTACTCTTGACCTTCGGGACAAAAGCCTCGTAGATGATGATGCCGACGTACTCCGTTCCATCTTCAGCACAGAAGATGTCCGTGAGCTCAAACTGGCACGAAACAGTTTTGTCACCATTCCTTTTGAGATCTCTCTGGCTCAAAACCTCAAGATTTTGGACTTGTCAAATTGTTCCTTGGGAGACAATTACCTAACCGAAGTCGTGACTTTGACAGCCCTCCAAGAGCTGTTCTTGGGCAGCAACAAGATCTCAAGCTGGGAACCGCTGTTGAGTTTGCTACATGCGCCGCGCCTTTCATACTTGGACGTGTCCAACAACAGGCTGGTTGGTTCAGTTCCCAGAGTCCGAGACTCATTTCCTGAGCTAAAGGTTCTGCACGCCGGAAACAACAGAATTGATGCTGTCTCTGACGAGGCACTGGCAGGGCTCCAGTCTGTTGACCTCGCAGACAACAACATCGGTTACGTACCTCCTGAGATAGGACTGTTGTGGGATCATGGTCTAAAGGGACTGAGTATTGGCGGTAATGTGTTCCGCGTACCATCACATCGGATTCTCGAAAAGGGAACGGAAGCTACGATGTTGTGGCTAAAGGACAAGATTCCGCAGGACGATGAAACTTTCTAGACAACAAAAATTGGAGGTTTGCCTTTGAGCGAAATGACACTGTCTGCTGGCAGAAGGTCATGTGGGTCGGGCAGGCCTATGGAGTGCATGATACGAGGCGCAGATATTTCTATGACTGGTCGACGGTCTTTTCAAACTCAATCTTGAGCTCATCATTTCATGATCATTCCGCATGAAGTCGCGTCAGTCTTGCGAGTGGATCACAAGCGAAGATGTGAGAAGTGCGATTGTGAAAGATGAGCTGCCTGTGTGTCGAGGTTGTTGAGACGAGATTATAGCACGAAACCTGCCAGATTGGTGACGCACCAAGCTTAATTGTACAATCGGTTGCTCTTGCGATTTGCCAGCATCACATCTGTACCTACTCGAGTACATCTTGTGAAGGCAAAGTCCGTTAGTGATACAAAGAGCGAGCGTCCAGAGTCGAAACGTTGGAAGATGGCACGTGCGTGGGCTTGGCACACCACTGGCTAAGCGACAAGTCGAAGTTTTGCAAATTCGATCTTTTTCTCCTTTGACGACGACGACGACGAGACCTTCGACAACAGGATCATTTATCGCCCACCGACACAATGGTTAGTCGCGCCACCGCCGCTGCTGTCTGTGATAGGATTGGACCACGCTTGTTACGCTGTCTTTGGCCGACTCTCGATGCGCTACGCCACTCTCCGCCCTCTCGACGACCTGCGAGAGATGTTCGAGTCTGATGGTTGGGAAGGCACCTGTCCAGCACTCGGCGATATTCGCGTGCCCCGACGTACATGCTCGACAACGTCTTCTCGCCCTAGCCTTCACCACCGAGACAGCAACGACAAGCCTGGTTTCCATCCATCACTACATCCGGCAAAGAAAGAGATTTGGGACACAAATGGACTAACACACACATCAGGCCATCAAGCACAACCAGCAGATCCCGCACAACCATTTCCGCAAGGATTGGCAGCGCCGCGTGCGCGTGCACTTCGACCAGGTAATTCCCCTCTCTTCATGAGAGCAGAGGCGCCTGCGGTCAGCGACAGAGTTCCTGACAAGATCAACCCTANNGGCCGGCAAGAAGAAGGCTCGCCGCAACGCTCGCGCTGCTAAGGCTGCCACCGTCGCTCCCCGCCCCGTTGACAAGCTCCGCCCCATTGTCCGCTGCCCTACCCTCAAGTACAACCGCCGCGTCCGCGCCGGCCGTGGTTTCAGCTTGGCTGAGCTCAAGGTACGTATCCTATCGCCCTCGTTCCGTCGCACTGTACAGTGACTGACATGTCCNCTAAAGGCTGCTGGTATCCCCCGCAAGCTTGCACCCACCATCGGTATCTCCGTCGACCCCCGCCGCCAGAACCTCTCCGAGGAGTCTCTTGCCGCCAACGTCGAGCGCCTGAAGGCTTACCGCAGCCGCGTCATCCTCTTCCCTCGCAACAGCAAGGCCCCCAAGAAGGGTGACGCCTCTGCTGAGGAGGTCAAGGCTGCCAAGGAGAACTTCGTCAAGCAGGCCAACGTTACCTTCCCCATCGAGAACAAGCCCCAGGTTGTCGAGGGCAAGCTCTCCGACTACCCCGGTGAGGAGAACGCCTACCGCAAGCTCCGTGACGTCCGCAGCGAGGCCCGCCTTGCTGGTACCCGCGAGAAGCGCGCCAAGGCCAAGGCTGAGGAGGCTGCCAACGCTAAGAAATAAGCGACTTGACCCCCATGTGAAGGTCGGCGTTGATGGATTTGCTTTGACGGCTGCTTTGTGTCAGGAATCCAAGGCGAAAAATGGGCATTACCTTTTGATAGAACTTCTGTCAGCAGGAAGAGAACCAAAAAGTCTTTAGTTGCCCCTCATGATACCACTTTTTATGCATCTTGTTGTTTCCTTGTTACATGTGCTCGTGTGTCTCTGTTGTCCCCATATCATGAAGGTTCCCAAAGCTCGAATTGTCCTCTGCCAAGATTTTGATCGCCTTAGTCTTTGCTCGTCGACACTCATCAATCCATCTATCAACAACATGCTTCTACTACGAAGAGCGAGTCCACGACCCGTGTCACGATCGATTGTCAGATCCATGTCGTCGTCTTCACAACAGCAGTCCTCTGTTCACTTCCAATACTCTGCGGGAGAGGACAAAGAACAATTAGGTCGCGATGCCACTGCTCTGACCACAGAAGGCGGAGGCAGATGGAAGGTCACGAATGACAACAGAGGGCTTGAGCGAGCTTTTCGGTTCAAGACTTTCAAAGCTACCTGGGTACGTGAGGAATGTTCTCTCTTCGTTCAAGATGTTCATCGTGGTCGAAGGCGTTTCCAGGGCGTTCATAACCAGTTACCCTGTCCATTCACCATAGATTCGATGGCTGATCCGATCACCAGNGAATTCATGAACACAGTCGCGGCAGAGTGTAAAGTGCAAAAGCATCACCCAGAGTGGACGAATGTCTTCAACAAGACCCATGTACGCTGGACAACACATAGACCTCTAGGCTTATCGTCCAAAGACATTGTCATGGCCAGATTCTGTGATGAGGCTGGATTCCGTCATGGCGAGCTGGCCGATGTGGTGGATGAGGACAAGTGTGGATGTGATGATTTCAAGCCTTGATTGTTGCGGACTTTGGAGGGGAGATATGTTACAAGAACCGCAATTTTGGTCACTTCCGAACGAAATGTATCATGATTCTGTCTGACATGTCGAAGAGCTGGAACGGACAGGGTGGACGTGCAGAAACAAGATGCCAAAGCTCGCACCGGAAATACAGTATTAACCTCAAGAGAATATGGCATCCAAAGGCCCCGTTCGAAATGCTTGATGAAAGAAAAAAAGGAACAATGAGTTGATATCAAAAATACACCAGCCAGCTTCCTAGTCAAAACCCTTTAAAACTCCAGAATGGCTTTTCTTCTTTATACGCGCATAAGCTTGGCGGCGTAATCGACGATAAGCTGCTCAGTAGGGAATGCCATCTCCTCAAGCTTCTGGGCGTAAGGAGTGGGGACCTCAGCACCAGTAACTCTGACGGGAGGGGCCTGCAGGTAGTCCCAGGCGTACTCGGCGGTAAGAGCCAGAAGCTCAGCACCAACACCGAAGCTGGGGAAACCAGACTCAACGGCCATCATGTGGCCAGTCTTCTTGACCGACTTGACGATAGACTCAACATCGAGGGGCTTGATGGAACGGAGGTTGATGACCTCGGCCTCGATGCCGTACTTTTGCTTGAGCTGCTCGGCGGCGACCAGCGACTGACCGACGCAGCGGGAGAGGGTGACGATGGTGAGGTCCTTTCCGGGACGCTCAATCTTGGCCTTGCCGANACTGTGGACAAAGAGTAAGCGAGGTGTTGAGGTAGGCTTGAGAGGATATTCAAGACTTACGGGAATGACAAAGTCGTCCTTCTGAGCCTCCTCGCTCATGGGGAAAGAGAGACCGTAGAGAAGCCTGGAAACAAGAGGATCAGTATTGGTCGGCTGACGAGGAGCAGAGGAGCAGACTCACTCGTTCTCGAGGACAACAACGGGGTTGGGGTCTCTGATGGCGGCCTTCATAAGACCCTTGGCGTCCTCGGCGCTGTAGGGAGTAACGACCTTGAGACCGGGGATGGAGCCGTACCAGGCCGAGTAATCTTGCGAGTGCTGGGCGGCGACACCTGCGGCGAAACCGTTGGGTCCACGGAAGGTGATGTTGCAGGGCTGGATACCACCAGACATGTAGTGGGTCTTTGCGGCCGAGTTGATGATCTGGTCGATGGCTTGCATGGCGAAGTTGAAGGTCATGAACTCGCNACTGGAGGCGGGTCAGTAATCAGACTGGCGCAGGGTTGGTGTTTGGCCGGAGGCGGAGCTTACGACAGGGTGGAGGCCGGCGAGGGCAGCACCGACGGTAAGACCGGTGAAACCAGACTCGGTGATGGGAGAGTCGATGACTCTCTTCTCGCCGAAGCGGTCGAGCAGGCCCTTGGTGACCTTGTANNTCTGCGGTTGCGGTCAGCTGGTGCTTTCGCTGGACAGCACTCGCACAAGCACTCACGCTCCGTTGTACTGGGCAACCTCCTCACCCAGGACAAAGACCTTGTCGTTTCTCTCCATCTCCTCGGCCATGGCCTCGTTCAGGGCCTCTCTGACGGTCATCTCCTTGACGCCGCCCTGGGTAGCATAGTGTCTCGAGACTGCGACGGGGCGGAAACGGAGGGCAGGACGGGCGATTGACGCCGAGACCAGGCGCGAGGTGGGACGGAACATTCTGGAGGCGGCCATGGCGAATGCTCTTCTGTGCGGAGGGAAGAAGGAGTGAGGGCGAGGGGTATAGAGGTCGGGAGTGTGAGAGTGCTGCGAGAGGCTTGCCTGCTCAACAAAGTCCGTCTCGGAAATCTTGAACGCTACGAGCAGCTGCCCCATTTGCTACAAAACGGCCCGCCAAGCTCTTTGCTCCTGCCATTTCTTTGCGTCTTTGTCTGCCTAGCTCATCACAGATGCATGTAGAATTCGATGAGTATCTCGAAAATGTCAAAGTCACATTTGGCCACCACCAGCTCAAAAACGACTACCAGATTCAACCTTCCTGGCCAGTTTCTACAGTCTGCATGTTTGATTGGAGCTCCATCCAAGCTCCATAGCAAAACCCTGAGCGTTCTGTATCCTGGCTACGGCCCGAATCTTGGCTGGGTCGCGACATGCTCCGACCCGATTTCCTTAATGTCCGATGTTGGGTACCTATATTGATACCGTGCATGACCCGTCGGCTTGCTGCTAGCCTGGTGAGTATCGAGGATGAGCTGGGGCGCTCTCGGCCAGCTGTATCTGCTCAGACACAATGGCTCTGTTTCCTTTGCAGAGCACCTCGAGGAGCGGACTTGTTAGATGCCGGCTAGGCACTCGAGCCGACCATACTCGTGCTCCCTTCCATGCCTCGAAATATATTGCCATGCGAAACGCAACATATCGCTTCTAGGGTAGTCTAGCTCTATGTGAACATCTACTTCTCCAGTCGCCATGTACCACCATGTTGTTACAGATGCTTCGCGCGGAGATCACCACGTAACCCTGAACGCGAGAAAGGGGGCCAGTCGGCCAAAGCTAAACGCTTCCGTTTCTCCTCCGCGAGACGTTGGCAGCTAGATACATTCATCAGTCTGACCAATTTACTCAACCTCTCGCTCTTGGAGACTCTCCCTATCATTCCTGCGGCACTCCCAGACGTCGGCCCTCGTTCGTAGGCCATCGCTCGTCGTGCATGCTTCCTGTACATGCATCCCCGACTCCGCGAGCAACAATGAATAGACATGGGTATTCCAACTCAGGCGCATACCCGCTGGGCGGGCGCTCACACTTTTCTATCGAGCCTCACAAGTACGCATGTCCCCGTCAAGGCCTCTCTGTCTTCGTTGCGCTTACATGTCTGCACATCTAGNNGTTCGCTCCCCGCTCACAGCCCGCTATGCGACGACGTCGCCAACTCATGCTAAGACTGGCCCTGGTCGGCTCCCTTGTGTTGGCCGCCATCTTCCTCTTCTTCCCTTCGACGCGCCAGGCCATATTACCTGCCCTATCACTCGGCCTATTCTCCGGAAGCCAGCAGCTTCAGCTGGAGACTGTCCGATACTACGACCTTGCCAATGTCCAAGGCACCGCCAGAGGCTGGGAGCGAGAAGAGAGAATTCTCCTCTGCGCCCCTCTCAGAGACGCCTCTCCCCATTTGCCAATGTTCTTTTCCCATTTGCGCAACTTGACGTATCCCCACCACCTCATCGATCTGGCCTTCCTTGTCGGTGATTCCAAAGACAACACTCTCCCCTTGCTCTCTGATCTTCTGGCCCAATTGCAGGCCAGCGAGAAGGATGGCATGCCCTTTGGCGAGGTTTCGGTCATTGAGAAGGACTTTGGACAAAAGGTCAACCAAGACGTCGAGAGTAGACACGGCTTCGCTGCCCAGGCTAGTAGAAGAAAGAGCATGGCTCAAGCACGCAACTGGCTTCTTAGTGCGGCCCTGCGTCCCACACACAGCTGGGTCTACTGGAGAGACGTCGATGTCGAGACGGCGCCGTTCACAATTTTGGAAGACTTGATGAGACATAACAAGGACGTCATTGTACCCAGTAAGAATCTTTGCATCAAGAACACAATTCGCAATACTAACACGCTCGAAAANGACGTCTGGCGACCTCTGCCTGACTGGCTTGGTGGTGAACAACCTTACGATCTGAATTCATGGCAAGAGTCCGAAACTGCTCTGGCCTTGGCCGACACGCTTGACGAAGACGCCGTCATTGTAGAAGGATATGCAGAATACGCCACCTGGCGTCCTCACTTGGCCTACCTGCGTGACCCTTATGGTGACCCGGACATGGAGATGGAAATCGACGGCGTTGGTGGTGTCAGTATTCTGGCCAAGGCCAAGGTCTTCCGCTCAGGTGTCCATTTCCCAGCCTTCAGTTTCGAAAAGCACGCAGAGACCGAAGGATTCGGCAAGGTACGATGAGAAGAAGCCAAGTATGTTGCGTTGCAAGCTAACTCGATGTCTAGNATGGCCAAACGTATGCAGTACTCGGTGGTAGGTCTTCCTCACTACACCATCTGGCATCTTTACGAGCCCAGTTTGGACGACATCAGGCACATGGAAGAGATGGAAAAGGAGAGAAAGGCGCGCGAAGCTGAAGAACTCAAGAACAAGGAGCGCATGGACAAGATCCAGTCCCAATTCGATGATACAGCTAGCGAGTGGGAGAAGGACAAGTCGGAGATTGTCGATGCGCAGAAAGCAGCAGATTCTGCCAAGGGAGCAGTTGGAGGTGCGAAAGATGCTATTGGAAATATCAAAGAAGCGGCCAAGGAAGTGGCAGGAGGGGCCAAAGCTGCAGCAAAGGACGCAGCTGAAGACGTCAAAGATACCGCCAAGGGGTAAGTGCACATGGAATGTCTTGCAAGAATTCGCTGGCTAACACCTCTGAACAGACTAGGCGACAAGGTCGAGAAGGCAGCCGAAGCAGTTGTGAAAGACAAGGGGGCTGCGGCATAAAAGGATGGCCAAGTCCAAGGGGAAATTCAGGAGTTGTGCATGAGCATTATAAACGAACAGGTCGGTTTGAACATGTCGGTATATGTATTTGCATAAAGCGAATTAGAAGAAGACGACGGTGACGATGACGAGTCCTGCTATGTTTATATTGCACTTTGGCGAGGTGTTTGGTTGTTGCGGCGAGGCTCGGGGGTGAGTTGACGCGAGAATCCGGGGCCAGTCGGTGCATGAAGCTCTGACCTTTGACCGCGCATTGATCGAGTACGTCGACGACATTTAGGTCATTGTAGAGTGGCAGGTCGATGCACACGGCAGCAAATCCACGAGCACAATGAGCAATGGCACGGGTGCAGACGAGGGCCACAGTAGCAGGTCGAGTCTGACGACAGCGGCCGACTACCCGGCAGCGACGCGTCCGGTCAGCGTCGCCATCGACCCCGTGGCCTTGATCATTACCGAATGTATCACCGTCACCTCGGCCATGCGCAAGCATGCGCGCTGGGCCCAATCCTCAGTATCAGCAATCCTCGGCGGCGGTGCTGCTAGGCGCCCACCCTCTTCCCTCGGCTCTCTCGCTGCCGCTGACGACGCCGATGGTGGACAACTGGCTACACGATGGGGCCTTCGTGGCAAGAAGGGAAAGAGCATCCAGGACAACCCGCTGCTGTCGGCCTTTGCGCGTCTGCGTAGTCAACTCAAGGGGTGCAGAGGTATGTCATGCGACCTCGCTCACGCCATTTCACGCAGCAGTTGACGTCGCAACCTGACAGACATTCGTACCGTCGACACACCCTCGATCCTCCAACCTTTCCTGCAGGTCATTCGCTCGTCGTCCACAACCGCTCCCATCACCTCGCTGGCCCTGATCGCCATCACCAAGATGCTCTCCTACAACGTCATTAGCCCCGGTATGCCCAACTTTCCATACGCCATGATGCTCCTGTCTTCGAGTGTAACAAATTGCCGCTTCGAGGGTGACAATACTGCATCAGATGACGTCGTCTTNTTGCGTATCCTCAAACTCATGGAGATCATCATCACCGGTCCTTCGGGCGAAGTCCTTGGGGATCAAAGTGTTTGCGGCATGATGGAGTGTGGCATCTCCATCTGCTGTGCACTACGTATGAGCGAGGTACTACGCCGTTCGGCCGAGATCACCATGGTCACCATGTGCCAGACCATCTTCCAGAGATTGACCCACCTCGAATCCTTGCCCGAACACGACAATCAGAACGACCAAGACGACTTCAAAATCGAGTCCAGCACTACCCAAATCGGTTCGACTCCCGCTCAGGATACCCCTCCTTCTGGAAGCCTAGATGTGCCTCGTGTGGCCAGTGGTGAGAGGCCTTCTGCAGAATTCAATGCCAGCCAGGTAGACTTGACCAAAGCAACAGAAACTACCGAAATACCTGACATCAAGCCGTATGGCTTACCCTCGATCAGAGAACTTTTCCGTACATTGGCCGAACTTCTTGATCCTCATGACAGGCAATACACCGACACTATGCGAGTCATGGCTCTGCGTATTGTGAATGTGGCTCTAGAGGTTGCCGGTCCTTCGATAGCTTACCATCCCTCTTTGGCCTCGCTGGCCAAGGACACTCTATGTCGCAATCTTTTCCAGCTTGTGCGCTCTGAGAACATTGCCCTCCTCCACGAATCATTACGTGTCGCCGGTACCCTGCTCGCAACTTGCCGCAGTGTACTACGACTCCAGCAAGAGCTCTACCTCTCATATATTGTTGCTTGCTTACATCCCCGCGTTCCGATTCCTGACGAACCAACCATCAACCCCACTCTCTACGAGGGCGTACCTCAGGCTCCAAGACTCGTCAAACCAGCTGCATCTGCTACGCAAAGTGGCCGATCCACTCCGGTACCGGTCAAGGATAGACAAAAGCTTGGCTTGGAAGGCGGTTCTCGGAAGCCCGACGCAAGAGAAGCTATGGTGGAGAGTGTGGGAGCCTTGGTCAGAATCCCCAGCTTCATGGCTGAGCTGTTTGTGAATTACGATTGTGAAATTGACCGAAGCGATTTATGCTTGGACATGGTCGGCCTCCTCTCGCGCAACGCATTTCCAGACTCCGCTACCTGGAGTACTACCAATGTACCGCCACTCTGCTTGGACTCATTGCTTGGATATGTGCAGTTCATTGCCGATAGACTCGACGATGAGCCTGTGACAGAAGGCTTGCCTCGTTTGGAAGCACTTCGCGAACAGCGAATCCGCAAACAGATAATAATCCGTGGTGCCACCAAGTTCAACGAGAACCCCAAAGCTGGTCTTGCTTATCTGGCTTCTCAGGGGATCGTTGAGAACATGGATGACTCCATGTCCATCACACGCTTCCTCAAAGGAACATCACGGATCGACAAAAAGGTCTTGGGAGAATTCATATCGAAGAGATCCAACGAGGCTATCCTCGATGCCTTTATCGATCTTTTCGACTTTACTGGAGAGCGTGTCGACGAAGCCTTGCGCCAAATACTCAATTCCTTCCGTCTTCCAGGCGAGTCACAACTCATTGAGAGAATTGTCACAGTCTTTGCAGAGAAGTACTGCAACAAGACTGATCCCGAGGGTATTGCGGACAAGGACGCTGTCTACGTCCTGACATATGCAATCATCATGCTCAATACCGATCAGCACAATCCAAACATGAAACAAGCGCGCATGGCAGTGACGGACTTTGCCCGCAATCTACGTGGTGTTAACGGGGGTAAAGATTTCGAACCAGAGTATCTCCAAGGGATTTATGATTCGATCAGAACTCGGGAAATCATTTTGCCAGAAGAACATGACAACAAGCACGCTTTCGAACATGCTTGGAAAGAACTCCTAATCAAGACTCAAACTGCGCAAGATCTGGTCTTGTGCGATACCAATATCTATGATGCAGACATGTTCGCAGCTACATGGAAGCCTGTTGTTGCGACCCTCAACTATGTCTTCATGTCTGCCACTGATGATACAGTGTTCCAAAGAGTCATCTCTGGCTTCGACCAGTGTGCTCAGATTGCGGCCAAGCATGGGCTTCATGACTGTCTCGACCACATTATAGCTTCTCTTGCACAAATCAGCACCTTGGCCACAGAAACACCACCCAGCACTGCTCTCAATACCGAAGTGCAAGCAAATGGGAAGAGTATCATGGTGAGCAAGTTCGCTGTTGACTTTGGGCGAGAGAATAAAGCACAGCTTGCTACGCTCGTACTCTTCCGTATAATCAATGGGCACGAAGCCACGATCCGAGGTGGCTGGAGTCATGTAAGTTCAATATCAAGATTTGTGCTCTTCATCGTACTGAACCTTGTAAACAGGTCATTNCGCATCATCCTCAACCTCTTCATCAACTCACTCATTCCCAACACTCTATCGGCACTGACTTCAAAACTTGATCTTCCGCCTATCCCACTTCAGAGCCCTGCTCAAGTTATAGAACGGAACGACAAGTCTACTGATATCGGTTTATTCTCTGCTTTCACATCTTATGTGTCAAGCGTGATGAATGACGAGCCTCCAGAGCCTAATGATCAGGAGATTGAGGCAACACTTTGCACGGTGGACTGCGTCAGTGCTTGTCGACTGGATGAAGTTATTGCCAACATTGGGTAAGCAAAACGTCGTTCGTTAGTATATTAACACATGTTGACATCTACCTCATTAGCNAACATGCCTGGTACCTCTCTCGAGACTTTCACACAGTCGCTCTTGTCGTATCTGCCGCCAGATGATGTCGAGAATTCGCCTAAAGTCATCGTGATGAAGCCACCGATTGCTTCTCCGACTCCCATACGTCCTAACGGTCAAAAGCCGCAGCCCGTTACTCCAGACTATGACCCGGCCCTTGTTTGTGTCCTCGAGCTTGCGACTGTTCTAGCAACGCGTGACCAAGATTCGATGTCATCATTTGGCAAGGACGTTGCTCAGTCTTTGAAGTCTGTAATTCACGACGCTGATGAACTACATCCTGTGACAGTTGGTCGGGCATCCTACTATCTCTTGAACTTGCTCAAAGCTAGTGATGTCAGTTCTCTTCATCATAGCCATACGTGTTTTGCTGACCAGAAGCAGGATCACGATTATGTTCGCGCCCCAGTTGTGTTGCATACCATTTCGTCCTTCAGCCAAGACCTTCTTCAAAGATGCGGCCCAACAATTCTCAAAGGCATGTCTGGATGCATCAAAGGGCCTGCAAGCCTCCGGAAAGAGATGGCAACATCCCCAGATTTCTGGTCGGTGCTCCATGCTCTTCAACCAAATCCAGAAGCTGCTCCGCTAGCTTTCCATATCACCGAGGACATTGCCACAGGATCACCTCAAGCTATTACTGCTGACAACTATGAATCGGCTATTGGTTTGTTGAATACCTTTGCCACAATTAGCGCTGTACGTGAACAACGTAGAGATCCAGCTGCGCGACGAGCCAAACCAGCTGCACCTGAGAAGCGGCCGGCACCTGATGAAGCCACCCTTCGTGGTGTCAGGGCGATGGCAATTGTATCACAGATGACTGGTCGTGTGCCTGCCTTCATCAAGCAGTCTCATCTGGAACCCAACGAGGCGTGGCAGGCATATTGGCTTCCCATCTTCAGGTGCTTCATTATGCAATGTGTCAGCCCTTCTCGCGAAGTTCGCCAGCAATCATTTGCATCTTTGCAACGATGCTTGCTGTCTAATGATCTAGCATCACCAGAACACAATGAGTGGACAAATATCTTTAGTCAGGTCGTATTCCCTCTGGTTCAGCAGCTACTCAAGCCCGAGGTATACCAGATTGATCCTCTCGGCATGAGTGAGATGCGCATACAGACCGCGCAACTCTTATGCAAAATCTTTTTGCATTACCTCGTGATGCTCAGCGAGTGGGATGGAATGCATGACTTGTGGATGGAGATCCTGGATCTCATGGACCGTCTGATGAATAGCGGTCAAGGGGACACACTGGTAAGTTTTCCAAACGCCCTTTGCACGCACGATTGGCTGACGTTCTTGGCTATANNGGCGGAAGCTGTGTCGGAATCTCTCAAAAACATACTGCTCGTCATGTCCAGTGGCGGCTACCTCAAGCGACCAAGCGAGGACGGTGAACAATCAGAGCAGCAAAAACAATTGTGGAACGACACGTCGGACAGATTACACAAATTTCTTCCGGACCTGATGCCTGAACTGTTCCCGGAGCTGGAGGCCAAGGAGAAGAAAGAAATAGGGACGGAAGGAGTTCCTGAAAGAGTTGAGGCAAGTGCGCCTGCGCCTGCTACTGAGAAGAACTCAGAGGTTGCGTAAAGTGGGTGTATCAGTCAACCCTTGTTGTGAGATTATAATAGACAGGTCTATAAGGTGAAGATTGCACCGTATGAAGAAACACAGCATCACCAGAGTCCATCGTTTGTCGATCTGATGATGCAGTGCGTCAACCCTCCACAGGTTTCTCTGTATTTTTGTGTTTTAGAGCCCGCACCGCATCACCAATGGCCACAAGACCGCGCGTCTATAACGAGGGCACATAGACTTTCATTCCGCTCAGAGATGCTATAAAACTTTGCAAGGTTGGCGTACGGTTACACCGCCGTGCTGATAATGATGGGTGTAGGTACGACCCTGACCAAACGCTTGCTCATTGATGACACCCACACGAAGAGCGTCACACGACAGACAATGAAGCTTCAAATTCCCTCATCTGCAGCATGAATGCTCACGAACTTTGCTTTTTGTATTCCTTGAGCTCTTTCTTGAACTGCTCCTTGAGCCGCAAGTACGTCTCGTCCTGCTTAATCTCCTCCAGTATATCCTTAAATATACGGCTCGACTCTTCCTTGTCTGCCTTGTCTGAATGATGCTCGCTGTTGGGAAGAACCTCGTGGTCTTTGTCGTACTTTCTTCCGCCCTTATGATTGGCGTATCGTTTCGCGCGTGTGAAGCCCATCTGAATGAACTTGCGCGTCATGTCCATCCCAACAAAATCTCCCTCTTCTCCAAACCGCTCGAATTCTGTTCGTAAGAGGGCCGAGGATTGTCGTGCAATCTCTGGTGTTCGAAAGCGCCATAGGGGAAGCAAGTATGACTTGTAGGGCTCAAATGTTAGGACGCCCATCTCTCCTCGTCCTATGCGGTACTCCATCCGTTGGACATGGGTCGTTCGAGGCTGCGAAACAGTTGGGGATTCCAGCTTGGTGGTCGCTACAGGTGCTCGACGCGGCGGCATTGCAAAACGACAGTCTTTAGGGTAGGGAATGGTAGAATTGTAAGATGAGTTTTGTGAAGGTTGATGATGAGCTTCGTACAAAGCACGCGTCACCGCGATTGAAGTACCTATGCCTACCTACCTTACCTAACAACTCACAACACGTGAATAATCCCACTGGCCAAGTAAATCGCCACCGTCGCAGCGATCGTTTAGTACATATTCAAAACAACACGTATGGAATGGCAAAAGGGAGATGTGCAAAAATAATGAGACACCATGAAGGTCGTACTGGGGCTCGAACCCACTAGGTATTGTTAGGATTGTGGTTGATTTGTGGGTCGTGAAGTCAAACTTACGGACTCGAGAATGTTTGAGTCATCAAAATCTCGCGTGCTAACCGCTACACTATACAACCGAGTTGTTGTTCGGTAAACAGTCATCTGGATTTATATACACTGAACGGTAGGTAGCTTCCATCAGCGCACGCGACCAAGCTCGGATTCGCGCGGTCATGATGAGAACAGAATGAGGACACAAGGTTGACGGAGTTGGATCATGACTTGACTTTTGCACCGACAGACGCTGCTTCCCTCTCGATACTTCTCATATCGCGCGCGACAGTCTCCAGTCTTATTCTCTTGCCCGATACGGCCCTGCTCAATCAAATGGCGTCTGTCCCCATTCTTGCACCGCCGCGGGAGAGGAGTCGTGCTCCGAGCTCGATCGAAGCAATCTCAGCAACACGCCTCAAGCTTTCCCACTTTGGTGGGGCTCCAAAGCTTCCACACTCGCGTATCATGATGCGACTCGATCTCACAGGAACTTGCAGTGATCGACTACACGAAAAGAAACCAGCGGGAGACGAATGCTGTCGTCCACGGTCGCATTCATATCTGATGCTCCAACGACCAACTCTCAGTTAACTAGTACTCGGGCTGTTCTGTCTACGACCCAAAGACGTTCCATCTCTTGCGCTAAAGGCGCTCGGCCACGTCATTGACATGCTCTAAAAGGTAAAGTCATAACATACCCAGGCCGATTCCACGTCGCGACCGGTAGCAAGCGGTCTTTGAATCGCTCCGGGGTCCGACTCAAATATGAGGGTAGGTCGCTGCACCGTTCTTCTCTCGGAAAGCTCAAAACCAAGGTCATTCTACATTGTTACTTGCTAGTGCCTGACTTGCATATCATGGTCAATTCAACACAGACTTCTGGCCCCTTGCAGGCATTGAGCGGTTACGTGGCATCCTATGGCTGGGGCCCTCTATTGTCCGTTTCGCGCAGCACTGTTCTTTCGCTATTGTCGCGTATCCAGGTTGGACATCTAAGAGTAGCGGATGTGGATGAGAAAGTGTCTACTTACGGGCACAAAAAGGCTGCCAATGGAGAGCCGGAGAAGAGCGTGTACTCTCTGCCCAATGTAGAGTTGACTGTGCACAAAGACGTGTTCTGGGTGCGCATGCTGCTTTTCGCAGATATGGTAATCATCATGGCATTGTCAAGTGGAAATCTTGGGCTGATTGAAGGGTAGGGTTTCGCAGAGAGCTACATGCTTGGGGAGGTCTCCTGCTCCGACTTGACAGAGTTCTTCCGGGTTCGATTCGAGATTGTCAACCTCTGAAGCACACGCTAACACGACCAGTTGTTCATTGTCAACCGTACCCATCTTTCGAATGGATCCACGCTCACGTCGAACCTCTCCGCCAAACTCTCGTACCTGCTTCGCAAGACGAACACACTCACGACAGCTCGTCTAAATATCGCCGCGCATTATGACATCTCCAACGATATGTTCGCCGCATTCCTGTCCCCCGACATGACCTACTCCTGCCCTATCTGGTTACCGAAGTCAGATTCTCGTTCCTCACAAGAGACGCTCGAACAAGCCCAAATGCGCAAACTTAGACGCTTCATCACCAATGCAAAGATCAAGGCAGACGACCATGTCCTGGAGATTGGTACCGGTTGGGGCAGTTTTGCAATTTTGGCTGTACGAGAGACTGGATGTCGCGTCACGAGTCTGACCTTGTCAATCGAGCAAAAGGCGTTGGCCGAGGAAAGAATCGCGGCAGCCGGATTCACAGACCGTATCGAGGTTCTCCTGTGCGACTATCGTGCCTTGCCAACACCAAGAGATGGAAAACTATACGACAAGGTTGTGAGCATTGAAATGTTGGAAGCAGTGGGCAAGGAGTTCCTTGATACCTATTTCCAATGTGTCGATAAACTCTTGAAGCCTGAAGGAGGTGTTGCAGTGTTCCAGTGCATTACGATGCCCGAAAGTGTAAGCACAGTCTCTGCCGCGCAGAATTGATCGACTACTAACTGCTCAAAGCGTTATGATGCATACAGCAACTCAGACGATTTTATCCGACGATACATCTTCCCTGGCGGCCACCTTCCTACTGTCACACAACTCCTAGACTCCGTCAGAGCCGGCTCGTCTTGCAGGTTAATTCCGGAGTCAGTGGAAAACATTGGCCCTCACTACGCAAAGACACTGCGACTGTGGCGCGAAGAATTCATGCGAAACTTCGACCAAAAAATCAAGCCTTCGTTGTTGGAGGAGCATGAAGGCATGACCGAAAAGGACGTTGACCTGTTCCGCAGAAAGTGGGAGTATTACTTTGCATATTGCGAGGCTGGCTTCGTCACCAAGACCCTGGGCGATGTTATCTTCACTGTCGGAAGAGAAGGCTCGGTGGAAATGATGGAAGACGTGCCAGTCTAGCTGCATCCTCGAAACAGCAAGATGTTTCTCGCTATTCGGTTGATGTGCAGGATCAAGGAGGGGAAGGAGACATTAAGGAGGTATAGAATTGTTGGAGATACCCCGATTGTGCCACATAGACTGGCGCCGATCAATGTTTGCAAATATGTTCGAAGCAACTACTCCCGAAGAAGCGATTATGTAAATGTCAACACGAGTGGTAAATTCTGCATTGTCTGTACTCGATTGTGCTATGATGATTAGGGAAGATCGCTCCAGACTAGTGGCGTCGGGATGCGCAAAACTTGTGCGCGGCCCAGATTTGTCGCGACTTCCTCCTCGAAAGCGACATTGACATTGTCTGAGTGGCCATCAGAGATGGACTCGTCTCCTGCGAAGACCAATCTGCCGGCGCGGCTTCCACGAATTGGAAAAACCGATCCTTTCAATGCGCTGATCCAGAAGCTTGCAAGGTAGGTATATTCAAATCATTCCCATAGCCGACATCTTTTGCTCATGCACTTGCCAGATACTTTACAGATCTCATTGAGAAACCCATCACGTTTGAGGAATTCCGTACCACTCAAGACCATCTGCTCACACCGCTGTGTCGACACTTGCTCCATGACGTACATCACCCTGCCCTGGTTGCAGCACTGCTGTAAGATGAAAGCTTCCCGAAGCCAGATCAAGCTGACGTTGTATCTCGATAGNNCGTCCTCAAAGGCCATTTTGTCACCCTCGAGGCCGACGAGGAGCAGGGGATCCATGCCGCAAGGGGATTCGCTTGTGAAGCCGTTGCTACGAGGTTTATTATTGGCTTGGCCGACAGAGAGATCATCGACTCGCTTCTGTACGAATTAGAGATTCCTGATAACTCGGAGATTGACGACCAAGTCGTGGATGAGAATCAGCCAGAGCTCTTATCGCCAGCTACCGAACAGTCNCCTCTGCTGCCACGATCAAGTCTACGTTCTCGTGGAAGCTACAGGAGCAGAATCACCATCCCGGAGTCTTATGACGGTGTCGCTGAAGACTCATCTGCTGCTGTTACTAATGCCGAATTGGCCGAGCAATTCGACGGTCTCAATGCGTTGGAGATTGCGGCTGTATCTGAAGCCAAAAAGTTCCTATGTCAGAAGCAGGTCCAAAGAATCATCAACGCAATCTGGACTGGAGATATCATGTTCTGGAACAAACTTAGCGCTGATGCACAGAAAAAGGCGCAGATTTACCAACGCAAATCCATGGATCCTTTCTGTCGCCTGCGTGTCCCCATCTATCTCAAGGCCTTTGAAGTGCTCTTCTTTGTGGCATTTCTGGCATTCTATTATGCTGTCTTGATGCAACGTTCGTTCTACTCGGTGACTACAGCTGAAGTCTTCCTCTACATCTGGATCGCATCGTTCGCTCACAACGAGATTGGAGAGTTTTGGGATGCAGGCACCACAACATTTTATCTTGCAGACTTCTGGTCCCTCTGGGACTTGTTCGTAATAGGGATTGGGGTTGCGTTCTTCATTACTCGTAAGTTCTGTGCTCCTTTTCTCCTGTCGTTACGCCTCGCGATTAGCTTTCTGGCACAGACGAGGGTTGAGGTATGGTCAAGCTAACAGTGTCAGGCNATGATCGGCCTTCATCAAGGGAACGACAAGATCATTGATACATCCTTCGATATCCTCGCACTCGAGGCGTTGTTTCTCATCCCTAGAATATGCTCTCCTCTGCTCTCTCTGAACTCTTACTTCGGCACGCTGCTTCCATGTCTTACTGCTATGACGAAGGTTTGTCAAGATATGCGTTTCCATATATCGATCACGATTAACAGTGCCNNGAAGGACTTCTTAAAATTTCTTTCGCTTGTGGCAATATTGTACTGTGGCTTCTTGTCAACTTTCTGTTTGCTAGGCAGAGGCCAGTTCACCTTCCGCCAGATGGCTCTCATCTTAACGAAGGTTTTCTTCGGAAGCTCATATCTGGGCTTTGAAATCAGCGATAAGATTTCACCTTATCTCGGACTGCCACTCATGCTCGTTTTTGTAACGTAAGTGGCACACATAACTTTCTCTTAGCCCAATCTTCTGCTTTTTGTTCGGAAGAGACTTCTGCTGACCTTTGACCAACTACAGNNATTGACGCAGATCCTTCTGGTTACCTCGCTCATCTCGATCTTGTCCAACAGTTTGAGCAACGTTTTGTCGCATGCCAGAGAAGAGTATCTCTATGTCTACTCGGTCTTTGTGCTCGAAGCATCTACATCGAACAGACTCACCTACTTCATCCCTCCTTTGAACCTTTTCTCATTGGCTCTTAGACCTCTGAGACTGTTCCTCTCTTCCGAACAGTTACGCTACAGTCGCATAGTGGTTCTCAAAATGACGCATTTGCCTCATGTACTGCTCATAAATTTGTACGAGAAGATGCAGTCTGTTCGTAGAAAGAACACTACCGGATTCGGCCTCGGATCACCCCGAGGTATCGAAAAGCCACCTGGTTGGAGACGATCTGTGTTGAACAAGAGGCTTCCATCACGATACCCGCTGTTGGCGCCAAATTCGAGACCTACCACAGGTGTCGACCAATCGCAGGTCTCGCCGGGCTCACAGGCTTCGGCCCCTGCAGCCATTAACAACGATATCAAGGCCGTGCTCGATCAGCTCACTTTGCAGATAGGACAGCTTAAAGGCGTTATCGAAGAACAAGAGCGTCAGCTCCAAGCGAACGATGACTAAGTCCACACACAGTACAATTACCCGCGCGGTACCAAACTTGCAACACTGCTAGAAGCGCTTCGACAGGGCCACCTGGACAGTGAAGAGAAACGAGCGCCAATTTGGCCCTTTTGATTGCTCGGAGTCCAGGGTCAGGAAGCTTGTTGAAGTCGCGGGGCTCAGCGCTTTGTGCAAGGGTTTATCGAGCCATGAGGCCATCAGGCAGATACGGACGAGACACGGGTGAAATAATGGGTGGTTGATTGCTTTGGCCCAGATAGTCGGGTCGATGGAGACGCTACTCGGCAGCCGCCATCCGCAGCCGAGGATCGAGAACCGCAAGAATTAACGGCATACAAAAAGCATGGACGAAATTATAACAATTTGAGCCATCAACACTATCAACGTGAATTGATGGAGTTCCAGGCGTCCGTGAAGAGAAGTTTTAGGTGCATGTCCTCGATACCAGGAGCTTGGCAGGTACCCTCCCATCGGGTCGTTGTCACCAACATTGGTCTCATATGCGGGATTTGAACCAGAGCTCTTTTTGCATTTAGTCGTAGGTTGCGCCTGAGTTGTTCCTCACATCCATAACCGCTCTTATTCCCCGAGTTGCCTTTGCTCCGCCTCTGCTGTCAAAAATAGTACGTTGCCAAGGTGCTCTGTATCTGAGCTCACATCCAGCAAATATAACTAACCTCTGTCTGTGTGTTGCACAGGTAGACTTGATTCAGCAATCCTTTCAACATGCAGCATCAATACCATTGGGGTCCCGAGCTCTATTATCGTCCAGGATACCAAGTAGAGAGTCATCGAGACTTCGACTCCGGCCATTGGCGAAGCCCTGTAGAGTCTGAAAAACAGTGTTGGACAGAGTTACCGCAGCCGGTCTATGGAGCTGCCACCTATCCCGAACTTCCTGGTCCTGTTTTGTCGAGTTCTGGGTCACCGAGCTTTGGTCCAATGAGTGTAAAGCAAGAACACGACTCGATCTCGGACTGCAAATGGTCACCAACTCTGACAAACTCGAGCCTGATCTCAAACACTCCGTCACTCCCAACAACACGCTCTATGCCTATAGTGGACAGTGCTGTACACATGGGTAGCTTGGAAAGTTTGACTCACTGGCTTGAGCCTGATGTCTACCACCGATTAACTGCTCCTGCTGGCCAGCAATCTTCACGCTACTGGCATAACTCTCAAGTGGAAACCAGAGAGAATGTGTTGATGCATAGCTCGCGGAGAAGACAAGCCTCCTTGGAGCGACACCCCGAGGCCGAGGTGCAGGCACTACTGGACAGGCCTCGCAGAGTCAGAACCACAGCAGAGAATGCCAGGTTCTATTGCAACGAGTGCGATAAAGGATTCCAGCGTGTTTACAATCTTCGGAGTCACATGCTTAAGCACGAAGCCACAAGGGAGAAGATTCAGTGCCCTCATGCCGGTTGCAACAAGAGCTTTGACAGGAAGACCGATCTTGGCCGCCATGAGCGCAGTGTACACTTGCACTTGCGAGAACACAAATGCGTCTTGTGTGGGTCTTTCTTCGCAAGAAAGGATACGCTTGTCAGGTATGCCAATTCTGCCCTTTTCCAGCTGCATGATGTACTGACTAAACCGATAATGNNCAGGCACATCGAAGGCAGCTGCTCAAAACGAACAGGAGTGGACCGCAAACGACCCAAAGATTCTTTGGCTCCAGCACTTGTGGACTAGCATGCCGACATATGCTGATGCCGACTTGTTCGTGAGGTTGAGGCAGCATGACCAGTACGCTTTTATCGGTTCAGCCGTGGTAGCTCGTTCGACCTACACCTAGCTTCCTAGCTGCAGGCGCCCAAGCGCGGCTGTATGCACAGGTGATGAGGGTTCCAACAGCTGCCGATCCTGACTCGTGTATATATTGTATTGATGAAAGGGTGTGGATGTCTCTTAGATGAGACAATACCACTGAGCCAATCATCAACTTGCTTCAAACACCACAGGCGGGGACGTTGCGCGGCGAGACAGCGTGTTGTTGAGATGAGGGCTGGGCATATATAGAGGAAATACAGCAAAGAGCTGATTCGGGTCTTGTGGTTGTTTTCAACGGCTTCTTGTACTCGAGTAGGCCGTATAAGTTAAGCAGGTTCTGGGAAAGGAGGGGTCATAGACTGAGACTAGGCCCATTAGCAACCAAAGCTGAATTTTACTGACATGCAAAGAGATCACGGCAAACCCCTGGAGCCGAGAGAGACAAGTCAGGGTCCACACACGTTGAGTGCTCGGCTTCGACGAGGGAACCCGAGGAATTGACTTTTTGATCAGGTGGGGAGACTTCTCATCGGCCGAAAGTCTATTACTCTAAACAGACCACCTTCCACAATCGTGTCAGAAGTCCGGATCTTCGCAAGAGCACACAGACGTGGAGCAGAAACGACCAGGCAAGCACGCGGAACAGTTCCGGCTCGACATGTATGTTGTGGATAGGGGCTTGCGCCGAGGTGGATCCATCATCCTTCGTGTCGTTCCACATTCAAAACCTGGATTTCGTGATGCAGGCTGATGTTATACATGAATCGTAGATAGGGTAATCAAGGTGCACAGATGAGCCGAGACGCATTGAGTAAATGTCAACGAGATGCCGCGACAAGGATCCGATGCCAACAACCTCAGGTTCGTGCATTGCAGCTCAATCAACCCATATGGATAGTTCACCCAATGGTGCAATATTTCCCCCAATATCGCTGTTGCATATTCGGAGCCCGACAGCGTCCGTGTGTTTGCATACGTGAGTCGAGTCCTCTGAGTCTAGCCTGTTTATATCTCCACCGACCCTCGACTCGGTGGCTTTCTACCAAGTTACTATACTTGACTCACGATATCTAGGTCGAAGAAGAGCAAACAACCAAACTAGAGGCACTTGTGTAAGCGAGACATGGACCAAAATGTACGGAAAAGGTTCGATAATTCTACGATACAAGCCCGATATCTTGAGGTCTGGAAGAGAGTTTGGGGTATTTAGGACATAGAGAAATAAAGGGTGCGAGAAGAAGACGTGAGGATCAAGAGATTCTCTGACTTCACATGAAGTCTCCACTACCGAAGTTGTTGAAGGGATTTGGTGGACCACCAAAGCCTGATGGACCTCGAGGACCGACTGGGTCGAATCGACTTCCTGGGGGTGCTTGAGGGTTGTATCCACGACCTCTTTGATCGTGGAAGTCAGGTAGAGTTGGGTGCATGCTGCCGCCGCCGAAGCCAGGGCTTCCGAAGGGATCTCTTGGACCAAGACCTGCAGGGTAGAGATCTCTTTCGCCAATATTGCCAAAGCCTGGATGGGGACCGCCCATGGGACGAAGCGGTCTATTCAGGTCGTACGGATCTTCGAAGCCTGGAGGCGCTAGTTCTCCGTGTGGAAATGAAGGCGGAGGCTGAGAAAGAGGATCGTGCAAGGGCTGAGGACGAGCTGNGGGTTGACGATCGTCATGCAGAGGGTCATGACGAGCAGTGCCGGGATCCCTGGTGGGCTGTCTTGAGGTTTGAGCGGCGGACTCTTGGTAGCCTTCTTTCTGGAGTGAAGGCATGAGCTTCTGGATGATGTTGATGCGCATGAGCGAGCCATAGTCGGAGAGACGGCCGTTGGATATGAAGAGGTTGAAGAGATTCCTGGCGTGAGGCTGTGATAGGGTGAAGGGCATGGAACCTTCGGAGGTGTAGTCTGCAGCCTTGACGTCGAAGGTAGCCGTCTTGTCGTCACCAAGCCCCATGGCCAAGACGACGGCCTTGTTGCCCATACGGTTGAGCTTCAGCAGATATTCCATGGATGATTGGGTGTGGGCATAACGGAAGGCGTAGTTGGGAGCGTGTGCATTCCAGCTGGCAGGTAGACGAGGAGGGTTGCCGACTGCGATGCGGTCGTCGTCGCCGAGCCCCACTAGACGGAAGCCTACAGCTAGCATGGATGTGTGGCTTGCCAGAGCGATGGCATCGAAGGAAGTCTTGATGTGGGNGGTGGTGCTGTCTTCAGGCAGGGTGGATGCCATGACGCTGGCCAGCGAGTCTGCGGAGAGGACGTTGCCTATTACAGCCATGTTGATAAGGTGTGATGCAGACGCTTGCGACTGTCTTGGTGGCAGTGGAGTTGAGGATTTGGAGATCAAGATTGTGAGTGCAGGTGATGGATTTGAAGATGGAATCACCAATGGTGAAGCACTATTGTAGGCAGCCAAGTCAATGACGATGATCTGCGCGCGGGAGCACCCGCTGCTCTAGGCCGCCTTGGGCAGTCTGTCGACTCGTGTGTTACTTTCTGTTCCGTCAGGTGGACAGGCTTGTATATCACCTCTCTCCCGAGTAGACTAGAGCAACAGATCTGGGATGTGTATTCTGCTCGACTTTGCATGTCTGACGACATGTCGGCGGTGGTAGACATGAACATGTAGGCGACCCCGCATGTTCTGTATGTTTGGGTCGGCAGCATCCGAACGCTAAGGCTGACGAGGCGCACGTGCTCGGCGGGCATAAGGCAGCGTGATAGAGGGCCAGAGTTGGCAACTGCCTCTCCAGGCACCCCCATGTCTCTGGACAATCACCCGACACAGTCTCGCCTAGGCGTCACACCGACGGGCGTCTGAGAGAGAGAGAGAGACAGAGTCGGATCCGGAATGTCGACCAACTCGTCGCTGGTGCCGTCGTCGTCGGACCTGCTGCTCCTCGTGCCCCGCCTGGCGCGCAACATGGCCGACATGGCCATGCGCTGGATGCCCAAGGACAACATGACCGAGTCTACCGCCGACCACCTGCTCAATGCCACTGCTGCTGTCCTTCACCACGCCGCATCTGCGACCGCCGCCCCTGCTGCCTTGCCCTCCTCCTCTGGCTACCTGTCGTTCCTCAGTCTTCCCTTCTCGGCCGATGCAATCAAAGGCTTTGGCGGCATGTTCGCATACATCGGCTCTCGCTGGGCCCTGGCAACCTTTGCTATCGTACGCTCTTCCCCTGTCAGTCACAGCCTCGTACCCACAGCTGACTATGCCTGTTCTAGNTCAATCTTCCTCAATCGCACCCACTTCTACGCTTCGTCTCGCCAGAGCCTNAACCCCCGTTGGCACACCCGTCTACTCCTGTACTCAGGTCCCATCCTGCTTCTCTCCTATCACATCTTGTCCATCCTGCAAGCTCTCAAATGCCAAACATCCCCGTCCTATCCTCTGTTACGCTATGGCGACCCAAACAAGCAACTGGCCATCAACTTTGGCGGAGAAGGTGGCTTTGTACACGTCTTCAGCTCCAAGCTGCTATTCTGGAAATCGGACGCCGAGTGTTGCCGCGCCATGAACATGTCCCTCCAGGACGACAGATTCCTCGACGTCATGGGCTCCTTTTCTCTGCTCTGGCCTCTTTTCCTGGCCCTCTGTTTCAGCCAGTTCATTGAAACGCTGAATTGCGCTCTTCAAGGGAGACAGCCTCTGCCCGAGACTGGCATGACCACATTCGAACACTCTCTGGCTTTTGCCGAGTCGGAAGCCATGCTTACCAACGCCATCGGCTTGAGTGTCTTTGGCCCCGCCGATTCGTCCTCTCACCCCCGCCCACCATCCAACTCGTCCGACCCTTCGGACTTGTCCAGCATACTTCTGACCAAGTCCATGGTTCTTCAACGCCTCAACGTTCCCTCAGAGGTCTTGCTCATCGCCCTCATCTCTTGCATGAGCCACATTAGTAGTGCAGTGCTCGCCATCACCGGCCGGAGACACCAACTGCGTCTCGTCAACACGGCTATTTGGGCCGTATGCTACATGGCTGCTTTCTGCTGGAGCTTTGTCAACGCTCTCTCTAGTCCCCTCGGTTCCGATGTTAGCATTCTTCGCTTCCCTACCGTCTGCATCATCGGCTTCATACCTCACATGCTCATCATTCTAGGCATCTTGGTTTGCTCCTTCATATATGCTGTGGCCTTGTTGCTCAACGCTCTGTCACTTCCACCCAGTGCTCCGCCGAATCCATCCATCAAAGACCGCTTTTCGATTGCTTTCAACAATATGCAAGCGAACGTTCAATTCTCATCTGTCTCATCTATGCGGCTAAGTTGGACCGAGGATTTCTACACTGTCCTGCTTAAAATAGGCTTCAACGTTTTGACTGCCGCAAGTGAGTCCGTCTTCTTGAACGAAGGAAGCAAAATTCAGATCCATGACATGACCTGGCTTGAAAAGGAACGAATCCAAGAGCTTAGTTCCATGCTGGAGAACCGCCGCCGAGCAGACCTGATCCCGTCCGACTTGCTCGATGAACGTATTGCGAGGGGTCTCAGTTTCACAGACCACAAGACAATGCCCTCATCATCAGGCTTTGCTGTCGAGCGAAAATCAAAATCTACCACCGAAGCCGCTAGTAACAGAACCATCAATAACGACAATGGACTAGGGATTGCAGATCGTCGTGGCAGATGGCAGCTGAGCTTTGAGTTTCTGAAAAGTCTGCTTTGGTTGCTCATCCGCATCAACAGTCGCCTTGCCTTGACTTGTCTTTCGATCTTGGGTATTGAGAGAAGCCCCAACTGGTTGACCAGAGCCGCCGACTACAGCCAGCCAGCTGCGCCTCCCGCTTCTATACAACAACGATCCGATCAACGAGCTTCGACCCCTGACTTTTGGCTGGTTTCTGAGAGGGGCGTGTTATCTTTGCCACAAAATGGTGATATTGACGTCGAAGTAGAGATGCGCAGACGACTGCAGGCTGCTCCTGGCAATCCTACATGGGAGGACGCTGTCGACACCGATCTGTACAATTGGTGGAAACGTGGCGGATGGTGGGGCGATCTGGACACGAGCGGAAATTACGAAGCTCGAGAGCAGGATGACGATACGACCAGCATGATTTCTATGTCGACAAACGCACCTAGCGAAGCCGATTCAGAAGATGACAGTGGCAGAAGGACACCGACGCAGGAAGACTACACTCGAAGTCGAGGGCAAACACCTGCAGCAGACTTTGAGGTGACAGACCTAGTTCGACTACTAGACCCAAAGACAGCAGCGGACAGAGAAGAAGCACAGATGCTGTCTCGTCATCTTCAAAGCGAGAAGCCTATGACACGTTCACAATACCGTCACCGAATGAACCGTGAGAAGGCACGGGTGCTCGACGTGCCCTACCTCGAGCCAGCCTTTAGTGAAGGCGCAGAAGGGACTTTGAGTTTGAACCATGAGACGGAGAATCTAGAACGATTCCTACTCGAACGTCGTCTAGCAAAACGTCCAGAAGTGGATGGAGGTGCTGGTTCGTGGGACTCTGGCGCCGAGGGCATGGGATCCAGCGGACCACAGTGTGTCGTGTGTCAGAGCAGTCCTCGTGTCATCGTTGCATGGCCCTGTGGCTGTCTCTGTGTGTGCGACGAGTGCAGGGTAGGCGTTGCCACTCGAAACTTTACAAAATGCATGTGCTGCAGGACCAAGGTTGTAGCGTACTCCAGGCTATATGTCCCTTAGATTTGCTCCTCTTTTGTATACTTATATCGGTTGTTTTTCTCATCAATGCTCTTCCAAATCGTGTTTGTGTGACCAAGCTAAACTATCCTCCAAGCCCGTCCTTCCGATGCTAGAGGGAACCTTGATTCGCTAATGCGGCGAAACGCTGTCTGTTGAGCACGATCAAGCCAGGCGAATCTTGGGCAAATCATAGTGTAAACATACTCTAGATGGAATGCATAGATAGACAAATCAACCATTGAATCACTACCTCATACAAACAACACCTTTATTACTGTCCGCGATATACCAAAATCATCTGCCAGATACTCGTATAGTGACTTGAAAATCTTGTAAATTCGAGACCAGGTGACCGTCTCACGACACCAACCCAATCTGGTTAGTGCGGGCGACTTCTCGTCCCATGCAGAGGTCGCGATAGACAGCACGAATCAGAGGAAACGAGAACATCGAAAATCATCATTGCGATGGAATTATGAAATCTAGCCTCTAGAAAATCTACGTTGCTTTCCCTTGCCTTTATCTGAGCGTATCGACAGAGCGGGAAACTCTTCTCGTGCCTCTACTTCGGCTTCCAGCCTGCTCTGCTCTTCGGCGAGACTGAGCTGCAGTGCAAATTCGAGATCTGTCAATTCTCTGTCATTGCTACCCTCTGCTGTCTCTTGCTGTTGGAGCGCCTCGTAATCAGCCTCCTCTTGCTCCTGCATGCGCTTGGCTTCCTCTTCTGCAAGACTGAGTCGGATTGCCTCTGCGATTTCTGGATCCATATCTGCATCGTCCATTGGGGTAGCGATGGGTGCCCTACCCTTGGTCGAGGGCTCGATCGTTTTCTTTTCGTGGTCCTTTGCAAGCGCTTCCTCACTAAGCATCTGGGCGTAGGCAAGAATCTCTTCCTCGCTAGCATCACTGCCCAAGAGATCAGTACCAAACCTTCCAGCCAGATGCTCTGCTTGTCTTGCTTCTCGTGCACTCTCTCTCTCAAGTTCAAATTGTTCGTTCGCGATGAAGCCTTTGATATTGCCTCTGCCAACGTTGGCAAATCGATCGTTAGCCACATTGGTACCTCGATCCGCTCTCCTCAGGCGACGTTTGTGTGACTTGTACTGATCTGCTGCAGAAGAGCTGAAGCTCCAATACAGCAAGTGTGTACCAACGGAGACCATACCTCGCAGAACTGTTGGATCGGGATCAAGGCAGATGGCTCCCGCTGCGAACAAGTTGATGCCCACACCTTGGACCGACGCTTGAGCTTGCACCAATCTACGTCTTGCTCGGGATGCGTGGCGTGAGTGCAGTCTTTNTATCGGGCCCAGACTGGAAGCTAGAACATCCCAAGCTTGTACAAGGCCATCGTTTCCTCCGTGCACAAGGTAGAGAGACGACAGTGCAATGCAGGAAATCTGTGGCGATTCTGTGTGGATGATGCGTATCGGTTCCAGCGTGTTGACAGCCTCGGCCGAGGTAGGCAGCGATGCTCTTGCATCCCAGACCAAAACAGTGCCCATCATGGTACCCACAGCGATGAATCGGGCTCGCTGACCTGGGATATCCGTAGGCGAAGACGGTGTGCTGGACTTGTATAGAGGTGTCATGCTAGNGGAAGACACTGTCGACTGGCCCGAAAAGTTCAAAAGTGGATCCTCAGAAGACGTGAGAGTCGCAAAGGTTGACCCATCCAATGCGTGAGCTGTGATCTGTACTGTTTTCAGCCCAACGAACGACAAACTGGATAGTCTCCACTCCTCTGTCGAGCGCTTGGTTCTGTTGTCGGTTTCGAGATCTTGAACTGTTGACAACGACAGACCACATTCCAGATCATCCTTAGATGGTGATGGAGGGGTCGACGGGCCGCCGAAGAGGGAAGTCGATTCAGGGGCTGTCGGGGTTGATGTGAAGTTCGATCCATTTATTCTGTTCTCCGACCTGTTCGTATCGGCGACCTTGAATCGGACGAATCGTTTGGCCGAAGCGACAGAGTCTTCGTCGAGGCCAGATTCAAACACGAAAACAGCTTCTCCGGCCTGGTTGCCATCATCTCCTGCGAAATCAACCTCCAGTAACCTGCGCATGTTCCATCCCAAACAGGTTCTTTGGAAGTCCTTGGGCTTTCGATTGATGTAGTCCTCGATCTCATATGTCTCGGCTTTCATTTGCTCTTCGCTCAGATACATGCCATTCCACGAGGTACGAGGAGAATAACTGCCGTCCACATGAGAATTGCTGTAAGGGTTCGGGCGAGCAGTGCGTCTACTGGGTTCCACAAGATTCCAGTATACAGATCGTCCAACCGACCAGGCAAGACGCTCCTTCGCCTCGTCATTCGATCCGACAGGCCTATCGTCGTTGCTGCGTTTGGGTAGCTTGGTCAAGTAGAAAACCTCGCCCAGAGCGTTGAGCACAACTGCCCATGCCCGATTCTCTCCTTGACGCTTTACTGAGTATTGGTCGTCGATGGCAATGGCAATTATTGGTACTCCCGGACTGAGGACCCACCGCGCTGTAATCTCGCCTCGACCGAAGCGTTGATCGCGAGTCCCGAGAGGTCCAAGACTGTATGTTGTGAGGACACCGAGGGATGAGCCCGAGATGAGTCCAATCAGGCCGTCGGTAAGAGAAGGAATGGTAGAAGATTTGGCGATCCACACGCTGCATATGGATTCCTGAACAGGCAATAGCTGCGGAATTCCAAGAGCTGGTACGGATATGCCGCTCGAAGGCTTCAAGAAATGACCGCGCATCTCCTCAGTATACCTGTAGTAGACAAAGCCACCCGGAGAGCCTTCGCCATGGATCATGCCGTATGGCTGACTGACGTCCATGGAATTGGGAATGCCTACAATATTTCCAGGACCCAGACCGTACATGGCATCTCCAGGGAAGCGATCCGAGAACTGGAGGAACGTGTTGGGGTCGCCCAGTCCCCACGAATCGGCCTTTTCAAGAGTTGGATCACTGCTTCCGGCGGTGCCAACATCGTCAGCGCCGTGAACGAAGCGGGGAGGTCGCTTGTTGAGAGCGGTGCCACCAAAAGTGGCGTGTAAGTGGTTGACAGTTGTGAACATCTGCGAAGGGTAGACGACGATAGGTGATGCGACTGGAGGCTGGCCAAGACGAGCTTGGGCGGGAGAAGCAGGCGGCTGGACTGGTTTGCCACGAGCGAGAGAACGTAGCAAGCGGGTGCGAAGGATATATTCGCTTCGCCATGAAGCCAGAGCAGTAACGCGAGTAAAGGCGCGACGTTCGACACGAAGGCCATCATCGTGGTCGTCTTCGTCGTGATAGGCATTGGGATCGAGGGAGTCTGGGCCAGGAAAATAGCGTGAAAAGGCAGTCCTCCAGGCGTGAGGAGTGGTGACTAGATCATGGAAGCGGCGGGAGACGAGCGAAACGGCAGACAGGTCCTGAGGAGAGAGGTGTGCAAGGGCGTGGGTCAAGATTTCGTTGGGCAAGTCGGCAATAGGCGAGTGCTTGTCACCAGGCTTTCTCGGCTTCTTGACGACAGCAAAGGCCGGACCCTCCATCTTCTTTTTGGACGGCGAGGCGGCCGAGGCATTTTCGTATTCGGCGATGCGATTGCGCGAAGCTGAGCAGGCCTTGTGCGTAGGACTCAGTCGTCCAGGGGTGTCAGCGTCAGGCACATGGTTGACAAGGCTGACACCTCCATTGTCACCGACTGGACTCGCGCCTTGTTGCTCCCCATGCTGGCTGTCAAAGGTGGGCTCGGCGGGGCTCGTGGACTTGGTGTTCGGCTGTTGGACAGACGTGGGGGACTGTGCGTGCATAAAATTGTTGTAAGAGTGAACGTGAGGGAGGAGATGACCGAGCCAGCAACAGTGGTTCAGTCGGGCAGAGTCTGGGTGTCCTTTGGGTCTTGTCGGTGTGTTTGGTAGAAGTGGTCTCAGTTTCAAGTATGTGGTTGGTGAGGGGCAAATCCCACTGAGGTCACTCCGCCTTCCATCCGTCACATTGTGGGGAAGGACGCAAAAGTACGAAGGAGCCAGAGTGCATTCACTACTGTAGAAATCGATTACCCGAGAGGTGATAGACATGTACGATATCAACCAAGGAAGACACTGGCCATGATCACTTTATGCACCGCACCATAACTAAACTTCATAGTGTTTGTTCAGAGAATTTGGCCTTTTGAATTGGCTTGTCGAGAGGAAGTTCTCGACATACAAAGGAAAAAAGCGGCGCCTGTGTTGGTATATTTGGACAAACGAAAAAAATATGGCCATGAACAAAAAGTGTGAATATAAGTCGAGTGTCTTACAGACCACTCCTCCTAGTGGACCTTCATATGTCATCGTCGACATCGATGGCATCCGGGTTGGCTGCTGGTTGCGCGGCTGCAGCAACTCTGTTGCCGCCTTCTGGTCCACTGCTGGCAGCGACAAAGCCCGTAGGCGCGCGGGCCTGACGCTCCAAGGCCGCCATAGCATCTGTTTTCTGTGTGCTGTCATCGGAAGCTCCATCTTCAGTCGGAGCTTGTTGACTGCGTGCGATAGCCTGCGAGGCGATGAAGCTGACATCGGTGCNTAGTACGCGGTCAGTGATTGATACTACTCTTAGCACATGCAATACGTACTTGTACTGTGCTTGGACACTACGCTTGATACGAAGCATGTCCTTGAAGGTGTCTTCGTTTCCGTGTTGCACCTCAAAGCTCTCCCACTTCTGCCAGAAGCCAGGCTCCCTTCTGGGATCACAAAACTGACTGGCATGTCCATATATGGCTCTGGCACGATCGATCTCTCCCAACCGTCTTTCCATCTCGGCAAACTTGAGACACATGTCCTTTGCTTCGCTATCCGGCAACGCAGCAATAGCTCGCTCGTAGATTGAGCGAGTTGAAGTCAGGCCAAAGTTCGAGGCCGATTTGGTAATGTAGAAGTTGAACATGTCCAGGCGATCCTCGTCCGATACAGCACGTGTCGCACGCTCGTATATACGCATGGCGTGACGGGCCAGTCCACGTTCTTCTTCTAGCTGACCGTACATAAGGTATAATACCTTGGCGAACTTTGGAGGGCATCCTTCAACGGCCTGCTCGAACAGGTCTCGTAACCTTTCGATGCTGATTTTCCGGTCGACTGCTTTCTGAAGGTAGAGGTTCCAGAGCTCGAAAGCCACTGGGTATGAGAAGAGGTCCAATCCCCGTTCGTACACCTTGAATGACTCCTCAAAGTATTTGTTCTCTTCGAGTAGATTGGCGTAGTTGACAACAGTCTGGGGAGTCGCGATACGCAATTCGAAGATGCGCTCGTAAACCTTGCGAGTCTCATCCAGAGTACTAACGGACTCGACAAGATCAACATAAAATGACCACAGCTTCCAGCTTTTGTGTACTCGTTGTTGAGGACTGAGAGTTTCATCAAAGTAATCGACCGTGCTTCGTTTGGGCGCCTGGGTGGCCTTCGCCATGATATCGACAGCGCGATCGAAGTTCTCGTTGCGTAGCTCCATTTCCGCCCATTCTACCCACATCTCAGCGAGTTCGTTGACAGACTTGAAAGGTACCTTGACGGCCTTCTCCATGATGACCCTGGCATTGCGTAGATCGCCACGCTCCTCGTAAAACTTTGCGTAATTTGTCCAGAGAGTGTGGTATCTGCCGATGGCCTTTTTGGGGTTGATTGCAGCAATGGCGTTGGTATAAGTGTTGACAACCTCAGGCTTGTTATCACCCCAGAGCGCGACCCTCTTTTCCCATTCGGCGACGCTATTGGGATTCTGTCGAAGTAGAACGTCGTTCAGGAGGAAGGGACGACGATCCATGAGTTGCTCGAAGCGCATCATGCGGATATCGAGCTCAAGGTCGGCATTTTCATCGGGTGTACTCTTTTCCGAACGAGTCTGGGCCTCGTCCATTTTGATACCAATCAGAGCTTCCTCTGCTTCAGCGTACGTGTCGAAGACGATGGAGAAGTCACGAACGGTCATGACGGTAGTGATTCCCTCCTCGAAAACGTCTCTTGCGCGCTCATAATCGCCCTTGTTGATCCAGTAGCGTGCAAGGCCTACCCACAAGATACCCCTCTGGTCCGGAAAGCGTTGTATTCCACTGCGAACTATGCGGTCCACGTCGATGCCTGTATCCTCACCTGTCTGCACGTGGCGAGCGTGGTCGATGATGAGCTCTAACATGTCAGTCCAGAATTGGAAGGGACCTTTGGCTTCTTTGCTGCGGAAGCGTGGATTGTTGAGGATGTCCATGTATTTGACGACGGCATCGGTGTATTGCTTCTGACCGATGAGGATGTCGATAAAGTCTTCGGCGTGCTCGGGGTGGATCTGCATGTAGCGGCGCCAGACCTTGATGGCTGTTTCTCCCGAGGCAGATGTAGCGAAAGGACGGTACAGCGCCCATATGCGGTTATGCTGAGTGATGGGGAGGGCTCGCAGGGCGCGATCGAAGGTGCGACGGGTCTGGGTGATCCTGGGTTGGTTGCAGAGGAAGGATAGGTACATTTCCCAGATGCGCGGCATCTTGTTGAGGAGGACCAGAGCTCTTTCGAACAAGGCGTTGACCTTCTGGTATTCCGAGGCATGGCGGGCGGGGTTGCGGTTGCGCAGATGGGTCACACGCAGTTGCAGATACAACTTCCACAGCTTGTAGCTTCGCGGGAGGGCATTGCAGGCGCGTTCCAAGACAAAGGCGTGGTCGAGCAGCGAGCCAGTCTGGCGCTTGAAGGAGGCATAGTCGAGCCAGGCGCGGATGTTTGCGGGATTGCGCAGAATGTCCTGCTCGTAGATGACATCGTTGTCGGTGACAAGGTACAGATGCGAAGCTGTCGACATGTCGAGGGGGATACACACACGTCGTAGCGGGCCTACCGACGACGGCGGCAATGGCGACGGGAGCGACGACGAGAGGGATGCGACGGCAGCGCAGACGAGATTGGCGAGACAAACAGCTGGTTGCTGCGAGCTGCTCCCGTCGACTCTCACTTGTCGCTTTCGACTTTTGGACTTTCCAGAGCGTCGCGCGCGCGCCTTGGCACTTTCCCCGAGCAACAACGAACGTCATGCGGCCAGCGGGCATAGCACTTGCTGGAGCTGCTCTCTGATAAACAGCCACGCTTCTTCCTCTTATCCACCATTTGAGCAGTCGACACCATGTCTGCTGCAGGAGTACGTCTGTTGTTCGTGCCGGTCCCAGCTCCTAGCTAACAGAATCTGAACAGAGAGAGGCCGTGTTTCCCACCCGGCAGTCGCTGGGTCTGATGAAGGGTAAACTGAAGGGTGCTCAGACCGGCCATGACTTGCTCAAGCGCAAGAGTGAGGCCCTGACCAAACGTTTCCGAGAAATCACCCGCCGTATCGACGATGCAAAGCGCAAGATGGGCAGAGTCATGCAGATTGCGGCCTTCTCCCTCGCAGAGGTCAGCTACGCCATTGGCGGCGCTGGAATCGGCTACCAGATCCAGGAGTCGGTCAAGTCGGCAAAGTTCCGTGTTCGCACTCGCCAGGAGAACGTCAGCGGTGTCTTCCTACCTCAGTTCGAGAGTTTCCAGACCGAGGGCAACAACGACTTCGGCCTGACTGGTCTGGGTAAAGGAGGTCAGCAGGTCCAACGCTGCAGGGAGACATATGTCAGAGCAGTCGAGACCCTGGTTGAGCTCGCCAGTCTGCAGACAGCCTTTGTCATCCTAGACGATGTCATCAAGGTCGTAAATCGCAGAGTCAACGCCATGTATGCACCCCTCCAACTTGCTTCTAATTACATTGCTAACTCTCTCTGTAGCGAGCACGTTATCATCCCCCGCACAGAAAACACCATCAAGTACATCAACTCAGAGCTCGACGAGCTCGACAGAGAGGAGTTCTTCAGACTGAAGAAGGTGTCGGGCAAGAAGGAAAGAGATGCTCAGGCAGAGGAGGCCGAACGTCAAAAGGCCAAAAAGGCCGAAGAAGAGAAGGGCATCGACTCGCAGGCCGACAATGGGCCTCAGGACATGCTAGGAGGGGGAGAGGATGATGAGGATGTCATTTTCTGATCGATTCGTTTTTTGCTATTTGAGATATCCTTTGCTGCTGCTGCAATTATAAAGCCACCGTACATGCCCAACACAAGCATGTCTTACTGGCGCTGGAACGTGACTCTGATGGTGTTGTCACCCAGCGACATGCCTGCCGTGGCCTCTTTGGCACTGATAGCCCCGTCCTCGGCTTCGTACTCGACGAACGCAATGCCCTTGCGACCAGGCACAGTACGGACCTCCTTGAAGCCTGCAAAGCGCGAGAAGATGGCTGTGAGAGCATCGACTCCGTAATCCTCGGGTACTTGTCTGATGAACAGAATCTTGTTGGGTGGTAGGTATTCGTCGGGCACGACTCCAGCGCCGGCACCTGATGTTCCTTTGAGACCTGCTCCACGTGCCGTCTTTGGCGCGCGCTGAGCAGCAGCTTCTGGCTCTGGTGCACCTGGTGCTGGTCGTTTGAGGTTTTTGGCTGCCTCGGCTGCTTCGAGGGCTTGCTTGCGCTCTGTTCATGCTTGTCAGCTTTTGAGAATAGCATGTTCTGCCAATCGGAAACCCACCCTTCTCGGCCTTGCGGTGGCGCTTGTGCTGTTCAANNGTTCTTCAGAGGTTCCTTCTCTTTGTACTGTCGCGTCACTCCTGGTCCGGGCGAAATCGAGGGACATGGACTGGCCGAATAACTCGAATCCGTTGACTTCGTCTATGGCGTTCTCGGCTGACTGGACGCTGTCGAATACGATGAAAGCCTGTCCCTTGCGCTTCAAGCTTGACTTGGCGACAATGTCGACAATGGTTCCATATTCTTCAAAGATCTCGCGCAGTGCTTCGATGAGCTGGGGGATCTTGATGCGCTCGGACAAGTTCCTGGCCTTGATGTCGCTGCAGTCAGTATCCTCGGGTCACAAGCCTGGTAGCTTTGAGCTCCCAATTCCAGCACACATACATAGACACTGTTCACTTGTTAGTAAGACGCTCTTACGCTTGTTCGTACGGAGTGCAATGTACGAACGTTGCGTTTGGCGCGGTTCCTTCATCTACAGTCGCCATCTTGTGTAGTCTGCGCGATAGCAGGGAATCTTGTCAGGTAGATTGAGTCGCGCGTGCCGCGAAGGTCTCGAACGAGCAACCTCGAACTGAGAGTAGAAGCCGACATTCAGCCGGTACTACTAAGCCGCATCAGGAACTAGATGATGACATATTCGAAGTTGATTATCTCCCTCTCCTCTGCAATGAGGGCAGACATCCTCTTCCACCTGGAGAGCCTGAAAGCACGCTTATCACTACGCTGTAATGGCTCCGTCTACTTGGCAGAAGATCAAAACCACTCTCCAGATTAGCCATGATTATAGCGTGACTCCGGCTGGCATTAAATGGAGAAGCAACACTCTATTTATTGTTTCGACTGTTGCTGTCGGTCTTTTCACTAACCTCTTCTTATACGGTCTAGTGGGCTCTTAGTACATACTAGCACTAATTTCTTTATAATAGGTCTTAAAGGTAGTTAAGCGTTTATTCTACTTACCTAGTAGAAAGACTAGACTCTAAAACATTATTATAAAAGAGGGTAGGTACTCTAAGTACGGTTTAACCTATTATTCTTAAATCTAACTACGCTATAGTTAACTAATTTTAAAGCCTCTTAGAGCCCTTACTAACGCGTAGTATAGTAGTAAAGTAGCTTAGCTTAATACCTCTTAGTAACTATAATAAAACACTAGTTAAGGCTATGTTTTATAATAACTATAACGTTAATATAGTACTTAAAGTTATTTCTTATGCTACTTAGAGTACGCTCTACTAGATATAGCGTAACTTTAGAGCTACTAGCTACGTATAAAAGCCTTCTACTACTATTAAGTAGTAAGGTTATTAACGTAAGTTAATACTAATAGTACGTAAGTACGCTATAGCGTTATGGCTGCCTAGCTTACTATCTTAGTAGGTAAGTAGTGCCTTACCTAATAACAGATCGTAACACTATAAGCATAAGTAGAGCTATAAGTACGACTAGAGCTATAACTATGCTAAGTAGTAAGGTAAGTAAGGCTAGAGATGCTTTCTATATAACTAGTTATAAGATAACGGAGGTAGTAGTAAATAGCTTAAGCTAAGCTATGCTTATAAAGGTAGTTAATATAGCTAAAGAAGTAGAAAGAAAAAGTAATAAGGCTAAAAACGTGTTATAGCCAACTATTCTAGGGAGAATAACTAGTTACGGGGTTAGACTTGTAAAGCAGAGTGTTAAGCGAAGTAAAGTAGATGCGTGTAGTAGTATATACTAAAGGGACTGTTAGAATAACTAATTAAGTTAAACACAGGTCTTCCTAGTAAAGACCTGCCTACTTATATATCCATCATGTAATGAGCGTATATATACTATGCTCTATATGCTCTATAATCGGCGGGGTGCTCTATATAGAGCGTATAGAGCGAGGCGGCTCGAATAGAGCGCTCTACTCTATTGTTGCCTTACTAAGAGGTAGGGAAACAATAGAGCAGTTGGGGAGACCCTACCATTGGCTAGGATCGTAACACCATTCCCCTCCTATACTAGCGTCGTCCCGACGCTGACGTACATAATTAGCCGTTGCGGTCTTTTAAGGTTTGTTCCGGCTATTATGGTTCCTTTCCGTCATGCTAAAAGCTAATAGCACCTAACGTCGCCTACGAACTGCCTACGAAATCGAAGAAAGCATAGGCAGAATCAGTATGCGTAGATGCGCTAACTGCAAGAAACACAATCGTGTGTGTCGCGTACATCTTAAATCCGGTAGCTATGGTGCCTGCCTTACTAAGAACATCACATGCGACGTTAAGGTGTCGGAGGCCGAGTGGCTACGCATGCGCAACGAGCGCAAGCGTCTGCGGGAGCAAATTAAGGATACTATTTATGCGTAAGAGCAAACGCGTAAAGAGTTGGATTTAATGCGAGAGCGGCAGCTCGCCGAGTTCGCTTAGGAGATGCGACTTCGTCGTTAGTTGGATCTCCTAGAGGAATAGGAAGATGAAGCGGTAGTAGCAGAGTATAATGCTATTAGTCAAATCGACGCGCAGGTAGAGGAGTTTCTACAAACACCTGCCGAGACTCCTACGACTGCTTCCTCTAGGATCCAGCTAGGTCCTTCTACCTAGAATGCGATAGACGGCGGCTTTAATATGGCTTATAAGTTCTAGGCCGCGAACTTAGAGACTGCTAGAACTGGCGTAGAAGCGTCTAGCAGTTCCTAAGGTTTTGTCGTAGTTCCTAAGTGTTTTCTAAGTGTAGGTAACCTTTCCATTTTACAAGGTATCGCTAACCTTGTTGTTCTAGTATTTGTTCGACTTCGAACTCGTCTTCTTCTTTAGTCTAGAAATGGAATGTTGTCTATAACGGTGTTTCTAGGTTGGCCGGTTCTAATAAGGATATGTGGAACATAGGATGGATTTTCGCATTATTAGGGAGTTAGAGTTTGTAGTTAACTAGTCCTCTAACTTCTAAAATCAAAAATGGTCTAACTTTAACATGGTCTAGTTTTCTTGTCGTCCGTTAAGATTGTAAGTTTTTCGTAAGCAAATATACCTTATCTCCCTTCTTTAGCTAAGGATCCGGTTTTGATTTTTGTCTATTCTTACGTAAACCGTCCTAGGATGATAATATCTTCTGTCGTAGTTGCTTATGTAACGTTTTTAGCTGGTCGCTAGTAATTAATGCTTTGTCTACGTTTGGATGCTATAACTTAGGCTCCATAAATAGATTAGGATGTTTTCCAAAATTAGCATAGAATGGCGTGACTCCTATTGTAGCAGAAATCTGTTGATTTAGCGCTAGTTGTACTATTAGTAAGTAAATCACCTAATTATCTTGAGCGTAATTAACGTAATGTCGTAGGTAAGCCTCGAGCGTCTAATTTGCTCGTTCTATCTAGCCGTCGGTCTATGGATGGTAAGCTGTCGATAGCTTATGTTTAATACCTATCGTAGACATAAGTGTCTTCTAGTAGTTTAACGTAAACAGTTTATTACGATCCGTAATGAATGACTTTAGAATCCCGTGATATCTAATTAGTCTGTCTAGTACTAGATGTGCTAGTTCCTCTACTATAATCGATTTTATATAGGGGATAAAGTGTATGTACTTCGTAAGTCTGTCAACCATTATAAGTATGGAATCGTATTAATGACGTGGTTTTAAGTCGTCTAGCGAGCTCAAACTACGTAATCTAGTAATGAAATCCATTATGACTTCGTCCTATGGCTATAATGGTAGATCTATAAACTAAATCTCTCTATACTTCGCATGCTAAGATGACTTGTTTATCTAATAGCTACGACACTTCTAAACGTATGCTGTAACCTTCGCCTTCATTTATAGAAAGGTAAAGTTACGTTGTATGATTTCTATTGTCTTTATAATGCTAGGGTAACTATGCATTAGATCGTCGTAGTAATCTTGGATGCACTATTCTTAGTGTCGTTTAGGGACTTAGTATTTGTCGTGCAAGATGGGAAACTGCTCTTTATCATCCTTTATAATACGTAACACGGCATTAAACTTATATGTCTATGCGCTAAGTGTTCTATCTTTATTTATTTGCAAGATGCTATGTAGGGCGTTAGTAAGACTAAATAGCATAACTAAGTATTTATAATGCCCGTAGCGTGTATAAAACGCGGTCTTCTATTCTTCTCCCTCCTTTATTTAGATGAGGTTATAGGCTCTTTTAAGATTAATTTTTAAGAACCATTTCGCTTTAGATAAGCAATCCTATAGTTCTTTAATATTTGGTAATGGGTAACGATTCTTAATGGTAATATCGTTAATCTTTTAGTAATTAACGCATAGTCTTAGACTACCGTCTTTCTTTAGTGCAAACAGAATTAGGTAACCTATAAGGGACTCCGATTTGCGGATGAATCCTCGTGCTAAGTTCTTGTCTAGGTATTCTTAAAGCGTCTTAAGTTCTTTTTTAGATAACGCGTAGATGGGTCTAAATGTGGGTTGCTTTCCTAGTTCGAGTCTAATTTCGTGATCCTACGGCTAATGCCTAGGTAACACATTAGCGTTCTCCTCTTCCTAAAATAAGCGTTTCTATCTGCTATATTGTTTAGGGATGTTAGAAGGTACGTGACTTCCTTTAATAACTCTCGCTTCGTAGCCTATCTAACCTCTAAGATCGGTGCCTACGGAGCCGGTATTATGTTATTTTAATGATTCCTTAGTCGAGGTAATAGCAACACATGCTTTCTTAGTCTTAGTATGACCCTTCCTCTTATCTACTACCGAACGCTACTAGTGCGTAGGTCGCGGATCGACCACGTAGTCGCATCCCTAAAACCTTAACACTTTCGACCTCTAGTCGATGGTTAGGTTATGTTGTCTTAACTAAGGCATACTTAGGACAATGTAGTAATTAGCCATTTCTACAATGTCGAAAGTAATGTCCTTACGGTGCGATTAAACAATAAGCTCTATCGATAGAGTCTCTTCTATAACCCTAGGTAAAGCTAAGCTGTCTATAGCTATTAATTCGTACCTATGTTCTTTCGATTTAGTGGCGATCCTAAATTAAGCAACTGTAGCCGTAGAGATGAAGTTTCCGCTTGCTCTAGAATCTATTATTGCGTATAGTCGTCTTCTATTAATAGTAACTAGTGTACGGAACACCGTTGTTAATGATATTAACGCTAGGGCCTAGATCGTGTTACATTCTCGTTGGCTGCCCTTACTACGAGAATCTATTCTTTTCCTAAATCGTCACTAACTACGGAGTTAAACCTAACTCTCTCCTTTCTATTTAAGGAAGTGTTTAGTCTATGTTCTTCGTAGAGGTGTCTTTTATATAGCGTGCGTTGCTACTATTAAGCTTATTCGTATCGAGATCGGAGCAAGTTAATGCCATCTTACATACTTTTGTTAATACGTTCTCCTATAGGAATGATGTATCTAGCTAGTGTAAAGGTGCTACTAAGTAGCGGCCTTTTAATAATAAAAGCCTTAAAGTCGTAGTTAACTACTATAAGTCGGTGGTCCTAAAATGCATAGCGGATCTAATCTAGCATATTATCGAAGTTATAAGGGTATAAGAATCTCTAGCCGTTAATTAATAGGAATGCGTCTTCGCCGTGCTTTATTATAATGTTAAACATCTTAGTGAAACATAATGGTACATAGGCATATAGAGTTTCGATGCCTTCTTGTCCATTACATAGGTGGTCGTCGTTAGCTAATTCTTCGTCGCTACTTTCCTCTTCGTCGTCGTCCTCTTTAGGATCGCTCTCGACGTCTTCTTCTTCGATTTCTCCTTCCTCGAGATTACCTTTCTTTATAATGACATTAATCTCGTAGGTAGCCTATCTCCTGCCCTTCTTCTTAGGTATAGAGGGAAACTATGTAGCTCCTATCTTAGCGTCGTAATGGACTAGGCATGAGTCGTTATAGCATGCTGTCTAGCTAAGAGTCTCGTAGGTACTCTATCTTTTAGTTTCCATTAGCTCGTTACGCTCTAATTCCTTTTCTTTGGAACGGCGCTACGTTATATTAAATTGTCTTCGAGGCACCTTGTTCTTTAAATGACAATCCCTTACTATATGACCCTTCTAGTTACATGCGTAGCAAGTCATCTAACTCCTCCCTTTAAACTGCTTCCTACCCTAAGATCGGCGACCTTTAGTAACATCTAGTTCTATTAGCATAGGTCCGTAAGGATCCTAGTACTAGTTGCGTCTATTAAAGTTTCTTTCTTTATTAGTGTTATTATTACTACGGTATAGAGCGTAGCTAGACTTACTACGAGGGGCTATATCATGGCGTCTTTCTATAGCGCGTTCGTAAAGGTTGTCGTTAATTTCGATTAATGCACGGATAAGATTATTAAGATCTTCGATTTTCATGCTAGCTCTTATAAGTTCGTCCTTAACGTTCTCCTTTAGACTACGTCGATACATAGTTATTAGGGTAGAGTCGTCCTAATCGGTAATCTAGGCATACTCCTAGAACTTGGCGGCATAATCGGATGCTAAAGTGTGTTAACGGATGTGCTAAATAAGGCGTATAGTAACCTTGTCTTCGTTAGAGATGCTAAAGATACGGCGTATCTCGGCCTTAAACTTAACGAAGCTTATTATGATTCCGTTAGTGTCTTCTCTCTTGTCGAGGAACTTCTAAAGCATTGGTTTTATCTAGTGCTAGGCTCTTCTACGGAGATAGGTACTAGTAAAGATAGTCTTCTTAGCTTCCTCTATAGGAGTAAAGATGTAATAGAGATCCATCTGGTTAAGCTAATCGTTAAGCCCCTAGCGGTCTCCATAATAGAGATCGGGCTTAGCAACCTTGCTATCGTCGCGGGAGGTGCTAGTAGTACGGGTTCTACCGACCTTACTAGGTGCGGGAGTACCTCTCTAGGTGTTGCTTAAGTGACTCATTCTAAGGGTGTTTAAAGTTGTTATGGCCAACTATTCTAGGGAGAATAACTAGTTACGGGGTTAGACTTATAAAGCGGAGTGTTAAGCGAAGTAAAGTAGATGCGTGTAGTAGTATATACTAAAGGGACTATTAGAATAACTAATTAAGTTAAACACAGGTCTTCCTAGTAAAGACCTGCCTACTTATATATCCATCATGTAATGAGCGTATATATACTATGCTCTATATGCTCTATGATCGGCGGGGTGCTCTATATAGAGCGTATAGAGCAAGGCGGCTCGAATAGAGCGCTCTGCTTTATTGTTGCCTTACTAAGAGGTAGGGAAACAATAGAGCAGTTAGAGAGACCCTACCATTAGCTAGGATCGTAATAAGACGTAAGTAGTATTAAGAAAAGAATAGGTAGCCTCTTTAATAATAGAGTAGAAAAGAAGCTTACTACTATAACCTATGTTATATATAAGGACGTTATAGCTTTATATCTCCTTAATAATATACTTTAGGTAGAAGTACTACTTAAGAGTAAAGTAGCTAAAGCGCTAGGCCTCTAATAAAAGACTAGAACTAAAATAAAAAGAAATATTAAAAGTAGGGTTAAGGTTATTAATAGACTTATAATTATTATAGGCGCTAAGCAAGTTTTAAGGACGTAACATAGTAGGCTATATTACTATTAGTAAGTATAGATAGTAAGAAAGAGCCATTATAATTATACTAGGTAATAGTAAAATAGATGTTAAGGTAAGGGTCTAAGATAGAGCTACTAGAGTAGAAAAATAGAAGTAATAAGAAGTATATACGCTAGTATAAGAAAGTATTATATAAATTTAAAGTATAGATAAATAAAGCTATAACTTTTACTTTAACTATGCTAACTATAATAGTAAATGTAATTCTAGTAGTATTAAGTATAGAATAATAGAAGTTATTAATAAGGGGCTCTATATAAAGGTAAAAAGGTAAAAAGAGATAAAAAGGTAAAAAGAGATAAAAGGTAGTTATAAAGAAGTAGTAAGTAGGTATACTATAAAGTTAAGTAAGAGATAGGGTAGTAAAACCTAATAGGAAACCTAGTAAGAATCCTAGTAGGATTACTAACCGCATCTTTAGTTACCCTTAGAGTAAGAGACTTAGAGCTAAGGAAAATATTAGTTAGGTTAGAAAAAGCTAGTAAGAATCCTACTAGAATTCCTATAAGAATTATAATTAAAGTCCTCTTTATAGTTATACTTAGTTATACTAACTAACGCGTAGTTATTTCTAGTAGGACTTTTAGTAAGAATTTTAGTAGGCGTAAGTAAGGATATTATAGTAGTATTAGAATATTAATATTAGATAGTAATTAGTTGCCTTTCTATAATAGTAGTATATAATAGCGTTTACTAGCGCCCCCTTAGTTAACATTAATAAACATAAGGCGTTTAAGCATGCTTTAGCGTCCTATTAATACTAGAGGTTATCTATAGTAACGCTCTAGCGTCTTAGCGCCCTTTAGTAACGCTTTAGTAACTAAAATTACTCTAGCGCTCTAGTAATAAATATTATCTTATAATATATAGTTAATAATCTCTTTTACCTTCTATTCTATTTTCTAGTCTACTAGCTCTAGTATACTATATAGAAAAAGCTAGCTTAGTATAGATAGAAAAAATAGAAATAAGTATTTTATTATATAGACCCTTAGAAAACTATATTAGATAAATAATAAATCTATCTATCTATATATATAGACTCTTAGATTATTATTTAAAATAATTACTAGATAATATTAAGGGTTAGGTTTATAGAACTAGTTTTAAAAGTTAATCTATAGTTTTTAGATAAAGATAAGAGGGTCTTTAAGTAAGACCCTTTAAGATAGAAACGCTTTTAGATATAAAAGCTATTATTTATATTATACTTCCGTACATGCTACAGGATCGAGTCGGCTTGCCAGAAAACCAAGTTCAATCGCATGTGGATGGTTTACTCGCCGCCTATGCTGGAGCTTCCGTGGTCTTCTCGCCTGTTGCTGGAATACTAGCAGACAAAACCTCTACAAGGCAAGGGCCCTTTCTCCTCGGGCTTACTGCGTTGTTGCTCGCAACCGTGCTACTCTTCATGGGCAACAACGTTCCAACGCTGGTTGTCGCGAGACTCCTTCAAGGCTGCTCAGCCGCCTTTGTGTGGACAATCGGACTAGCACTTTGCGTCGAGACCGTCGGTCCGGAGAACCTCGGGAAGACCATCGGATCAATCTTCAGCTTCATATCAGTCGGCAACCTGGTGGCTCCGTTGCTAGGAGGTGTCCTCTACAAGAAGGCTGGATATGCAGGCGTCTTTGGGATTGGCTTCGCCGTCTTGGCTATCGACTTCATCATGCGTTTGTTGGTCATCGANAAGAAGGTCGCTCGCCGCTACAACTTCACTGCTCAGGAAGACACCAATGAAAGTGACGCATCGACTTCCAACGAGGATGAAGAAGCGGCCAGCAATNNGAACAAGAGCCTTTGCTAGGAACGAAGTCAGAGGACGACTACTACACTATCTCGAAAGATCAGNCCGGCCATCGTCCGCAAGGTCCCTATTCTGCCATGTCTCAAGAATCCTCGGCTGATCGCCGCTTTGATGGTAGCCTTTGTCCAGGCTCTACTGCTCGGCGCCTATGATGCCACCATTCCCACCATCGGTCAGGAATACTTCGGCTTTGACTCGTTGAAAGCGGGGACATTGTTTCTGCCCTTAGGCATCTTCGACTTCCTGCTCGGTCCTGTCTTCGGATGGGTTGTCGACAAGTATGGCACTAAAGTGGCGGCGGTCGGAGGCTATACCTTCTTGGTCCCTTGTCTCGTCTTGCTTCGCCTTCCGCATGCTGGAGGCAAAGATCAGATTATACTGTATGCGGCGCTTCTAGGACTGTGTGGAGTCGGTCTTGCTGCTATCGGAGCTCCATCGATTGTCGAGGCAGGCAATGTTGTGCAGAAGTATTACGATGTTAATCCCGACTTCTTTGGTGAACAGGGTCCTTTTGCGAGTTTGTACGCTATGTCGTCGGTCGCATTTTGTAGCGGTTTAGCTGTCGGTCCCGAGCTGGCAGGCGAGTTGAAGCAGGCTATTGGTTATGGCAACATGAATATCGTCCTTGCAGTCATTTGTGCGGTAACGGCAGCATTGTCGCTCTTCTTGATCGGAGGCAAGCCCAAGATGCTTCGTGGGGGACGGTACTAGATAGCTGATATAACACTGGAAGCAACGTGCAGTATGTCCATATACGACAAGTAGAAACAGAATAGAAAGAACAAGCAGCCCACTAGTGTTGTTTGACGTCGAGTTGGAAACGCCAAGGGATTATTTCAGTGGCTGATGTTGTGGAATTGCTCCATGGCACGGGCCCACCAACCCACTTCACAGGGCCTCCTAAGAGCTGTGCAAGAGACTCATCATCGGCATACCATCTATCGCATCTCCTGTCTTGTTGTGTGTGTTTGCACATCGATTGACCCCCGCCACTGCCCCTCCTCCTCCTCCTCCTCGCTCCACGTCTTGGTCAGCTCCCCATCGCCCCCCGACTAGACGTCCCGCACACGTCGACGCCCACACTCGCATCTGCGCTCACCGAGCCCGCCCTCGCTCTCGGCCTTGCATTGACGACACGTCCCACGACTTTGTCGCAACCGCCCGCCCTCAATCCTCCTGCACAATGGACACCAACATGGAAGATGTTGGCGCAAAGCCAGAGCTCCCCATGACGGCGCCCTCCGACCCGCCCTCAATCCCTAGCCTCGACGGCTGGATCGAGAGCTTGATGGCCTGCAAGCAGCTGTCCGAGGCCGACGTCCAGAGACTGTGTGAAAAGGCAAGAGAGGTCCTCCAGGACGAGTCCAATGTCCAGCCTGTCGTATGTCTTCCTACCTTGCTCTACTGCCGCTCGGCCATGCACTCGAGCTGACTGCTGCACAGNAAATGTCCCGTCACCGTCTGCGGAGACATTCACGGCCAGTTCCACGATCTGATGGAGCTGTTCAAGATTGGAGGTCCCAACCCTGACACCAACTACCTCTTCATGGGTACGTCTTGACGATTTGCTTCTCGCTCACCGTCGCTCGTGCTTCTTGCTGACACGTGCTCCACACANGGCGACTACGTCGACCGCGGTTATTTCTCCGTAGAGACCGTGACATTGCTCGTCGCCCTCAAGATCCGCTACCCACAACGCATTACCATTCTCCGCGGCAACCACGAGTCCCGTCAGATCACCCAAGTCTACGGCTTCTACGACGAGTGCCTGCGCAAGTACGGCAACGCAAATGTCTGGAAGTACTTCACCGATCTCTTCGACTACCTACCCCTGACCGCCCTGATCGACAACCAAATCTTCTGTCTTCACGGTGGTCTGTCACCGAGCATCGACACACTGGACAACATCCGTGCGCTCGACAGAATCCAAGAGGTGCCCCACGAGGGTCCCATGTGCGATCTGCTTTGGAGTGATCCCGACGACAGATGCGGTTGGGGAATCAGTCCCAGAGGTGCCGGGTACACTTTCGGCCAGGACATCAGCGAGGCTTTCAACCACAACAACGGCTTGACGCTGGTTGCCCGAGCCCATCAACTGGTCATGGAAGGCTACAACTGGAGTCAGGACAGGAACGTCGTCACGATATTCTCGGCTCCTAATTACTGTTACCGCTGTGGCAACCAAGCTGCGATCATGGAGATTGACGAACATCTGAAATACACCTTGTGAGTATTGTCCATTGGTTGATTTGATGAACACGTTGCTGACCGATCACTTAGCCTTCAATTCGACCCCTGCCCACGCGCTGGCGAGCCAATGGTGTCTCGTCGCACTCCCGACTACTTCCTCTAGACGACGGGTGCCTCTTCGGCTGATAGATTGTACACTTATGCTTTCTGGCAGCTCCTCGTAAAGGAAAACGGTCTGTGTCTTGACTGTCGTCTTTCGATTGCATTGGGGATATCTAAGCATGCCATGAAAAAGAAAACGATCAAAACATAATCCGCATCCATCCCTTTCGTAATTCATTTCCTCCTTCCAACAACACAAGCAAAGCTATGTGTTACCAATTCCAAGTCCTGCTTGCTGCTGTGAAGACGGGCGGCTTCCATTGCAGCTTTTCTGCATCGATTTGATGCTTGCCCTTGATCTTTTCCTTCTCCTTCTGTCGCTCCCTTTGTTTGAGAATAGCTTCCGTGAGGACAATCACATGATGGTTTTNTCTGTCCAAGTCAGTAAGAAATCCTTGAGGTATCATGAAGAAGCTCCGGCTTACAGAATAACGCAACATGTTCAAGTTCTGCAACGTGTGCAGCACATCGTTGGTTGTCATGGCTGTCTGTGCTCCAATATCCTCCACACTCATTTCACCTTTGCTCTCGATTAAAAACTCAACGATGATCTCTTGCCAGAACGCACGATAGCCCAGGAGTCCAAGATCACTCAGAGGTTTCTCGGGGCTTCCCAGCTTGCCTTCGCGTTTGCTGAGTTCGTAACTGAAAGCAATGAGTAGTCGACCGTATCCCTTGCGCTGGTATTGCGGTAGTGTCAAGATACATGCCACATTGTAACCCTCGGCACTTTCTTTCTCCTTGGAGAAGTAGCCGACCAGATGGTGGCCGTGTTGATCGCGAGTTGTCATGCAGTAGAACAGGAAGGGGTCTACGTCGTAGTAGAGTGTCTTGTGGTCCAAGAAGAGCTTGCTCAGAAGACATAGATTTCTGCACCAAGTCCTCTGTCTCCTGCCGTCAATCTCGAAAAAGCTGACCATGTCGTCGCGGTAGATTTCGTTGCCAGGGGGGTGCAATAGAGTACACTTGCTTCTGTGTCGCTTGAATTGTCTCTCATTACCAAAATAGAGCAGACACGTCTCGCAGATGTACACCAGCTCGCAGTCGGAGTACTCGACGGGGTACGGCGAGAAATACCAAGGTTCGATTTCATGAGCTCCCATCTGTATTTTCTCCAGGTTTCGTACTCTGCTGATTTCTGTCTGGTTTTGTGTCATTGAACCACTAGTGCGTAGCTTCTCAATCTCCTCCTCGCGTGAGTACAGATGGTCAGGGATAGCTTTTGCAGCTGCGGCAGCATTCTGCACATCGATAAGATCTACCGTATCGTCGTCGACCTCCCCATCTGGCTGCGGCGTCCCATCGCCTAATTCGGGCGCAAGGACGGCTATAGAAGGCGATCCATGGTCGTTGCCTGCTAACGAGGGTCGGCGAGTGCCTGCTTTTGATGATTGAGATGCTTCCGTTGGTGTTGCGGAAGGCTCCCTGATACTTGATGCTCGTGATCGCTTTGGTGCTTTGTTGGCTTTCGAAGGTTCGGCTTTTGCTGTTGTCTTGCTCGTGGTCTTTTTCTGCTTTGTGTCTGCTTTCTCGGGAAGCGGCCATTCCACTTCCCTCGATAGATCGATGCGTTCTGCCGCTACCCATTCTAATTACGTAGTCAGCATTTGATATGGTCAGTGGTTTCATGGTTCCATACCATCCAGTCGTTTGTTGAAGTCTTGATAATGGACNNACTGTTTCGTTAGCACTTTCCGGCATATATGGATTGTCCAGACTCACTAGAATGTGGGTTTGCCTCTGCGCGTTTGTATAGATAGAATCTCAGCCTTGCGTTTTTCATCGTCCTAGGAGTTGTTCAGTATTCAGACTCATAAGATCACATCATCTTCTTGTGCGAGCTGATGAAAGACATCGAACGTTCGATGATGTGGTAATGGTATCGGTAGGCTGTCCCTCACCTTGTCAACCCATGCTCTCACTCCGACCCNTGCCCGGGTCAGTAAGGACTATATCAAGGCTTGGCGGTCCATGACACACCTGAGAGTCGCGAGAGTGGCATAACCCTTCTCAACCTTCTGCTCTTCTCCGTTGTTGTTGCTGTGGCCTCCCATGATGCCTTGGCCGACGAGTTTGTCGCGTAGATTTCGGATACGGTACGATTGCGATACTGCTCAGGGTTGCGTTCACGTCGCGTTATGGCCCGCTGATTGCGCCCGGGAAACAAACTTTGCAAACTGGAATGCCTTCTGCAACTTTCGATGGCAACGTGAAGTAGTAGTTATTATTCTGATGGTAAAGGCGCGCGGCCAAGCTAGAGGAAGACAGCCGTTGTGCCAAGCACAAGATCGACCTACCGCGCAACGTTCACTTCGACATCGCACCATACACTCTTCTCTTGATTAGAAGCAGCAAAACAAAAATCATTGCACGAACCAGCTACTCGCAAACTCACTGAGGTCTAGGACTGCAGTTAGGCACCATTTTTCGAGCCAGTCAGAGCACACAAAAGCTTTTGCATTACGCGTTGTGACTGCCATGGACCAGCATCGGCTTCGGCAGGAAATACGCTTGGATCTATGCAATTTCTCAATGATCTGGCAAAAGCCATGGCTTGCGGAGACGCGACCTCATCAGTCCGAGGTCCATGTTGTGATAAATCACATCGCGATGCTTCAGGACTTGGGAAGTCACGCTTGACCGAGCTTCATCGTTTGTGTTCGACAGCATGCTCGTTGCTGTCACATCGTCGCTGGCAAAACAAGGGACTTTTTGCAGGTACAATCCCATTCAGGTAGGATTATCAATATCTAATCGGAAGTTCTGTTGAGCGGTCGTTGAAGCGAAGTTTGGCCTGTAGCTCTCTAGTAAAGCTTCTGACGGTATCACTTCCACATATATGTTCAAGATCCACATCGCTCAAGACATGATCGGATGTTTTTTAGAGACCCCTCTTGGTCTTGCGCAAGAATCTTACGCTAGCAACAAAGGAAGCTCAGTAACTCGCTCTACACCCCACCCCCAAGAAACTTTAACGTATACTCGTACTTACATACCTACGACCTACCAAGTTTCTGGATTCACCGTTCAGCCTACTCGAAGAGCTAGAGACGATGCCTGGATTGTCTCTTCTTCATAAGGAGCAAAGACTTGAGGATCAGCTGCTTGACTGCATGTGATACACCAAGGACTGCAGGTTCAAACAGGATGTGCGTCCATCCAAAGTGTCTTCCGAAAGTATGTGGGTTGAAGTGAAGGCATCCAATCTCAGTTCCACAAGCAGCGAGCTCCATCGATATTTTGGAAGCATGATTGGCTCTGGTCTCAACTTTCTACTTCAGCTAACCCCACTGAGCATTACAGTTGAGTAACGTAAAATCACTCACTGCAATGGGCGCCTGTAAGGTACTTAATGGCATTTCCAGTCAACATCCCTGTTCTCTCCTTACCTTCATCAATCGTTTTGCAAGGACCCTGAGCGCCATCAGTCACCATGAGGGCTTTCCTTTCGTTTATCATTGCTTCACTAGCATTGTCCCACCATGTCGAAGGTCGAGGACTTAAGCCTCGCCAGACCTCTGCAGCGACCTCTACACCACCCTCATCTGCCGTCACTAATGTCACATGCAATGGAAAGTCTGCATACAATTACAGCCAGATGACATCCGTTCCGGCCAATTCATCTTGCACCACGCAGACTTACTATATCAACACTAAATCGTCCAACTGCACAACCAAAACGGCCTACATCAACACACGTACTACTTCCAGCTCCACCTCCTGCAACTGCTCGACCTCTTCCACAAAGCCTCGGTTCTCTACTTCTTGCACTGTTCTTTCTTTGAACTCGACTTCATCAACCACCCCATGCTCGACGTCTTCTTCGAGTACCAGTTGCTCGAAATCTTCAAGCACTAAATGCCCAAGTTCATCCTCCTCGTCGACTACGCCTTGTTCGACTTCTTCATCGTCAAAGACTAGTTGCTCTAGCTCCTCTTCGACAAGTACTCCGTGTTCGACTTCCTCTTCTTCAACACCATGCTCAACAACGTCGTCTACGAGCCCATGCTCGACCAAGCCCACTCGGTCACCGATCAAGCCGATCACGACTATTTATCCGACTCCTTCCTCTTCATCAACTCCTTGTCCAACGACGTCTTCGAGTCCCAGTTCGAGTCCGTGCTCGACCAACATGAAGTCGACCATATCTATCATGTCGCCAATCAAACCAGTCACGACTATATACCCTACTACCTCATTACGCCCTTGGACGACTGTGACCTCTGTCATCAGTTCCATGGTCACGGTGGGCTGCCCGAATTCTATCTATCCATCTGACACATGTCAACAGAGCGACAAAACCTCGTTCACATATAGTTTCAGCACCGTGGTGGCCACACGGGTGATGACGATTACTACCGGTTGCAGTTCTTGTAGCGGTGGCAGTACGAGTACTCTGGTCTACGTCACCTCTACTGGCTCTGGACCATATTCTAGCGCGCCCGGCACACCTATCAGCAGTGTCCCGTCTGCACCAGCAAGCGTTCCTTCTGCACCAGCACCCGTACCTTCTGCGAAACTCAGTACCTCCACCATTGGAACCACCATTGAAGTTTCCAAGGCTCATCAAACAAGCACTCAAACAGTGACTTCCACCACAAAAGTGGTCAAGGAGAGCTCTTCTATCGTCACTGTGCCTCACAGCTCTGCTCAGACAAGTGTCGTTGGTGTTGAGTCCGCAGGAACAGCTTCTCGCAACGTGAACGTTCCTTCCGTCAGCACAGCAATTGTGGTGTCTCCCACTGCTCCTTCAAACGTGGGCCCCTCGCTATCTGCACCAGTGGACATACAGACGACTATCACAATTCCTCTTCCCACGACCATTACTGTGTGTCCGACGTGTGATGCAACTGCAGCGCAGCCACCGGCGTCTTCTGGGCCATCTCCTGCGGCTCCGATGAGCCCAGCCTCCCCAATGTCTTCGCCCCAGGCTCCTGCCTCTTCTGCACCTCCAGCTTCGAACAGCATGTCACCATCAGCACCTTCTAATGCCCCATCATTGCCCAGCACTGTGGTCGCGTTGACCCCAATGTCCTCGCCAGTCTCTCCCAATTCTATGGGCGCGAGCTCTCCTCCAGCGCAGATGCCTCCTTCGCCTGTAGCCTCCTCTGGTCCATCCTCTCCAGCTACAGATGCGCCTCCCCAGAACAGCTCGCCCCCTGAAGCAAGCATGCCTCCGCAGCCAAGCGTACCCGCTCAACCTGATTCTCCCCCGGCGAGCGAAATGCCGCCACAGGGTAGTGCTCCTCCTCAGAGTGGTCCATCTATGCAGCCAAGCGCGCCTCCGCCTTCGGCCGCTTCTCCCCAGGCCAGCTCTTCCCCGGTGTCCAACTCTACCCTTTCCATTCACTCGCCCCAGTCTAGCTCCCCTGCGCAGCGCACTAGTGCTGGCTCTAGTGGTACTGCCACAAGTAAGCATAGATGTCCTCGTACCTCGAAATCCGTACTGACAAGCATTACAGAGCCGAGCATGCCACCCACTGACACCAACATGTCTTCGGAGTCTGCTCAGAATGCCAGAGCTTCTGTCTTCACCGTAGCAGTACCCATTGTTATGGCTGCTGTTTTGATGTTGCTCTGAGTTCGAACGTTTTGACCTGTAAAGCTACTGATATTGGCGAGACGCCTGCACACTCCTTTTGACGACGATAGTTCTATGTTCTTTGTACTTTCCCTCGAATACTGATCGCATTAATGTATAGCACCAATGGATGCAAGGTTCTCGTATGGAAAAGCAGATAGTAATCCCTTTGAACTAATTTAGCTACAACAATAAAGCGTCATGTTTTCCAGTATGCTCCTCTCCAGTTCTGATGTTTATGTCAAACTTTGGGTGAAGATGAAGAAACACACCTAACTGAATCAAGTTAGACATATGTTCAAGTGTATCTAGAGGGGATCCCGTTATGGTACGTTGGAGGATTTCGAATTAGCAGGACGAATCCAGAATTGCGACTAGAAGCTCTATATTGTCGGTATACCTCAAGCTTTGGTGATATATGAGAAAATAAATCGAAGTCCAGGCGGCAACAAACGAGAATCTTTTATACAAGGCATTTGTGAACAAGAAGAACGAGAGATATCTACAAAGCAAAGACAGCAGCACCAAGAGCAAGAATAACAGCACCAGACAGACGGTGAGCAGCACCACTCTGGGTTGCGCCAGCGGAAGCCCCAGTGGATGTCGAAGAGCCAGAAGCAGTTCCCGATCTGCTGGAGGTTCTGCTTGCGGTGCCAACCGGGTGGTTTGCTTCGTTGGTCGGTGTGATGACGAGGTTACTCATGGACGCGCCACCGACACCGTAAACGGGAAGTGCGACTGCGGTTGCGGTGACGGAAACGAGAGCACCGGTAGGTGGATTGGAAATGCCTGATGAGATCAAAGCATCGACACCGCTGGGGCGAGAAGGAATGTCGAATTCATCGCTGAAGTCGTCTGCTTGGATCAAGTCGGAAGAGCAGCGAGGGGCGATGATTGCAGTCGCAGTGTCATTGCTAGCTTCAAGAAGTGTGACATTGATGCGGCTGTATTGTTCCTGAAGACTGTTGTAGTCTGATCGCAGTTGGACAGATCCGTTAGAGGAGATGTCGACAAGACCATAGTTGTTCTCTTCTTGTGACCNATCTACATCAGTTAGTTCAAGCCCTGAATCTTTTTTGGTCCATTTTTCGACTTACTCGTACACCAATCCTCCTGACATGACAGTCATCCGGGGGCTGTACAACGCCTCAACCTCTTCGAAGACACGAGGGCTAGGATCGTTGCATCCATACTCGGAGAAAAAGACTGGTATAGAGGCATTGGAGAACATCTCAACGAGCACGTCATACTCAGCTGTCTCGAAGCTAGACTCTGAACCACANNCCTATCAATGTGTCAGCATGTAATCTCGTAAGTCTTGCTTCTGGGAGACTCACCATGAATAAGAGTTCAGCCCGAAGAAGTCAGAAGCACTTGAATCTCCGTTATCACAGGCCAAGTAGTTGTAGGTGTCTTCGGTGAACTCTCTGACGTCGGCAGCTGAATATCCAACAGGAATAGGTCTGTCTGCACGAGCAGCGATATAATCCTTCATGTCGCGCTGGACTGCTCTCATGTAGGAAGGGTTCTCGTCGGCTGTTTCCAAGTCGTTGATGATCTCGTTGCCTCCAAAGAAACCCAACAGATTGGGATAGCTCTTAAATGCCTCAATAACTGTAAAGACGTGCTCCATGTACTCGCGAGTGTATGTGCTCGCAGGGTTACTGCGATCGATATGTTGTCCATATAGAGGAGTGTTGACGTCGAGAATGACATAGATTCCTACACCGTTGAAGATCGACATGCATTCGTCGTGGTTGAGGGTCTGACAACAGGTCAGCTAAGATCAGGTATAGACTGTGATAGACCTACCGGNGTCCACATTGTAGCTTCGGATCGTGTTGACCCCGAGACTCTGCATCAGAGCTGCATCACGAGTACAAGCTTCGGCATCACTGAGAACATCTTGATCGTTGTTTGCTGAGATGGCTCCTTGACCACCAGGCTGATAATCGACGCCAACGACAACGAATCTGTCACCACTGACTGAGTTGACAAAGTCTTGTCCGCGTACTTCGACAGGGTCGACGGCAGCTGTCAATCCAGCAAGCAAGGCAAAGCTTGCAATCGAGTAGCGCATGACTGGTAAGTTCTGATGGTACGAAACGAAACAAGGGAATAACACAGGAAGACGAGTATGATGAACGAATGACACTATGAGAGAGCACGATATCTATCCATGATACCTGGGAGGGCACCGCTGGATTTATGCGACTGCTCCCAACCTACATCTTCAACCTCCCGCGGCAGTGCCTACTCGGCGCCTTGGGTGTTGTTGTTTGCGCTTCCTTGGCTGCTGGGCAAGACTCGTATACTTGGCAGACCGTTTCGCCCAGGAACCCATCTCACAGGAAGGATGATGACAACCAGAGCCAGATGGTGATGGCAGCACTATCGGAACTCCTGCGACTCGCCCTGGGCGAATGTGCTCGCTGCAGATGTGGCACAGTAGCGGTCTGGTTGTTGCGTTGTTGCTGTCTTAAAGCTAGAGAGAAACAGCGGTACAGATGCCAAGGACTTAAACAAGAAATTATTTCATCAATCAAGGACAAGCAACAGGGAGAGAATCGTACTTGCATCGCATGCAGATTAGAATTCACAGCCGACCCCACGGCTTCCGAAACACATCTGCTGCGCCTCGTGCATACAGTCTTGGACAGTCATGTATTCGTCGTCCTTTCTTGGGGCCAAGGCCTGTGTACATATGGTAACATGCTCGACTATTTTCAAGTAAACTAAGCCAGCGATCATCATTGTGAGATCGACATGCTTGAGAGAAGTACGATCTCATTTCACGGCTTCAACAGAAGCTTGCCGGTAGTCTTGCGTCCTTCGATATCNNCTGCTTATCGTCAGTACTGCCACCTTGATAGTGCTCAAATTGGTCATTGTCGACTCACCTCGTGCGCAGTAGCAACGTTCTCAAGGTTGTAGACCTTATGAATCCGGACATCCATCTTGTCCTTGACAATGAAGTCGAAGAGCTCGTTGGTGTACTGTTCAAATTCCTCTCTCGTCGCGATGTAATTGAACAGCGTTGGGCGGAGAACCTTGGCGTTCTTGGCCGAGAGCCGCCTGCAAGATGTGTCAGCGTAGCTCTACTCAAAGTATCATTGCTCAAGAAAGACGACTTACGAAATTGCGAACGGCGGCACAGCACCACTGGCATTACCAAAGCTGGCCATGGTGCCCTTGCGAGCTAGACAGTCCAGACTCAGGTCAAAGGTTGCCTTTCCGACACCATCGAATACAGCTGCGACACCCTGTTTGTTGGTGACCTCGTCGACCTTTGCCTTGACATCCTCATGACTGTAATTTATGAGAACTTGCGCACCAGCTTTCTTGGCCAGCTCCAGCTTTTCCGGTGTGCTTGCTGTCGCAATAGTCTTTGCACCAACAGCGGCAAGCAACTGGCACAACCACAAGCCAACTCCTCCAGCGGCAGCATGAACCAGAATCCAATCCCCCTTTTGCACATGATAAGCCTCCCGGATCAGGGTCAAAGCAGTGAGACCCTGGAGAAGAGCGGCAGAAGCTATAGTGGGCTCAATACCTGAAGGGATCTTGATGGCCTTGGCTGCGGGAGCTGCGGTATACTCGGCATAGGTTGCCTCGGATAGGTACACAATGCGATCGCCAGTCTTGAATCCATGGGGTGTGTCGGGCCCGGTCGCGACGATGGTGCCTTCTGCCTCTCTTCCAAGCATATACGGGTAACTGGGCGCAGGATACAGACCAGTGCGGAAGTANNTCTATTACTCTGTGTGAGCTTGTGGCCGCTATTGCAGTGAAGAACCTCCATACGTATCAATGTAGTTGATGCCGACATAGTCGTTTTTGACGAGAACTTGGCCGTCCTTAGGTTCTGGCACTGCCAGGTCTGTCTTGTATTGCAGAACCTCAGTCCCACCTGTTTTCTCGATGATGACACCCTTCATTGTCTTTGGGAGCGATTGTGAAGCCATGCTGCGAACGAATTGACCAGATAAACCCGTCAGTCTACGTGAAGCTAGAGCGGGAAGGGAGGAGACACTGTGCTTCAGGAAGATGGACATTTGAAACTGACAACAGAGGCATCCACGTCACCCTATTTGTAATGCGGCCAATACAGTGGTGCCCCGCAATCGGGAGGGGAGCTGTCAGCGGCAGCGGCACTTCTCCGCTCGCGTCATCCCTCTCCGTGATTTGCACGAACCACTTCCACAGAGGCCCAATTTTTTTGAACACGGTACTTTGAGTTCCGCAAGACGTCCTGCTGCTATATACCGGTCTGGGAGTCTGTTGATCTAGCACTACGCATCAACCATCTCGCTATCCATCATTGTCACTTCTCATTTGTTTGAGGCCACTCAAAGACCCTCGACCTGAGAACCAATATCTTCAGCGGTACCTTCAATCACCTCAATCTGCGAGTGGACGGGCTCGGAGGCATCATCAGTCTCGTTGGTCTGGTTGTTGCGCTGCTGTGCTTCGTTCTCAGCCTTGAGAGCCTTCTCCTCCTTGTAGAGCTCGTTGGGGAGCCATTCGAAGAATGAAGGACTGATGGCACGAACGCTGTCCAGCCACTTGATGCCAATGTCAAGCTCGCGCACCTCACCTTCAATCTTCATACCCACAGCACAGTACTGCAAGATTTCCTCCTCCACCCACAGAGTCATGGTGTGCTCGCTCTGCTGTCGTTTGAGTGCCTCATCCGAATGATCAAAACTGGGCGCGAGTGGATAGGTCCAACGACGACAATGGAGCTTGCCGAGGGCGGCGAGGAACGGTTTCTTCTCCCTAGCTGCATCATAGAGCGCACGTGTCGCTTCGTCGGCCATCTCAATCTTGGTCACTTCCAGACTGATCTGTTCTTTGTGGACAGTCTCGAACATCTCCACGTCCGTGACCTTCTCGTATTGCTGTTGGGATCCGTAAGCAGAGATGGCGAATTTGACAATGTCTCGGCAATCCTGGAGAGTACGGTCAGGGGTGCCAGGATTCTCCCAGTGCTGCTCACCGCTGTACACGCCTGCAACAGTTCCACCATGCGTAGCTGAGACTGCTCTGTTGAAAGGGCCGGGGAGCCTCTCATTGGCAATCACCACGTTGAAGAGCTCCACGTCTGCAAGATCGCAGACCTCGCGTGCGGCATGGATCTGGCTGTCAAACTCCGGGCAAACGTTGTGGTGCAGCAAGTAGTTGTAGAAGTTGCGCATAACGTTGGTGGCTCTTGCGATGTCCGCCTGCGCTGAACTGATGTCGAGGTCGGTCAACATGTGACAGGANNCCTAGAGCAATGTCAGCTCCCGTTCATGTGTAGAGGTCATCGTGACATACAAGAAACCCTTTGCCACTCCAACGAAGTCAACCTCCCATCTGTCAGAGTACAAAACATCCTCTGCAACGAAGTGCACAGCGGTCAGAGCAGCGATCTGTGCGGCGTCCATCTCAGCCAGATCTCTGTTGTCGCTTCCACCGAACATCTTGGGACCGGACTCGATGCCACCATAGGTCATGAACTTGTTGAATACCTGAGCTGTTTGCTGGTGGAACTTGCGTCGAGCACGGTAACGCTGGATGGCTGTCTCAATACGCCTNNATGACATGATTAGTGTGGGAGTCCCCTCCTAGGTGGTTCTGCAACTCACGTTTCAAACGAGATGTCTCTTCAAAGGCAGTCAGCAGTCTGTCAACATGTATGGACCTGGAAAAGAAACATACCTGTCGAAGAGTGATTGCTCTTCTTCGAATGCAGCAGGAGTAACAGGTGCATCCGCGAAGAAATCCTCAAAACCTGTGGGTTTCATNNCTGTACAAAAGGTCAGGCGCCGTCTCCCAGTATAAGATCGCTTTCGACTCACCATTCCCTTTGTCATCCACGGTTGATTCGCGGGAGGTCGGGGGCCTTTCTTCTTCTGCTCTTGCTCTATAGCCACCTTGATCTCTTCAGNGGAAACCGTGGGTTCGATAGAGAGCGGGATTCTACGCTTGATGTACTTGTTGTCGATGACCTCGAGTATTGTGCTCTTCTTCAGAGATTCCACAACCGATCTGTAAGGCTTATACTTGCGCATCTTCGGGAACTGGCAGAGCTTCTTGATGTCGACGGGCTTGTTCTCCTTACCACCAGTCTTATCGAGAAGGTACTTGTCACTGGGAAGGTTTTCATCGGAGAAATAGTACTCNNGATCTGCTAGTGGTGAGCTAGATGTTCGTGAGTACCAATGATAAGCGACAAGACCGACCTGCTTCACGATCTCATTCCCCTGAGGATGCTCTTCATGTTGTGGTGCTTGGTGTTCGCTTGTGACTGGAGCATCGGAGCTGACCTCGGTGATTCTGTTAGGGGTTGTCATTTCGAATTTGGTGGACCTGGTTGATGGCTGTCAGAGCGGTGGTTGTTCTGGTGTATTTCTTCAAGTACATACTGGCTGTGATCATCAGAGATCTCCCGAGGGATATTGACGGAATGTACGTCGGTTAGCTTCATGATTATGGGTACTGATGAATGGTGCAGGAGATGACAGAAAAGTTAAGATGATAGAGAAGGGGTTGCCGAGCAAGGTGAGTGTGAGAGCAAAGAGCAAAGAGTCAAGACTGACGTGAGCGAGCTTTGTTGTTTGGTGAAGCGCAAACACTGATGGAATCCAAACTATGAGTGATGAATTTAGCTTGCAACCTGCTTGATGTGAAGCTAAGGTCGTTTGATGCACGGCTCGGGAAGTCGCAGGGTGGGATTGTACGTGTCACAAAGATCATCGGTAGGCACTGCAGGAGAGACGCCTATTACTAGACACAAAGACGTGATCACGCCTCTGGTTGCCTCGAGGCTTTGGAGTGGGAAAATGTCTATTAGGGACTCTCGGAGAAGCACTCGAAAGGAGGGTGCGTGGAGAGGGAGTGTAGAGAAGGTGAAGACTCAAGTGTCGTCTGGGGGGTCCATTGTGCTCTTCTGTGAGAATGGTAGCCTTGTCATTACTGTTACTTCGAGGCAACTATGGCTGGATCGATAGCTTGTGCTGAGGCACGATGCACAGAAGGGTGAGTAGGCGGAGAATGACTGCGCATCCTTGCACCCTTGTGTGGCTGGTGTTTGTCTCTCCGCAAAGCGCCACCCGAACTGTATTTACACACCTTCGCCATTTCCCCAAGTCTCACCGCAACAGATAAACAATGGCGGGACATGGCCTTGACTGGAATTCTCTTGTCGCCTTTGACAATGTCGCGGCTGGCCAGTAAGCTTCCCTCTTCGGTCCAAGTTCGTCGAGGCCATGAGACTAATAGACAGTGTAGCGACGGCGTCATGTCAGACGTATCTGGCAGTCTGATCATCAAGCCATGTGTCGCTGCCGAAGTGGAATTCTACGAGCTTTCCAACGCTGAGCACCCAGAGTTTGCCCAGCTGATGCCGACGTTCATGGGAAGCCTACAGCGCGGCCAATCCAAGGAACTACAGGATCATCTCACTACCGCCGCCTCGCACTCTGCTGCCAACGAAGCAATTGTTCTACCTGCCGCTCTCGAAAACGAAGCGGAAGAGAAGAACGCAAAGGATGTAGCCGAGACGAACAGCGCCCTACGAGGAAAGAAACTGGACACGGGACTTGCTATCGTACTGGAAAACGTGCTGGCCGGCTTCCAAAGGCCCAATTTTGTTGATGTGAAGCTGGGCAGACGACTGTGGGCAGATGATGCACCACCTGCCAAACGTACCAAACTGGACGATGTCGCATCCCAAACGACTAGTGGTTCGCTTGGTTTCAGGATTGCAGGCATGAAGGTATGGCATCCCGAAGGCTCAGGAGAGTACAAGGTGTTCGACAAGTTCTACGGTCGAAATCTGACTTCAGACAACGTCAAGGACGCTTTTTCTACCTTCCTCTGTATCGACCGGAAGACAGAGACTCCAGACATGATCAGAGACATCGTCAGTAACATCGAAGAGGCTGTCGGCTCTATAGAACAAATCATTGCGAACCAGGAAAGCAGGATGTATTCAGCGAGCTTACTGTTCGTCTATGAGGGAGACCTACAAGCGCGGAAAGAAGCCCTTGATTCCGCCGTTGCACAGACGGCACAGAATCGTGACTCGGATGGTCTTAGGACTCAAGAAGGTGAGGGAACTAATGAAGAGAATGATGACGATGAGGAGGACGAGCAAGTTGAGCCAAAGCTGTTTGATATCAAGATGATCGACTTTGCTCATGCAGAGTGGACAGCTGGCCAAGGACCGGATGAAAACATGCTAGTCGGTATACGCAGCGTCCGCAAGGTCTTGAAGAGCTTGATGAAGGGGGTCGGTTGCGAGTGAAGTATGCTCTGGCATGAGCGACGACGATTATCTGTCTTACTACCCCCATTGAAGAAGCACTCAAAGACGAACCCTGAATAAGACTTTGACTTTCACAACGCGTGTCGAGAAAGTAGAATAATTAATTGAGCGATGTAAATGTGCCTCGAACTCCAACCTCGACGACCAGACCCCCACCATCCAAAGCTGCATCAATACCAAGTTTTGTCCACACGACAACAAGACACCAATTATTGCGCCGCTTTCGATGTCGCTTCTGCCTGGCCTGTCCCTCTCGGCGCCATCGACGGCAACACCGCAATCGGACGCCGCGTCGCATGCGCCTCCACGAATCGAAGAGCTGCCTGCGCGCTCAGAGCTGCGTTTCGAAGTCGCTCCCGCAAAGTCATACCGCATACGCCTAGTACGAGGAACAGCAGAACTGTTTGGCAGCGAGCTAGCGCCTAGCACGACCTACACTTTCAGCGGAACAAAGGGCGCCGTCTTCACATGGCACGGCTGCACCCTGGAGCTGCAGGGCGAGGTTGACAGCGAGTATGTCGGTTCCGAAACAGAAGCCATGGTGGAATGGCTAAACGTCCACGGTATGCTGGAGACAGCGCGCGACGATGCTGGAGTTGGCAGGGACAGCAATGGCGGCCCACGCCTTCTGATCGTAGGCCCTGACGATAGCGGCAAGACAAGTCTGCTCAAGTGCTTGACGGCATGGAGCTTGAAGATGGGAAGGACACCGACTGTCATCAACATGGACCCACGCGAAGGTCTACTCAGCATTCCCGGCAGCCTGAGTGCGGTTACAATGGGCAGCATGTTGGATGTTGAAGATGGCTGGGGAAGCAGTCCGGTCTCTGGTCCTACTGGAGTGCCTGTCAAGACACCACTGGTCTACCATTTCCCTTTTGCGTCTCCCGAAGACAACGCGCGCATGTTCAAACCTCTGGTCACTCGCGCTGCTCTAGCTGTTACGAGCAGACTCGAGGAAGACGACGAGGCAAAGCAGAGCGGCATCATCATCGACACACCAGGAAGTATCAACCAACCAAGAGGCGGGTACGATCTCCTCATGCACATCATCTCGGAATTCAGCATCAACGTCGTTCTCACATTGGGCTCGGAGAGGTTGTACAACGACCTATTACGCAAGTTCGCCAGCCCAAAGAGCTCCGATGATGTGGTGCACGTCTTTCGCATATCAAAGTCAGGCGGCGCCGTAGGCAGAGATGAGGCACTCATGCGTCAAGCTCGTCAGCAACAGATCAAAAACTACTTCTTCGGCGATAGCAGAACATCACTAAACCCACACGGCCAATGGTGGGACTTTGGCGATCTGACCCTCTACAAAGCAGTAGACCCTTCAGCATCACATGCACAATCGTCCTTCCTGCCTGGTATGGACTATGACGACGAGTCGGCGCCTGGGCAGGGCGCTGCGCCGTGGCTGGAGAAGGTCACGCCGAGTCAAGGAATGGTCAACGCAATCTTGTCGGTCAAGTTCTGTTCAGGAAACTCGTCACTGGATAACGTGCGCGACAGTTGTGTCATGGGATTTGTTTACGTGGCAGAGGTGGATGAAGCTAGGAAAAAGGTACGGTTCCTAGCACCGCACCCCAGCAGGTGGGGTGATCGAGCATTGGTTTGGGGCAACTGGCCTGAAGGCGTCGGCGATTTGGTTGCATAGAAAGGAGGATTCAGATTTCACATGAGCGTGGCGTTAGTGGAAAACAGACATGGTGTTTACCTTGGGAGACGACTAGCAGTTTCAAAGATGGCTTTATACCAAGTAATGGGAAAAGGACTGGACTGAAGATTTGCAAGATTTCGAGACCCAAGACGTGAGGTATATGTACAGAATGAGGTGGTGGTACAGACAGGCGTGAAGAGGAGGACTGGAAAGAGGAAGAGGGAGTTTTTGAGTGGATTTACTCGACGGGCTCGGACTCGGGGGCAGCCGAGACCTGTATGCTGCTGTCGACGGCGATCATCTCGGCAAGGATGTCGAGGATAGGNNCTGGGATGGGTCAGCACGCGAGCCGAAGGGTTGGGGGAGATTTGGGGAGGCGTACCTTGGGGACGGTCTTGTCGTAGATGCTGATGAGCTCTCTGGGCTGGGGGTAGACCTTGAGGGCCTTGTAGAAACACAGGGCGGCGTCGACGGGGTCGGAGCCGTCCTGGCACATCTGCTCACCGCGGGCGACCTCTGTCATGAAGTACTCCTCGGTCTTCTCGGGGTCGGTGGGGAAGCCCTCGTCGTTGGCGTCGTCGACGACCTGGCGGATCTTTTCCTTCTGGCCCTTCTCGGCGGCAACGGCCTCGTCCTTAGCGGCCTTGGAGACCTGCTTCTGCTGGCGCTTGAGCGAGCGGCGGAAGGCAGGGTCGGATCGCCTCTTGTAGTCAAAGTAGACGGCGTATGCGAGGGCCGCGGTGGTGACGGTGCCGAGAGTTGCGAGGATGATGGTCGACGTCTGGACGCCCGATGCGGGTGCTGTTGAAGGCATGATGAGGTGTGTGGGGAGTGGTTCTGGCGAGAGGGGGAGAGAAGAAGGCGGCGACAGGTGGTGGGTTGGTTGATGGTAGAGTATGCACTAGAGTAGAGTAGGCACTGAGTATGGACTTTTCTGTCCGTGAATCTTGCGCGCCTGCCTCTGCCTCTGCCTCTGCCTCTGCCTTCTCCACCTTTTGCGTCAGAAGCTTGACTCGGCTTGAGCCTCCTCCAGCCCCGTCCAGTCGCGTCCAAGACAGCCGCCCACCCTGTCCACGTCCTCGTTCCCTTCTGCCAACCACCCAACATGTCGGAAAAGGCAAAGGGCATCGTGTCGTTGCGCAAGAAGAAGACGACCAAGCGTCCCCAGATCAGCGCCCCTCGCCAGATCGTCCACACTCAGCAGCATGACTCGACTCCCTCACTGCACCCTCCACCGCTGCAGCACTCGCACTCGTCGGATACCGCCCCTCGCAACAACAGCCAGACTAGCCAGGCCAGCTCGCAAGCGCCCCGTCCGCGACCGTCGCTAGGAGGCCCCGACCGTACCGCCGACCTGGTCAAACGCCGCTACTCGACTCGCTTCGCCAACTACCCCCAAGATGCCGAGCGAGCTCCCTCTGTCCCGACCATCCCACAACACCTCGCCCAGTCGCGTCCGAACCGCTCGCCCGACCGTCGCGGCGAACGTATCCGAGTCGACGTCAATGCCCTGCGCGATCCCGACCTACAGCCCGACCAGTACGTGAGCATCCTGCTGCAAGACGCCAACGAGGCCGACATCCACGCCTACCAACACGAACTGCGCAAGCTCAAGAACCGCACCTCGACCGACTTGCAACACAACGTCTACCAGAACCGCACCCAGTTTATTCACATCTCCAATGAGGCCGACAAGCTCAAGTCTGAAATGCACACCCTGAGGGCCCTCATGTCCGAACTCACCGGCGTCTTGTCCCATGCTACCTCTGCCGGCTCGAGCCAGGAAGACCACACTGCCCAACAGTCCCGAAAGCGTCAAAACCGCAGCAGCGTCGCAAACCTGGAAGCATTGTGGTCTACCCATCTGCAGGCCATGTGGAAGCGTGTCGAGGGCTCTCAAAAGTTCCTTCCTGCTGTCCCCGGCCGTCACATCGTCTACGAGTCTGGCCGCTGGCTTGAACTGAATGCTGCCACCTGGAAGCCTCGCCGCCGTCTTCATGTCATCCTTCTCAATGACCATCTCCTCTTAGCTAGCGAAAAGAAGCGTTTTGATCCTCCTGGCATGAACTCGAGCCCTCAGAGCAAACGTGCTTCGGTCTATCAGCAGGCCCAAACACAGACCCAGCTCGTTGCTGAACGATGCTGGCCCCTCCAGGATATCCACGTGACTGATATATCCACACGTGCTACTGACGATCGACACAACATAACCACTGCTCTCAATGTGCGTATTGGAAACGAGTCTTGGACCTTAGCTTCGTCTAGTGCTTCCGGTGCCAGCCAGGAGGTCAATACCTTGCTTGTTCATTTCCGTAAATCGGTCGAAGATCTTCGCAAGACCACAGCGGCGGATCAAGACCATCGAGATCGCGCCATGGATGAACTTGCTTTCTTGACAGGCCAGTCTCGATTTTACAANAAAGCTTCGACTCAAAACACAGATAGCAACACTCTAAACTCTTCCTCAACCCTGATTGATGTCGACGGCAAGCAGCAAACTCTGCGTTGGGTCGAGAACCAGGTAGATGCACTAGATCTCAACATAGCTCTGCAACACTTTGACGATGCTGTCGTGTTAAGTGAGAAGTTGCGCAAATTGGCAAAGAACATCAAAGGAAACAATGTTGCTCAAGATATCATTCTCTCAAAGCTAGACCAACGTGGCGCTAAATTGGCCACCATGCTGGCCAGGCGACTCAAGGATACAAATTCTGGCGCGGCCGCCACCAAAGAGAATGTCGGCTGGCTTATGAGGCTCGGATACGAAGAAACGGCTCGATCTGCCTATCTAGAATCTCGTCAGGAGGTTCTACGGAAAAGAGCAAGGTTTGTGATGCTTGTGCTTGCCTGCTCCCGATCGCTGACATTGTTCAGACAAATTCCTTTTACCGGATCCTTGCCGCCACATCTGACTGCACTCTCGTACGTCACGTTCGCGATTATCTTGCATACTCTACGCACTTTCTCGTCTTCGTTTCCTCCCACGTCGTCATCAGCAGTCGTCAAATGGGCCAAAGAACGAATTGACGAGTTTAATGAAAGCTTGAACCGCCAAATCAGCAGTGTGGAAAGAGGGAGCTCCTTGTGGAATGAATGTATTGATGTAGTTCGAGAGCAGGCTGCTGTTCTAAGTGAGGCCGGTGTAGATTTCTCAGGCCTCATTGCACAAGGCCTCACGCAGCAAACATGATAGGCCGATAACCGGACAGAATTCTGGATACAAACAGGCCGGCCTGTTTGGATCTGTGCTCCATACTTTGTGGTAATGTCTACTGCTACTGGGTCGCTTACGCTCTGCGAAAACGCTTACAAGCTAGTAGTTCTACAAAGTAAACGATTGCCATAGTGTCGAAACATGAAGATTGACACAAAATGCCACCTCTTTGTGCGTGGTTCTGATTGTGCACACTGAACAGTGCCATCTCGTTCTGTAGCCACTTTGCGCATGTTTGTTGATGCCAAAGGAAGATCTGGATGGCATTCCATCGCTTCTAGAAGTCTCCACAGTGCATTGATGGGTAAAGGTCATCGGCTTGCTAAATCTACCTGACTTGGTGAACAGCTGTTTATAGTGGTCTTGGGACACATACGAATCACTCGTCTGCTGCTCCATTGTTCGCCTGACAAGGAATGAAGGCTATCGCAGAGTCCTTTTGTAGATCAGCATAGCAGACTGATGCCTACTTAAGGTGGCAGAACCAGGCTCGCTGTGATTGAACTACCACATCCAATCTCGATACTCCGCACACATCATCATACCACACCAACAGGATGCCTGCAAAGATTGACACTGAACTCAATCTCCGGTTCTTGTACATCTGCTTCAAGCATTCGAACTTCAGCACAGTGGGTTCTCTCTTATCCACATCATGCCAACAATGACTTTGCTAACCATGTTTCAGNGTCGATTTCCATGAGGTCGCTTCCTACTTCCAAATCAAGGCTCCGGCTGCTCGCATGCGCTTGATGCGTCTTCGTCAAGCACTCGAGGCAGAGTCCAGCAAGGAAGGCTTCAAGGAAAAGGACCGAAAGCGTCGACTCAACCCTTTCAAGGCCAAGGACAAGATGTACGTCAACGACGGCGAAGATGACGACGACGAAGCTCTTGACGATGTGCCATTGATGCAACGTCTCCACACACGCATGATGCGTATCAAGCGTGAAGAGGGCTTCATGATCAAGAATGGAGACGGTACCTTGATCAAGGACGAAGACACTGCAACGGTCAAGAACGAGGATGATGACTTCTGGGCAAAGAAGGAGGAAAATGTTGATGAGCAGGAAGAGAGGGCAATGATCATCGCCGGAGATCGTGAAGTCGGTGGCACCTACTTCAAGAGCGAGATCAATGATTCCCATCCCGATGTGCAGCAACAAACCACTCCTGTTGGCAAAGAAGGCGCTGTCAATCCTGAAAACGCCAGCACGGTTTACGCTCCTTCTCCAGTCCAGCAGCATGTGCGTGCACCATATCCTAGCTTGAGTCAGGGAGCAACCATGGCCAAGCCTGGGCCTTCTCCTTCTCTTGTTACACAGCACAGTGTTCCATACCTGAGCTCAGTCAAGCTGGAGCGTAGAGACTATGGCTATGGACGCGACCAACACATACCAGCTCATCCTACCAACGCCGTTCCCTTCAACTTCCGCGCTTACGACCACACAACCACCTCAACTCCTCATTTCCAGCACAGCGACACTGCCAAGCCAGAGCACACCAACAACAGTGGCCATCCCGTTCCCTTCCACGGCTACAACTCAATCTCTCGTCCCGACATCTTCGATCCCTTCGCACAGAACAAGCCAGAAACCGCATACGGCAATCCTCATGTCACGCCTCCCTCTAACATCGCCTCTCCTTTCCGCCTGGACATGTTCAACACGGCTCTGACAAACTCCGTCACCCCTGGGACTGAGGCTAGGCTTAGAAGAGACTCTATCGTGTCGGTCGTTGATTCGCAAATGGTCGTGGATGATGCCTCTGAGGCTTCATCTGACATGGGCTATCCATCTCCTGTCGCACGTCAGTCTTACCAGAACATCAACTTCGGATAGGCTTCCAGGCTTGCGGGCTTGGCTCCAACATGCTTTGACAATATCAGTTTCGTTTCTTAGTGACGGGGAACTGAGGAAAGAATATCAAGATTGACAGATACACCAACAAGTAGTCATGGCTAGGGATTTTTGTTTCTTTCTTGTAGTTTGGTCGAAGACGGGTTATTTTTGCATCACCAATCTACATAGCATTCAGTGCATTCAACAAGAAATACATTGATTCTGCTTTGATCTACTTGAATCTCACTGTCTGTACTCCGGGTCCACTTTGCTCTGTTTGAACAAACTCTTGCCTTTCAGCCACTGCCGATATGCCTTGTATCTCTTCTTATCTCCATCTTCTTCCCAAACAGTCAACGGATCTTCTCTGACTGTCAGGAAATCGGCAAACTCGGCCAAGTCCTCATCACTGGGCTCGAGTACGCCGTTACTACCTTCATCACCAGAGTCGACACCCGCTTTGCCGCTGTTGACATAGTCCACGAAATCCAGATTAAGTGTCGTCTCTGGTGGTAGCTCGGTCGATACGACCAGCGGAATCTTGGTCGGGTGTGTGATGTAGCGTTCGTATTCGTTCATCTCTTCGGCCGTGACGGATGGATTGAGCGAGTGATCGTAGATGCGGTTAAGAGTCATTTGTGTGATGGCAGCCTTATCTGCAATCTTGACCGACTTCTGGTTTTCTGGGTCTGCTGTCGTGCGTTCGGCTGTGGTGTCACGCAGGATGCCCTCTGGTATTGTTGTTACTGCGGCACTCCTGCTCACCTGCTGATGACCGGCCTCATTTTCGCTTTGAGGGTCCACAATCGTCACACCTTTGCGTAAAGGTTTCTTTTCTGGCGAGTCGGGTGAGTTTCTGTTCAGGTCGATACGAGGCGTGAACGGGCTGAAATCGTGTTTTGTGTCTTTGTTCGGCCTCTCGGGCAGGAAACGATGGTTTGTATTCATCTTGTAAGAGTAGACTTTGACGAATGACGAAACTGCGAGAGGTCTGTAATACTCCAACCAGTAGTCATCGCATTCCGCCGGATGCTGGGCTTGTTTTGAGGCTTGACTACGCGGAGCTGTTGGTGGCAATGTTCGTCGCTCAAGATGCTCTGGCGTGAACCAATTGATGTAGCTCTTGCGAGGACGGTCGAGCCATTTCTTGGGGTCTGTGTGATGCAGGTAGTAATCTGTAGAGAGATCCCAGAGCATCGGTTGACCTTGTGCCCATATGTAGTTGCCGAGGAATAGATTGTATGCCTCTTGCCGCTGAGAGTCGAGAAACGAGTTGTGGTAGTATCGCTTGAAGCTCTCCACCATATCTCTCGATTGACTGTGCCAGTGATTGATCTTTCTGTACGTAGCCATGGTGTTGACCAAGTGAGATCCGCCATATTGAATGGCTATGGTATCTCCGTGGTCGTGAAACATGTGTGTGAAGACGTTGACCGCATCCGAGTCATACTCCATATCTGCAGTCGGTATTACGCCTAGTGCTCGTAGTTGATGTCCAAGAGCGCGCTTGCCGATGACAAATTGGGCTGCATTGGTGCGATCCAGACAATCGATGCAATTGGTTCGAGCCACGCCATTCTGAACTTGAGGTAATCCATCCTCCGTATCTCCGTTGTGAAAGAATCCGGTCTGTTGCATAATTTCCTCTGCAATCACTTCAAGCGTACCGATGACATCTCCACCTCTTGTCTTTGCAGCCCGACTCATGTCGAAAGCTTTGTACTGTATCTTCTTGTCGTTAGGCAAGAATTGGTTGAGGTATTCCAGAGCACTCTGAAACTCTGTGAGGAGCTTCGACTCTCGTGCTGTCCTCTCGCGGGACTTTATCAGATTCAAGACATAGATAGGGCATCCATAGCGTTTGAAGAGGTTGTCAAAATGCATCGCCGCCGGCTGATAGAATGGATCTGTCATGTTCACATCTATGTCTGGCTTAGGAGAAACACCGCTATTGTCCTGAGTCCAGTAGAGAGGAATACTGCCTCTGTGGTGAACATACGAAGTATAGTTCGGATTGGAAAACAGTCTGGGCCCGGGAGCATGAAACGAGGTTGTAAGCATCTCCGAAACTATCTGTTCGGTTTCTACATCGTTGGCCACATACCCAAGGTCATTAGCTCCACGTTTGAGGAAGCGTGCACCAGCGAAGAAACGTGATCGCCGCCCGATTATAGTGATGTAAATGGTACGTCCAAAAACGTCGAGAGACGACTGATCGATAAAGCCATGGATGATGGGTAGACACCAGTCGAAAGCATTCTTCAGATGTTTTACTGCCGGACTCAGGAGATGATGGTTCCAAACGAACATATCATCATAATCATGACCGGGTTGCTGTACTCCTTGATTGAGCGCGTTGCGTTGTCGGGTGATGTTGTACTGAAGTGTGCGAGTGATGTCGTACGAATAGCTGAAGTAGAACGAACGTGTAAGATCGAGGTTGTTCAGAATTCCCAAAAAGCGGCCTTCCTCAGCATTTCGTTCCCGAGCAAAGCGAGAGCCAGCGCCGATTGTCAAAGGAAACAGTTCAGTGCCGTCGACCTGGTAAATATAGTGGCCGCCAATCATTGCCACTTGCTGTCGCTTGGTAATGAGCAGAACGTAGTATGAATCTGTGAACCTGATAAAGCCTAGGATACCCCAGAAGCTGCACTTGACACGCAGCCCTCCGGTAGCCTTGTTGCCATCGTCAATCGTCGTAAGAAGCTGTGTGACCTCCTTTTTGCTGTACACAATTTCGTCCTCAAAGACAGAGAGTTGACCCGGAGGTGCGGTGCGGTCGATCTTCAGAAGCTTGTAATATTTGTCTGTGATATCTGAACCAGTTATCCAATATCGAGCATTCGTTTCATACAGTGTGAACTTGTGCATTCTGTGGAGAGTTGGTTGTTGGTGGTTCGGGTTTTGGCTGTTCTTTGCTTGCTCGTTGACACTCTTGGTTATGGACTCGAGGTCAGACGCCACGGGTTCGACATCTTCTGTATGCGCCTCCTGCGATGCCGCACCATCGAGATTTAGCATGGACGTCGATTCGACCTTCGCATGGTCATCTTCGTCTTTGTCAGCATGATCTAGAGTAGTGGTGCCGGAAGTTTTCAAGTCATCGTGTGCTTCCAATGTATCGAGTTGGCATGGTTCGCTGTCATGCGCTGGCTCGTGACCGTGCGAGTTTTCTGCAGGAGGACTGATATCGGGATCTGAAAGATTAAATCCTTCGTCGACAGCGACCGCCATGGTGGCGTGTTTCGAGCAGCTGCAGGCCAGGCCAATATATTATTCGTCCTATCGTCGTTGGACGTGCATACTTTGTGTGATCAGATAGAGCGAAGGACCCGTTTATGTCAGGACATCGCAGAGGAGTGAACCAGATGCGCTGTTCTGGTCTCACTGAGTGCTTCGACGCTTGGTTAACCTCAACGACAACAAAGTTGTGGTTTTTGGTCGTCGAGGTGCATGTCTTTGGTCGGTCATGTCCCAGAGTTGACTAGCACGCCTGCCAAGACATACGATGTTCTCAACGTCTCGGGCCTTGTTTTCAACTCCTCTATGCCTACAACACGATGCTGGTCTGATGATACGGCACCTACTTTAGGGGCTTGTGCACCCTTCTCATACAGGTAGACGTGTCAATTCATAACATGACGGCTTATCATGCTGCACGTGATTGTGCAAGAACAGTAGACAGCCAAAGCAGCACCTTAGAGGTGACTTTACAAGTGGACTTCAAGACTTGGGATTATTGCCCTACGAGTGTGTTATACGAGCAGGAAACTGGCAGAGGTTCTGTAGTATGATTGTGAGTAGGTAAGCCCATGATTTGGTAGTCTCTGATGGCTGGATGCTTGATGGATGATAAGAACACGAGCTGGAAATATGTCAAGCAGGGTCATCCCTCTAGCAAGAAACAAGATGGGGCGGCGAATGGGCAGGCCTCGACCGGGTGATCTCGGGAGGTTCCCCTTGAAAAGGTGGAACTTTACGCGTACGAGACCCTTCTCCACAAGGTGAGCGAGGCGGAGCACCGTCTGTTAAAAGTCGAAAGATGCTTCGTATTTGATTCCTCGCGCCATCGTCCAACTCAGTCGTTCTTGTCAGTTTAGCAATGGCCGTCAGCACGATTGCTACCACCACGACGCTCGCGGGCGAGCAGTCAGCCACCCTCCGAGCCAACATGAAGAGCTCCAGCGACCCGGCGCCGCTAAAGCATGAGGCCCAGGATGACCAGTTCTTCTGGTCTTACACAGANGAACCTCACCGTTCCCGTCGCATGGCCATCATCAAGGCACACCCTGAGGTAGTCGCTGCTCCTAGAAAGCAATCCTTTGGACCTGGCTGACACCTTACAAACAGNGTGCTCAAGTTGTGCGGACCCGAGCCCTTGACGATTCCCCTTGTCCTCGCAGTCGTAGGCCTTCAATGCACATGTGCCTACCTTCTCAGCAACACTCCTTTCTGGTCCTGGCGCTTCTGGCTCACGGCCTACATCATTGGTGCCACTGCCAACCAGAACCTCTTTCTGGCCATCCATGAAATCTCGCACAACCTTGCATTCAAATCTGGTCTCGCGAACCGCCTTCTCGCTATCGTCGCCAACTTGCCTATTGGCATCCCATACTCGGCCTCTTTCAGAGTATGTCTCACTCAGTGCTTCAGCCACAAACCAACACTGACTCCTTCCTAGCCCTACCATTTGACCCACCACAAATCGCTTGGTGTCGATGGCCTTGATACAGACTTGCCTACCGCTCTCGAGGCCTTTTTCCTCGACTCTATCGCCGGCAAGGCCTTCTTCTGCACCTTTCAGATTTTGTTCTACGCCTTGAGACCTATGATGGTTTATCAGATCCCTCTGACCAAGATCCACGCCCTTAATATTGCTGTTCAGCTTCTGTTCGATTACCTCCTTATCCAGTCGTGGGGAGGCAAAGCAGTCGGATACTTCATCTTGAGCAGTTTCCTGGCCGGATCTCTTCACCCTGTGGCCGGCCACTTTATCGCCGAGCACTACGTCTTTGACCGTGCCTCTCTCGAGAACAAGCAGGCGCGCGATCCCAAACAACGTATCCTAGTGCCTGAGACTTTCTCCTATTATGGACCTCTCAATCTCTTGACCTACAACGTCGGTCTTCACAATGAGCATCACGACTTCCCTGCCATCCCTTGGACCAGACTTTGGAAGGTCAACGAGATTGCCAAGGAGTTCTATCAAGACTTGCCCTACCATCGTAGCTGGGTTGGTGTTATGTGGCAGTTCATCATGGACAAGGAAGTCGGCATGTGGTGCAGAGTCAAGCGCAAGGAAGGCGGAAGAAAAGTCGGCGGTTGGAAGGAGGAGGAGATTCAAAACTGACCAGCTTTTTGGCTCTTTTCGCAATCTGATCAAATCCCCTAGACAATAGAGACGAGCACATGACGATCAAATATGGAAAACTACAGCTTTGTTTGAGGACGGTTGTCCAACGCCTCTTTCGTATGATTATGTACATGGTTATACTCCGATTTGCCTTTCAATTGATACATGCAAAAATCCACCCCTCAACGCCAGAGATTGTTCGAGGAATCTCAGTATGGATATCATAACGATACAAAGGGACCGCGCGGATGTGGGCCAACGACTGAAGTGCAGCTCGTTGACCAGTCTATATTGTGGTTGTTGTTTTTGGCTTTGATCTTGCGGAATTGGTTGCTCCCGCAGGCCATCAAAGCTCTCACTTGTGGCTGCCACCAGCTCCAGTAACGCGGAGGACGAAGTTGACAATGACAGCGGCCAACAGGGCAATGGCCAAGACAGTAGGACCAAAGCGGTCGTCGAAGCCGCTCTGGCCTCTCATGCGGATGCTCTTTGCTCTCCAGTGGAAGGTGACCAGGGCGTAGATCATAGTGGCCATGGCAACCAAAGTGAAGAGACCAGCAGAGATCTGGCCAACCCTGTCGCCGAAGTTGAGGAGACCGACGGCAAGACCGCCCAGGATGACGGTGAAGTTCAGCCAACTGAGGAAAGTACGCTCGTTGGCGAAGAAGACCTTGGGCTCAACGCGAGTGGGCAGGGCAATGCGCTTGCNCTGTGAACAGATCGAGTCAGTATTGGAGTTCGACGGGTCGTGGGCAGCTCGTATGAGGGGGTGTGTACCAGGTGCTGTCTGGAGAAGTGGTTGCGACGACATGATGGCGATGTGAGATGATTGAGGATGGAACTGGCGAGGCAGAAGTTGAAGATGGTACAGCAGATAACAGTCAATGGATTGCTGAGCTCTGAGAACGACTGGCGAAGAAAAAAGATGCAATCAATTATTGATGCAGCGAAATGCTCGAGCATGACGCCTGGCTGAGATCTGACACGTGCGCCGTGTGATTGGTCAAGATCCTTTCTACGAGCGACATGCCTCGTCGCGATATTAAAGGCCAACCGATCTTGTTCCGATACTCATCTGGTTGGTGGTCACCTAGTACAAGCCAGAAGCCTTACGGCACTGAACTGAGCGGGCAGCGATACTCGATGAGTTCAATTGCTGCGAGCATTCGATTCGTGATGGTTCATGTGCAGGTTGTTAGGCTGTTTAACCCCAGACGTTCTCACACCTTGAACACGACCGCAAAACAGACTGGACGATTCTGTTGTAGTCCAATGGTTCAAGACTAGGTATCATGAGGCACCAAGAGAGCCCATCCGTTAAAATGATGGCGGTGCCTCTTCCTCCTATCCTCGAGCCCAAAGATGCCGCTGGGCCAAAGGCAGTGTTGCACATGGCAAAGCAGACCCCACGCTTCACTGAGGATACAGAAGCTCGGACCGGCAGCAATGTTCCGCTGCGATAGTAAACAAACCCAACCGCACCATTTCAAGTCACTGTCGCATACCATTTCTCTCACACAAAGCCTCGCCTTATTCTCAAAGGATCCGTCAATCCCTCTAGATCGATTTGAGCCTACATCTGATCCAATCGCCCTCGCCGTCACCATGTCCACCTGCGTACGCCGTAGCCCGCCATGCCGCACGCGACGTTGCCCGTCTGACTTTGTTCTCTAGCCAGTTACCGAAACCCGCCTCAGCCAGATCGCTGCCGACGTATGCGCCCAGACTACGAGACTGAGAAGGCTACACCTACTGACACCGGCCAGNGCTTGCAACAATGCCTTCAGCAGTGCCACCGCATACAACCACGCCCAGACAGAGCAATGGAACTCCGAAATCATTGTATACCTTGCCCTCTCGGCTACCTTGACCGCTTTCTGACACGCTCTATAGAAATCCATTCTGACCGCTCTCATCTCCGAATCCAAGGGCGAGGTCCAGTACAAGTTCGCCGTAAACTCCACCATCATCCAGCACCTGACCGACCCACGTCCTGCTGGCTCTGACGCCCCTACCACTCCCTCAACCGCCACTGTCGGCCGCCGCGGTATGCACTCTGCCACTGGCGCATACTGGAACACCGAGAAGGACGGCATCTGGAACTACAAGCACGAGGGCGGCGAGGCCAAGGGCATGGATGTCGTCGTCTGTATCATGTGGGTCGCCAACTGAGCAACGCATTTCTTCGGCCATCGAGCTCGACAAGACTCGTCATTGATGCGCCCGGACTTGCTCTTACCTCCGCCCTCCTTTGTACATGGTATTTAGGACACGAACATACGAATCATAAGGTTGGATCCCGCTCGCGTTGGCTCTCACGGTACATACATACGCGAAGCATTGCGCGCGCGGGAGTCTACTCGACATCGTCCAACTCGCCAGGACATTGGTGTCAATATCTCAAAATGCCCTATGGCGAATATCAGGAGAGATTCATTGGACAGCCAAAGTGTCCAACGAAATTCACTAATTCAAATTTTACGAACGTCCCTGTTGCTGGTTGTCATTATGCTTGCGAGTGATGATCAAGCCATCTTCGCTCCCCGATCATCGCTCTCATAGATTGTATTCTCCTTAACAGCCTTTCCCACGCCCTCGGTGCACAACTGATGGACTTCGTCCCAGCCTTGTTGCTTGGCTGCCTTTCTTACCCTCGTGCTACTTACACCGACACCTTCTTCAGCATGTACCACTTCGATTTGCGAAGCCCATTCGCGTTTGCCTCCATCGGCTTCCATGTCACCCCTGGCCAGCGAATTGACAAATTCCTGTTGCGATTCGACCGTACCGTACTCATCTGAGGGGCGCAGAGTCACACGTAACCGATGTCCCTCATCAAAGTAAGGGTTAAGCGCCGAAAGTGGCGGATTGAAGTTGGGATAGTACTTTGCAGCGAAGAAGCGGGTGATAGTGTCAAAACCCAGTAGATGTACATGGCTCGGAGAGTCTGGATACTGCTCAGCGCCCTCCTTTGAGATGGCCAAGCTCTTGTCGGTATAGTAAGGAGCAGTGGTCAAGCCTATGTCGACTGATGGTAGCACATAGTCTTGGTTGTTCGCCGTACTTTGGAGATCCTTCAACAGATCCTCGGCGAAGATAGTCATGAGAGCCAGACGCTGAGGAAAAGAGGCCGCGGATGGAGCCTTGTCGGCATTGTGAGTGCTGAAGAGAAGCAGCAATCGGAATGGAGACTGATGCTGCTTGGTTGAAGAAGAATGTAGGGCAGATCTAGCAAGAGCTAAATGGGCCTTGGACGGTGGATTGAAGGATGAGTCGAGGATGAACAGAGTCTTTGGGGACGGTGGACTTGAAGCAGAGGGGTTGATACTTCGGACAATGCGAAACTTGGAATCTGATGACTGGAAAGACTTGAGAGCCGTCTCGAGTTGTGGCAGGATGCTGCGCAGCGAACTTGTGCTTGTGCTCATGATGCAGTGCTTGCTCACTCCTTTTGTTTTCTTCAGGAGATTCACAGCGAAGGAATTTGTCCCTCTTGATCTGGAGAGTGGTTGCGTGGTAGTTTGGTGTTGGTAGACGCGAGAGCGAGGTGCACGGACAGCGTCCCATCCAATCCCGAACAAGGCATTTGAACATCGGCCAAGCTCGTCGTCGTCAATTCATCGTCGCCCTTGAACCGTCGCATTCCCAATTCACATCCAACATGGTCGCCGAGCTCAAGAAGCTGGCCTCTTCGGCCGCTGGCAAACACGCCGCCTACAAGAAATACACTGTGCAACCCACCGGCATCTGGAAGCGCATCGGTGACTTCTTTGCTGTCGACCCCAAGCGCTCCTCGGGTATCCCTCTCAACCCTCAGTACCGTCTTCCCTCCCCTGGAACCGTGGATCCCAAGCTCTACGACGACCCAACCACCGTCCCTGCTGCCGACCTTGCCGAGAACCCCTACTGGAAGCGCGACGTCCGCAGACAATACCCCAAGCTCAGCGTGGTCAAACAGCCCGACGTTGTTGGTCTCTTGACTGTTGGAAGTGCACAAAACCCCAAGGAGAATGTTCTGCAAATCGGCGACGCCGGCGCCAAGCAGCTGGTCTCGTTGAAGGAGGAGGGTGAGAAGGGTCTTTCGGCCTTCTTCCAAAAGGACAACAAGGCTGGCCTCAGTGTGCTGGGTGCCAACGGCCTGCCCCCATTCCCTACCTCAAGATACCCCTCATCCACTCCTAAGCGCTACGAGATGCTCAAGGAGCAGTCTTACAGCACAAAGTACGTGTCTCAATGCCATTCGTCGTGCACACGACATTTACTAACTTCGCTCCAGCTACCCTTGCAGAACGTTCGAGTAGATGCACCAAACATGTACATTTTCCTTTCCTTAGACGTTCCAAATCCGACATGCCTTGAAATACAACCTTCTCTGAATATTCGGTCGACCCCAAGAAAGGTCAAGTTTAGATGTGATGAAGTGGTGTTGAAAGCGTGTGCAAAGTACCTAGGCAGGCACCTTCCCAAATTTTGCTTCGGTCCACTTCGAGACAGGCAGGCACGCCCAACCAAAGCGCCGCCACCTGCGTGAATTCTACCTCTCTGACAATGATCCACACTGACCTATCTCGATTGCGCCTACATACCGAGTATCATGGCCGCCGAATCCGACGCTACGGAGCCTCTTCAGCCACTTGATCTTATCTTCAGCTGCAACATCTGCCACGACTCTATTCACGACATACGTAGCCCTGTGCACGATGGACAAGAACTCGAAGGCATTCGCAGACCAGTCGCGAAGCTTTGGATGACCGAATGCGCACACCTCATATGTGCAAAACATCTTGAGCGCGGAGGTACGTAACAAGCGCTTTCAGCCTTTGGTGCGCTTCTCATGGCGTTGACAGCTCCTCCGTTCCATCCCGCCGGACAAGCACCTCGTGCCGTTTGTCCTGTTTGTGTCAGTAGACAGAACAACCATGCGCTCAAGCAGATNGTATGCCATTAGTGGCTTCGCCAAGGGTCAATACGACTCGGAGATTCCTCATCATTTCTTCCAGTGTCCGCCCGTGGCTCTTGACAACAAGGATGGTGGCATGGACGCGCTTCGAGTACCTATGCTATCAAACAATCAGTCGTGCGCGATGTGCAACTGACATCGATTTAGTTCCAGTTCCTTGGCCTTGTCACCTACGGAATTGCAACCGCCACAAAGTTTCGTAGCCTCCAGACTGCGCACTCTCATCTCAAGGACCAGACAGACAAACTGAAGCTGGAAAAGACAAAAGCTGAGACGGAGATCCGGACGTTGACGGAGCGAATCACGCTAGCCGAAGAAGCAGAGAGAAGATACAAAGCCAGAGAGCCCGAGATCAGGCATTATCTCGAGCAATTTACTCTTGTAAAACAGTAAGTCTGGTCAGCTCTGGTTTTGGTATCCTCTGACGATGACAAANNCAGAGAGCTGGACCGCCGGAACGAAGATTTGAGCGCGCTTGGTTACCCTCCTCCTCGGATCGATTACACATTCCCTCCTTCACGTCTGTTCGAAGACGATACATCCAATGGACGAGCCACAACTTCTCACACTGGACGAAGCGACCGTGTTGACCGGACCGATCCTAGAACAATGGAGGACCATATTCCAAGCGTTTCGAGCACCACACTTCGAGGCGACTCCTCGAGGACTTGTAAGGAATTTGATAGGACTTGGCAGGCATCATCATCTGACATCGCGCAAGATACCGAAGACAATCTCCAGAGCACCGAGAACAAGCGGCAAAAGCTATCTGAGTATCGCTACGAACCACGCAATCAACAAAGCCCATCCAAAGACACATCAGTGCAGAAGAGGCCTGTAATAAGACCCCCACCAGCATCTTCAATTACCCAAAACACTTCTTCGAGAAGCACACATTTCCAGCCACCACCTATGCCCAAGCAAAACAACAACCAGCGACCAAGCTTTGTCAATCGAAGCAACGATTCACATACTGATCCTCAGCTTACAAACACTCAGCGTGAGACTTGGGAACCGTGGGATCGTACTGGGTTTAACAAGAATACAGACACTCGGTCTGACGACCCACTTTACATGAGCGGTGCCCTACAGTCAGACTGCTCGAACTGTACGGACCCGTCGGCCTCTTTTAAACCACCCAAGCAACAAAAGAGGAAGATTCAGCCGGTCGATAGCATCGACGACATTTCGAGAATGGACTTCATCACATCCGAGCGACTGCCGACGTACATGTCGCCTCATAAGCAGTTTGCCACTAGAGGAGATATCACATATGACTCACACACCACGTTTCGCGGACCTCAAGAGTCATGTGACGCTTATTCAGGGACTGATCAATACTCACTACCTATTCGAGGAACACGCACGGGATACTACGGTCAATACCAACTGTTCAAGCGACCTGCTCAAAGCGCTTTACCCCAGGCAGATCCATCACCATACCATGGAGCACAAGTCCAAAAAGATGCTTTTCAACCACCATACAATCGTCAATCGAACAGACCTCATACTCCGTCACCACAACGAGTCAATGTCCTTCAACAATCGCGTGGTATATCGGTGACTAGTCCCTTCTTCCGAGCAGAGCAGGGTCGTAACTCCAGACACTATCTTACATCCTCTCCCATGGTGTCGCGGACAAATCAGCAAACCATGCCAGACTTTAGGATGGCACCGCCTCGGAGACCTGTTCAAAGCAGCTCTCAATCAAGATCTCAAACCATGCACGGTCTCTCTTTTGTCGAACATCCGCAGCTCGATCGTGATCGTGTTTATGACTTAGACACGGCATTCAGTGGTCATGTGCAAGAATCGATGGATCGGGCTCCCAGAGATTCCAATGGTCTTTTTTCAAGACCGGACATGCAGCAGAACTCAATGCCAACAATTGATCCAAGACGCGGGTCGACGCACCCGTCTCAGTGTTTCAATCGACCTCAGCCATTGCCTTCCAGAGTTCCGTCATTGGCATCGAGTATTAACATACCTCGTGCAAGGAGAGGACCAACGTATGATGGAGCACTTGCTAATATACGGGGCGTTAAGGGTGGCTCAACATCTTCAAGGGGCATGTCGAATGAACTGTTTGGTTCTAGAGCGGGTATGTTCTCGGGCTCTCGACGCAGTGTCAGACGTTGAGGTATAGCATCTGTTGATCTGCTGCTGTTTGTATCTAACTCCGTGGCTTCGAGTTGTTTAAGTTGAGATTCAGCGGTGTCCATTCTTTAGAGAGAGAGTAACAACTGCGATTTACCCGGCCCGGTTAAATGCCCCCACATTCGTCACCGGGATGAGTACAATACCTATTTAACCCCACTAAGACGAACTTGACACAATAACGCGGTACCAAGCCAAAGTGCACTGTAATCAAGTGCTCTACCCAATCAAACGAATTTTGACATCAAAACCTGCAATCAATCATGTCTCGTCCTGGAGTGTCTCGCACCGCATCGACCAATCTTGGTAGCGGAAATGGATACAGAGTGCTGGATGGCAAAGTCGCTATCGTCACTGGTGCCTCCAGAGGTATGTGTCCATCATTGGCCATGAGAGTCCATAATGAAGGGCGGCTGAATAGTATCCANGGTATCGGCGCCGCAGTATGCGAGAACCTTGCGTCTAAGGGCAGCTCCCTGATCATGAACTACACATCCGACTCGTCCGAATCCATCACAAAAGAACTGGCCGAGCGACTCGAGAAAGAGCATGGAATCAAAGCATTGCCCGTACAAGCCGATATGGGCAGTGAGACTGGTCCCGCACACCTCATCGCCACAGCCCTGAACCACTTTGCCCACCCAAAGACACGCAAACTGCAGATCGACATCATCGTCAACAATGCAGGCGTGGCGTCCAACTTACCCATTGAAAAGTGCAATGCCGAAGACTTTGACTTTGTCTACCGCGTCAATGTCAGAGGTCCTCTTTTCCTCATGAAGGCTGCGCTTCCGTACCTGCCTACCGATCGCAGTGGTCGCATTGTCAATGTCAGCAGTGTCAGTGCCAGCTGTGGCTTTAGCGAGCAGAGTGTCTATGGAGGCTCAAAGGCTGCTGTCGAGGCCATGACACGTACCTGGGCTCGAGAGTTGGCCGAAAGAACCACCGTCAATGCCATCAACCCTGGCCCTGTCATGACTGGTAAGTGTCGTTGCTCTTGCTACAACATTCCGTTTGCTGACTGTGCGCCTACTATAAANGATATGTGGAGCGGAGTCACAAAAGAGTTCCAAGAGGGCATTGCACCATGGCTCAAGAACACTCCTCTGGCAGCCGTCCGCCCCGGCGTCGATAGTGAGGACTTGGTGAAGGGCGCTGAAGTTGCCGGAGGCCGACCTGTAAGTCAAGCCATAACCTGCTCCGGGCTTGAAGCTAGGAGACTGACCGACCTTTTGTAAAACAGNGCATACGAATCCGAAACTGCCGGTGTTATCGCCATGCTCTGTACCCCTGATGCTGCTTATACTACAGGCTCTGTCATCAGCTGCAACGGAGGTTTCAAGTTCAGCACCTAAATAGAGAGGCGAAGCACAGACTCGAGATCTTTGGTACTTTTGTCTCATCTGCTTGACCTCATACACCAATAGAAACTGTACCAACAAAGATCTTGAGAATCTCCGATCTCTTGTTTTCGGTGCCCTTGAGCGAATCTCCCACAAAGCATGTGTTACAAGAAATACATTTCTGCTCGCTAGAGATAGAAGAAGGCCGTAGGCTGTGTGGACGATCATGTTTATAGAATGCAGAGGCAAGTGGATACTCCGTAATATCTACTTGTTCTCTGCGTTGCAGTACTGACCCGATCAATCTCAACAACAACACAACCCAACCATGTACAAATTTGCGGTAAGAATGACGATTCATGATCATTCAGAGGGTGCTCCCATCCATCATCGATAACTCAGATGTGCCCAACAATTTTTCAAGCTCCTGTGTTTGGGTTGCCCTGACGACCTCCAGCAGATCCTTAGTGCTCTTACGAACACTCTTTCCAGAATCCACCGACAACAAACTGACACTACGCCAATGTCCCTTGCGGTCATCAACTACAGTGACCGAGGGGAAGTGGCGAGTGACTGGACTGGAGGAAACTGATTGTTTGCCAGATGGAACGGTCAGGAATCCGGTGGTAGGCGTCTTCGAATCAATCTCAGCCGGCCCAACAGCGGTAGGCCCATCTGGTAGATGACCGGTGTCATCTGCAGCACCGCTTTGCTCGACTTCAGTGTTATCCAAGGATGCCGGAAGCTGCACATAAGCTTGATACATGCGAGACAACCTTCTTGCACTCAGTGCTCGGTCTGGCTCTGAAGGCCTGCCCTCGATGTTTCCGTCCACCGACCCAGGTAGAGCGGACTTGTCCTCGGAGTCATTTCTAGCTTCCAAATCACCTGCTTCCTGATTACGCATAATCTGAGATCCGCCATGCATAAAAAAGACGGGTGGAACGTGTCCAGCGGGAGACTTGTCTACACTTGATGTTGACTCTTGGCGATGTCGATTGATGAGGTCAAGCCCCTCCTCGCTGATGTGATGGCTTTCTTCTCCAATGTGATCCACGAGACGAGCAAATTGGTTCTTGACTCCAAGGTGCTGTGAGGAGGTTGGGTGTGTCGGTAGCATTGGAGGCAAAACTTCAAGCTCTGGATGCTCTAGTCTACCACCTGTCGCCGTAGAAGACCGGCGATTACGGGCTGCTGAAGAAGTAAGAAGATTAGAATAGTAGCGAAAGACTGTACCGAATGTCATCGACCGCGACTTGACAATCCAATTTCTTCTCTTTGCATTGACTAGACGCGGCCAGCTTCTGGGCGAGGTCGCCATCTCCTCCAAGGAGACCGTTTGGTGTACGTTGCGTGGATTTTGGACATGAGCAAAATCTCGACTGACTATACCATCGTGACGCCCAGCTGAGCTACAGCGTTTTTCTCGTGTATGAGATGGATAACGGCTCCAGGAGTGCGGAGGAGTCATTGTGAGAAGGTGTGATTTGGTACCTTTGGTATCGATTGTGTTCGTGGTCCAGATAGTGCTGCGCTTCTTCTTGCGAAATGAGGAAGCATCAACGGCAGTATCTTTGGATGACTCAAGATCTTGCATACTCTGACTTTCGCGAGCAGTCATCGGCTCTTCGGGTTCTAACGGGTCTACATCCTCGAGCGTTGCTGCTGCCAATCTTGTTTCGCTGGTAGATTGGAAGCCGAAAGAGCTTGTGAAAACAGGTGCGTACGTTGGGGACGGTACGGCCTCGTTCCTCTGGCTGCTTGTACGGAGAAGGGCTGCTTTCTCTGCCTGATGTTGTAGCAGTGCTCTTTCCATCAGAGTTTCTTCCGTTGCTTTTCTGCCGGGGCTGAGGAGGGGACTAGCACGACGTATAGTTCGTGCAGGATAATCATCTTGATCTTCATTCCCCTGTACATGGATGGTCGGTCCAACCAACGTCGATTTGCGGCGGCGGTTGTTACCCACAATCGAAAGACTTCTTTCGTAGTTTACCAAGGATCGTCGTGACTGCAAAGAAGGAGTAACAGCCAAGGAACCAGCTGAAAGTGCACTCGCAGGTCTTGTACCGGCTCTGTCAACGAAGCTGACTGAGCGCTGACTGTTCTGTGGTTTGAGGAAAGACCGTGGCACAGACAATAAGTCTTGTGAGTCCCCAGTTCCATCGTACGTCTGATTGAGAGAAGATTTGGTCCTACCACCGAGCAACGGCGTGCTGGTGCTTCGAAGCTTGGACCGTGTGAGTTTGGGAAACAGTATGCGCAAGACCGAGCGACGCTTCTTTCCAGACTTTGGAACAGTAGAGGAATCATTGAGATCTTCTCTGAATTTGCTAAGCTTCCCAAGGCTTCCCGAACTGTTGCTCTTTGTAAGGGAACACGTCGTGTTACAACCAACCCAGCTGCTGACGCATACAGAGCCGCTCATAGATGCAGAATCTTTAAGATCGCAATGAGAAGCTGAACCACTTGCCACGAAGCTGATGCCAGTAGACGCTGATATGACTCTTTCTGCTTGACGACTGGTGCTCTCCTTGCCCTGGTTGGTGAGTTCAGGTATGTCGTTAGTCTTCGCGTCTCCCTGAATAGTCTTCTCAGAGGTATCAGCCGAATGGGTCACAGGCGCCTCGAGCGGGCTCTCTAGAACCAAGCTTGGTCTGCGACTGTAGATAGACGAGGATTCATCCTCAAGAACCTTCTCCCAGGTAGATAGTCCAGCCGAGCCTGCAAAGCCAGAGCTGGAGATACTCTTGCAGCGTCCAAGTTCTATGGAGGAGAGCACGATGCTGTTGAGACTTGCGTGTGTATGGCGGTTCTGCGTATCGGACTCATTTGCGCTTGACGCTTCTGAAACCTGCGATCGTGTACGTAAATGCTGCGAGATTTGCATGTCATACAAGTGCAGCGAGTTCGCCGAATCTTTTGGAAACATTTTGTGTTTATCGGGGCTTCTTGATTTGGCCCTTACCAGCTGTGGTAGACTGGAGTCCTGAGATGACAGTCGAGAGTTTGGCATTTGCGAACCAGCAGAGTTGGGTGTCTTGAACGATTGCGTAGGGTCTGTTTTTGCAGCCGCGGGAGATGATGGCCATATGTCGTCCGCATCCGTGAACGTAGGACCAGGTAGATGGATGGTGAGAGCACCTTTGAAATCCTGCTGCATGTTGGAAACGGAAATTGAACGTCTTGGCTGCGATGCAGAATCTGCCGGATAGGATGCCAGAGGTACACTGATTGACCGGCGTGGCTCATCTGATACGATGGCATAGTGATAAACAGATTCAGGAGATACTGATTTGGTATCCTTCGTCACACAGCTGTCGTTCTTGAGAGAAGCAAGCCGAGATTCGTTTAAGCACAATGACCGGGCATCATCATCATAATCACCAGCGAGGTCTGGACGGCCGTGTCCCAACCTCTTTCTTGAATATGCGAATGGCTTGATTGTTGTCTCCTTGTGAGGCTTGTCCGTTGTTAGAGTCTTGCGACTCAATTGTCTGCGAAGCTTGTTGGTGAGGCTTGGTGAATGAACAATACTTTCATCGACCTCAGGCTTGCGATGGGCGATCCTGAGAGCGTGAGGGTGGTCCTCCGGTAAGGAGGCAGCAACAAAGATATGCCGAAGCTCAAGATCGTCTGCTGGGTAGAGCGAGTGGCTCCCCTCTGTCTGTTCTGTAGTAGCTGGGGCATGCTTGTTATGAGCAAAATGTGTCTTGATGTTGGCTAAAGACTTGAAGTGCCTGACAGGCCTTGGAGGTGTATCATCGGGTGACTGTGATCGCAGAGGCGCAGTACAGCAAAGCTTTGCCGCTGCCATTGCAAATGCAATCTTGTTGTAAGAGTCGACTGAAGTTAAAAAATGTGGACTTGAAACCAATGTGACAAGAGACAAACGGTTCACAGGCTTTTTGATCGAGTACAGGCCAACGCTCGAGGGCAAGCGTGATGGATGCCGTTTCCTACCTTGGACACCCGACTTCATGGTGCTTGTATTCACTGCGAGCAGGAAGGTGCATTGCAAAGTCCCTACCGTCACAAGAAGGCAAAGAAGTAGGGCTCATCATAATCCAGTCAAGAGTAGAGAGCACTTTTCTACAATTAGTTCAATGTTTACCAAAATTAGCAGGATTGACTATGTTAATTTGCATGAAATAGATTCGTAAAGTCTACCCTCGTCTCATTGCAAGTACGAAGACTCGAAGAGAGTGGTCGAAGAGTGGGCAGCCCGTGACCGCCCAATCAGAACGCTTAGGGCAACTGACGCTTTGTGTCGGGTTGAGAAAACCCCAGGCTCCGCAATCGGCCAAACGACAAGCTCGTGCCAATGAGGGTAGGCGGCTATGAATCACCGAAAGCACAGCATTTTTGTGGAGAGAGGTCCAGATTGCAAGATGCGCGATCAACATGTGAGTAATGGTATTGCGTGTTCGGCCGCATGCAGAGAAGGCATGTTGCAAAGACACATCGCATGGAAGATTGAAGAAGGCGTGTCACGAGATGTCATGAGAATGTACGAGTAATCGTAGAGGTGAATGCGAGCTTGGTGGCAGGTTAGCGCGTTCTCGGTCGAGATCTACATACGCAGGGTGGGCTTGCGATGGAGTCATTGGAATTTAGCCAACGCCCAGTCGTCAACAATGTCAAGCGACCATGCAGTGAAGAAGGAAGCATATGAAGGAGGCACAGTACAAGCACAAAGGGACGACTTGAACGTGGACAAGAAGAAGAGCAGCCTTTTGAATGCCAGGTCGAGGGGCCATACGAACAATGGCGTGATGGCGCATCGCGGGGACTCTTCAACGTTTCCAGTTGCAGTGAGCGAACATGCTCCGCTGTCGACGTGGTCTGAGCGCCATAGGAAAATCTGACGACTACTTAAACGTGCCTGCGCTGCTGTCCATTGTGCCTCCATCCGCATCTCCCCTTTTCTCTTTCCCTGTTCATTTTCCTTTTCACACATCAGCAGCCATGGTTCAATCTTCAATCTTGGGTTTCCCCCGCATGGGACGTCTGAGAGACCTGAAGAAGGCCAACGAGGCATACTGGGCTGGCAAGCTGTCGAGAGATGACTTGCTCGCCGAGGGTAAGAGACTCCGTGGCGAGCACTGGAAGATCCAGAAGGACGCCGGTGTCGACATCATCCCCAGCAACGACTTTGCCTTCTACGACCACGTCCTCGACCACATCCAGATGTTCAACGTAAGCCTCCCTTTCCCCACCATCTCTGGCGTTGCTCCATACTCCATACCCCAGCATACTGACCCCATGCCANNGGCCATCCCTGAGAGATACTCAAAGCATGGCCTCGACCCCCTCGACGAGTACTTCGCCATGGGCCGTGGTCACCAGCGTGACGGCATCGACGTGCCCTCGCTCGAGATGGTCAAGTGGTTCGACTCCAACTACCACTACGTCAAGCCCACCCTCCAAGACAACCAGACCTTCAAGCTCGCATCCAACCCCAAGCCTGTCCGCGACTTCCTCGAGGCCAAGGAGGCCGGCGTCACCACCCGCCCTGTCCTCCTCGGCCCCGTGTCTTTCCTCGCCCTCGGCAAGGCCGACCGTGGCCAGTCCGTTGAGCCCATCACTCTCCTCGAGAAGCTTCTGCCCGTCTACGAGCAGCTTCTGCAGGAGCTGAAGAAGGCTGGTGCCGAGACCGTCCAGATCGACGAGCCTGTCCTCGTCTTCGACCTGCCCGCCAAGGTCAAGGAGGCTTTCAAGCCCGCGTACGAGAAGCTCTCGGCTGCTCAGGGCCCTCAGATCGTCCTCGCTACCTACTTCGGTGACATCGTCCACAACTTCGACGTTGTCGACGCCGCCTTCAAGAACCTCTACGCTCTCCACGTTGACCTCGTCCGTCACCCCGAGCAACTCCAGCAAGTCATTGACCACCTCGGCCCCAAGCAGATCCTGTCTGCCGGTGTCGTTGATGGCCGTAACATCTGGAAGACCAACTTCAAGAAGGCCGTTGAGGTCGTCGAGACCGCCGTTCAGAAGCTCGGCAAGGACAGAGTCATCGTTGCCTCATCCAGCTCCCTCCTCCACACTCCCCACACTCTCGCCAGCGAGAAGACCCTTCCCGAGGAAGTCAAGGACTGGTTCTCGTTCGCCTCCGAGAAGGCCGTCGAGGTCGCCATCATCGCCAAGGCTGTCACTGAGGGCCCCGCCGCCGTCCGCGAGCAGCTCGAGGCCAACGCCAAGTCCATGCAGGCTCGTGCCTCTTCTGCCCGTACCAACGACTCAAAGGTCAAGGAGAGACAGTCCAAGGTCACTGCTGAGATGCACAACCGCCAGTCGCCCTTCGACACTCGTTACGCTCAACAGAAGGAGCACCTCAGCCTCCCCATCTTCCCCACTACCACCATCGGTTCCTTCCCCCAGACTAAGGAGATCCGTCTGCAGCGTAACAAGCTTGTCAAGAACGAGATTACTGCCGAGGAGTACGAGAAGTTCATTGAGAAGGAGATCCAGGATGTTGTCAAGATCCAGGACGAGTTGAACCTCGACGTCTACGTCCATGGTGAGCCTGAGCGTAACGACATGGTCCAGTACTTCGGTGAGCGTCTCGATGGTTACGTTTTCACCACCCACGCTTGGGTCCAGTCTTACGGCTCTCGCTGTGTCCGTCCTCCGATCATCGTCGGTGACATTTCCCGTCCTGCCCCCATGACCGTCAAGGAGAGCAAGTACGCTGCCAGCATCAGCAAGAAGCCCATGAAGGGTATGCTTACTGGCCCCATCACCTGTCTCCGCTGGTCTTTCCCTCGTGATGATGTCCACCAGTCGGTTCAGGCTCAGCAGCTTGCGCTTGCTCTGCGCGACGAGGTTGTTGACCTCGAGGCTGCTGGTATCTACGTCATCCAGGTTGACGAGCCCGCTCTTCGTGAGGGTCTCCCTCTCCGTTCCGGCAAGGAGCGCGAGAACTACCTTGACTGGGCCGTCGACAGCTTCAAGCTCTCTACTGCTGGCGTTAAGGACTCTACTCAGATTCACAGTCACTTCTGTTACTCTGAGTTCCAGGACTTCTTCCACGCCATTGCTGCCCTCGACGCCGATGTCCTCTCCATTGAGAACAGCAAGAGTGACGCCAAGCTCCTCAAGGTCTTCATCGACGAGGACTACCCCAGACACATTGGTCCCGGTGTCTACGACATCCACTCTCCCAGAGTTCCCAGCGAGCAGGAGATCAAGGAGCGCATCGAGGAGATGCTCCAGTACCTGAAGCCTGAGCAGCTCTGGATCAACCCTGACTGTGGTCTCAAGACTCGTCAGTGGAAGGAGACCAAGGAGGCCTTGACCAACATGGTCAACGCTGCCATTGCTTTCCGCCAGAAGCACACTTAAAAACACAACTACAACACAATCCTGCATCCATTTGAGATGACAGTACCATTTGGGATGACAGCACTCAACAGCTGCATCAAAGCGTTCATTCAACAAAGATACCCCATTTATTCAACTATAATGATTGCATGACGGAAGACGGAGTTCAACAAAAGGCTATGGAATCGGGTCAAAAGTTATGGACCATTACGATCTCAACGATCGAAATTCACGAAACGGCGTCCTATTTGATTGGGTGTTGCTTAGATAGATATCTGCAACAAATTGACATGGCATTTACATCGTCAAAACAACATACTCGTGCTCCTCGTGAGAAGTTGCTTGTGAGATACTGATGGGTTTGGTCCGGATCGGAAAGAGAGTTCTTGACCAGCACCTGGCTACGAAAATTATTGCCGCGCCAGACATATCCCTTCTGAGACATCTTCTATATAACCGACGAAAGTTTTATGTACAACATTATGAGTTGACAGATCAATAAACAAGTACCCCCTCTATACGCTGGACTTTTTACAGCATTCGAAATAACATCGAAGGTAGTGCTACTGCGAAGAGATCCGTACCGCTATAATGACTACTATCATATAATGCGTGGCAACGATTTTTACCGCCTCGGACAGCTGGTGAGCAAGGAAAAGCACGCAGTACACTCTGGAAGTTTATGTTGTGCAACATAATCCTGGCTGTACTCGAGTATGTGTTTGCAAGGTGCTTGTAGATACGATCGATAGTGCATGACTTGGAGACTTCTTATTCAGATCTTGATAGGACCTGCAACCCACTCCAGTCCTTGTACATGCAGAGATATGAATTGCTTGCTTTCTGGCACATGTGGAAACTTTCTGCGATAAAACATCCGAAGGGTGATCAAGTCTCTAATGATAGGAGAGATAGACATGCATTTAAGAGAGTCATTTCTAAGGATGATACTCGTATACTCGAGCAGCATCCTACAGCCATTCCGACCAACCCCATGTGGACTTCTCGCCAGGCAATTTGCAGCCATCGATTTCTTGTTGCGTGACATCTAAGATGGTAAAGTCAGCACATTTCGATGCATAATGATGGTGCACACCAGTGGTTGTTGCCTCGAGTTACTTACTATGATATGCGTCCAGAGAAATCCAACCAATGTAGGCACGGTCTCCAAACCCGCCAATCCAGTATATTTCCTCGACAACAAGTCTGACCCAGCGACTTGTATGGATTCGGTTGCCTGGCAGCCACGCTACGGCATCTGGGTGGTTCTTGACGAAACAGGTTGCAAGACCAACCTTTGAAGCATCGGCATCATCAATATCCTCGAGGTGACCGACCAGAGAAAATCTAGGCAGGCTAGCAGCACTGTGCCATTTACCGTCTTGGGGGTGCCACCGTAGACTCAAAGTGATGTTACTGCCGGCTGCTACGTTCTTGAAAGAGGTAGCAATGTCCAAAGCAAGAATAGTAGGATTGCCACTGTCGGGCTCACAGTCGGCATAATAGTCCATCAAGCCGATGGGAACGCCCCCGAGACCACCAGGACGCTGTTCCAGAGGATGAATTGCATGTTGACTCGTAGAAGAATCAGATGGGAAAACAGTCGATAATGTGCCAATGTTTTCGAGACGAAGTATACGGCGTGCTTGAATAGCAGACTCGTGCACGGTAGGGATGCGGAAGCCCGAGGTTGCCGCCGGAGAGGGGTTTGCAAAGATGTACTGGCTGCTGGGAAGCAGTGAGCCAATCGACGAGCCCACCAGCCCAAGACTGAACATGATTGAAATCTTGACGTGCATCTTGGGAACAACAGAGTATTGTAGAGGTGATTCCAAATGTGACAGAGACGTCGGACAGAGGTCATATCAACTTGATCAGATGCGATGATGGGATGACTTTGCCAAGACTGGCGGCTTGTCATTGGCCAGTTAAGCGAACAGCCCTGCCGGCGGTCTAACACAGACTCAACTCATTTTTGCCTGCACTCTTCTCGAAGGACGACCGACGACAACTTGCGCCAACGTGAGTACGCCCATTTTCTATCACAGCCCATCTGCACGACGTTCGAAACCATCGCCGTGTTTTTCGCCATCCATTTTGACCCAACTTCGAACGAGCGACAGCGACTGACCTCTGTTCGCCACCCACAGGCAACCTACAAACCTTTCAAGTCATCCAACAACCCCATTAAATCGACAATATGGGTAAGGTCCACGGATCTCTCGCTCGTGCCGGTAAGGTCAAGTCGCAGACTCCCAAGGTACGAATCCTCCATCGCCGCTCCGCTACACATTCCGACAACCGCCACCCACCGCACACGCCAGCCCGGCCCTCGGAACAGCATGCTGACATGAGTGCGCTATCANNGGTTGAGCCCCAGGAGAAGAAGAAGACCCCCAAGGGCCGCGCAAAGAAGAGAATCACGTACACCCGCCGTTTCGTGAACGTCACCATGACCGGTGGCAAGAGAAAGGTGCGCATAATCCTCACCCTCTGGGCTCTGGTCGCAACAGGCGCTGACAAGGCGGTAGATGAACCCCAACCCTACCTCGTAAACGAATTCCGGATCTGGAGTTTGAGAGATGGGGCAAAGACGGGCACATGGATAGCACGCAGTCTGGCGACACCCTCGATTCATCACTGGGCGGCCAGACCGTTTCCTAGCCCTGGCATCCATGATGATGATTCAAAACTCTGGTGGACACGCATGGCTGAGCAGCTGCTGTTCGTAAGCCGGAACATATGTCGCCGCAAAGACTGGTTTATATCTGGCGTCTTCGGTAGCTTTTTCACAACAACGGTTACGTCTTCTGAACAATCCTTCTACTCAAGTGCTCTCCGTGTTTGGTGTACCCCTCTTGCATGTCTCCGTAGATTGACAAGGTATGCCTGTCTACCTAGTAGTCAACAGGGCAATCTTGTAGCGCTTCTTTGGTCAAAGTTCCATCTCCCACCTACGTGAATCTCCAATTGACAAGAGAGTGATTGACTGAGATACCCCTGGGTATCCTCAAGTAGGTGGTGTATTGACTGTGAACCGATATCGAGTAGTAAATGATTACAGCTCTGAGCCGTACGTCACTTGAGTGCTTCCCCACAAGTCAAGTATCGCGACTTCGTCAACTCCATGATCACCTCCTCCCATCTTCACAACTACACATCATACCGCCAACATGTTCAGCGCACTCAAAGGTCTCTTCAAGGAAGTAAGTCGTGTCAATATCTGTTCTGTATCGCAGTCTTGTTCGCTTGCTGACCTCAAACAGGCTGGCGTCAAGGACGTAATCACCTTGTTCCACTCGCCCAGCTCGCCTGCCTCGATCCGCGTCCACACCCTGCTCAAGCAGACTGCCGCCGCTGCACACTCGACTGCCACCATCGATCAAGCTTCTTCCCACCCTCAGCAGTCCAAGGTTGAGAGAACCGACTTCGAGCTCGGTCTGTACTCACCTCCGCTTGCAGCCTGAAACACCTACTCACCAACGTCGTTGCTGTANGACGTTCAGGAAGGACTTCCAACAAACGACCAACTCACCAACATCTTCGAGTACCTCGGCCAAGACAAGATTGGAAATGTCATCGAAGGCTCTTCAAGCCCCACCGAAGCCTTGAGAAAGCTCAAGGAGAACGGAAGTCTCTTCCAGAGACCGCTTGTTGTGGATTGGGGAAATGGACGTGCCGGTACTTCAACCTCATACCGACATCATTTGCTGATCTTGGCCGCTGACTGAATATGCGCAGTGAGTGGTGACAACGAGTCTGAGATCCTGAAGCTGCTTCAAACCCCTCCCAAAGCCTAGGGAACATAACGTCACCAATGCAAGATGACTAGCCCGGCGCCATATCGTGCTCGTTGTCGCCTGAGTTGGTTAGCTCGTGCAGCAGAAGACTTGGTATGAACATCGGGCCGTATCCAGCATGTTCCTGCACAGGGACAGGGGTTCTCGTGCGAATCAGGACAACCACGTCTTTGGATTTCGAGGGCAATGCTCAAAATTAGTGCCCATCATGGGAGCCAGAGTGACGAACATAAAGGGTAGCTGCAGAGCTAGGATACGGGCGAACAAACGGAGCATTTTGAGGTTAAAAAAAAAATGCGAATGCAATGTCATCTTCAAAGCAAAGAACCAGCATCGAACGAAGTTTCGCGCAAGTGAAGTAAGTAAAACCATGCGCTCTTATTGCTTGTTTGCCTGCCATAAAAAAAACTAGACGAGCAATCTGGAAGAAGCGTCCGTCTGCGTCTCTCGGCTTCCAACGACAGAAGGTGCCTGTTTGTCCTCACTCGAGCCTTTGATCGCACCTGCTTCACTGAGACAACCGCCTTCACATCTTGGCCAACTCTTCTCACTCTCAGCCTGTTCAACACACTCCTAGAAGATTCATTCCCCTTCATCTTTGGGTTTTCTTTTTCGCTTCTACAACAGAAACATCCATAACAGCTTCGTGCGTTCTCACTCCTTATGGCAACCCATCATCCTCCCTTCGAAGCATAGCCATACCATTGGCCCGACTATCAGTTCACGCTCTCTGACTTGGCGTTTGCAGGGCCATTGATGTCTCTCTTACCGACTGAAGGCTCGCCTGCTGCGATGCATAATCCAGACGCGCCTGGACAGTGTGCCGCAAACATCAATCACCAAGATGGCATCATTCTGCGCCAGAATGCCTATGCTGACATGAGACCTTTCATCGAACACCTCTGGGAAGATCGCCGCGCCATGTGCTGCAACATCTATCCCGACCAGTTTCCGCGCGGCACCGCCGACAAGGGCGCCACTAAGGAGGAAGAAGACGCATTTCTGCTTGGCTATTTCCCTGAACGCGACCTCCACCTGCAGGGCGGTCGATTCCTGAAACAAGTCCTCTACGCCATCGCCAAGTTCAACGAAGACAGCGTCCTTTCTCAAGCCGAGAAATGGTGGAAAGAATACAACTTCTGCTCCAGCTCCGGCATGGACGTCGCGCAAATCAGACAAGTTCTTGACTTGCATCAAGCACCAAACTACCCCGAGTCTTTCTTGGGACGTGTCGTTCTTCTCATCAGTGATGGTTTCAGACGCTTTCAGTCTGCCACCGCTAACGACATGGAGCCTGCTCCCTCTTTGCAAGAAGTTGTGCCAGTCACCCAGAACCACCATCAACATCAGCAGCAGCAGAAGCAGAGACCCAGAACTGGCTCGATTCAAGGCACCTCGCTTCTTCATGGCCAGCAACAGCAGCCATACAATGCCCGTTCCCTTACGCGCCAATTCCGCGGTGGTCGTAACCGTCGTCCATCGATGAGCCCCATGATAGCACCCATGCGGTCCAGCTTTCCTGATTTTGACGCCAACATCAGCTTTATCGATGCTCAACCCTACCAACCAGTCGGATTTCCACCTGATGGGTACTATCCGCCTCCAATGTTTATTCCTGTCCCCGACACTCGCATGCATCCTGGACCTGATACTCGCATACATCCTGCCCCTGACTACTACTATGTCGAAAGCGATGATTCGCATAGACGCTCTGGCTCATTTGGCCAGCGTGGTCATCGCCTCCCTCCCAGACTGGATCCGAATTCCTTCGTACGCTTTAGTGACAACACTCAGCAGCGCTCCTCCTACCCCACACAGTCCTACGGCCATAGAGGTGGTCACCGCTCTTCCTTCAACAACCCCAACAGAGCACGTCGATCTTCGTTCCGCTCCGGTGATGCGTGGCAAGGACCTAACAGGGAGACCAGGTCGTTTGAGAGAAGAATCTATTCTGACCACCGCGGCTATGCTCATCCAGCTGAGCGTGAGCGCAACCACGCTAGAGAGAACCGCCCTCATTCAGACATAACTGGAGACCGTCTGGAGGAACCCTCACCAACTGACACCAAACTTACTATGGAGTCTAGTGAACAGACCTCCTCCACTCGAGCTGTTCTGCCGTCACTATCCGAGGACGGCTCTATCGACAATAGCTCCCCGAAGACGGCTGAAGATGACAGCTTCCAGACGGCTGCCGAGACTCCCACAGCAACTCCTACTGAGAAAGTATTGTGTAAAGGGGCACAGTCTGATCCACACTCGCCCACTGTTACCAATGAGAGCGACGAAGATGCTGCTTCAGGTGCTGCCGTCGAGGCCTCTCCCACAGTGACCCATACTGAGGAGAAACTTCACGGTAGAAACGCAGAGTCTATTCCACATTCACCTACGAGCACCACTGAGAGCAGTGATACTGCAAGCATGCCGAGTATTGTTCAGCAGTTGACTGCAGTTGCACACCACGAATCTCAGCTTACAGCTCCGAGATCAGGTCCGAAGCAGACCGAGTCTTACAGTCCTTTTGCACGTCGAGCAAACACAAAGAAGAAGGACCCTAAACAGAAGCTAGGCAAATCAAAGAGCAAGACCAAGCCTGAGCATGAGCCAAATCAGTCGAATCAAATCATGGTCGACACCTCGGTGGGCACGAGTTCAGAGACTCGCGAGGAGCAATTCGAAAGTCATGAGTTGACTGTCAACCCCGAGGACTCAGATCACTCATCCACGCCCGAGGATCCTGATCACTCATTCACCTCCGAGAACCTGGATCGCGCAGTGCCTACCGTCTTCCAACCACAAGACAACGACCATGCGCCCAAGCCGAGTACCAAGGCGGACGACCCAAAGCATCACACTGAGTCAGCTACACCACAGATGCTTTCGACCTTATCGTCGGTGACCGCGCTTCTCACTGGCGCTCTGAGCAGCATGGGCTCGAGCAAGGCGAAGCACGACGACACAGGCTCTACAGTCTCGCAAACCGAAATCACATCTGCTGCACCCAAGAAGAAGAGCAAGAAAAAGAACAAGAAGAAGAAGAAGGCCAAGACCACTACTCCGGTTCTCGATGATACCTCCACCGAAACCATTACCAACGAGACACACGTCGGATCACCTCGCTCTACCAGAGGGTACACGTTGCGTGAGAGCACCAACATGCTCGACAGCCGCTTGTCGAGTCTGAACATCAAAGAAGGATCGATTGTTGAGCTTCACGAAAACAAGATCGGTTACCACACTGGCCAGCAACAAGAGAATCTTTCCCGCAAGCACGACGAATTGGTGGAGCAATCTAGGCGCAAGCTCCAAGAGATGTTGGATCAGGAGAAGCTGCTGAAGCAGAAGAAGTGATGAGATTGGTGCTTCTGTAGCTGCTAGACATCTGATGAGGAGGGAAAGACATGATTAGCTCTTATCACAAATGTTACTATTGTTCGATCGAACGTTCACTTTCTCATGTTGCATGGTGTTTATCTTCCCCATATGCCCAGCTCCACGAAAGGCAACTATAAAAATGCACAGTAAGGTGTAGGAATGAGCAGTGTCCACTGAGAGCTGTTAATGCCGAAGTATCTCTGAACCGAAAACAATTGTGCATTTTTACAGCACGAATATACTCTATCATCACCATAGGAGATGGGAGAAGCGAAATTGTGCACAGACAGAGATGATAGATGAATTTTTTCATGTTCTTCATTTGACAACTTTTTGATGGGGTGGGGGTCTTTTTTGGTACGTTAGGGAGGGTTTGGGATATCATTATATATTTCTAGTAGTCGTCGCCTCTGCTTACGACTTCCTTGCAGTTTGGTCTCAATAGGATGGTNNCTGTAGATTGTTAGCGGTGAGAAGTGGAATGTGGACATGGTAATGGACTACTTACGTGTTCGTATTGTGCGGTGTAAGAGCCCTTGATGTCGACCAATGGAGGGTAATCCTGTACGATGCCGGCTTGGACGAGGTTGTTGAGNNCTGTAAGAAGATTGTTAGTCGTGTCCAAGGTGTGTGCTTGTCAGGAAATACCCACTCCGAGCAGATATTTGTCGTGACCGAGACGATCAAGATATCTTCTGCAGAAAGGCAGAGTGCCAAAGTTCTTCTCGATGCTCTTCAGCAGCGTCTTTGCACTCGTCGTTCTCAGAGGGACTCTGGGTGCATCTGCAACCTTTGCGTAGTGACTACACTCCATGTCTTCTCTGACGTAGCCCTTGCCGGTGGAACCAAAGGTCTCGATGGCGAATGTTTCGCCTTCCTCCATCTTGGTCTGGTCGCCTCCCTTGACAATGGGCACGCTCTTTGTTCCGTGGATGGACCATTGTCTGATGTCGTGGCCGTTCAGGTTGCGGATGCACTTGATGGGGAAGGTCTCGCCGCCAATCTCGCACTCGTAGGATTCCATGGCTTCCTGGATGGCGGCGCCAATGTCGGACATGCGTACATCAATACCGGCTTCTCTGATACCAGTGTTTGTTGCATCCTTGACGGCGGCGAGCAGGTTGTCGTAGGTGGGGTCGAAGGACATGGTGAAGGCGCTGTCGACGATGCGACCGTTGATGTGGGCACCGAAATCGACCTTCATGACATCTCCCTGTTGGAGGATGGTCTTGTTGCCGGCGTTGGGGGTGTAGTGGGCGGCGCAGTGGTTGATGCTCAGACCAGTGGGGAAACCCATGCCTCCTCTGATGTTGTCGCCCTCCTCGAGACCTTGATGGCCAGTCAAGTGACGCACGCCATTTTCGATGCCCTCAGCAATCTCGGTCAGGCTTTGTCCGGGCTTGATGTTCTTCTGGGCCCATTGGCGGACTTGTCTGTGAACTTCGGCGGCGTGACGGTACTCGGTAAGGTAGTCGTTGCTCATGCGATCAAGGTGTCTCTTCTCCTCGTCGGTGGTACGGTAGTTGTTGTCGTCAATGTACTCGCAGATTTCACCCTCGGGGTATGCGCCATTGGGGAAGAGTTGAGCAATGGGTACTCGTGGGGNGTTGGACTGGCCCTTTGCGGTTCCGCTGGCGGCCTTCTTCTTCTTTCTGGGCTTTCTCTTCTTCTTTTTCTTTGCGGCACCTTCTTCGGTTCCGTCGTTGGCACCTTCGGCGTCGTCTCCTTCGTCGTCTGAGTCGTCGGCGTGGCCCTCGGCGCGCTTCTCTGCTTCGGCGGCAGCTCCTTCGGGTAGGTTGCCCTTGGATTCCTCGACTGATTCTAGTCAGTACTTGTCCTCATGTGCTGTCGCAAATCTTGTAGGTGCAAAGTCAGGTATACCTTTGAGGTACTCCACGCCGTTGGTTGTATCGTCAAGGGCAGACATTTCGACTCTTTATACAAAGATCAAAAGAGTTAAAAGTCGCACCAAGAAGCTCTCGGAGTCTCGGCCAGAGACGCTGAGGCCAAGCGGAGATGGAGATCAGATTAGACAACGAGTCGATAGACGTCATCAAGGTCGCGAAACAAACCCGTCGTCGACATTCCTAGCACTCTTGAGAGAGGACATCTGCCTGAAGATACCCGTAATGAGGCATGATCCTCCGCCCAATCCAGTTCCGTCCCGCAAATGGACACTTTCTGCCGCAACTCCTGCTCAAGCAGCCTCTTCTACATCGCTCCTTCCACGCCTCGCCAATTCGTTGCGAGGCCGGACTNCCTGACCATTATGCGACTCTGGGTATAGACACGACCGCCTCTGCTGGAGACATCAAAAAGTCAACATCACTCCACCAACCCACTTCTCCCACGCTGACATTCTGCACCNNCAGACAATTCTTCCAGCTGAGCAAGAAACACCACCCCGATCACAATCCCGATGACCCCAAAGCCGCCGACCGCTTCGTCAAGATCTCCGAAGCCTACCATGTCCTAGGCAGTGCCGATAAACGAGCACGCTACGACCGCGACTTCCTCCGTTCATCACAGCCCTCCTCCCATCCACAAGGCTCATACAGCAGTACTGGACCCGCAGGAGGACGCCCGGCCACAGGTCTCAGCCGACGACGCACACAGTTCAAAGGCCCACCTCCTTCCTTTTACCGCAGCGGCGGCTGGGGCAACTTTAGCCAGAAGCGATCAGAGTATGCCTCGCAGGGCTCGCATCAGCATGAGGCTGCCGGCAGCAGTGCCCAGGACGCTCCTGGCACCGGTCCTTCTGGCTACCAGGCCGGCTTCAACAACGACGTACCGCATTTCGATCGCGACGGTCATTTCCGTACTCACGACAATGTCATGAAGAACAGACACAAGGCAAGACGGCGAAGCGGTACCATCACTACAGACGACATCATGGGAAGCACGAGCATGCTATTCAACTTTGTCCTTTTGAGCAGCGTCTTGACCGTCATCTTTGGTGTTAGCGGCATCTTGTTCAGAAAGACTGACGAAAAGAAGAAGATTGCTGCTTGATCACATCTGTCCTCATACAGATACATGCATATCAGACTGGAAAGAAGAAGGCTGTGTACATTTTTATACTGGGGCTTTATTACAATCAGAGTAGAACTTGGCAAAGAAAAGGTGCATAGCGCATGTTGCTCAATGCCCGCTCTCTATCATTTCTCCTCGCGAAAAAAATACATGGCGCATGTCTACATGAGTAAAGATTTTAACCCTCGAAGACGAAGCTGGTGCCGATCTTGTGGCCAGCCTCGTTGAGCTTGTTGGTGTCGAGCGAAAGACCAACACCGAAGGTGGTGCCGGCGTTGAGCTTGGTGTTGTAGGCAAGGGCGGCGATACCACGGTCGTTGATCTTGGNCCTGTAGTGCAAATTGTCGTCAGTAAGTGCTATGGGGATTGAGATGTGACAGAAAAGTCGTACCTTGGCGAAGGAGAGGGNGTCGAGCTTGTACTTGGAAGCAACCTCAAGACCGACGCTCTTACCACCCTGGAGGTCGTAGGTGGCCTTAGCACCAGCCTCAACGTTGGAGTTGACCTTCTGGTAGTACGAAGCGGCAAGAACGCTCAGGTTCTGCATGGCAATCAGGGAGGCGGTGAAGGTAGGGGCCTGGTAGCCGAGACCAGCGCTGTAGCGGGTGATGGCGGCCTTGGAGACGTCGTAGCCAGCCTCGGCACCGGCAACGAAACCCTCGTGGCCGACGGTAGCGTCAATGAGGGCGTTGATGTTGCCAGCAGCGCTGTGGTCGAGGAAAGCGCGGGCGTGGAGGTTGGGCTGCTTGAAGGTCAAGTTGAGCTTCTGGGCGGCCTTGCTGGGAGCGTTGGGGTTGAAGAGGTTCTGGAACTCGGCCTTGACGGGCTGCGACATGAGGCTGGCGAACTCAACCTTGGTGTCGAGGAGGGCGGCGGTGGTCCAGCCCTGGGTGACGGTGATACCTGGTTTGTAGCGGTAAGTAAGATAGACATGATGTTGTGATGAGAGCGAGAGCGGTTCGTCAGGGGTGCCAGTCTGCTGGGCAACAGGAGCGCTGACAATCATGAGGTACAGCGACTGGCGCGCAGAGACGGGCAGCGGGAAGAAAAGGCGGCTCATTCGCAAAAAGTGCATACCCTGGGGCTTGAGAGTGTATTTGCCCTCGANGCTGTGCGATTTGTTAGCGGCTTTGCTGGATACACGCAGACGAGAACAACGCACAGAGGCAGTGGTGGCACCGTCGAAGGCCTGCTTGCCCTTGACGGTGACGTTGGCGCCATTGGGAGCCTTGAGCTTGACCTCAAGGTTGGCTGGGTCTCGCTGTTAGTCGACTTTTTCTTGTGATCGGCTTGTAGAGTGCAACATGCCGGCCTGGGTGTGGTAGAAGTCCTTGTTGATAANGCTAGACACACGATAGTCAGTCCCTGTAGCTCCTGTTGCAGGATCAATGGCACAACTCACGTCGTTGGCGGCCTTGCTCAAGTCACCGTAGGCGGGGAGGGGCATGGCAACGATTCTGGGAACGCCGATGCGGCCGTCGAGGGGCTTGCTGATGTCGGAGAAGTCGGGGGCGGCCATTGTGTAGTTTGGGGATGGAGTAGGATGGGGTGGAAGAAGCTAGGTATGTATATGGATATGGGAGCGCAAAGGAGGAGATTCTATTACACTTGGCCCGAGCACACCGTGAGCTCGCGCTTTCCAAAGCTTCCATCCCTCATGTTCCCGATCCGTCCCACGTGTGCCCTCCGCTATTTCCACCCGCGCGACATGCCCCTTTGCCGTACGCCAACTCAGTCAACCACGAACAGGCTCCATGTTGGCTGTTTCGACCTTGTACAGGTGCTTGAGTTGGGCTTGAAGGCTGTCAAATTACGCAGTACTTGTTTCATCTGACCGGTTTCATAAAACCTAGGTACATCTCTAGAACAGAGCATTGTCCAATCACTGCTCGACCAAATACAACACACCCACGGTAGACACGAAACACACACATCAGAAGTATTGCATGTGACCGCTGGCTGAAACAGTTTGAAGAAAGAAATAACATTTATGAAAAGTAATGAATGATATGAGACGCTACGAAACATTGGCGGCCGACCTTTGTCCAGCTCCCATATCTATGCTCTGGATTCATCAGCGTCCTGCCTTCCATCTGTGAGTTTCACTTTCAATGTCGCGGCTGGGATGGAGTGTCGAGTCGGGTCTTCCGACGGTAGAAGGGTATTGCGCCTCGAAATCATACGGTGCTGAGATGTTGACTGGGAGTGGAGGACCCATACTCTCCTTCTTGCGGCTGAAAAACTTCTTCTTGCTACACCAGGTAGCGCGAGAGTACAAGGAAGGAGATACTGGTGTCTCGATATGTTGTTGAGGTACAGGCGAAGGACTGTGATAAGAGGGCAAAGTGTACTCTTGCTTGAACGAGCTGTCGCTCGCGGTGCGGCGGGACGACACTGATTTAGCCACGCTTGCTGAGGTGTTGCTTCGCTGGATGTAGGCCACATCGGCCGCTTCGGCTCCTCGGGCGCGGACCTGACGCGCTGTGATTCCCTGGGCACTATCGCGAAACACGAAGTTCTGTCTGTAGTCAGCAAATTGTTCAGTTGGCGATTCATGAATAGACTTACNTGCGATCAAGTTGAGAATTCCGAGGATGAGGTTGAGGATACCTGCCATGATCACGACACGCCAGAATGCCATGCCCAGGTGCTCTTTGCTGTTGTTGGACTTGTTGAGACATGCCAAAACGTGCATACCGAGGATGACCATTACTGAAGCAAGACCGACGAAACCATGTTCCAGGCTGAGCAGAGGCCAGTTGCGAACGAAGTAGCCACTGAAGATGCCAACCTCTGAGGTGATCAAGAATATGGCCACGGACGCTACCACAGCATGGGTAACAGCATCGAAGAAGAAGAACTGATGATTGTTAGCGACTTCAATGTATTTCAATGGGAACTACTTACGCTCGAATCGGTAGTTGTTTTGATGAGCATGAGAACGCTTGCAGCNGATGATAGCTAGCAGTCCGGTAATGTTCATGCCCTTGAGCACGTTGAGAATGACATAGCCCGAACCAGCCAGTGATTTGGGTTTGAGTGCCATTTTTCCGTGGGTTGAGTCGTGTGAATCTTGAGAAAGGGCAGATAAATAGATCTGCTGCACATGTCAGATAGGAACCTCGTCATGAAGCAGGATTGAAGACTTACAAGTTAGAAGGCCAAAGTCTGAGGAACATCCGTGCGATGCAATAATGAAATCTGACCAGCAGATACTTGACGGGTATGTACGAATTGGTACAAGAATTAAAGAGTCGTTAGAGGAAGAGCAAGGAAGAAATGATCAAAGAGAGACAGAATCGAGGAAGTTCGAATCAATTAAATCAGGAAGAGACAATACAACGTAATGAAAACAATGAATACAACAAGGACAATAAGAGAAATGAACAAGTGAAAAGCAGACAATAAAGAAATCGAAGAGGTATAATGGAAGAAATAAGCGCCACTGCATGCTCTTTTGTTCAACTGACGCCGTCAAGCTCATGGCTGCATCAATGCAGCTGAAACAATTCTCAGACGTTGTGTTACCTCGAGATTGAACATGAGGATTTATTGCAGCAGAAGCAGTCTGGCTAGGGTACTCCATGTTTGGATCATTGGCGGAGCTTGTTACTGGTATAAGCGCTGTGTTGGCGCTTGAGGTCAGATGTAGTTTCAAGAATCGCGCCTGGTGCCCTGCTTGACGTTGCTGTGATTCTCGAAAACTGCAAAGACAATACATCAAGGATCTTTCGTTGCTTCCAGCAGCGAGGCTGTCCGATGATGGTCACCTGGGTTCTCACATGAAGGACGTGTAAGTGTTCGTCCGCATTTACCTGACCTGGCGCCTCGCGCTGACAGTGGTCGTTGCTGCTAGCTATTCCGATACGGGATTAACCCTCACCTAGAGTTTTTCAGGAGTTCGCAAGGCAAGAAGACTGAGTGCGAAAAGCATGCCTATTGTGCGTGAGGCATAAAGATGCCAGTTCCTCGTATTCCGCATCGGCCTTGGGACGATAGTGTGGGGAGGCTATTGAGAACAATGCCTCCGTTGGCATCTGGAAATGAGTATGTAGCTGGTGGACCTGCGAGAAGAAGGTCCAGAAAAGCTCATCTGATCGTGAGAACCAGACACGAGTGCTATGGAGTAAGATGGTTGAACTGACCGGTCGCCAGTGTGATGGTCTTCTAGAAGTCTTGGTTCGTTCCATGGAGATCGGGAGCGGAGTTGCGGCGAGCCGCGATAGTAACAGGAAATGTCTTGGCAGTGTCTGGAAGCGTGCTAAAGTGGTAAAAAGGGTCTAATTTGCCAGAGACAACTTTCTTTCTGCCGGGCCCTGTCCAACGCTTTTCTTGAGCATCTCTTTCTCACTCCCTTTCCTTTGCAACATTTCACAAACAGCACACACACCCAGTCAAAATGGCCCGCGGTAACCAAAAGGAGAGAGCTCGTGAAAAGACCTTGAAGGCCGCTGGCAACGTCGTAAGTTTTTCTCTAAACAGGGATCAACATTTTTTGAGGGAGGAACCGCTTTGCTGACTCTCTCTACCTAGAAAAACAAGAACANNCCGTATGTTCTCGCCGCTGACACAGCAAAACGCTATCCGCTGACCCCCAATCTAGATGTCCGGCTCCGAGCAGGCCAAGGCCAAGGAGAGCGCAGCTGAGATCATGCGCGCAAAGCAGGCCGCAGGTCCGTACCTATTCTTGATTGTATCCCTTCCATTGTCAAACTCTTATCTAACATGTTATACAGCCGACGCCAAGAGAGCCGCTGAGGCCAAGAAGTAAATCAACACTTCTTCTGCACATCAAACACTTTGATCAAGGCGTAATCGAGGCTGCCGGCGAGCAGGAGTCAACTATTTTCGGGCCATCACGACAAAAAAAAATCCGTTTGCAGAGCGTTTAGCGATGGATTTGTTCCTTTCGACGAGGTCTAATCGTCTCAGTACTAGAGGGTATTAAACACGTCTTTTTTTGATTCAGTTGATCTGTCTGTCTACTCCTTGCCCGCATCAGGATCATTTGGCTATCTGTGGCCCGATCTCACGGTGCCGCCCCACCAGACTCCCATTCTTGTCTTTGCTCTGTTGGCTACGGAAGCAGGAAGATACTTGGCGGGTTCTGTATAAGAACCATTTGGATCTAGTGTACATGCATACAAATGCTGCACAATGCCTCTGATCAATCCAGGCAATGATTCAGGGATATGTCTGGTTACTCACCAGTGCATTGATCAAACCATGGTCGAGCTTCTCCTCTCAGGGGTAATGCTTGGGTATTTTGCAGAATTTGATAACCCAAACCAGCAGTGTTTTCACCTCTGTCTGCTTTGAGCCCATGATTGAAATGATAGAATGCCGTTGCAGAGAAGACTCTCAGTGAGCTGAATGCTCTTGTGCTGTCTGGGCTTTTCGCTGTCCTTCGTAGAGACCAGTGTAGTATCCTGCAAAATACCAGGATGTCATGAGTGCCTTGAGATTCTCGTCTTGGACTGANNAGCTGTCAGCAATGTATAGACCGAGAAACAACAAGTATGTAGACTAACCAGAATCTAGAAGGTCTTGTGAAACACCTGGTGGAGGGACTTGGTTCGAGTTGTTGATCGATTCCGTGTCGATACGCTGAACCCTTGAGTCATCAACAGCCTCTGAAATTATCACCTTCTCTGCTTCGACGGATTTCCAAGGCGGAAGGCCGGTTGATGTATCAATAGTCTCGTTCTTGAGGTTGGTGGTGGATCTGTTCGTTTTTATCAGCAGGTTTGTCTGATACGAAGGAATTCGATGAGAACACACGGNCGCCTCTTCTTCCTTCTCTACAGCATCTAGAACATCTTCGACACGCTCGCCTCGGGCAGACATGCTGTGGTACTTNNCTAGATGACATAGTAAGCATGTGTTTATCAAATGCAGAACGTACTGACTTACCTTGTATTCCTCGAGTGCTTCGTTCCATGATTGAACGAGGGCAGAGTCATCCCATACCTCGTTGTCAGAAAGCTGTTTGTTCGTCATAGTTGTTAGGATCACTGTTCAAGAAGAAGATACGGACTATGGTTCGAGGTGGTTGGAGAAGCGGCGGGTCGGGAGAGAGTGTCAGTCTCCCCGGATTCCTCGATCTCAGAAACTTTTTGGCCGCCATTTTTCTGGCAAGTCCTCTGCTTTTCTACCACTTTTATCATTGATCATTTCACGCAAAAATGTCCAAGATCGACAACAAGAGTAACAAGCGCAAGGGTCCGTAGTCATTTTGAGGCGCTCTGCTGGTGTTCGTAGGCTAACATCAGGCAATAGGCGCATCTGAGCCCAGCGTGACCACCAAGAAGGTCAAGACCACCACAGTTGAGAAGCCCGCACCCAAGTCTGCTCTCAAGAAGACCGAAACTACCACTACAACCACTACCAAGGCCAAGAAGGAAGTCAAGGAGAATGCATCCACCCGAGAGACCAGATCAACGAGAAAGCGCGCCGAAGATTTCCTGGAGCCAGAGGAGAAGCCCGTAAAGAAGACAACGACCGTCAAGACCGCCCCCGGCAAGGTTGAGAAGGTCACCGTTATTGAGACTGTTAAGCCCGAGAGCGCTTCATCAAAGGTCTCGAAAACCAAGGCCAAGGCTAGCCCCAAGGCTGCTGTTGAAGAGGAGGAAATTGCCGTGGCCAACGAGACAGACAGCGAAGCCGAGGCTGAAGAGGACGACCAGACTGCTGCTTTGCTTGCTGGCTTCGAGAGCAGTGATGACGAGAACGACCCGCAAGACGATGGCATTGCCCTGGACAAGCTTCCCGCTGTGCCCAACATGAAGGAGGTTCGCAAGCAGTTGAAGGATGCTCAACAAGATGACGAGAACACCCCCGGCGTTATCTACATTGGGTATGCGATCTATGCGCCAACTCTCATGCAAGCAAAACTAACAAGAGATACAGANCGTCTGCCGCACGGTTTCTTCGAGGCACAGATGCGCGAGTACTTTAGCCAATTCGGCGACATCACCCACTTGAGAATGGCACGCAACAAGCTTACTGGCCGCTCAAAGCACTACGCTTTCATCGAGTTTGGGTCAGCCGCAGTCGCCGAGATCGTAGCTAAGACCATGGACAAGTACTTGCTTTTCGGTCACCTTCTGCAGGTCAGACGTATTCCCGCCGAGCAAGTCCACGAGAAGCTGTGGAAGGGCGAGGGTGGAAGATTCAAGGTCATGCCGCGCAACAAGATCGAGGGCGGTATGTTGAAGAGAGGCACCACAAGAGAGGCCTGGGAGAAGAGAATCGAGAGGGAGACCGAGGCCAGAAGCAAGAAGGCTGCACAGCTCAAGGAGTTGGGCTACGACTTTGAGATGCCCTCTCTGCGCGATGTCAAGGAGGTGCCTACCAAGGAGACTCGCGAGGCCGAGGCCGCACCTTTGATCACTAGTGCCGACGTGGCCGCAGTCTTGAACAAGCAAGAAGAGCAGCCAGAGGTCAAGGAAACCAAGAAGACGGCACCTGTGGAAAAGGCAGGCGCCAAACGTGTCAAGAGCAAGGCAGACGGCAAGAAGGGATCAAAGAAGGCAAAGGTTTCGGCATAGGTCATTTGGGTAGCTTGAGGCGTTATTTTCATTTCATGGTCAGATACCACGTCTGCAATTGTTTTCACCAGCATACTTGTCAGAAACGGTCCATATTCTACGTGACCATCTCATGTTCAAGGTCGACGACTCACAGATCCGTTAAGGGTTCTTGATGAACTGCAGGGACCTTGATCTGGTTATGTAGAAACAGTGAGCATTTGATAAGATAACTGAATGAATTGGAAATGGTACACAAAAGAAACATGAGCTCTTCCATTTTGCGCTTCCCTAGAAGAAGAAGAATCGTCACTCAGTCAAAAGCATTAATGATGTCCTCTTGGGACAATACAGAAGACCACCTCTGAACCCAAAAGTGTGCAGTTCCGGAGTCTGTGTGACCGTCTAGTAGTATTGCGACCCAAGGTTGCGTCGCTTGCGGGTGCATGCCGTGCGTGTTCTGACACAGCCACTTTCTTCGTCACGCCTAAAAGAAGAAATAGGCGATCAAGAAACACAAGAGGCAGAGTCCGGCAACGACTTGCACGGGAACACCTCCAGCAGGAGCCTTTTGAACACCCAGACCAGTTGTTCCGGCGGAAATTCTCTCCTTAGCATCTTGGTTGACTGCATCGGTCTTTCTCTGGCGCAAACCTTGTTCGTCTCTTTCCTGGCTCATTCGTGCAATGGTGGCTTGAGCTTCTGCAAGCTTGGCTTTCACATCGTCGGCCGAGGGAATGGAGTTCATGAAGCTTTGAGTGGTCGACGAGTCGGAGTAGGTGGTGTGTCTGTCGGTGGCAGGGTTCCTGGCTGATTCGACGGCATCGCCAAGGTGCTTGTTGTCAATGGGGCGTTCTTCCGGGCGAGAGATGGCGCCCACGGCTCCTACGTCGGCGCCTCGTTGAGGGGTCTGAGGTTGAGGGGAGACAGAGTTGAAGTTGGCGGAGTTGAAGGTAGCGATAGAGTCGTCCATGTGGCCGCCAGCATCAGAGTGGGCAACGCCCTCTTGAGGCAGGAAGACAACGCGAATCTTCTTTTCTTGGATCGACGACTTTGCTGTTTGCTCAATGTGAGACCNACTAGTTGATTGTCAGCTACATGTTGGCGTCGGGGGAAAGACGAAGCGTACGATTTGCGAGACATTGGGATATTCCTTGTCGGCCGAGATGGCGACGGATTGGACGAGAAACTTGTCTCTGCACTTTGCGTCAAGGGGAGGGTCTTCTCTCATAGCTTGCAACAGGACTGGTGGTGGTCAGTCAGCGAAGTCTCCAGCAAAAGGCCACGTGCGCAGCGTACCTTGGACCTCGACATCCTGGCCAGGTTCAATGCGGCCAGAGTTGGGCCTAACGCAGTNATCTGGAGAGAGGTTAGTTCTAAGGTATAGATGGCGGATCAGGGAGGCGGACTGTTTGGGGGCTGTGGTCTTGANCCTGGGGGCTGGGATTAGCAAAGGTATGAGAGCAGCAGGTCAGGAGGGCAGTACCTTGAAAGCGACAGGGTCGGAGTTCTTGTTGTACAGACGCAGGACCTGAGCAACCTCGTGGGTGAAGGGGCCTGTCGAGCAACGAGTCAGAGGGAGCACTGGGTGGTGCATAAGACTTGGCTACGCACGCTTGAAACCGAGCTCGACGGGGTCCAGCTCGACAGACATGGTGAAGGAGGGCGGCGCGTTGTGCGGGTGAGGGTGGATAGAGCTGCAGTCGAGGAGAAGGGGAACAGAAGGCGAAGCTGTGGGTGGGAGAAGATGTGGTGTGAACTCGCAGGTGGTATACGGCGACACGTAGGGAACTGGCAGGAAGGGACTGGGATTAATGACGGAAGCGACGTTCAAGCGCGTCCCGGCTCATCGCTGCAACTCCGTCGCTCGCATTTCCTGGAGTCTGGACGTCGGAGGCCGTGCACATCGACATGACGCACACTTGCATGAGCTTGTGCTTCAGCTTCCGTCACTTGAGACAACTTTCACTCCCCACACTTAGGTTGTGCATCTATCCACTGCTAGTGCTGTCTTCTACTTGACCTTGTCATCTACCAGACAACCGTTTACCTGCCTCACCTCTTAACAATATCACCTCAGACACATCAACCATCATGTCTTCAGACATCAACAACCTCGTCGACATGGGCTTCGACCGCGAAAAGGCAACCCTTGCCATGAAGAAGGCAGGCAACCGTGCGTACTGCCTATCTCCCACATCTATCACTGTCGACCTTACTTACATTTGACTAGTGGGAGCCGCCGTTGACTGGCTCAGCAACAACGCCGACAAGTCCATCGAAGAGCTCAAAGAGGACGAAGGCGAAGAAGAGTCACCCCTGTCATTGCAGCCTGGTGAACAAGCCAGGAGTCTCCTCTGCAAAGACTGTGGCAAGAAGTTCAGATCCACTGCTCAGGCAGAGTTCCATGCGAACAAGACGTTTGTCATCTCGTCACCCTCGCCACTACGTCCACGCTAATGCCCTTTTCTTAGTGAGCACCAAAACTTCGAAGAGTCTACTGAAGAGATCGCCCCTTTGACCGAGGAGGAGAAAGCCGCAAGGCTCGCAGAACTGCGTGAGAAGCTCGCCGCCAAACGTGCCGGTCAGTCTGAACAAGACAAGGAGGACAAGAAGCGCAACGACCAAATCCGTCGCAAGGCCACAAAGGAACAACAGGACATCAAGGAGGACTTGGCCAAGAAAGAACAGATCAAGGAAGCCGAGGCCAAGAGACGTGAGAAGCAGGCTGATGTTGAGGCTAAGAAGCGCATTCAGGCAAAGATTGCTGCAGACAAGGAAGAGCGTCGCCTGAAGGCTGAGAGAGAAAAGGCCGCCCGCGCTGGTCAACCTGCTGTTGTCGCCGACCCTACACCTGCCGCGAAGCCCACCCTACCCAAGACTGCCGGAAACTACACAGAGGCAAGACTACGACTCCAGACATCCGCTGGCACGGTCCAGAAGACCTTCCCCGTCGAGACGACACTCTTCGAGGTTGCACAAGCTCTCGGCCAGGAGCCTGGTGTTCAAGTCACCGAGTTTGTCCAAAATTTCCCCAAGAAGGTCTACGACAGCTCAGACTTTGGCCAAACACTGAAGGAGGCTGGCCTGGTACCAAGCGCCGCTCTGGTCGTCAGGTAAGCTGAACTTTACAAAGGTCCATTTCATGCAACACGATTTGGCGAGGCGTTCGGAGAAGGTATTTGGGACTGGTTAGCTTCGAGGACTTGTCGATATGAGCTGGCAATTAGCAGCATAGCTCGCAAAAAATGATACAACAATGAACTCGTTAAAATTAGTCATGCCCTCACTGCGATTCACACTCGCAAGGACTGTCACACTCGGGTATTCAAATCACATTGTGCAAGTTCTAAGGTTTGCTCTACACCAGATTATAGTACATCAGGTTGTGGTATCACAACTTGCTCGCCTGGTCGTGTTCTGCCGAGTAACACTATGCATACAAACATCGAGATAGCCATGCTTTCCAGCACAAACAAGACTCGGCAACACAAGCCGTGCTCGGGTTCTCGTCAGATTAGGCACCGAAAAATGATTGATAAAGGGTGACCCTGGTGACTTGACTTCGATGGTCATGACATGTGAAGATGCATGTGACATGACGAAGACGACCCTGTCAATTTTGAGGGAAGCTGATCGGCAATATGTTGGAAAGGGCGTCTTCACCGATAGCTGCGCTCGAGGACCAGGTGGCTACACTCGGCCTATCTGTCGATTAGTGAAGACAATTACCCTGTAGCGCAGTCTTGTTACCTAACGATTTGGATTTGGCAGGGGGAAGCTGGGGAAAGAGACGGCGGCGGGCGGTGATAGACAGCAGGGCCGACTTCGGTGACGGTTGCCGTGTTGGCGTCGCGCGGGACTCGCAGGTGGCACTCGGATTTTATTGAAGAAGCGCCCAGAATTGGTGAGTCAAAGGGTGACAGGGTGCGCCAGTGTTGCTTACCTATTACTTTGGTGCATCTTTTGTTTCCTTCATTCTTCCCCTTTCACATACAAATCCACTGCCCAAGATGTGTGGTATCTTTGCCTGCCACAGGTATGTCCAATTCCTCGAGACAGCTCGGATCGCGTGCCCCTCGATTTTGCAGACATTGACAATTCAANNCAGCCATCCCGATGTGCAAAAGTTCAAGCCCACTGCCCTGCGCATGGGCAAGCAGATCCGCCACCGTGGTCCCGATTGGAGCGGTAACCACACTTCCAACAACACTATCCTGGTGCACGAGCGTCTGAGTATCGTTGGTGTTGGTATGTACAGGAGTTCGGAAACACACCACATGTCGAGCATCTGCTAAGACGTGTCGTCTNNAGACTCGGGTGCCCAGCCTCTGCTCAACGAGGATGGCAGCATTGCCCTCGCCGTCAACGGTGAAATCTACAACCACAAGGTCCTGCGCAAGCACCTCAGCAAGCCTTACGACTTCAAGACTCACTCTGACTGTGAAGTCATCATCCCCCTGGTATGAAGCCTTTTGTGTAAAAGACAGGACGTCAATTGACGAGATTCGCAGTACATGGAGCACGGCATTGATACCCCCAAGTTCCTCGATGGCATGTTCTCCTGGGTCCTCCACGACAAGAAGCAGGACAGAGTCATTGCTGCCAGAGATCCCATCGGTGTCACCACCTTCTACATGGGCCGCTCCAGCGAGACTCCCGGTGCTGTTTACTTTGCTTCAGAGTTGAAGTGTCTCCACCCCGTCTGCGACAACATCATCGCTTTCCCCCCTGGCCACGTCTACGACTCCAAGACCGACAAGATCACCCAGTACTTCACTCCCAAGTGGCTGGTTGAGCCCTCCAACATCCCCACCACTCCCGTCGACCTCAAGACTCTCAGAACAAAGTTCGAACGAGCTGTCAGAAAGCGTCTGATGGCCGAGGTCCCCTATGGTGTCCTTCTTTCTGGTGGTTTGGACTCCAGTTTGGTTGCCTCCATTGCACAGAGAGAAACGATTAGACTGCAGGCTGCACACAACGCACAGCAGGAGCAGAACGGCTTCACCGATGGCGAGGAGGAGCTGGCTGGAATCGACGAGGACTACAAGCTCAACACTGTCCCCGTTCTGTCTCAGCTCAACTCTTTCTCGATCGGTCTGCCTGGCGCCCCTGACAGCAAGGCTGCCCTCGAGGTCGCCAAGTTCTTGGGCACCAAGCACCACAACCTTACTTTCACCATCCAGGAGGGTCTCGATGCTCTTTCGGATGTCATTTTCCACCTCGAGACTTACGATGTTACCACTATCCGTGCTTCGACTCCCATGTTCCTTCTCAGCAGAAAGATTAAGGCTATGGGAATCAAGATGGTTCTGAGTGGAGAGGGTAGCGACGAGATCTTTGGTGGTTACCTTTACTTCCACAACGCTCCCGACAAGAAGGCCTTCCACGAGGAGACCGTCCGTAGAGTGCGCAACCTGCACTTGGCCGACTGTCTGAGAGCCAACAAGTCGACTTCGGCTTGGGGTCTCGAAGCCCGAGTGCCCTTCCTGGACAAGGAGTTCCTCGAGTACTCGATGAACATCGACCCCGAGTCCAAGTTGATCGACAAGGACCACATCGAGAAGTACGTTATCCGCAAGGCCTTCGACACATCTGACGAGCCCGGCGAGAAGCCATACCTGCCCGACAACATTCTCTGGAGACAGAAAGAGCAGTTCAGTGACGGTGTTGGTTACGGCTGGATCGATGCGCTCAAGGACAACGCAGAGCTGCACGTTAGCGACGAGGACATGAAGAACCCCAAGGCCGAGTGGGGAGACGACATTCCCGACACCAAGGAGGCATACTGGTACAGATGCATGTTCGACGAGCACTTCCCTCCTTACTGCGCCTCGACGGTCATGAGATGGACGCCGACATGGTCCAAGCAGACCGACCCCAGTGGCCGTGCCATTGCCGCTCACGCACAAAAGTACGATCATGCTGCTTAAGCGCGCAGAAGAGACAGCGATCTACAGGATGGCATTCATGATGATTAACTTCGACGGCGTTTCGAATATACGACAGGCCAAAAATGGGTATTATTGCATGCTCGTAGATGATTTATAGACCTCAGTTATGTACGAGTCAAGATTTACTTTTTGCATTCACTATTGCTCGATGTTGACGGCTCTCCGCAGAGGTGATTTGTGTATTTCGTGACAGTCATGATTGTTTTGTGTTGCAGTATCATCTGCTCTCCTTGCTCCGTTGGAAACGAAATGGATGTCGTATCCTCCTCCCAATGAACTCCTCGCTAAATCCAGCAATCCCAAATCAACAAGCATCTCATGCTTGCGCCGTGTCACCAACCAAGGTCACAGAGCTCGCCTCACTGCTAGCCTTCTAGGCTTCCGTCTTTCTCTTCTTCCTCTTTCTGCCGCCCTCCTCGCCTTCATCCTCGACGCCCAACTCCTTGACAGCGCCCTTCTTTCCCTGCACCAAACCTTCTCCCGTGCCGATGTCGAACGCCTTTCTATTATCCTTGAGGATCTTCTCGGCAAAGAAGATTTCCGTCACTCTGCCCAGCTTCTTTGCATCCCTGCGCAAGACCCACTTAAAGTCGTCGACCTTTATCTTCTGGCGGCGCGAGTAGGAGGCGCAGATTGCGGCGCTGTGGCAGGTCTCGATGATGAAGTCTGTGATTATTTCGTCGAGGGTTGTGAGGGGTTGCGGGGAGGGTTGGGTGTCGCCGAATGCTTCGAGGAGGCCGGCGACNNTGGAGTGGGACTGTTAGCGATGGGTCGGTGATGGTGTAGAAAGAAAGAGACACATACGTTCGGGGTTGGAGAACTGTTGGCCCTTTTGACGTAGGCGCATGCGTGGCTCGGCCATTCTGAGAGAGGCAGTTTGTGATGGTTGTAGTGGAGTGGGCGATGAAGAGTGATATGCGCTGCTCTCAGAAGCTCCAATGAGTTGTGTGTGAGACAAGTCTGTGGTGTAGGACGATAGTGTTGCTCTCGTCGATTGGTGATATGGTGGTGATGGTTGATGCTGCTGTTCTTTGCCAATGTGGGCGAAGCTGGTCGCAAGTCGGGTTCACACGGCCCAGTATGTGAACGCTGTCGTGTGTCGCGTATCGACAAGAGAGATGCTAATCGAGGCATCCGCAGTCGATGGCTGACCTTCAAGGTGTAAAGCAGCACGTTCGGATGTTGCCGAGGGCACTTCCATCCATACACCTTGCAACCTCATGGCGTAGTTCGATTATAACACGCGACAAAACAGAGTCACTAATAATTCACAATGGTATGAAACAAAGGAATGGGAGGAAGATGGAGAGTAAGACGTACTAACAGATGAACAGTCTGCCCTCTTCAACTTCCAGTCCCTGCTACTGGTCATCCTCCTCTTCATCTGCACATGCTCCTACACACACGGCGTCTTCCCTGCCATCATGGATAAGCACAAAGACGGGTATCTTGACTCCTCTATTCTCAGATCCTGGACTTTCTCTGACGTTTGATCAAGTTTCACATCCGTATTCTGGAGAGCAGCACGTATTGGCGAGCGTCTGAGTCCATACATCAGCGTCTGCTGCGTCGTCATGGCCGTGGGTATCAACCAATAATTATTCTGTGATGTATCCTCTAATTCCTAACAGGGCAGAATCTTCATTGGACAATAAATCCGACATTTTCTACAGGCTTGGAGTTTGGGGTTGTCGCCGCAAAAGGCAGAGTCGGATCAAGGGAATACCAGCGGCCTTATGAATTTATGATTTGCTCGTTCCTTTTGCTCACTGTGCGTTTCAACTTATTGTCTGGACCTCCTGGATCATCACTCCTGATGGTCTCACCTCTCTTTAGACACGGCTTGATGCCTCAGAGCAGCCATTCTTGGGCGTCTCAATCAGTCTATCTCACCGCTCACCGAAGAAACTTTCTGTACCTTGCACTCACTTCATCAAAGCTTGCTTATCACATCACATTGCTCGCAACAACCAGGTACATCCCACTATATAACCTGAACATCGCTGGAAGCTCTGGCTGTTCAACAACTCTTCCGCTATCTTCAACCTCGATCAGTAGTCATCTTCCAGTCACAGGACTACTGAGAGAACTCTGTCACGTAGATCATCTTGTGCCAACCAGGCTCTCGAGACCGGGGTCGAATGATCACTTGTGTGAAGCACGTCTATCAGTCCTCTCTTTCTTTTTTCACCTCAAACTTTCACAGAACCAATAATCTACCGCAACCAGTCCACGCCACCTCCCAGTATAAATTTGATCCCACTCTACTCTAATCTACTCATCAAGCTACATCCAACCACGACTCGCGCTTCGAAGCCAGACCGTAGCAACAGAGTCGCCTCTCGAACACCTCTCTGAAAAATAAAGTCTTCACGAAGCCCTCGGCAAGCATCAACCTCAAAACAAAGTCTGGAACTATCACGACAAGCCAAAAGCAAAATGTCATTCAGGTATGCTTTAGTCATGTCCGTATCAGCGCATCAAAGTACTCACCAAAAACAGAGATTCGATTTCTGACCGTCCTGCCACGATCAAAGTCGGTCGAGGCCCATATGCCGGCGTGTTTACTGTACAGAAAGCTCTGCTCTGCAACTCATCTGCTTACTTTACGGCTGCTTTGAACGGCACGTTCATTGAGGGCCAGACTCAGACTATCAACCTCGACGATGAAGATCCTACAATCTTCCGGACCTACGTCGCTTGGCTGTACCAAGGACAACTCAACTCTCAAGACATCGAAGGAGCTCTCGACGATCCACAGGACTTCGGCCAACATATCGCCGAGTTGATTGTATTCGCCGACAAGAGAAACATAAGCGAGCTCAAGAATGACGCTATCACTATGCTTCTAAGCTATCTTTACAAGAACGGACTGGCGGCGCTGGATGTCATCGACCGTATCTACGATATGCCGAGAACAAGACAGCTGTCTCACTTACGCTGGCATCTAGCATATGAGGAAGTGTGGCACAGTCAAAGACTCGANAAAAACATAAATCACTGGAAGCCGGAGTTCATGGCAGATATCATCAAGACATACAAGTCATTCGAAGGGCGTTCGTGCGTTAGAATGCTGAGCGAAAGAAGCTTTGAACAAGGAGACTTGAACATCTGCAAGCTTGTCCACTCGCACATCCATCAGGCACAAGTCTGCCCGTCGCTGGATAAGAACACGTACATTCCCGCTCCACCACCAGCCCAAGAGCCTCCAAACAAGAAGCGCAAAACCGGATCATCGACCTTGACGGTCGAACTCCTCGATGACTAAACCACCATCAGAACAACCACAAACAACACAGGCATCATACAGAGCACCAGTACTCGCAGACCTGCGGACCTATACCATGAATTTACACCAAGAAGTGCAGAGAAACGAAGCAAAAACACGGGCAGCTCAGCAAAGGCTGAATTTCTATTCAAAATGGCTGCGACCCCACTTCGAATGCGAAGAACAACAAGACGATACCTAAAAGGGTTCAAGAGCACAGAAACGACAGGAAGAAACTTTGGATAACATATTGCTTTCAGATTTAGAGCGGCATAATAGCACATGCGAGAAGGAGAAGATAGAAAATCAAAATCAATGCTCGTATAACAAGCTTTCATTATCGTGGCAGTCCACGCTGAACAACATGTCTATGATCTTGCCTGATTGGTCTGTAACAGTAGGCCCTTTGGAATGCACGATCTTACAAGCCATTGTGCTTCTCCTCGATGGCATTCATTTCCACCAATGCCCCCATGATATGGTGTTGGAGCTTCCGGTCCTTCGCGTTATATCAATGTGTCCATGACAGTATTGATGAGAAGCAGCTCGACGCCGCGAAGCTGCTACTGTCCGTAAAGAATTTGCTGGCCATCAGCAGAGATAACGTCATCGCTCAGAGGGTCTGATGGGTCCAGTATTAGTCGAGTCGGCCTCTTGTTTATGTCCGGTACTAAAGTCTAGAACATTTGGCTCTCTGAAGTGTGAGACACGGCGGGGCCTTTCTTCACCTTCTTGTGTGGTCATTTCCATCTTCTGTCTGATATCATGAACTGATCAGAACCTCAAGCTGAGCCCTCTGGATTGGGTTGGCTTTGCCGGCAATCTCGATCAAAAGATTAGCCTCCGCCTCATTGCCAGCCTTGAGTTGTCTCTTGACGACAGCCTTGACGCGATCGAAACTGCCTTGGTGCAAAGTGCGAATGTACTGTGCGAGAGCACTTCTAAGAACTCTCTCAATATCTTCATCGAGCTCGAAGTTGAAGTATGGCAGCAACAGCGCAACGACCTTCTCGGCCAGATCGGCATTGTGCTTGGGTGACTCGCCCATGCCCTNTTTGAGTACAGAGAGAGCTTTGGCAAGCTTGAGAGGAAAATCGGCGGACTCGATGGCCTCTTGGGTGTTTGTGTCCAGGAGCTCGAGTTTAGCAAGGCAGATTTGCATGCTGATCTTACTGGCGGCAGACTCTTGGTTGGAGAGGTAATCGATGATGTGTTGTAGTAGCTTGCTGGTGCAGGGAACGTCTGTGAAGCCAGCAAAGACGTCGAAGAACTGCTCGGCGAGAGTAGGGTCGTTGAAGTCGCGCATCGAAGTCTCGAAGATGATACGGGGAATGTCGCCGTTCAGGGCAGGTGATGCGGCCAATTTCTTCAGTGCTTCCTCGTCGACGGCTTGTTTCGGTTCGGGTGCTCCCTCGGGCTTGATTTCGTCGGCTGTGACATCGGGTAGGGCCATCATGTCGGCATCTGCGTCTAATGTCGAGTCGATCTGCTTTGCTGTTCTCTCGATATCCAGACCTAGGATCTTTCGTCGTGCGGCAATCTTTGCGACATAGAGCATCTCCAGCTTGGCGTACTCCAACCACAACTTCCTCTCCCTCTTGCAAAACCTCAGACCTCTTTGCATGTAACTGCGCGCCGTCGGCATGTCGGCCTGCTGCTCGAAATAGTATTTGGCTGCCCACGTCCACAAGTCCCACTTGATGGGGTGCATTCTCAAGCACTGTGTCAAAGCCTTTGCCAACTTCTTGTTCGCCGCCTCTTTACGGCAGAACTCGAGATACTGCATCCACAAGCCCATATCTCCCTGGAATCTCCTCACGCCTCTCTCCAAGACAAAGAATATCTTCTTTTGACCGGCGAAAGCTGTGGCCTTGACACCCATGCGCTTCGAGCGCTTCTTCCTCAGCGAGTCCAGGTTCATTTCGTATAGCGCATATCGGGCGTAGTCGGCTGGCGTGGCAGCGCCGGGAGTGTTGAGAAGGTGTTCGAATTCGGAGCGCTTGCGGGCTATGGATGTGATTTCTTCGCGCGTGAAGATCTTTTTGCGTTCGTACTCTTGGAGTTCGGGAACCGACTGTTCCATGTAGAAGCGAGCCTTGTCACTCGCGGCGGCCATTTTGACGGTAGTTGTGTATTACAGAAACTGGTTATCTCATCAAAACACGATCGCTGGTCGAAGAAAGTATTGGATTTTGTGGCTCACCGCCTTGATTCTGCCGTTGTCTGTCGGAGTTTCGATGACCAAGGACCGAGCATGTGGATGAGCATACCACCCTGCCCATATCATCGATATCACATGTCTTGTTGGGTAGAACATGTTATTCGATTTGTTACCGAGGGAACAGCAGCTAGTGTAGGCATACCTTTTTGTCATACTCGGCATCTCTCCATATCTTCTACATTGAGGCCACGATATTGGTGGGAAGAATGTCATCACACGGTAAGACAAGGTGAGATCTACGTTGTATGTTTGCTGAGCATATTGTTGCAATCCGTATAGAATTTGTAGAGAGAACGGGATGTGGTGTGCAAGCTTGTCGTCTTGTCTCCTGAATGGCATGTATAAAGACGAAGTCCGAGGTTCATGTTGTTGGCAGCGTCCGTCGACCCCACTGGTTCCCAACCACGATAGCCGTCTGCAATGACGTTGAATGGCAGACTACTGCAGCGATACCTTGTTGTTATCAATCCAGCATCTGTCCTCTATCCTGGACAGAGGATGAGCCTGCTGAGATGCATCTTGAACTAGCCCGCTTTTGGTGGTCTTTGTACTCGAACTCGTCGCTCAAGGTTGTCAATGGACGAGGAACGAACAGACAGGGTCCTTCCAGCTCTTCGGACTCGTTGCTCCGCAGCGGGTCGCAGCTTCTCATGCCCCACCAATTTCCCGAGATGCCACTTTGACCACGTCGTTTTCTTCGAATACTTTAGCCGGCCATTTCTCTCCGACTTTGTTCCTGTTTGTGTGTGATTGGAACTCAAAGATCGAGTATGAGTTCAAGCAGCATGACGGCCAGCAAAGGGGATCTTCGCAAGAGGATGCCTCGACCTGACCAGCCAACCAATGCAACGTCAATCGACGATGCACAAAACACTGTCAAATCGCTCAATGGAGAAGAAGCCGACAAAGACGAGACCAAGAAGCGCACTTATGGCAGAACGCCAGAGGGTAAAGGTATGCCATGTTGTGGTAGAAGGACAAAGACGGCTATGGCTGATACAAGAGGACGACANGTATTCGTGGTGCCGCAAACACATGACATGGTCTCACAACTTCTTTCTCCGACTCAACCAAAGAACGTGTCCGACGTGGTCATCCTGGCTGTGCTTGCATGCCATGTTGCCTTACTTTACTTTCTCCCAGACCCAGTTCGTATCCCTATACTCGCCATCGTCTTCCTTNNTTTCTGGCGTGCCGCGTACAACGCCGGCATTGGATGGCTACTCAATATACAGTCCAACCACAAGCGCCTCACCTCATGGGCTCGCAAGTACAATGTTTTCGCAGACCCAAAATCCGGCAAGAACCCGCGTCCATGGCTCTACAATCAGCTAAAACGTGAAATGGAAACAAAAATCGCTCGCGATTACAAATTCGAAGAGGCCCCGCTCGAGTACAACACATGGTTGGTTTTCCGAAGAGTCGTTGATCTGATCCTAATGTCCGACTTTGTCGCTTACTGCTGCTTTGCTATTGCTTGCGGCGGCCGTCCCGATGGTGAGAACGTTGCAATGACTCTTGCACGCTGGGTATGTGGCTTGGCCCTCGTCGCTTTCAACCTCTGGGTCAAGCTAGATGCTCATAGAGTCGTCAAAGATTACGCATGGTATTGGGGTGACTTCTTCTACCTCATCGATCAAGAGCTCACCTTCGACGGCGTCTTCGAGATGGCTCCTCATCCCATGTACTCTGTCGGCTACGTTGGCTTTTACGGCATTTCGTTGATGGCCGCCAGCTACAAGGTGCTCTTCATCTCCATTGTCGCGCATGCTGCTCAGTTTGCCTTTTTGACCATTGTTGAGAATCCGCATATCGAAAAGACATACAACCCGCCTATGCCTAAGAAAAGAAGAGAATCCGAGAGCGACAGAGAACCNCCCAAAAGCGCCACACCCGATTCTGGTCACATCAACGGATATCCACCCATAGCGACAACCGAGAAGCCTTCTTCAGTTCACAACATCCTTGGCTTCCGCAACATGGATCTTCATCGTATCACTGATATATCCGTTTTGCTCATGCAATCTTACCTGTTTAGTGTCGCCTTCCTGACTCCATCGACCGTTCTTTGGCAAACCGCTTTCGTTGTCAACGCAGTGGCTTGGCGACTGTGGTATTCACTCGGTATCGGCTACATCCTTGATCGTCAGTCAAACAAGAAGAAGTGGGCTCGCCACTTTGTCAAGTATGGTGAGAGCACTGAAGAAGCTTGGAGGCAGTGGAAGGGACTCTATCATCTGAGCATGAGTATGTGCACTGCGAGCTTCTTGTGTGCAGCCCTGAAGATGTACAACTTGCCTCCCGACTGGACATATGGACTAGCTCTGCTTCGCCACGTACTCGGTATGGCCTTGATTGCTCTCCAAGTCTGGACGAGCTTCAGCATCTACGAGTCTCTCGGCGAGTTTGGATGGTTCTTTGGCGATTTCTTCTTCGATCACGCGTCCAAGCTCACCTACGGCGGTATCTACAGGTTCCTCAATAACCCTGAACGAGTGCTTGGACTAGCTGGCCTTTGGGGTGTGGCATTGATCACTTGGAGCAAGACAATTTTCTTCCTCGCTCTGTTGAGCCATCTTCTTACTCTGGTCTTTATTCAGTTCGTCGAGCGTCCGCATATGGAGAAGCTTTATGGTCAATCTCTGCGCCAGGACTCTGGATTATCCAAGAGTCTCAGGCGTTCTTTACCATCACCACTCAAGCACTGGCAGGGTAGTGTCGACAGAGTTCTCGAGGACTCGATGGACTTCCTCGAGGAGTTCATTGATTCAGCAAGACC